ATTTAATAATATCTCTTATAAGGTATATAAATTAAGAATATTTAGCCGAGAATATGATCTGTTTTTATCGTTTTAGGACCGTAATTAGATTTTGTATTGGATTAGTCTTACAACTAAAAAAAAAAATTTGGCAGAAATGGTCATAAGGTGCCGAAGTTTCTGACGTGGCACACCGAAGATTGTGTGGATGACACATGGACAACGTTTGAAGATCATTTCTATCAAAACTTTTTAGTTATGAGATTATCCACTGAAAGAGTCTAAGTTATAATCCATACTAAAATATTTTCAACGTGTCATCCATACAATTTCTGATGTTGTCGCATCAACAACTCCGACGTCTAAAGACTATTCCTGTAAAAAGAAATTAACTGTAAGACCAATTCAATACATAGTCTAGTTAGAGTTTTAAAATGATAAATTGGACTACGTACAAGACTAAAATATAATTTTTCCTATTTATTATATATATTGTACTACCTCTGTTCCGTGTTTGCTACACTATAGACACGGTATTTTAGGAGGAGTGTAATTAATAGATAATTAAGAATATATTAGTGAAAATAATTATAAATTAAGATTAAGATAACTAATTAGTTTAATTAAAATTTAAAAAAATTAAAATTAAAAATTTTAAAATGAGATTAAAGTGTATAATCATTTTTAAAAAAAAAAAGTGACATGGTATGTGAGATGGACAGAAACGGCAACATGGACATGGTATGTGGACGTGGGAGTAGTATATCTCTTTTGATCAATTTCAATAATTATTTCCTGAACATATATATACACTATATTTGTTAAGAACATTTTTTCTGTATATAATATATATACGGTTCTGATACAGTGATAAATAAATTTTTTAAATATTGTGTAACTATTAATTAGTAAGTAATTAAAAAGTCTATTAGTAAAAATAATTATTATTTAGTAAAAAAAATTATAGATTAAAATTAAAATAAGTTTAATTAAAAAATTATAATATTTAAAATTTAAAATGTGATTAAAGTGTATAATCATATTTCTAAAAAAGAAAAAAAAAAATTATATGGAACGGACGTAAATAAAAAATAAGGACAAATTATGTGGGACGGAGAGAGTATTATTTTTGCTAGATAATGATCGAATTAGTATGATATGGTGGTTGATGATCACGAGATCACTTTTTCGAACCCTATCAACGCTATATAAAACTTGTCGAAATTTGTCCGTTATAGTTTTCTCGAGTGACTTGGTTTGTCAACCGTTGCACTCGACTCGAGAAATTACTCAACAGAGCATATATACAATAGTGAGGTTAAAAAAGACTCCAAATTAAATCATAGATATAATACACTTTTTAATTTTTTAACAAAAATTATTGACATGTCGAGGTTGATGTAGCAGCTGATCAGAAAGTAACATTGTTGTATATAATTATACACGTTCATGTTGTTCACGATCGTATTTATTTGTACACAATCGTGTTTCTTTTTGTTTTGATCTAATTTTTTTTGTTAAATATTTTTTCCGTTCAAGAGTAAACTTCTTATTTTACCATCTTAGTATGTCCAAATCAAAAAAATCTCATTATTTTTTTTTGGAAAAAATAATTTTTATCTAAATATCAAAATATTCATACTTTTTATTTTTCACGTTACTGTTACTTTAATATCAATGGTAAAATAAATATTTCACTACTTTATTATACTATACGTCTATAAAATACTAATTTACTTTAATCTGAATGCAAAAGTCAAATGAAAAACTTAGCCTTGGACGGAGGAGTATCTTTTTTAAATATATATGTATTGAATATAGAATAATTGATAGTGACATGGGTTTGTCATACGCTGCAAAATTTAAATAAAATAAATTTACTTCTGCAATAAAAATAACGTAGTATAGATGAAGTAGGGTCATCTCCTTAGAGAGTTAAAAATATTTTATTTTCGATTGTTTAATTTATAAATATAATAAAATGGGATATTTTGGAAGTAGGAAATAAAAATAAAATAACAAACTAAAAATTCTACGACTAAAAGATAAATTCAATAAAAATAAGTTTCGAGTTTATGAATGAACTTGACAACTTGGGTAGTGAATTTGATCATCGATAAATATTTAATTTTATTGGTTTCTAAATAAATTAGTTATAATTACCGACACGCGCCTAATAACAAACTCTTCCTTAATTTCTTGACAGTCTAACCTAACTGTCTTGCGAACTTAAAGAGCCTAATTCAATTTAACAATTAACTATGCGAAATTGTTTAAAATTGATTCCATGATTTCATGATGTCTGTCACTAGTTGCTACTTGAACCAAATTAAAACGCAATTATGGACGCCTAATTTAGTTTAGCAATTAATTCGTCTACTCTCTCAAATTCATATCAAGTTGTTTTGCACTCCTATCATAGGAGAAAAAAAAAAAAAAACAAAGAGAAACATCGCCTGAGAATGATGTTGGTAGGGGTGAACTCGAAATCTTCTTGAAAGAATCTTTCTTCTTCATGCTCTTGCACGGTTTCTCTCTAAGACTCTTCACTGTGTTCTTCTCGGCAAGTGGCATAAAGTGACGCTCTCTCTTTTCTTTCATTTATATTTGCCCTAATTTTGTAACAATGGGGTTTTGGACATTTTTGTTCTCTTTTCCCACTAATTATATCAATTTTTTATTTTTCACCTGCAAATTATAAATAAATAATATATACTCAAATCAGGTATTTAAATAAACATTTTTATTTTTTATAATCTAATCCAAATCAATCAAATATCGCAAATAATATAAATATTTAATGCATGTGATTTATGACTATCAGATATATATATATATATATATAGTAAAAAATTAAATTGTACCAATTTGAGAATGTTGAAGTCCACTTTAACGGTGTTGTCTAGGTCAGCGGTCCTGTCAATTTTGTTATGTCAACGTTAGCAATTTTAATTAATTTTTTAATGGTTAGACCAAAATTTTGATTGAAATTGTTTATAATATAACTAAAATTGATAGAGTGTGATTGTTTTAGATTTTGATATTTGAATAGTATAAATTTTGAATTGAAATAGTTATATACCAAATGAATTTTTTATACCGAAACCAAAATTAATACATTTTAATTATATTGGGATTACTATTTATTTTTTCTATTTTATCTATATCAATTATTCTAAATTCAATATATATATATATATTTTTAAAAAATAACCCAAAAAATAAAATTTTAAATCAAAATACAAAAATACACGACAGTGCGACAATATGAGCATGTATAATTGTACACGCCGCGTTGTTTTCAGGTCACCTACCGCATCAATCTCGTTACGTCTACATCAATAATTTTCGTTAATTTTTTAATAATTAGATCAAAATTGATTGATATTGTTCCGATACAGAAAATCTCAATTGTAATAGCCCATAAAATCAAGCAACAACAGCTATTAATGAAAAGGCGTTTTGGCATAGATAAAAATATCAATTTAACATTCAAGTTATAATCTAATTAGATTATGAAATGTTGTCAAAATATATATATATATATATATTAATTTTAAAAAATGTCAAGATATAATTTTAATTAGTGAAAAACACCCCATAATTCTAATAGACAATTGAAGACTAAATATATATTGAGAGAAATATAAATGCCATAGATCTTATGTGCCATTGCTATAGAGTCTAAATACATGCATAGCTGTAATTTGAATTTATGTGAGTTCGGAAGCTCTATATATATAGATTATTACTACACATCGATCATATTTTATTTCATAGATTAGGTTTTTATTTCATTGATATATTCATCTTGCCATTGATCCACACATTTTTATCTATAAATACCCCAAGTCAAGAAGACATGTATAATCAATTCTCTTTTCCATCAAGAAAATTACAAAAAAAATGGCATTTTTGCGCACCTCACTTGTGATCACCATGTTTTTCAGTATCATGATTTTGTTCGACTCGACAACGGTGATCCATCGATGTGTGGCTCGACCTATAATTGTAATCCCGCCAAGTCTTGATCGCCCGATAATTTTACCATTAGAATCAGACCAAATGGTGACCAATAGTGTAGAACATATAATAAGAGATCTCTTTAAAGTTCTCCAGATACCTTCGCATCCGCCGGTCTCAAAAGCTATTAGTAATTTTCCTGCAGACAAACCCAAGCTGGAGAACGAATATGATTCGTCGTTAGCTGTTGGCCAATCTGTAATGCTGCCGGCAAATAATCCAACGGGACTATACGAAGTTGATAGTGTGCCTGACGAGCCAGAGCCTTAATCGTCCATGTCCATCGACATTGTTCTTAATAAATAAAAGTTCCAGCTGGTTTCTTGTTGATGGAACATTAGATTGGAGGAAGTAATTATCCTTCTTGTAATAAAGTATAACAAGTATCGATGACGTACGTACGTGTAACTTAATTTGTTATACATTACACAAATAAATAAATTAAATGCTTTATATGGAGTATTATTTGTTATTACTACTTCTTTATTGTAATTTATTTTTATTAGCATGGTGAAGTTTGAATAACATATTTATATATAAGTTTGTTTAACTTGTATTTGAATTTGAAATTGTGTTTATAAAAAAAATGAAGACGTAATTAATTTTCTTATATATGTATAATGTAATGTAATGTAATATAATAGAGTAATAAATTTTGTTACTCAGGTTCAATTAACGTGACATCAAAAACTTTTTCCAAAAGTGTAGTGATTATTCTTGTGTATTTCTTTTCATGGATTTGGACAGGCTATCGTATTCTGCAATTGAATTTGTTACAGGTTCACATCAATTTATTGGCAATGAATCCAACATCTTCAATAATATTAATTAATTAACCTCATGGAATTGGTGACGAGAGTTGAAGAAATAAAAGTGTCACGGAAGGGAAGTACTTGTGTGTGGACACAATGCATTATTGCACTGTTGATTGCCTGTCTTTTATTCGATTCAAAGAACCATTTCCAATTAGTTCAATAATAATAATAATAAATAGGAACTTGGTTCAAATGAGCCATATTATACATTAGGCACAGATTCATTTACATACATAAGCAAGTTGATAGAACGTTATTTTTACCCATCTATTTAATTAAGTGCATCAAAAAGATCCAAAAATAAAAGATATTTTTCCAAAAAAAAAAACTAAAAATAAACTAGTAATTACTTTAATTTGTTCCTCATGCATCCATGTAATCTGGTTGATGTAATAATTCTGTATGTGTCCACAAATTTGTTGCCTGTTTTGACACAAATTGGATCGATCGATCAACATTCGATTCAATTGGAAGTTGGATGCGACGACAACGACGAATCCTCCATCTCAATCCCCTCGTCTTCAAGCCTCTTGTCCTTATAAACATACCTTCTCGAACACACCACGAACACCACCAAATTGATGACGCTGAGAATCGCCAGCAGCCAGTAGAAGTTGTAGAGCTTCCCCCTGTTAAGGTTGTCGGCCAACCATGGCCTGTGTCCGGTCACTCTGTGCACCACCGCCACCAGGATAGAGCTCACAAAAAACCCTAACGAAAGCGTGCTCAAAAACAGGCCTGTGCTCATCGTCTTCATTCCCTTAGGACACTCCCGGAGGAAGAAATCAAGCTGCCCCGTGTAAGCAAACGCCTCGCCGGAGCCGACCAGGGCGAACTGCGGGACCAGCCAGAAAACGCTCAGGGGGAGGACGGCGGCGGGGTCGTCGGCCAGGTCGTGAGATCGCGCCACGTGGAGCCTCTTGATTTCCGACAGCGCGGCGGCCACCATGGCGAGGATGGACAGCACCAGGCCGACGCCGATCCGCTGGAGGGGTGTCAGGCCGTGCGGGTTCTTGAAAATTCTCCGGCAGATGGGGACGATGATGCGATCGTAGACGGGGACGGTGAGGAGGATGAAGGCGACGAAGAAAACGGTGAGGGAGGCCGCCGGAATCTTGAAGGACCGGCCGAGGATGTGGCGGTCCATGGTGGCGGCTTGGGACACCGAGAATGTCGTCATTTGGGCGTAGACTGTCCAGAACATCACTGTGGTTGCCCACGTCGGGATCATTCTGATCACCAGCTTCACCTCCTCCACGTCGGTTAGGGTTGACAGGTACCACGATGATTTGGGACCTGGAGGATCCTTTATGGCTGCCTTGTCCAGGAACCTTGATTAATTTCACACAAATTGAAACAGATCTGTAAGATTCTTGAATTTTCTTGGACTGTGATTGGTTTGAAACGAGACAAATTAATTAGCTAGAAATGACAAAGGGGAACGAGCATGTTCTTGCAAGATTCTACGTTGTAATGAAGGTCTTATCCGTTTCAAAGAATCTTAGTGCAAGAAACTACGAGCCCACGTGGTTTTACAGACCATTTGGTAGCAAAGATTCAGATTCTGTAGACTTTTGATAATTGTAGGCCTAATGTTCATTGGTCACTCGTGAGATTTTTATGTACAATCATTGACCATTAATTAATCTAATTAAATGAAGATTTTTTTTTTTTTTTGTTTTTCTAATATACGAAATTGAAATTCCCAAAATGATTGACCTAAAGAAAATTAGAGGAAGACGGTGGAATTAACGAATCGTTACCGGAATTCTTTACTGTGCGGTAGCTTCTGCTTCTTCTTCTTCAGCATCTGCCCTTCCTCGCCGGCGATGTCGTCCATATCAAACAGCAGGGAGGAATCCGACGGGAGCTGGAGGTGTCGCTTCCGCCACGCCGCCACAAACACGGCGGCGATCTGCGTCAGCGGGCTGCCGACAAGCTTCTTGAACCGGTACCGTCTGGTGCCGGCGAGGAACACCGCCAGGCCGACGAGAATGGCGCAGCAACAAACCCCGTAGCCCCATTGCCGGCCGAGGTTGTCCTGGATGTAGACGAGGACGGTGACGGCGGCGAGGGATCCGATGCTGATGAAGAAGAAAAACCAGTTGAAGAATTTGATCATCTGCTTCTTCTCCTTCTTGTCGGCTTCGTCGAACTGGTCAGACCCGAAGCCGGAGACGCTCGATTTGAGGCCGCCGGTGCCGAGGGCGGTGAGGTAGAGCGCTAGGTAGAGAACCATTAGCTGCTTGGTGTTCGCCGGGACACACGTGCCACTGCCGCGGCGGCACGCCGGCGGCCGGAGGCCCGGGATCATCGTTGATACTGTCAGAATCGCCACGCCCTGAAAACCAGCTAATTAATTACACAATAAATATTAATAAAAATTAAAAATATATAATTAAACAAAAGAGAAGATGGATGGATCTTTTTCATTTACGTACCGCCGCTTGAACTGCAGCAAAAATGGCTATGGTGAGATACCTGGGACAAGGCAAGGAAACAATGAACAGAAATTGGTTAATTAAATAATCAATCAAAATAAAAATTCAATTCAATTGATGAAATATATGATTAATTGATACCTTCCTAAGAATGTATCGCCTACGAAGCCTCCGAGCAAACAGAGCATGAAAGAAGTGCCAAGAAAGTTGGTGACAGTATTGGCAGCAGTAGCATTGCCCAAATGCATAGTCCCCGTCATGTAAGTCACCAGATTCACAGCTATCCCCAGCGTCGTCAGCCTCTCACACATCTCAACCCCTAATTAATTCATTCATTAATTATCCTAATAAATTAGTTAATGAACTTTTGATAGTGTACATACGCACGTACCAAGAATCATGGCCGCGCTGGCCCAGCCGCCGGAGGCTGATCGGAGGGCGGGGCGGCCCTTGCAATCCCAGGCATCGTGGAGAGTGTCGTCAGCTTCTTGTTTTCTTGCCGGGAGAGCCATCACTCGCACCTTGATTTTAATTAATTAATTAATTTTAATAAATTATATTGTGGATTGAGAGGGCCGAAAAAAGCCCTTTTATAAAGGCAGGGGAGGTTGTACGTAAGTTCTGGACCATGCGAAAAGGACTGGGTTAGCTAGTGCTACAGTATTTAATGTTAAAAATTTTTTATATTTATATAATTTTTTTTTTTTTTATTTGCATTACATTTTTATACAATAATTAATATTTAAAAAAAAAAATTAGAGTCAGAATGGAAGTAGTATTAATTAATAATAATAATAATAAAATGTAAAAAAGAAAGTTTGATTGAGTATATGGTTGAAGGTTAAGCCGCTGCAACTCCTCATTAATTAGCTGCATTGCAACTGGGGTTAACTAAGGTAATATATATATATATATATTATTAATTTGGGGGGTTTATTTATTTTATTTTTTATTTTTTTTAGCATATATACACTCGGCAGCATTTTACTGGCTATTCCTATTTGGTGCATTTCCATCTCTTTTTTTCCTATATGTTAATCTTTTTTTTTTTGGGTCATTGTGTGGTCACTGCAGGTAACCACGTGATCTACTGGATTAATATATGATGTCTTGTTGCCAACTTTACGTGTGTGGATAGAAATTTTAGAGGATTCAAAATATATGCTATTTAGAATAAATTAATTTTTTAAATTAAGAAATTATAGAATAAATTACACCAAACAGCTATTTCACCTTTGAAATAATAATAATTAAAAAAATAAAAAATAATAAACACAAGAAAAATGCACCATATATTATATATTGAGCTATATGTAATGATTTAACCAGGCAAGTACTATTTTCCTGAACATAGTCAACTATAACAATAATATCCAAATTAACTTAACTAGGTGATGGGATATAATTTTGTTGGTTTTTATTACACAAAAAATAAATTGATATCTAATCAAGTACATATTAATGTTAAATTTTGATTTAAATTCATAGTACTCAACTTTCATTGCATGTTTCTTTCGTGTGGGATTATAGACGGATCGATTAATGCATTAAAATAAATTAAATTTGAGAAACAAAAAATAATCGGATAGAGAGGGTACTTGCAAATTAAAAGTCTCGAGCCGAACACGCTTGCGTTCTATGCGATGATCCAAAAATAGTATACGACTAATTGACGTGGTTCGAAGGCTATTACATTGGACAGTAAAATTAATAAGCGCATAATCGAAGAATAACAATGAAGAATTCCTAAATTATTATTTTTTAAAAAAAAATAAGGGATATATTATTTATTTAACAAGTTGAAAAAGAATTGTTCAAATATTATATATACACACCAATATATCAAAAGTTTTGTACTTCATGAAGAGAACATAGCAAACTTTTATGATAATATTTATATATAATTAAATAATGTAACTATTTGATATATATAGACTTGTAAAATTGATTTCGTTATATATTTTTAATTTTTGAAATTGAAATTACATCTATATCATTTTAAAAATAAATAACAAAAATCTTCTATTATATATTCATTTTATTATTATTATTATTGTTTTTTTAGCCAAGTTGTTATAAGAAATTGGAAGTCACAGTAGGCCTGGTCACATGAAGAGTAGCACCTACCAATGGACAGTGGATCCGTGACATCTTTTTTTAAATTAGTTTAGGAAATCATGCATCTCACTTATTTCATTTTTATTTTTATTTTTTATTTTCATTATAAATATATATATATTTCCTTACAACAATATATATTACATAAATTAATATATATATATATATAACTTAATAAAACAATGCATTAATAAGCTTGTTCTTTTTTGTAGTATTTAAAAATTACACAAGGCTTTTATGTTTTAGATTTTTATTTAAATTTAACTTAAGTTTAAACATATAAAAAATATTTATTTTAAATTTATTTAATAATTTTACAAAGGAATTAATATTTAAATTATAATATAAGTTAAAAAATAATTCATTTGAAGTATTACTTAAGTTTTAAACATATTATTTGTTTTAAAATTTTATTTCGATTATCGTCTACGATCTCAATTTTTGGGCTTTCAATTTGTATCTAAGCCCGTAGTATGTTTCATTGTGTGTCGATCCAATTTATATGTATACTCTTTTTTTTTTTTTTTTAGTTGAAACATATACTACTATATTTTATACTTAAATATATATCATATCATATGATAAAATGAAATCAATTGTCACGTATTGTCATGAACTATTATTATATATTGTCAATTTATGTATTTGTATTTATATTTTTATATTAATAAACATCTTGTACCATATCAATTTGTAAATATTCATGTATTGTCAATTTATATTTTATGTATGAATGTATGCAATGATAATCAAATTAAAGACTAGTCACGCATGAATACAACTATTTAATTAGTTAGTGGAATTTCAATTAATGTTAATTATAATTTATTTTATTTTATTTGTTATCATGCATATGCATGCAGGGACAGCCAGGTCTGAAGTGAATATGAATAGGGATATGAATGAAACTAAAAACTAATTTAAATTAAAGCAAACGACAACATGCACACACAGACACAGTCCGTGACACATTTGCTTCCAGAAACAAAAAACTAATTAAAATAAATGCCCACTAATTGATCAACCATTTCCATAATATATATATATATATATATGACAAGAATATTGAAGGGGATGATTGAGTTACAATAATAATAATAATATAAAAAAATTAACATCACATACAGTGACTTCAGAAAAATGTCAATGAAATAACATTTGAAGTTGAAAAACACTAAGTATGAAAAAGAATAACTTAACGCAATTTTTACATATTAATACAAATTAATATCAGAACCAATCATGGTGGCTAAAGATGAACTTTTCAAAAAAAAAAGAAATAGTACATGTTTTCATATGTAATATTTACACTAAAAGAATATGCTGTATGAATTTTTTAAATAGTGTTTTTTAAGAAAAGCAACATTGATTTTCTCAAATTAACATGGTAAAGGAAACACTAAAAATATATACATCTCTCAATAATTAATTAATTAATTATAATGTAAAGATAATTATGAATTTCAGTTTCTTGTAAAATTAAAGTTATAAATAATATATTGTTTGTCAAACTTTTGTAAATAAAGTGATAAGACATTTTTCTAACTAAATTTTGGATTACCTTGGGTGGGTAAATGTGTAGGTTAAAAAAGAAATGATATACTTCTAAATTCCATTCCACCTCATGCAAGGATAGTTCATAGTTCGATCAAGTGATAATAATTGTACTAAATTCAATATAGAAAATCATGGCCTTTATACGAAAATACTAATAAATTAGCATATGGTAAGATGTCTTTCTCATAATTTTTTAAATCCCACCTAAATAATGAATAGAGATTTAATTTGCGACACAAAGAATCTTCATCCATTCTACAACCAACCCTAATTAATTATTTATTATTTACTCATTGATAATGTTTTTTAACATCAACCATCAAGAAAGTACCAATCAATTATATCCCCCCACTCTGTAAATCAAAACCTAATCCCACAAACCCTAATTCAACAAACCCTAAACCAATTTGCTTGATTCCCATCAAGAATTACTCCTAATCTAAAACCCAAAAAACCTAATGGCAACCAAGAGGCAAACTTCACTTGCCCTATTTCTCTTGCTCAACCTCGTACTCTTTACCATGGTTAGTGCCTGGACTCCGCCAAAGCCGAAGCCAAAACCGAAACCGAAGCCAACCAAAGCATGCCCTAGAGACACACTGAAACTTGGGGTGTGCGCGAACTTGCTTAACGGCCTCCTCAATGCCACAGTCGGGAAACCTCCAAAGGCGCCGTGCTGCAGCCTCATCAAGGGCCTGGCTGACCTCGAGGCCGCCGTTTGCCTTTGCACGGCCATTAAAGCAAATGTTTTGGGGATCCATCTTGACATACCGCTCTCCATCAGCTTGCTTCTCAATGTCTGCACCAAGAAAGTCCCTAAAGGCTTTGTTTGTGCTTGATTATTAATTTGATCCAACACTTGCATGCTTTTTCTCTTCTTGATGGATGTGTGTGTGTGATCTTATGCGTGTTACAACTTTTTTTTTTATTTGATGTTGTTTGTGTGCGTGGATTGATACATGTTTGTGTAATAATGTAAACAAATTGGGCTTCTTTGTTAGTGCATTGTTTGCTATGCTTCTCTTTATATATAGGTAGGAGTTGAAACTTATCTAATTTAGTATCGAATTATATGGTCATTATTATTGAACTTACGAACTAATAAATCAATAATAAGATTGGCCTAATCAGCAAATATATATATATATATAGTAACAATATAAATTATGTTTTTTATGCTATTTAATGTAATACTTTTTTGAAAAAAAATATATATATATTAAATGATAAAAACACAAAAAACTACACCCAAAAGCTGCTGGAATAATTAAAATTAATTTCTAGTAGTGCCCAAAGGGAAGTTGAAAGACCGGCGCTGGCTGCGGCTGCGGCTGCGGCTGCGGCTCCAGCCCTCTCCCCGGCGGCGGAACCCTATATCCATACTCAAGCTCCTCATAGTGCCCATTCCTCCCCTCCGGCGAACCCATCATTTCCTCCTCATATTCATCCGCCGGCGCGTACCGTTGAATCACCAGCACCGAATTCGTCGCCGCGAAATCCGACGACGCCAGCAAATCCCCGATCGTTCCCAGCTCCGGGCACTCGCTCCACTCCGACAGCCCCACCGTCGCCGCAGACTCCCTCCCATGCCCCCTCCCCACTATCAACAGATCGTGACCTCCGGCGATCCCCCTTATCGCCGCCACCGTCTCCTCCCCGTGGTTCACCACTTTCTCCACATACTCAATCGACGGATTATTTTCCATTGCCCTCGCATTGAACTCCCTCAAGAACTCCTCGTCCATTTCCTTTTCCCTGTCCCGCTCCGTCAGGACTCGCAGAAACCCGCGCTCCCCGCTATGACTGCTCGCTGATTTAGATTCCTCCGGCGCCGGCGCCGGCGCCGGCGATTCGAACGCGGCCTCTCCGGGGACGAACCGCATGACGGTGAGATGAATCCCTGGATGATCGGACATCCTCCAAGCATAGGCCAACGCCTCTCTGTCATCAGGCCCACCAAAGAACAAAACGACCACGCCATTCGTCGTCAATTGGCTCGCCGCCATTATCGTCGACCTAAGACCTCTGTCGATCAAAATTCCGACAGAGCACGGCGAGTTTTCCAAAACATTTTTATTGATCGTTTGAAACGCCGGATTCGAATCCTCCATTTCTCCATCCACCGTCTGCTGTTTGTGGAAAGGGATGATGATCAAAGACGCACGTTTATCCTCCGCCACGCCGCAAATGTCTTCGTGCATCGTGGCGTAAGGGGAAATCGCAGTCATGGAGCTCACCGACACGAAATGTACATTTTGCTTGAAATTCCCAAATGCGCTTATGATCTCGTCGGCCTGAGCTTGCGTCCCGTTCACCCCCGGGCAGCCCGACCCCCGACTGGTGTGGGCGATCAGCGCCGTCGATGACCTCCCCGTGAGCTCCACCAGGTGCAGGACATAGGCGAAGATTGGGGATTGTCTGGTCGGACAAGAAGCCTCCAGCAGATTGATGATTGTCGGAACATTTCTCGGAGTATGAACGCACACAAGAACACTGAATTCGCCTCCTCGATTGGTTCCCTCAACAGTTCTTCTTTTGTAAGGTGTGAATCTTCTGCCTGGTTTGTGGATGGTTTTCACTGCTGGAACGACAACCGAAGTCATCACAATCGACACAATCACCATAATTGCAAACGATTTCTCGTCCAAAACCTACCATAAACGATCAAGAACATTAATCAGTCAGCAAATTCAAATATTGAATTAGATAAATTTATTACGAGTGATTTAGTTAGTGAGTGCCTTTTGGTCTTTGCCAACGTTAATGAAAATCATCTCAATAACACCTTTGGTGTTCATAAGAACCCCAAGAGTAAGCCCTTCGTGTAATGGCATTTTATGGTAAAGACAAACTAGAATAGTTCCCATGATCTTCCCGACACAAGCAAGAAGGATTAATAAGCCTAGAATCCCCCACGTGTCGGCTCCATGGATGGCGAAAATGTCGGTCTTGAGGCCACTGATTGCCAAAAACAGCGGAAGCAGAATGCCGGAGACAAAATCCTGAAGCCTTTCAATAAGTGCCATACACAAAGGACCCTTAGGGATGATCAAGCCGAAAACAAAAGCCCCGAATACTGAATGCAGGCCGATAGCATCTGTAATGAAGCCGCAAGTCATGACTCCGGCGAGCATTGAACAAATGAAGAAGTCACTTATCGGCTCGCCTTCCGGAATCTTTTGCACGAGGCGGAGAAGGATCGGCTTTATTACATGGACACAAACCAGGACGAACAAGACGCAAGAAACAACCTCCCAAATCGATGCTAATGAAATCGTGGCATTCTCAGCCAATGCAATGGAAAAGGCTAATAGAACCCAAGCACACATGTTGCTGACGAGGGCTGACGACAAGGCGATTTTTCCGATTTCGGTGTTGAGAAGCTTAACCTCGGCGAGGACACGGGCTAGCACAGGAAAGGAGGTGTCGGAGAGGACAACTCCGAGGTAGAGTATGAAAGTGCCGAGCTTTACGAAATCCATGCTCTTGTGGAGAAGGAAAGCGAAGGGGATGCCGATTAGGAATGGCACAATCATGCTTCCGAGAGCTATGGAAAATGCTGCCCTTTTGCTCATTCGTTTGACCACTGCAATGTCCATTTCGACTCCTACGAGGAAGAGGAAGTAGAGAAGTCCTACGTTTGCCATTGTCTCGACGAGCATCACGCTCCTTAGAGGGAATATTGTTTCTGCAAATTTGGTGCTTCTTCCCAGCACCGATGGGCCCAAGATCACCCCTCCCTATAGAAAATTAGTTATTATTAAGAAATTGATTATGAATTGTAGAATAATTGAATGAATTGGACTCACGAGGATCTCAGCAATGACGCGAGGCTGACGGAAGGGTTTGAGGAGGAAGACGAGGACACGAGTGGTGAAGATGATGAGAATGACTTGGACGATGAAGAGGGGCAAGGAGTAGTCCAAAGGGTTGTCTCCTTGCCAGATGCCATTTGAGGAGATCATCGATGGAGCATAGCATACGATCCACATATCTGATTTGTTGTACGACATCTTAATCAATTAATTAATCAAGTAATTAATTTCCAGACAAATAGATGTATGTATCTAATTAAGCAATTAAGGCCCTCCTTGTTGGTTAATTCAATTGTTATCTCATGACGTGCTGTTTTCCGACGACATAATTAATGGCCGATATAATTAATAATGTCGCCGTCGTGCATATTTATGTATGCAGTCGTTGAAGAAAACAATTTGGAACTGATCAACAGAAGGGATTAATTAGGGAAGGACGAAGAAGAAGAAGAAGGATTCAATCAAGATTTTCTTGATTTTCTTCTTCTTCTTCTTCTTCTTCTTCTTCTTTTTTGGCCCTTTCTGATAAATTTCGAGGTCTGGCTGCTTGGAAATTTCTGAATTGTGGTGAGTGGTGTGGCGATCCATGAGGGTATCGCCATGTCTCGTTCGGACAGTATTTTTCTGGAGATTTCCATATTTAGTTTTGAAGTTTAATTAAGTCGTAATTAATTAATAATTTTGGATGCAACTTGTCCATGCCCACACACATATATATTTAGGTTTGCAACCTCAACTTTCCAAATTTCAATTGAAAAGGTTATACGATTATATTCATTTGTTGTGAGTAACTTTTTATTTTTTTATTACCATAATATATTTTCGTCCAACTTCCCAATATCAATATTGTTCTCATTTTAATTATACAGTTTGATTGATTATTCTATTTATTTTGAATTTTTTTTTTAAAAAAAAAAAACCCTATTATGCAAGTGGTATTATAGTTGTTCACTAACAAAATAATAAATTTTTCATACACAATATATGTTAACTAAGAAACTAATATCAAAAGTAAAGCTCAACAAAAGGATGGAATTTGATACAATGAACTTATAGATATAAACTTCTAGGCACAAGTAAATATTGTTTGTGTATAAGTTGTAATATATATTGTTTATATATATTAAATATATATATACACTAAATTATTTATTTATATTTTTCAATATTGAATTTATTTACAATTATGCCATGCTACTCACGCATGTATATATAAATAAAAAATAAAAAAAATCACTTCATTGACAAACTTGTTTATTTTTTAAAATATTCTTGCTTTATAACCAAGTAAATATATTTATTAAAAATCACGTTCAACTTAAATCAACATGAATTTTGTAAACTTGCAGAACATTGAAAAAGAACATAGAAATTATTATAAAGAACACAACAATAATAAACTCTGATCCATCGGTATATGCATAGTTGAACTATAATATTTTGCATATAATTTAGTAAATTTTAGCATAAAATCTAACAATTTTATCTGTCAGTATACAAGAATTAAATAGATCTATACTTGGATCTAAAAATTTTGTCGATTCCAAAAGTTTATCATGATTCAACATTATTTTATCTTCTAATATATAGTCTTGTGACAAAACTCTCAATCCCTTAATTTTAACTTAATTGGTGTAAGCACCCACAATCTATTCTTTAACTTAAGAATTTCGGTTAATTTAGAAAAATAAAAAATTAGATTCTCTATATTTTATTTTAATTAATTTTATGAATATATCATACCCAGAATTACTTGTTCTGAAATTCACGTGATCGCATCGTGAAAAGAAGTGTTGCACAGAATAAAGAAACAAGACTTATCATACAACAGTGCTACCCCATGACCTGCACTCACTGCACAATTAATTATTATATATATATATATATATTCAACTCCACAAATTAAAATGGGCTCAAGGGAAATAACTTTTACTTAATAAAGTAACAATTAAAGTACATATGTCGGTTCGTATGGTATGCACATCATAAATTAGAAAGCAAACAAAAATAATCTGGACGTGTATATTATTACAGAGATCGAAACTATGCATGCAACAACCAAAATCCTTACAAATTGCTGTTCAGACATATCTATATATATATAATATATATAAATTAAATTGCAGTCACGGATTGGCATTGAACTTCGCAAAAACCTACACATACTTACAAAAATTTCACTGCTTCACTTTCCCATAAACTTCTAACATACAGACATACATACATATATATATACATAGATATAGATGTGTATATATACTTCGTGTCGTAAAAAATAAGTATAAGGTAAAAATTTTGGAGTCACACTATTCACGGGTCTTTTTTACAGTTTCTTGTACGTCTATATATATATAAATCATTTTATTAGCAAACCCTAACGGAAACTCGCCGGAACCCTAATTGAGATCAGCCATGGCTGCCATTGCCAAGGCCACGCCACTGCTACTCCTAACCATGTTTTGTATGTCTGTGGCATTCCCGCCGGCCTGCGCTTGGCAAACCAACTGCCCGCCGCCGTCGAAGCACCGCCCGCACCCGCCGAAGCACCACCGTCCAAGCCCATCGCATCCACTTCCACCCCGGAAACCGCCACCTAAAGTGCTCCCCCCGATTGTCAATCCGCCGGTCATCTCTCCCCCGATTATCACGCCGCCGCCGGTCATTAACCCTCCGGTGATCCTCCCGCCAATCATAAACCCTCCTGTCATTATAAAGCCGCCTCCATCGCCGTCGACCCCTTGCCCCCCCGGCGGCGGCGGCGGCGGAGCTCCTGGTATCCACCCGCCGGCGACCTGCCCGATAAATGCGCTGAAATTAGGGCTTTGCTTAGACGTGCTGGGAGGTCTGGTCCACGTGGGCATCGGAAACCCGATCGAGAACATATGCTGCCCGGTGATCCAAGGCCTTCTGGAGCTTGAAGCCGCCGTTTGTCTCTGCACCACCATACGCCTGAAATTGCTTAACCTTAACATCTTCCTCCCGATCGCGCTGCAAGTTCTCGCCACCTGCGGACTCACGCCGCCGCCGGGATTCGTCTGCCCGCCGCTCACATGACTCTATTTCTCTACTTCTTAATTATATCTATATATATATATATATATATGTATGTATGTATGTATTATGTGTCTAATTAGTTTTTGGTTTCGTGTACTAGCTCAGTACGTACAATAGTTGTTGTCATCGTGCTTAATTACCTTAATTAATTAATTAATGTTGTTTTTAAATTTGGTTTAGGGATTTAGGATCGTTCATGCGTGGCTTTTGCGACTTCAACAAGTAATTATCAAATAATTCTGATCATCAGCAAGGTAAACAACGTTAGAAATTTTGGGGAAAAATAATGAGATTGTCTTATTCATCGTCAAAATAAGGGTTTATATCTATTACCAATTGATTTTAGATTGGATGTCCGAATCCCTTCTTAACATGGTATTAGATTCATGGTACTCGTATTGGGTTTGAATCCTGTATGGATTTTCAATATTATCATCTCGAGGGGGAAGTATTGAATATTGTCCCAAATTGGTAAATGTGTAAGAACTCCCCTGTTATATAAGGGTGAAGGGTTACTCTACCTATCACCAATTGATTTTAGGTTGGATGTCCGGATCCCTTCTTAACATAATTAAGATCAAATCTAAATATAAATCTAAAATGTATCATTACTAGTAAAGGACAATAATAGAGAAATTCATTATTTGTGTTGTATATATGTAGATTATAATTGCATTTCACTTAAGAATGAGCAAAGTGAAGAACACAAGCTCGAGGTTTAGGGCAAGAAAAAGACCATTGATGTGTTTTTCTTACAAGCCATGTTTAACAAAGAAACCCTAAATAATTAATGATCGATGCTTTTGCCTTGTAATGATTTCGATAGCATAGTAATGATGCAATTTGCAAGCCATTGTTAATTCATGTATTTATTATCCTTTTGTAAATTGTTAGGCATCAGTAATGTATAGCCTGGCACCTAACTTAAATGAAATTTCCTAAAATAATTTTTGTGTTACGTGCATGAAACTAATTAATTATAAGATGCATCTTATATATTTGACTACATGATTAAAATTAGTGTACTCGAGCCAACTTTTTGTTAATTGAGATATTTAAATATTTAATTTTAGACTTAAATTTAAATTTGATTTTATCGAATCTATAATTTTATAATATCATCTCTTATTTTGATGATCAATATAATGTAATTTTTGAGTCATTTATAGTTTATTTTCTTACATGCTTGAAAGTATGAATTATGTAAGAACAAGATAAAGTATTAAACTAGATGTGGCCCGAGAACTATTCTTGGTAAATATTTTCTTTTGGGTATTTCCTTTGCCATATTATTACAAACACTGTTATTTTAATTCATGAATGATGAGTGGATATTGAATGTATTTGTATTTATTTAATATTTTAAATTTAGACGTTTTAGTAAATTTGTGCTAGTAATATTTCAAATATCCTATTTTGAAAAATAAAAAATAATTTAACTAACACTAAGAACATGATCACAAAATATTAGTAATAACATTAACTTTAAATAAAAAATAAAAAATAAAACTATCAAAAATATGTTAGTTAGCATATATGCCAAATGTTTTACATCACGTTACACTTTATTGAAATTTTAAATAATTATGGTTATGCTCTTTTAATAATATCTTTTTTTGGTATTTTGTTATTATATAACTCCTACGTTTTTTATAATATTATATTTTTTACAAAATATCAAGGTATGTTTCTCCAAGGTGGTTTGGCCTAATTTTACTATGTTGTACACTAAAATGGGCGCCAAACTTTTTTTTTTTTAATTTGAAATTTTATTTAATATTTATTATAATTAAATGAAAAAATATATATATATACAATATATATGTCATTTTGTAGAGAATAAAATTTTTTATAATACAAATAAATAAAAATTTAAATATATATATATATTGGGTATAATATAAATTCATAATCAAATCATACAATATAAATTTTATCAATTAAATTTAATACAAATTTATATTATTTTATTCATTATTCATCAAATCAATACACATGCCCAAACTCCAATCAAACCCAAACACAAAAGAACAATAAAATTCAAACTCATCCCAAAATTCAAATAAAAACCAAACTCAAACTAACTTTCCCAAACTCCCCTAAAGAAACACACCCCAAATTAAACTATTATATAAACTAAGATACAAGTCATTGTATAGTAGTGTGAGAATGGAATTGTGACCATGAAGTCGTAAGTCCAAACTCGGATGTATGAAGTTTACTTAGAGTTAAAATAAATCAAATGCGTATTTTCGGGTAACGATTGCGGATTTCCATGTCATAAAAAATAATAATAATAATAATAATAATAATAATAATAATAATAATAATAATAATAATAATAATAATAATAATAATAATATGAAATTGAAATATGTTAAATATAGAGAGAAACAACCAAATGTGTTGGGAAGTGAATTTGAGCATATAAAACCAAGGGAGCTTTCGCTTTCTTGGTGTGAGCAAAACAATGAGAGCCTTAACATAAAAATCTAGTCACGGGTGCCATCTACTATATACTTACAAATATCTATATATATATATATATATATTTCCAGTGAGATCGACCTACCATATTCTCATGCATGGCCCATAGGCTGATCGATCGAAGACACCCCTCAATTAATTTATTAATTAATTTCATGGGCCATCAAATTAAATAAATCTCTTCTACTATACAATAACATGTTCCCTGTACGTATGTCTTAATTAAATATTCCTTAGGGCACACCATTTATTCACTTTAGGACTACTAGGGTTTATATATTTTGGCTTTAAATTAATTATAAACCACGATATAGTTTGGAAATTGGCTGCTGCATGCCAAGAAAAACATCTTACATTATTAATTCAGAAATTTTTTGGCTTTTTATTTTCTGAAATTTGCAGACCACAAACATATATACATGCATCGAAAGAAGAGAAATTGAAAAGTTGTGTTACATACATACATACTTTTGATCAGTTTTCAGGTTTTATATATATTAGGGTTTGGGGATCGGAAAGTAACAGGAAACCTTTTTTCTTTGTAAAAGTTTTTCTTTGTCCATTTTTCATTTGGCGATCCCATGATGTAAGATGATTTTTCTTTTTTCTTTCTTTTTTTTTCTTAATAACTAAGAAACTAGACTAAAGAAGCAAGTTGGTTTTTTTTTTTTGGTGGGGGGGGTCGTGTCACAGTAGGTTCACTTGTGACATTTGATTAATTCTATTTATGTAAGCAGATATTATATAATGACAGGTGAGTGCAATAAAATGAGATTCATTATATGCTTTAACAGTGATTAATGACACATGATTTTCTCATCCACTTACATTGTCCAAGTTAAAAAGATCGAAAAAACAATTTCCATATATTAAAGAACCAGCAGCAAGTTAAAATTAAAAAGTATTTTAGACCCAACCAGAGGCAATGGCAAGGCAACATCGATCAGTTGTAAGGACAAGCAAAGTACAGACGATGGCAAAGATAAAAAGTCAGACATTTATTGGAGAAAATATAGAGTCCTCATAGGGCCACTCTTGCACAATAAGCAGTGTACATTTGGACCACTTAAGCACATCCCCAAGCACAATAAAAAATACAATTAACCAAAAAAAAAAAAAAAAAAAATGACATAAAAGAAATCACTCCCAAATTTCACTAAAACAAAAGATCGATCAAGATGATGATCAAATCCCATTAAATGGCAACAAACTAAGAATTTCAAATTCCCTCAAGCACATTGGAAGCCCTGTGGGATATTTTTGGAGCAAACATTGAGGAGCAAGCTAAGAGAAATCGGAACATTAAGATTGATTCCCAAAACATTGGCTTTGAGGGCAGTGCAGAGGCAGACGGCGGCCTCGAGATCGGCCAATCCCTCGAGCAAGGTGCAGCACGGCGTTTTCGGAGGGTTTCCGATGGTGGCGCTGATCAATCCAAGAAGATCAGCACACACACCTAATTTAAGGGTATCTCTAGGGCAAGTAGCCCCAGGGGTACTTGGGGTTGGGACTGCCGGCGTCGGCGGGCATGGCTTCGGCTTAGGCTTGGGCTTCGGTTTCGGGCATGTTCCACAAGCACTAGCAAGAGTGAAGAACACAATGTTGATAACTAGGAAAAGAGCAATGGATGTGTTTCTATTACAAGCCATATTGGTGTTGTAAGAAACCCTAATTGATATGTTATGGGATGAGAAAGAAAAGATAAGGGTTTGTTTTTTTTTTTTAGGGAGGGATGTGTAAGAAGTCCTCGGGAATGAGGGTTTTATAGAGTGAGAAAATGGGTTGTGAAATTTGAGGAGATATGTTTAAAGAAATTGGTTTTAGGGTTAAGGGTCCACTAGGGTTTAGCTGGCAAATGTGAGTTTGGCAAAGTCTTGGAAGCTTGTGAAGAAGTGTAGCAAATTGCCATGTTACTCTGCTTGATTCCCCATCCCCTTCTGATTTAATTTTTCTAAATTATCTTGCACATAGTACTCAGAAATTAATTTCATTTTCATTTATATATAATTATCAGAGCATAATTATTAAATAATTGATTGATTGATTGATTGATTTATGCATGAATGTCCCACAAGTTGTACTACTGCACCATTTTGTTACCCCTAATGGATTGATTGGTTTTGTAGTTGTCCTTATAAAGTAACCACTTTGTCTAACTTCTTTCAGCTTTTTTATTATTTTATTTTGTAAAATTTAGTACATTTTTGTGCTTCTTTAATTTCGAGGAATGTAATAAGTGATTAGAATATGGAATTATTATGAATTTGATTTTTAAATTTAATATACGGGAATAATTGATGTTTATCATCATCATCAATTTGTTTTTGTTATTGTATTGAGCTGTTTCACAGACAGCTTTGCTGTATCTGCAGTGGGCTCCACACAGATCAATAATACATCAACTTTTATCCTTAGCCAAATAATATTCATTGTCCTCTCTTCCACAATCTTTTTCTTTTTTTTGCGAAACTCTCTTGTAATTTTTTGAGATATTTTAAAGTCTTTATATATATATATATATATATATCATTATATACACATTACTATGAGAAAATACGATGTTAGATTGCTCTTAATTAAGTAATTATAATGCAATCCACTAAAACACACATATTTCCTGGCATTGTTGGTGTGTTTATTTGCCTATTTCTTTTAGGTTTTGATACATTGAGAATGTTATTAAAAAGCAAATTGATTTATTTTTTTCCAACTTCTGCAATAAAAATAATAATAGCAAATTAAGAGAAAAATTAAATACAATATACTATGTAGTATTTCACATGAAGAAGTATATCAACATGCATGTGACTATTGGTCCATCTTGTGAAAATAAAGTACAATCGAAACATGACTCGTTAAGAGCATGTAGGAATGTGCCTTAGGCATTATTGAATATTATGATTTGATTGAAGAAATCGATCCAAGTCGATATACATATATATATATACACGCACGTAAATGTAGCTTGACAACACTTCCACTAGGTAACAAATCGAAAATTTCGCAAAATAAAACTCAACATATATAAGATCCAAAATGAATCTAACACCCGGGCCTGTGCTATCTCTTCCTCTTCGCAAGTCGATCATATTATAGGATCGTAAAATGACCAAATTTAATTGGATAGAGTTTATGTAAATTGAATTATGTCAGCTTCTTTTTTTTCTCTTTTTTTTTTTTTTTTTTGAGGGGGGGGGGGAGCTTAATTATCTAAAGAACTTAAGTGTGAAATATGTTTGTTATAGAGTAACTGATACAATATTCGGGGGCGCGTACATAAAAAGTACTTCCTCCCTTCGGTAAATTTAGCTTTTTCTTATTATTTTTACAAAGAAAGAATTATATATTTTAATTAATAATTGTACACTTGCTTAGTAAAAAAAAAAATTAAAAAGACTTTAAAAGTTAAAAATAGAAAATTAATAAAGAAATATAAATACAATTTTAGGAGATGGAATAAAAATTAATGCGTATTTTCATCATATTTATCTTCTTTTGAAAATTATATATATCTTAGAAAAAACATCAAATAAAAATGACACAAAACGTAATATTAAATTTCCATATATTTAAAATAACTATCAAATTAAGTTCTTTATTATATAATGCACAATTAAATTAACCATATCAAAAAATCTAACAATAATATACTTTATATGTTCAACGACTGATGAATTATTATTTTTAATATGTATATATCAATATAAATAACTGTATCAATTATCCTTTTAATATATTTATTCATACGAACTATATAAAATATAAAAATAATATATTATTTAATATCTGTTTATATCGCAAAATTAAATCCAGCCCATAAATAAATATCGAAGTAATTTTCTATGCATTGATTGAATCGAGTCCGTGAAATAAAATTCCAAACTTTGGCATATGTAAAAATATATATATTTTTTTGAAATTATTACATTAAATTCTATTTAAATAAATAAACAGCCTAAAATTGCAAATTTGCGGAGATGCGACACACGTATACGCGTGGCTCCACGTAGAATCTGTTAAATGTCATAAATGAGAAATTAATGTCGATTTTGGACTTTTCCACGCTGCCAAATTTACCATGGATGACACTTCACCATTTTTAAATACACGTGTCCATTTTCCAGGCGCACAATACAAAAACCAAAATTTTCATTTTTCTGTTTTTCATCTTATGCCTTAATAATGCCCAAATGTGTTTACTTGCTTATCATACTTAGAGATGATATATAGTTGGATGGTGTCTTTTATTTTTATTTAATTGAGTGAAAAGATGACTAAGTTGATTGCAATAAAATGTGTAACCTATAATAATTGAACTGCTATAGCAATGATTTTATATTTAATTTGTATAATTAGATTCTAATTATATAACTAGTTTAATTGCAATACTCTTTTGATTATATTGGAAGATCATTATTTATACAGACCCTTTCTCAAGTTTTAATTTATAAGTGTATATATGTAATTTGAAAATGAATTTACCTGGCTTTTAAATATTTTTAAATATATTTGTTCATATCAGATCACTACACAATCAACGTTAAGAAGCGTTCCCTTGCGTTTGTATTTTCGTTTTTGTTCTTTCGTTTTCCACTTGCTATTTTTATGTGAACATAATTTTCAAATAATGATATCTTGTCGAACAATATATATATACATATTCTAAGTTATACTCTAATAAAATTCCATTGTTTTGAAATGATGGCAATATTATTGGAGGATTTCAACTTTCATTTTTTTTATATAAGCAACTAATATATAGCTTCATTTTTACAAGCTATAGGTATCCATATTCTGCATGGAATCTAAATAAAAACTCAAATTAAATTTATTACAAAAATCATATATAAGATGGTACAAAAGGTGAGAAACCTTGTGCACATGTATATCCCAACAACATGACACAATATATAGCAACACTGAGCACACATGACATCAAACAAACAACATCACCACATTATACACACACACACACACACTCAATGATCAAACAAGACACACATTACAGGGTTTGATTGATTAAGCATCAAGGATTAAGCACACTTGAAGCCATATGGAACTTTCTTGCCACAGTAGTTCAAGAGCAAGCTAAGGGAGACAGGGACATTAAGGTTGATGCCGAGCACATTGGCTTTGATGGCGGTGCAGAGGCAGGCCGCCGCCTCGAGATCGGCCAGCCCTTCAATCAAGGTGCAGCAAGGTGTCTTTGGCGGGGTTCCCACAACTAGGTGGACTAAGTCATTCAGAAGGTTTGCACAAACTCCCAACTTCAATGTGTCCTTAGGGCAGTACTTGTGTTTGTGTTTGTGCTTGTGACCAGTCGGGGCCGGAGTCGGGGTTGCTGGTGGGCTTGTTGGCGGCGGGCAGTTGGCGCTGACTGTTATGAAGAAGAGGAAGTTGAGGAGAAGGAAGAGGGCAGCAATTCTTGATGATGATGGTGAAGCCATTGTTGGTTTAGGGTTGGGATCTTGGAATTAGGGTATTACTTGTGATGAGTGAGAATGTGGTTGGGCTATGAAGTGGGGTATTTATAGGTGGTAATTTGAAGGGTTTTCTTTTTATTATTATTATTTTTTATTTTTTTATTTTTTTTGGGGGGGGGGGGGGGGGGTGTGGAGGGGTGTCCTTGCATGTGAGGGAGAAGATGGAACGAGAAATACCATATTTTGGAAGATAAGGGTATGAAGAGTTGTGTCTGACCTCAAATTAAATTTATAAAATTGTATTGTTCTTAGCTTCAATGTGGATCAATCATTCAAGTTTTTTACACATACACAAACACCAACATATACATACAAACATGCATTCCAGTAGGGGTTCAATATATATTATATAGATCAGATATTTGTGTGTGTGTTTCTTGGGCTAATGATATGATCATTCATGGTGGCCTAAGACAATGTGTGGTGTGGATTTATATAGTGCATTTTGCATATCTTTTGCTTTGCTAGTACAATTCCAGTGGGGTGGGGTGGGGTGGGGTGGGGGAGTACATATTAAGACAAGACAAAGTTTACATACACATTAGCAAATTAAATTACAGTGTAATTACCATTATGACAATGAGATTAATCTACCTTCACTAACATTTTTCACAAGCGAAACCTTGCAATTGCATACAATATTCATTCCACTATGGATAAATCAAATCATCATATTGACAATGGTCTTCTTACTAGACAATTTGTGCAACTAATTGAATATATATATTGGCAAGTATATAGCTATTAGAGACCAAATCAACTACATGGCAGTAATTTGATCATATATACACATGAGATTTCTAAAATAATTTTAAAATGTATGTGAGAGGGACAGGTCTGACATAGTGAGTGAATGGGTGATACATGGAATTGGTATAACAATTTTGATATCATCTATAGGGCATATGCATCTACACACACAGAGAGAATCTGTTGGTGAATTCAGAACCAGTCAAGCTGAATGGTGACCATATAAAGCTAGCTCTCATTTGTTCAATTTTATCTCTATTCAGATCATGAATAATTTACAGCCTCAAGAAAATGAAAAGGTAAAAATATTTAATGTATATCAATATGAAAGGGTAGATGAAATTCATAGTACATTATTCCAGACCAATAAACTTTCCGAGTATATATATATATATGCATATCATATTGCAAGTTCTGGGCTCAAAATGTATGAGAATATGTTCATACATAAGAGTATATTGTGAAATTTCTAATAGTTAAGTACAAATTGGTATCTAAAATACCGATTAATGAGTACCAAAGTTCACATGCTAATTATTTAGACCACACTGTACTTAAACTTTAGTTTTTCCTAAATCAGAAAAGAATGTGGTCATTCCCACATCATGGTGTGTGATTCTAGTAATTAAAAATATTTTTTTTTTATTTATAAATTATATGGTGGTATACAAATATTCCATTGTTCTACTGTTTTAAGATCAAATATTCTTCTTACAGCTCTAATATACAGACAACTGAGTTTTCACTTCATTGGATGAGAGCATAGCAAATTATTCTCACTTCAGTTGTAATCTCAAAATTACATGCAAATAAACTGCACATCTTCACACACAGACACACACACATTATATATATGTGTGTGTATATATATATATATATATATTATTTGACTAAATTAAAACATTATTGCAGCATCTCCACAGAATGAAACAGGACATGCACAAAGTGCCACACATCATGTTAGAAAAATATCACGATAATTATCCATGGTGCCCACAAAATGATGTGATTAAATTTTGCACTGAAACGGCCAAACATGCCAGATGCAGAATTCTATCAAAAAAAAAAAAGTCACATAGATGTGATAGCAGACAACAAATGATATATTTATGGTGCCCACAAAGGTTTGTTATTTAGGAGTTTGGTTTTTTTTATTTGAAAAGTGGTTTGGATGCCATATTTTATGAAAAGAAATTATGTATTTTTATAGGAATCGCGATGGCAATGGTAAAAAACTGAAAATAACTCCAAAAGAAGAGAGCCGCGAGATTTCTCATCCTTTCTAATTACTTGAAACAAGGGAGTGAATGAAAATTTATTAGTTCCTAACCATCTTTCGTTTCAATATAGGCTTCATAAGAAAATTTATTATAATTACCCGCCTCACTTTATAAGTAATCTTCAAAAAAGAAATGCCGTCATTAGGAAACATCAAGACAGGATGTATATTACTGTTTACCTCATCCTCATCACTGAAACATTTGAAGAACTAAACCACAGTACAGAGAGAGATCAACATGTGATAATCCAAAGTAAAGATTGTGTACCACACAGAATTCAGAAATTAAATATGATTCTCAAAGCATTAACATATTTATTTTTCATTACTCAAGAATTTATTCCAATTGATAGGAGAAAACCTGAGTTATAAATGATTACCAGCAGGCAAAAGATCTGGTGAGAAAACAACCTCAGGGCTCTCCACCGAGCTCAACCCTCAGGTTATCGTAAGGGTAGACCTTGGGTGTCTGAAAAAAATCAAGGGAAGATTGTTGCTGAGTAATGGTATTACAGTCACATAAGAAGTTTCTATTGCAAAAAACGATAATGTAATAAGGAAAAAGTTAATCAAACAATTTCAAAAGATTGTGGCTCCATGACTCAGTATCCTGATGATTTCAACCACATCCAATGCAAAGGCTAATCATAAACTTACAAGTTACAACTCATGTCTAAAATATGAAAAAAGCATACTCTATGACAGGAATATGTGGTTCTTTAACTTCAATTTACACACAGGTTTACAGACAAGTAATCTCAAGGAGCCTAGAAAATTGACAATATTCAAACTTCTTTAAGAAAGTGAGTATGTATATTAATCAGATCTAAGATTGGATAGCACAAAATAGATGATGAGAGGTGAGAATTGTGGCTAGTACAATCTTAAGGTTAAGGTGCATGAACTATTGCAAGTGGTTTGAGGGCAAGCTAGAAAGTAAACAAAGTGGCATGAAAGGATACAAAAGGAAACATCTTTCCATCAGCAGTGGTTAGGATTACAGAACCACAATCTTATAATATATCAATCTTCTGTGCAGCGAATGTCTCACAAGCATTTCCGTAAACATGAAAGTCACTTGTACCACCTAAGCTGGTTATACTGAACAAGGTGAATAGAGGATAATTGACAACCACAAATCCTACCACTGAAAAGGTAAGATCGGAGAAATTCAATGATCCAAAATATTCAACGAGAAAATTATGATCCATTCTTAAGAATCTCAAATCATTGGTATATTGTCCAATAAACTAGATAACATCTTCAAAACATTCTAGATACAATTGGATATCGCAGTCAAACAGTAATAAAATTTATCAGGCCTTAGCTATTAACAGCTGATTTTCCGATTCAATTACTTTGCATAACTATGTGATTGTACAAAGCCTATGTTATGTACTTTCATGGCATTCCACAAAGATATTATTATACATGTAATATGTATATTATATCCAGTCTTTAAAAAATTAAGGTGACTAAACACCTCCGCTGCGGAAAATGAAATACAATTCCATATTTTTAAGAATACAAAGTCATTAGAAAAGCATAGACAATGATGAGAAACATCTCATACTACAAAGTATTAAGAACTGGTGATCCATAAATATATCCCCTTTCTTACCATCGTCCTCAGAAATAAATGAAAAGAAAATTCTTGGAAATTAAATCAGAAAAAGAATAAAAACAACGATGGCAGTTAAAAACACTCAAATAACTTAATGAAATAATGAACAGGGCAGCCACTGACTGAACCACTATCATCGCCAACCTATATCAAGTCTAAAATCAACCACAATCCTACCTCCCGTTTTGGTATAATTAAAGATGCTCGACTCTGCATTAATAGTGATGATCATTCTCAAAATTGAGGCAAAAAGCAATTCAAAAGGAAGAAAAAAAAAATCATCAGTTAAAATATGGCAATCCACTCCACTAAAACAGGGCCAAAAACATCAGCATTTCATATGCAATAAATTTAAAAGGAAAAAGAAGAAGAAAGAAAATCAATCTAAAAAAAACTAATTAACTGAATTTTTAGCCACGGCTGAAACAAAAGCATAAATTTGAATCTGAAAACTACTACTTACAAATGGTATTTTTGAGGCCTTATCGTTCCACACAGCTAACAGCCCAAGCGACGCAAAAAATCCCAGCCCGCCACACATCCAAGCCAACGCCTCATACTATAAACCAAAATCAGCTTAATTGCAATTTAAAATGGAAATCAGAAAGATGATTCGAATAAAAAACGCTGATAACTACTTAGAAGATCCAACCTTCCCAATATTATCAGCAATCCGATCGATACAAGGTTCCGGAAATGGAGTTCCATTATCCCACACAAGTTCATCATTAACGGGTAGCTGTATTACAGTCACCAAAAAGAAACCAAAAATAAAATCGAAAACGAGATTAAGGTTAATCCATTTCTTCCATGATTATCTACAAATTCGTCACAAGAAAAGTAGTATACTCACCGGTTTATCAGGGACGATGTGCTTGCCCACAGGGAGGCCCATTCCGGATCGCTGGCGGAGAGAGGACCCAACAGAGCGAGAAACGGCGCCGGAGCCGCCCATGATCCGGGCCGCTACCTGGTTCAGTCTTGCTGCCATGTCAAGTTTGTTGTCGTCGCAAATTGGAAATCGTAGCTCATGACTGTCAACCCTAAATTCCCAAATTCCTTTGAAGGTTTGTCCAATTACCAGATACAACGATAATGACAATTTTACCCTTATGGTACTAAAATTACAATTTTACCCATATGGTACTAGAATTGGAAAGTGGCTCTTAAGTGTTCATAATGACCAATCCAATTAGTGTTGGGGTTTAGGGTTCTTGATTCTACTACAGTTTATGCTTCTTATAATCAATTTCATAAATACTACAAGCATCTGCAGATCTTGGTACAAGTTGTTGGGAAAGAAATATACAGAACCTAAGCATGAACTATTTGCTTATATAAACATTTGATTTTCAATTCTATTACTAAAACTACTAACATAAATTAGCAATTTTTTATGTTTCAAATTAGTGCAATTTTCTATATATATTTATATATATATATATATATTAAAAAAACAAATCCAAAATACCTATAGGAAAAACATAATTCATTGCAGGGGCAGTCTTAGTACAAGTTACTCTACATCAAAGCCTTTTTCTTGAAGCTCGGAGACAACCTCATTTTTCATCCTAAGCCACAATTTCAAAGCCTCTTGTTCAAACTTCTTGTCCTGCAGTTCTTTCTCAAAATTGTAAAAATCTTTGTCATTTTCGACGAATCCTTTTGGCCCGATTACAGTGCCAATCATCCCGCCTTTAGCAATGAACTCATCCATGGCTTCCTGGTCACCCGGGTAGGGAAACTGCCGGCGCTCATAGAGATGAGCAAGCTCTTTCTCCTCCTTGGGCTTCGGCTTCAATGTCCACCAACCAAGCGGGGATGTCTCATTCCACAACCATGCCAACCCAAAAAGTGTGTATGTGCATATCAATCCTTTGCCAATTTGCTTCCAGAAATGATAATCTTCTTTGCCTAAACCAATTCTTTTTAGGTATTTCTCCACTCTGAATGCATTTTCTGTCAAAAAAAGAAAAACTACTTATAAATCAATTCAGCATTCAAGATTTAACTGTGTTAAACAAACAACCACTCATTGAAGGGTTCAAAAGAGAGCAAATTCGAGGAATTGGAAAAAACACAGATTGCTCCTTGTGGCTTAGTACTTTGAGAAGGAAGTGAAAACGAATTCAAACCTAAAATAACAATGGCTATCAATAGAAGGAAGTGAAAACGAATCCAAACCAAATGCAACATGAAAACCTCTTATTCTGGAATATATATAAATATAACAAATTGAAGATGCTTGGCAAACAACAACTAAGAAATTCATAAGGGAAATATATATAAAACACAAAATACCAACACTTCTATCAAAACCCGTAAAATAAACCAAAAAAAAAAGCACATCAGCAAATCTTAGATATACAAATGCTACCAGCTTATGTTGCACAAAGGTACTCACTCATTCATTAAACAAATATTTTTTAAGAAAAAACATAAAATATCTTGCTAATGTACAATAGGCATAGCAATAGAAAGAAGAAAAAAAAAGTTACCACCTCGGCGAGCATTCACCCGTGCTCTCCAACCCCTTCCAACCTTCAAAAGTTACGTACAACTTATTAAACACAATACAACGCAACTATACAGTTACTCTGCCATATTCTAGTAGAAATGAAGGTAAAGATCAGAAATGTTTTTCTACCCTTTTTAAAAACTTACTGCATGTAAATTTAAATTTAGAGAGAATAGTAATGACGGAAGTATTTAGGTACCTAGGGCGCTTATCGTACAGTTGTCGACTTAACATTTGAGTGTGATATCAAACGAATCACCATGTGGCAGCTATTGTTGGGTCCCAATGTCATGGAATGGATCCATAGTAGTTAACCATAGGGTAAATGATAAACATTTAAAACTTTAACATTAGAACTACTTTTGAGATATATTACACACACAGCGACTAAAACCAAGCCTCCCTTTTAGCTAGCTGTTAATTAACAAGTTTTCAATTCTATTCATATGATTCAACATTACATAGAAGCGAAAAAACTAATGTGATAGAGCACAGATAGCAATCTAAATAATATTCCTCACTTAATTTAACAACCAATTTCACTTCTAATAGGTTTTGAATTCAATCCCTCAATGTCAGTCAGGAAGAATCTCAAATTCAGGAGAGAAATGCTTCAGGGGTTCTCACACAATCCGAAAACACTTACTAGAAATTAAAAAACAGAAATCAATCATATCACCAACTATGCTAGAGGTGTGTTCCTCCAAGGTCCTCAAAACTGAAGTTGAAAAACTTACATATTTGTCAGGTACAAAGTGTTTTCCAATTGGAAGACCCATGCCAGAGCGCTGCCGGAGAGACAACATGAGGGAGTGAGCTACGCCATTTGCACCCGAGACCCTGGAGACTTCATTGCTCAGTCTTCCAGCCATCCCAAATCCTTCTTCTTGTAGCAAACAGTGCTGAGCAGCTGATGAAGCAGGTGTTTATACAGTAACCAGGTCGCAATATGAAGCGGTTCTACAGATCGTCAAATAGCAATAAACACCAGCAAGAAACCTAGTTTTAAGTGAAATGATTAACTCGAACTTTTTAAGGAAATAGAAAATAAAATAGATCTCAAAAAATTCAATCCCATCAGAATCCTCTACCCCTTTCACATTTACCATCACCAACCTTTTTCAAAACCTAGGTTTCCAAACATATAGCTTCGTCTAGCACTTGCTTCCACGTCTTTCAAACTATTCATCAATTTCTCCATTGAAATCCAAATACTAAAAATAATTGAAAAAAAGAATAACTATAATCAGCCAACTCCTGAGAGTGATCATGCCGAACCCGTTAAGCTAAATTTCTTCCAGCCTTAAAATTTTTATCCAAATAAACTATAAAGCTGCTGTGCATCAAAAGAAAAGTCACTCCCTTCGAAAATCTGAGAAAAACCAACCTGATCACTTTCCTCAGTCGACCAACGGTGGCGAGCAAGCAGAGAATTCCCGGCTCAAAATTTCACTTTGCACCACACAGCACAGATTAATTAATTTAGCATGGGTATGATAATAATCGAATAATATTTTAATACCCCATACCTGAATCGACCGGAGCCAAACTTGTACGGATTCGTATTTACCCGGATCCGACTCGACTCGTTGGAGAGGGTTTGAGGGAAAAAATAGAAGAAGGCGAGGGCTGTGTGGCGGACGGTGAAAGCGACTGCAACGGGCGGCGATGGAGTCAATAAGACAAAAACTAAAACAAAAAAAGCGCACCGGCGGCAGCAGATGAGAAAAACGATTTGGGAAGGTGCGGCCGTTGGGTACGATCGGGAAGAAGTTCACTTATGTTAAATCAAGGTTAATTTAATTAAACCTGTCCTTTGTTTGTACAAATACCGTTTTGAGGATTTTTTTAGTTTTAAAATTTTGAAAATAATAGAATAGTATTAATGAATGTTATGATTTGTTGTAAAAAAAATTAATAATATTCACATTTAGAAAAGGTATAATTAATAAATAATTAAAAAATTATTAATATAAATAATTATTATATAATAAAAATAATTATAAATTAAAATTAAAATAATTTATTAGTATATTTAAAATTTAAAAAATTATAAATTAAATTTTTTAAAATAAAAATAAATTGTATAATATTTTTAAAGAAAAAAAAATAACAAAAAATAAGTAGACGAGACGGAATTAAAAATATGGATATAAGAAATGGGAACGGAGGAGTAATAAAGATAAAATTAAGAGAGAGGTATTATTAATATTCCACAGATGTGTTGGTTTGGGATTTGAATTTTGAGTTGGAATTTGAATAGTAAAAATTTTGAATTTGTATAGTTGTATGATGTGATATAAATAGGTATTGATGTGATGTTTTTAATGTAAAATTGATTTTTAGTATAATATAAATAATAAAAAATATGCGTTTGATTTCATATTTTTGGGGAAAAAATTTTGGATGAAGTAGAATTTTGTCAAAATCCTACAAACGAACACACCCTACGAATATGTTAGTTGGTGGTTTAAATTTTGAGTTGGGATTTGAATAGTAAAAAATTTGAATTTGAATAGTTGTACGATGTAATATAAATAGGTGTTGATGTGATGTTTTGAATATAAAATTGATTTTTAGTATAATATAAAAAATAAAAAATATGCGTTTGATTTGATTGATTTGATGTTTTTAGGAAAAAAAAAAAAAGAAGATAAATAGACAACGCATGCGACCCACATTCCGCCGCTCGTCTCCGCATACCATTTGGGTCATCCTTTGTTGAAGCTTGTGCATTCTCTGCCTGAAGATCGTCCTTAACGTGGTTTTTCTTTCATGAACAAAGCTTAGCCCTCTTGGCCCTTCAATAACGTGGAGCATACTTCCCCACCTTGGGAGCACTTCTCTCTTGGAATGTCCAGTTACCTTAGGACATGCTCTTTATTGACGTGCCCATCAACGTCGAGCATACTCCCCCACTCTGAGAGCACTCTACTTTCTAATGTCCAGTTCATGGTTCGCCGGATCGGCCGATCCGGAACCGGAACGGGCAGGACCGTTCCGGTACGAAAAAAAAATCCGATTTTCTTCCAAATCTTCATGAAATCACTCAATTTTTTTTATTTTGGAGATGTTTTTGTCAATCATTCTCCTTCCGTTACTTCAATTTAATACGTAGAACTTGTGAAGTACTTCAATTTCATATTTGGAATTTGAAACTTGGAAAAGGAGAAGATGTGAGTTTAGGGATAAATTTAGGGAAGATATTGTTCGGTAAGATGAAGAAGTAGTGGAAGGTGCGGCTGCGTTGTGAATAAAGAAGGTTGCTGAAGAAGAAGAGGATTGGAGAGGAAGATCGAGCAGTGTTGTCGGTTGGGGAAGAGGATAGTGTAGATTGGGAAGAAGAACGAGTAGCGAATAATTAATTGAAAATATTTTGGAAAATAACCTAAATAATTATTTAAGTCCATTTAACTTAATTTTTGTAAATATAAGTATAAAATTAATTTGTTTACTTTGGATCGGAATTAGTATTAGATTATTTTAATTATTTTGTTTATTTAATTTTTAAATTTAATTGTTTTGATTTGTCTTTAATTTTTACTTAATTTATCCAAATTGATTTTCATTAAAATTGATATTTTAGAATAACTTATAACTAATTGTAAAATTATTTTTTAGATCAAATTATATATATAATTTTAAAATTAATTATATTTATGTTTTAATATATTTAATTGTGTATATTATCATTTTTTAAAATAAAAATTTTTATATAAAAATAATGTTGACCAATATTTGAACGATACACCGCGCCGATATGCCGCGACGTATCTGGAACGGTGAAAGCCGATCCGCGACAACGATCCACGACGGCGAACCATGGTCCAGTTCCCTTAGGACATATTGATCCTTGACGTGCCATTGACATGCTCCTCCCCTGAGCAATGCCCCACTTTGTCGCTTCGTTCGCCGCCACTGACGAGATCCGCTCTGATACCGTATGTAATATGTCCGGAAGTTGACATGTTCGATGCCTAGGCCACGCCCGTGCGTGGCCCAAACCAGCCGTCCCATGTGCGCAACCGGGATATATCATACAGTATGGGAAAATCATGCGGAACACGTACCTGCATCAAAGACATATGTCGTCAATCAGTCGTACATGAGAGGAGCTCGCACACATGGGACGGACTATGGCCAAGAATTTGGAGCATAAATGTCAACCTATGACCCTTTCGATAATTTGATCGGATCGTAGACGTGTAAAGCTTTCGTCGGATATTGGATCAACAATCTTGCCTCGACTTATGGTCGTCAATTTGTTGATCTGGATTTTTCAACAAAATAAGAGGAAAATTCATTTGTGGCTTCAAACTTGATTTTTGAGTTTGAAATGATAGAGCTTTAAGCATCGGACTTAATTAACTAAATAGACAAATAAAAATTAGCAAGAAAATAAAGCGACGATCCCAAAGCGACGATCCCAATAAATTTCCTCTCAAATGGTGATGAATATTGATGATGTCTCTCTTCTCTATTTCCTCTCAAATGGTGATGAATATTGATGATGTCTCTCTTCTCTCATTGATGGTCCATACATACGCCCTCTTGAAATTGTATAAAGCTCATCGTAGTGACAAATTAGATTCTACACATATCAACGTCCTCCTCAGCACTTCATACTTGGCCAAACTCTAGAATCCGGAATTAAGACTCGACATACTATTTTTATTATTTATAGTCCTATTTAATAAATTAAAATTAATTCTATTTAAAAATGTTTTATTAATTTTGTTACCACTAATATTCGACAAAGATGAAATCCGAACAGTTGATCTCAAAACAACAACAAACAACAACAAGCTTCAACAAATGCCTTGACACCATTAGAGGCCCAACTGGTTCTGCACCTCCAAAATGGTCTTAGCAGAGTCCCTCAGCTGCTGAGTTTCCTCGTCAGTGAGATGCACATTCGTCACTCCCAGCACTCCACTCCTCCCCAGCTGAGCTGGCAGGCTCAAGAACACCTCTCCCCCATCAATCTCGTGCAATCCCTTTGCAAGAATGGAGACTGGATGAATCCTCCTCTGATCCCTCAGCACTGTCCGGGCTAAGCTCGCCACAGAGTACCCAATAGCCCACGACGTGTACCCTTTCAGCTGTATCACTTCATACGCACTATGCACCACTTCTTTGTGTATCTTCTCCAATGTCTCCTTCTCGAACGCGATCTGCTGCCTCTCTAAAAAGCTCAGCACAGGAACACCCCCCACACTGATGCTCGACCACAGCGCCACCGAACTGTCCCCGTGCTCCCCAACAATGTATGCCTAAACATTTCATTTAGTTTAATTTAATTGGAAAGGTAAAGAGATATTGAAGAAGAAGACGACGACGACGAAGAAGAATCTCACCTGCACGTCCTGTGCATTGACGTCCAGATGATCCGCAATCAGGAACCGGAATCTGGACGAGTCCAGATTCGTGCCCGACCCGATTACCCGGTTCGGCGGGAATCCGGATAGCTTCCACGCCACATAGGTCAATACATCCACTGGATTCGAAACCACCAGTATTATGCTATCCGGCGAGTATTTGGCCAACGGCGGAACGATATGCCTGAAGAGAGCCACGTTCCTCTGCAATAGATTCAGCCTGCTCTCGCCGGGATTCTGCCTGGCGCCGGCGGTCACGATGCAGAGATCGGAGTTTGCGGTTGCGGCGTAGTCGAGAGACGCCTGGATCTTCGTGCGGGGGAGGAAGGCGGCGGCGTGCTGGAGATCGAGCATCTCGCCCCGGAGCTTGTCCTCTTTAGCGTCGATGAGAGTGAGCTCGTCGGCGAGGTCCTGAGTCAGAATAGTCTGCGCGATTGCCATTCCGACGTTTCCGACGCCGACGACGGTTATTTTGGTGTGGCGCTTGGTCGGAGACGGCGGCGATCCGCCGGAGATCGGGATGAAGAAGGCTTTCGAGAGATCGAGGCCGCCGGGGCCGAGGTAGGAAGAGGAAGTGCTCTTATGCATAGCGACGATCGAGATCAACAGACAGTGATTTGATTTGGATCGGAATGTGCAGAAAGGGTCGGTAGGTTTCGCCGTATATATAATAAACGACAAGGGTTTTGACCTTTGAAGACGGTACGTTGATTCTTCAACGGTCAGAGATTGGAGGGAAGGAAGATTAGACGATGATGCAGCGTGTCTCCAGTGGACTCCACCGCACTGGATCACAACTCCGCCTTTCACGTGATGAGCACGCTGGCCTGTCAATCTCGAAGAACTTTTGATGTCGCTAACGCGCTTTTACGAAACCGGGTGCGGCCGGTTTTATTACCAGGTTCGATTTCTTGGGCCATAATAGTTCATAAATCATAATTCCTAAATTGAAATTTGTTTTTCCCTTAAATATATACTTATATATGTGGAGTATAACTTGACACATATTTATGAATTTTGATTATTATGTTCAGTGTAAATAATTTACAAGAGACCCCTGGTTTTAAATAATATTTTGGTTAATTACCATGGGCGACTTCATTATTATATTTTGGTCTGGTTTGAATAATATTCTTGACTTACCAATAATACTTGTGTTTTCTTTATATATTTTTTATATTTTGAATTCTTATTATTTTTAGTAATTGAATTTTCATATTAAATAAATATATTTAGATTTAAATACTATATTTTGTTTATAATTATTGAAAATTATAGATATATTGTTAGAAACTATGAAGTATTTTTGTTTTTTATGATGTGAAAATTCTTAGCTACAATTCTACAAAAGAGAAAAAAAAAATATTGTCTTCTCTATTTTTCATAAAAATATTTTATTTTATTTTAAGAATATCAAATTAAATATTTTGAATTTAATCTATGAAAATATATATTAGCAAGAAATAATACAAGTGCAACAGAATGCGAAGCAAATAATTTCGAATGAAAAATGTCATTTTGACCGAGAGAGATCTCCCTTGGGGAAGGGGCAATCGCCAACGCCAATCCGATCCGTTATTAAGCAACCCAACCCCCAAACCCTAGAACTTACAGAGGAAAATTGCTGGAAGCTTCTCCGAAATCGCATCTCATAAAGGGGGAAACGGAGCGGATACGGTTGTAGAAGTAATCGAGAATGGGTATAATCCGGAGCGGCTTCTCGTTCATCGTGGGCACAGCTTTCGGGGTGTATGTGGCCCAGAATTACAACGTTCCCAACGTCCGGAAGCTCTTCAACACCGGCCTGGTGATCGCCAAGCACCTCGAAGAGAATTACCGCAAGCCCAAGAAACGCGACGATGATGAATGAAACCGAGTGGCGAATGTTTTGCCTGCCCGCTACCTCCAATCGCCTACCAGATGTTTGTTGTTTTGCCTGTTAGAAATTCATTTTCTTTTTTTGGCATGCCTTGAACGATGGATTTTCTCATCCCGTTCAACAAATGGAGTTTGAAGGTTCTGTGATATTGGATGATGAATGGAAATTTTGACAGAGTTGTAGTTTTGGCTGCCTTAATTGGTATATTGTCACTATTTAGAACAACTGAAAAGCTACAATTTCTTGTTTTATTGTCTTGAGAAATATGCTGCACCTCATTCTTGTTTATTGTAGTATATAGTTATATCAAGAAATTGGATGCTTGGATTGGTTGCATAAGTTGCAGGGGCAAGCTATGAAAGCTATATCTTATTTGCTGTTTCAGTCTTGAGGATGTGATTAGTGCATGTTAGGCTTTTCTTCATTGACAAATAATTGGAACCCTTTTCTAGTGGTGGGATATCATACTTAAGATTGAGTTCTTGACTTCCTATGGAGGCACAATCTGACTGCTGTCATATGAATGTGATCTGGGGTAATACTTGTAAGCAGAAATCAAAGGAATTGTGCTTCTGATAGTTTTAAAAGTTACTTTAGTTTTCATTTTTTATGATTCTTCATTGGCTTATTGTAGCTGATGAATGTGGCACTACTTTCTGCTGGTCCTGTGGTGCGAGTTACATCGAAGTTATAAAAAGTTTGAAATCAGCTTTTGAAGATAGCTTCCATCTTGTTTGGCTCCATGTTACAACACTGAATATACCCAAATTTAATCAATGTGTGCTGTACGGTAAATGGCCAAACTCTGTAGTTCAACTAAAATTCTTATCAAGGGCTTTTAACGCAAATGGTTGTGCACAGATCTAATTTTCTTTCAGACAGTAGATTCAAAGATGCTAGAGATGAACATCGGTATTAAGACTTGAAGGCATGTTCTGTTGCGCGGTTTTGTTATTTATGCTGCTAACGAAAATTTGATATTTCTTACAACAATTACATTTCTTCATCTTAGTGACCTCAGGGATAACCAGAATGGTATATGGTTCCATTTGTAGACTGCATATTGTGTGTGCATTTCTTGCGAATTCTCTTTGTTGTCTTGTCTTTCTGTCGTCTCAAATTGCGAAAATTCCACAGTATAGGACTGAAGTGTTTTTTACTGGTAAGAGTGTGTTGGTAATTTTGGGATCAGAACACTGTATCTGTTCCTGTGTTGTGGTTTGAGTATGGCTTTTAGATTCAAAGTGAAGAAGATGCTCTAGATTCACATAGCTGAACTTTTACATATACATGTAGTTTTTGTAAACATGTTGCACAAAAAATGCAGATTTATTTGCTTTTATATTCCTAGTAAATTCTCAGTCTACATTTATGTACACATCTGGTGAAGCGATAAAATCCGAGTTACTATTTTCTTTGTGTGCTCTTCGCCATTTATTTATGCACACCGACTTGTCAGGATCTGGGATCAAAAGTGTTCGGCAGCTAAGAATTTCCAAGACCTTTTCTGCTCTACCGAGTAGAAGAATAGCATTGCGTACACTTTCTTCTCTTTGCTCAATGCTGCTTCGATGGCATGCTATTGATATGGCGCGCTGTAGGTTGGTGAGACAGGCCCCAATTATGTCTGTGATCATGGCTGTAAGTTTTTCCAGCATCACTTTACTGTATTCATTTGCTCTGTTGTCGTTCGTGAGCAGGAGTGTTTCGCATACCCTATACATTGAATTGGCAGCTAAAACTGTGACTGGCCATCTTGCAGTGTCCCGACTCACACAGTATTTCAAATCAGTCTTTTGAAGCTCCATAAACTTGCGCTTGGCGATGTCAGAGAGTTCTGAAATTGTAGCTTTTGGGCTTTTCCCCTGGACTGACATCTTACGAAGATCCACGTCTAGCCATCTGTAATGGAGGTCTACTCCTAGCCATGTAACTTCTGCTGCTTTCCTGACATTGTCCAGGTTCGTTTTTCTGTCGATATATCTTTCTACTATTCTTGTGTACCTGAGTCCTTCGTGGACGCACCTCATCAATTCTTTCACCGAAGCAAAGTTATCGTCGCTAATTGCAACTGCAATGCTCGTTAATGTCACCACAGGAAGTGCCCAGCTGTTCGGAGGTTCGTCAGCATCCAAAGAAAGAATCCGATGGCTGTCGAACTTCAGCACCCCGGAAAACTCAGTCGAAGGATTCAGTTTCTCTAACATCTTTGTAAGGTATTTTGGCTGCTGCATTCTCCCCATTCTGATCCAATGGCCAGTGGCATCGCAATCGGATTCCATCATCATGTCGATAAGCGCTTCCTCTCCTTCAAGATGCAATACATAGCGACTCAGATCAACCCTTCTGCTTGTCGCATCTGTCTCCGATTTGCTACTCATATCTGCAAGGCTGGATGTCGACAATCTGACTAATTTCTTGCAGCACTGGTGGACTTTCAGCAGCTGGCTCACAATCAGCACCGAAACCAACCTGACGGACTTGCTCAAAACCACCATTCCCATCTGAAGCAGAATGCATAAATCGAAGGCCTTGTTCTTCGCATTATACACAAGCTTCCTACCGTGATGGCCGCAGATTATCAGCTCCACTGGACTCTCCTTCAAATGCCGCAGTATCTTGACCCAGTATGTCTCCACCGATGAGCACCCATTCACGTGCGCTTTCTTCGCCGCCTTCGGACACATGAATTTAATGGCTATAAACCATCTAGATGCCGGCGCAATCGTACCCACCAGCACTGCTATGGCATGAGTCACCAGAATCAACATACTCGACCACCTGTAGTCCGAATCGCCTCTGCACAGTTTGAAGCACCACGGCATTAGGTAGCTGCGAAGCACCGCCTCGACGAGCGTCAGCGCACTGAGCAGGCAGAATGCGCCGGAGGCAGTGCAAGTCGCCAAACGCCCCATCACAAACTGAGGATTACAGGTATGAGCCATCATCCAGTACCTCATAAGATCCTGTCTCAATTTGTCGACTACAGAGGATGTGCAATTACCTTCGCATTCCTTCTTTGCTATCTCGTACTTAACGCTGTACTGAACATCAAAGTAATATTTGGTTGCAGCAATCGCCAGGGACGACGAAACAGTGATTGCGAACAAGACAACCATCAGGAACAAGACAACGGCGTGCTCAATCCAGAACAGGTAAATCACGCCTGTTCCTAATTGGATGCACACATTCACTATAACAGTGACCACTAGAATCCCCAACGCCACCACGTTCATCATAAGCTCTTTATTTTCCATGGTACCTAAAGAGGGCATAGAATTACCTATTGCTGTGCAGATGAAGGCGGTGCTGCTGAGCTTCGCCAGCTGGTCGTGGGCGTGAGGCATGGAGGTGTTGAGGTCGACGGCGAGCTTGACCGCCACGCCGATGAGAGTCAAGGTAGTGGCATTGAGGGAGAAGAATTTGCAGGGGAACCAGAACTTTCGGTAGCGGAAGCCGTGATAGGCGTCGATTGCCATGGCTAGGGCACAAGCTGCAGATGCTGCGACGACGTAGAGGCCAATCCAGGGCATCGGCTCGCTGAATCTCGAATCATCCAGTGTTCCGTTGACGGTGCAATGACTAAATCCATCACCCATCTCGGATTTACTTTCAAGAGCTGGCTGGATCCCTCTAAGATTCACTACCAACACTTATCAGCTAGATAGCTGATTTTGCGGTAACATTTAAATCCCAGAGATTAATTGAATTTTGGGGACGAAGTGATCGAGATACTAGTGTGCAGTGACGACCCCAACGCTACAGTCGACAACGATGGATCCATTGGAGGATGATCACGGGTCGGGAGCTATCCGTCACGGAGCTTAGAAGTCAGAGGAGGTGACGTTTTCGTTCATTATAGAATTAGAATGAGTCCACTCGTTTCTTTGCCTGTTTGTTGATTGTTTCTAGAGATAATAATTTTATAAAAATAAAATAAAAATTATAAAAATTATATTTTTCTAAAGTTATATTTACTTTTTCTTGACATGTTCATCCAACAGTAACATTGTGGTAAGGTAATTGAATCCAGAGATTTGTTTATAATTTCTTAATTTATTTATATTTTGTTTTATACAGTTAAAACATTAATTGGATATATATAATTTTCAACCATTAAGCTACAATCTCTACTAGACAAGGCTGAATATGTGAATTTATGGTTTAGCTATTATCAAATTAAAACTAATTCAAAAGTTTATTAAGATTGATCAAACCAAATTAAATTGGATGATTTGAAGCAAATCATACAATTTATATCAAACCAATAAAATAAATATTTTCAAAAGTGCATACCATATTGAAAATTTTAAAAATCCAAAATTTTGAATTTCTATTTCAAGTTAAATAAAATCGTTATTAAACACATAATAAAATCGCACACCAACATACATACATGAACACGTATCTGCAACCAAATGAAGTTATATTTTCAACACATGTTGTTTATAGTATTATTTATTAAAAAATAAATAAAATTATCTAATAATAATTCTTTTTTTTTGGAAAAAAAGGCTATATTGAAATTACAGCGTAGACAGGTTCGCGTCCAGGCGTCCTTAACCAATAGTACCAACATACGTGGAAGTCGTGATCTGTGAAGCAGGCGATTAATCTCAATCGGATCGGACTGCAAGAGCAAACCTCGCAGGATCCCCGCTGGCGAACAGGTTGGTTGCTGCTTGATTCCGGTGAAAAGGTATATCTTTTTCACTCTCGCAGACGATAAATTTGATGCCAAAAATGTGCTGCAACATAATATGAAATTGTTTTGGATGTGGTGTCGTCGATGCGTGATTTCATGTTTCTGTGTCGATTAGAGCAGTTGCGGACGCCGGCATTGGGGAAGCTGGATGTTAGAAAATCTAAATTAGATGAAATTGCTAGGGCGTGGGGTCGGATCAAAATTAGGGCATTTTAATGGCGTAAAATTTGGTTTTGTTTCTCCCCGGTGATGGGCCCTATTCACCTCATTTGTTTCTTGTCGAAGGCGGTTTTTGTGATGGCGATCTGATGCCTGTGTGATTCTTGTACTCTTCATCAATTGACTTTGATTAGAGTAATGGAAAAATAAAGGTGTATGAGATTTGAGGGTAGCCATGAACTTACCCTAACAAGGAAGTCTTGTAATTGTTGTCGATTATGATTTATACCTCAGAGCATTGTCTAACTTTTTCTATGCTCATCTTTGCAAAGACTCTGTTTTTAAAGGTAGATTGGTATAACTAACACAGATCATTTCATATCATTTGACCTACACAGGTTGATTTTAGCATGAATGATTTGACTTACTAGTTACTACAATCTATAGAGATCTTGATCTGCTTCATTGTTAGATACCATAAGAAAAATGGGTTAAAGAAAGAGCAAGTTCTTCTCTATAATTGTTTGGAAGGGATGTTTGAATCTCGAATTGAGGTGATATGAACTCATGGTTCTATTATGTGTATTGCTGAATTTTCGGGTAGATATAGTTAGTTAGGAAACAAAAAAGGCTGTAGGATTTGATGAAGAATATTAAGTTTTTGGATTGTAAAAAGTTATGGTGCACCAGGTCAGTTTCTTTTATCGCTATCAGTTGACCGTAGAGATAATTTACTCATTCTTGTATCAGATGTGTATTAAAGTCTGCTAAATCCCCCATGCCCAATGTTTAGTTGAATTTTTCCTCTGGATAATCAAGTTATGTTGTTAGTGGTTCAGTTTAAGAAATTTTTGTTGGATCAAAGGGTACTTGAAAATCTCAAAATTAGAAGAAATTTGACATCTTATGAATCTGCATTTCATTCATGTTTTCTATTTCATGCTTCTTGCTTCTCATTTTTTGCCTGAGTCAAGTGGCTGTTGTGGAGTTTCTTGCACATATTGTATGAAGAATAGTAAAGTGGATGAAATGATAAGGTTCGTCCGTGGTTGGTTGTGTTCTATCATATTGGCCATGACTCAGCACACCTTATGTTTCTATTTCACGTGATAAATAGGGAAATTGTTGATAAAGCAAGACGATTTAGTTTGTAACTTTTCCACTTTGTTTACCACACTTTGGAAAGATAGGAATATACGGCATCTTCATTCGATCTTATTACAGTAACTCAATTCGCCATCCTGCTAATAAATTTTTATCTTTGCTTGTCTTTTTCAGCAATAAAATCCAACGAAATGTCTGGACAGAGCCAGCGCTTGAATGTGGTTCCCACAGTCACAATGCTTGGAGTAATGAAAGCCCGGCTTGTTGGGGCTACAAGAGGCCATGCTTTGCTCAAGAAGAAGAGTGATGCACTAACTGTGCAGTTTCGGCAGATCCTCAAGAAGATCGTATCAACAAAAGAATCAATGGGAGACGTCATGAAGACTTCCTCCTTTGCCCTTACAGAAGCCAAATATGTGGCAGGTGAGAACATCAAGCACATCGTCAGGGAAAATGTCCAAAGTGCAGCACTCAAGGTTCGATCACAACAAGAAAATGTTGCCGGGGTCAAGCTTCCTCGATTCGAGTACTTTGTGGATGGCGAGACTAAGAATGCCTTGACTGGACTGGCAAGAGGTGGCCAACAGGTTCAAGCTTGCCGCACAGCATATGTTAAAGCTATTGAGCTACTCGTCGAGCTTGCCACTCTCCAAACATCCTTCCTGACCCTCGACGAAGCAATCAAGACCACAAATCGCAGGGTCAATGCCCTTGAGAACGTCGTGAAGCCAAGATTAGAAAACACCATAACTTACATCAAAGGCGAGCTAGACGAGCTGGAAAGGGAGGACTTCTTCAGGCTGAAGAAGATACAAGGTTACAAGAGGCGAGAGGTCGAGAAGCAGCGTGAAGCTACCAAAGCATACGAGGAAGGGAAATTCGCGGAAGATATTTCTTCGAAAAGAGGTGCACACTTTAGATCAGGCCGCGACATCCTCTCCCGGTCGTCGCACAAAGACGAGGACATAATCTTTTGAAAAGAAGACTGCTGCATTGTGTTGAAGTACGTATTCTGAGAGATATATGAGTCGATGTTCTTTTTCTAATAAAGATCCTTTCTTTATGCATTCATTTATCTATCTGGGAATAATGAGAGCATGCTGCCTCAGAGTTCTCCTTATCTAACTGGAGTTGCTTCCTTAGACAATGAAAAATATTTGATTCATACTTCCAATATACATTTATATATAATTTGAAGATTATAGTGTTGTATGCTTAGTATTGCTGAATGTGTTTGTGATTGTTGATATTTTTTTTAAAAAAATAAAAATAAAGCAGCATTTAATAATTGTTGTTGTTATTTTGAAATGGGAATTGTATTTTTGGGCTTTTGGCTAAAGATTGAGGCCCATTAACGATTTATTCTGGGCGCAGGCCCAAACTCGTCTTCAGATAAATAGCTGTCTGTGTTTTCGGGATTTTTATGAAATTTTTATCTCCAAATTCCCCAATTCTTTTTCCGAATTAGGGTTCAGTACAATCGCTTGATTCAATCCATCGGATCATCATGGGTGGTCATGGCGGTTTGAACATTCTTCCACAGAAGCGGTGGAATGTTTACAACTACGAGAATCGAGAGAAGGTTCGTCGCGACGAGGAAGCTGCGGCCAGGGAAGAGCAGCTCAAGCGCGAACAATCCCGGAAGCGCGACGCCGAGCTTCGGCTTGAGAAGCTCCGCCAGACCCGCGGCATACCGATCCGAGAATCGGAGAAATCTGATGAGAAACCTTCCTCCGTATCGGCTGAAACTGAATCTGTCGATGAGCCCCCGAAACCTTGTGATTCCAACCACATCAATTTGTTTGAGGGCATCAGGATCTTTGACCCGATTAAAGCTGGCGATGGGAAAAGAGAGAAGAGGGTAGGAAAATTCGGAAATGATAATAACAGTAATAAGAAGGTGAAGAAGGAAGAGGTTAGGACTGTGGGTCCTGAGGAGGAGAAATATAGGTTGGGGTATGGAATTGTGGGCAAAGGATCGAAGTTGCCTTGGTATATGGAGAAGAGAGTGCTTGAAGAGAATACAGGTGATGAAGATGAGGAGGAGGAATACAATGATGTGAAATCCAAGGAAAAGAAAAGGAGCGTTGGGAAGAAGTCATTACAGGAGCTGAGGGAGGAGAGGTTAAAGAGAGAGAGATCAGAGAAAGAGCGGGAAAGGGCTTTGTTGATGACCATGTCAAAGAAAAATGGGGGCTTTTCCTCAAGGAGGAGATGAGGTAATTTGCAAGTATGGGGTTAACATAGTGTTGCTGTTTCTTCCACAATTTCAATGGTGGAGCACCTGATTAATGTAGTGTAATCGAATATTTGTAAATGCAATGTTGCTTTTTCTTCTCTACCCATGATATGGTAAATTGTACTTTTGACTCTGTTTTGATGTTGTGCAAGTTCTTATTATGTGTTGGTGATGTTTTTGAAGCTGGATCCATTATGAATTGTAGATCTTGAATGATCTCATTTAATATGATACCTATTTGATTGGCTAATTGGGATTTGGGGATACATAGAATGCTTATGTCTTTCATATACTGTTGTGTCCATGGCAATGGCTGACTTGTCTACTTTTTGGACATTTCTGTAATCCATCTAATTACTCGATTTCTTACAAATAACAAGAAAATAGGTTATGGAAGGCTTATTTTAAATCAAATTTGGTCTCATCCATTTTTTTAGGAGGGAGAGTGGGGTTGCTGTATGATTTAAGGTAGGCAGTATTTTAAACAAGAACTTTACCTTTTGCAGTTTTCACAAATAAATTATTATTAGCCCCATGCCTATACTTAATAGGATAGAACCCATTTTTTGTTCTTTTTAGTGGGTTCTTTGTTTCTTATCTTATCTTCAACTGAAACAATAGTAATGTAGTAAGTAGATAAACCACCATCCAACTATATGATTAATTGTTTTATGCAAATTCTCAATTACATGATTAATTACAGAAGTTGGTTGCTGGTGGCAGTAACATGCCAATCCTTCCAAACGAGTCGGGATAAAATCAGGGCATTGTTTAATGCTTGCTGATCTGTATTAACTAATCCTTGCACCAGTCATTATTTTAATCTCATGTTTATACTAAAAAATATAATTTATGCCGCTTAGTTGCATATCAGCAGTGTTTATTTATGGTGGTCCGGTTTGTGGATACTGCCCCGACAGGCGACATTGCTTTGTAAGACAAGCAAGAGAAGTAGAAGATTTAATGAAGATGGGTAGCTTGGGAAAGCAACCTCTTCTTTTTGCAGCAAATTTGTCACTTCCAACGGTAAGCTCTTAGCCAGATTTATTTATTTCGTGTCATTCATTTGCAGCAACACTTAAAAAAAACCCATTCTAGTTCTTCAATATTATTCTAGTTCCAGGTGATAACTATGGATGCAAACTTGGGGTGTTCTCACTGCAGACAGAGAGTTGCACAAATTCTTTCAAATTTGGCTGGTTAGTAATAATGTTCCATTGCTTCTTTCCCTTTATTTTTTCCAAAAAATATTTCTCTGTCGGATCTCTACGCCTGGAATTTATATTGCACAATAGATAATGAAGCTTACATTTCCCAACTTGCCATAATATCTGCAATTCAAAAGAAAATGAATCATTTGTCTTAGCTGAAATCAAATCCTATTGTTGTTTCAAAGTCTTACACGGTGTTGGCTCCACGCAGGATCAAAAGAATTCGGCGTTGATATTAGTAGGAAACAATTGATTGTTAAGGGAGGCATAAGCTTCAACTATAAAGGAAACGAAGACAGCGTTATTAACAAGAAAACCAGGGATTCCTCCCTTGCAGATATTGTATACAAGTTCTTGATTAGGTCACTCAAGTTTTTTCGACCAAACTTCTCTTGCGTCAAACAAATGTAACAGATGCTAAATATGACTAGCAGAAATTTTGACACGAAAACATGCAATCCCTTCACTTATTTTGCCAGACACATTCAGCTCAATATGGTTTACGCCCGCCGTTTGAAAAGTGCAGCAAAGAACTGGATAAAAACAGAAGCAAGAATCCTCACTGCCCAATCTTCGACCGAATCTGAAAGCAGTCTATTTGCCACCTTGACTACCAACACTGTAACCATGAATGTGAAACTCCTGCATGAAGAGGTGAATGTGAATCTCCATGGAAAGTAAGAGTTAGAAGAAAAGGAAGTGACTCAAAATGGGTACTTCAGAGAAGATGGTTATTATGTAATGTAGCATTGTAATGTATAGCTTTTGAAAGTTCATATGTCATACCAGAAGAGTGGCAACATCAGGTACCAAAAGATAAACCCGAGTAACCCAATGCCGACACCATTCATGAGCAGATTGCCGAATCGAAGCCCATCTCTTACCTGCTGATCTATAATGCATCAGTGTTTTGTGAAGATTGATTAATTGGTGAATTTTTTGCAACAATGATTGTGGATAACAATACAAATATCAGGCTAGTGAACAAACCTGAGAATCAACAGTCTGTGGATAAGAATATATCACTCTCAGTTGTATCTGTTTAATCGCATCTTCTCTTTCACTGAACTGAAAATTTGCAGACACAGTTCCTTACTATTAACCTGAAGCACATGTATGATAAAGAAACGAAAAATAAATGAAGAACTGAAACAACTTCATCTGCACATATCAGTAAAAAATTTGTTCAATTATGCAACTACCATTTTTCGAGCGCTTTCCATGGTGATACCAGGGCTCGCAACAATGCTCTGAATCAAAAACTTGTCGTGGCAGTCCATGGTGGATGGAGTCTCCTTCGGAGCGACCATTCGAACTTTTTAACCGAAAAAACACAAATTGAAAATTCAGTATTCAGTATTCCATAAGTAGGCTTCCTTGATCACTGATAAAAGTCTAGACCATATTCAAATCATAATTCATCATAATAGAACCACCTTGAGCATGGCAGCTTGATCCGGGAATAAGAACTCCTGCGTTGGGTCGAACAAAGTATTTTGTGGGACTTGTCGTCTTAAACTAAGCAGAGATAACAGGAGGATCAATTAGAGTTTTTATGTATATGCAGAAATGATGCAATTCACATAGTTCAAAGTTCTAAGCCTCATACCTTAAAAGCAACTTGATGTATGGAGATATTGGACAATTGAATTGTGCAGAATGATTCCTTGTTTACCTCATCTAATTTCAATCAACAACCAACAAACAAACCAACAGATTAAGGAATAAATAGGAACCCTAATTGAGACGACAAGAACTCACAGACAAATTTGATCTCCTGAGGCTCGATATCCAGAAGCTTCTCCCTGCTCATCCTTATCTTCTTCGGAGATGCTTGAAATCAGAAGAAACCCCGACAAGACAGACTGACATTTTCCTTAGTATTTCTGATTGTTTCAAACATAAATCTAGTTGAAAATGGAGAATGGAAGAAATGGTCAAGTAGATTTAAAAATACCCAGTTGAATGAAGTTCTAAACAAATCCATCAAATTGACTCTATGAATTGAATAATTGGAAAAAGATTGCCCCATTGTCTTCACTTTCACCTTCAACTGTTAGCTCATGCTAAATACAATGTGTGTAGATTAGATCTATCTACCTCCAAAGCTCCAAAAAATTCTAGCCAAGACATGAGGATGCCTTCAAGAAACAAACAATTATGGCCTTCTCACAAGGTACCCCAAGACTGCACCTATTAGGCCAATTACCAGCACAACAGATATTGTCACTCCTCCACTTTTGCTGCTCTTCTGCTTCATCACTTCCTGCACGGCACCCCATAGACGATCAGAAGTATTCTATGACCAATAAGAGATGAAATTATACAAAAGTTGATCAAGAAGCAAAAAATGAACTGATGCTTCTTGCTAAAAAGTGGCTTGTATTGAATATCCAAACCTGTTTTCTATTTTCCACTGTAATGGTCTTTGGAGAAAATCCTTCTTCTGTCCCCTCGGCTACCGGAGATGGTGGTCGGCGTGGAGTAACATAGACCACTTTCAGCTTGCACTCTTCGACCTTGGCGAGCTGCTTATTGAACTACAAAAAAAGGAAACGCAAACACCCATTTCACATTTCATCATGTTCTATCTACATGCCATTCTTCTCATGTCTTTTCTATTGTCGAATGACTGATGATTTAATTTCTAGATGTTTGCATTCGCCGATGATCATTAATGAAAATGAGAATACCATTTCTGGAGTAATGTCTCTGGAAGTTAAACCAGGGGTTGCGACGACACTCTGAACCAAAAACTTGTCCTTACATTGCATATCTGGAGGAGCCTCCTTCTGTGCTTGCATAGTCACTGCACCCAGAAACACACAGAAATCCAAATCCATAAGCAAACATATGTCGATTTATTTTGTAAGAACGTACAAGATAGCAGATTAGTGGCCATTTATAGAACTTAATCTCTGAATAGATCTTATTGTCTCATTTGCTAAAGACCAGATCAAGAATGCATGCTACACTGCTAAGTCCTTATCAATCTTGGATTCAACTTTCATGACATTGAATCCCTTTTTTTATATTACAAAATCATCAGTCTTAGTAAACCTTTTCGTGAAACCAGATTTTGACAATGTTGGTCTGGAATTTGGAAATGAGATTTACCAACAATGTCGCATGTTGAATGGGGCGAAACGACTCCGGTGTTTGGCCGAACGCAGTACTTCTTTGGATTCGTTGTCTTGATCTACAAAAAGGAAAACCTAAAAATGGTTATTCTGTCGAGAAACAAAATTACAAGAAATTCAGATCATAACCTTGAAAGCGACATGATTATCAGTTTTGTTTGATGCCAGCACTGAACAAGATATCTGTTTCTTCAACTCAACTGATCAATCAATCAATCAATCCAAGAAATGAAGAGTCACAAAGCGAATTCAAAATGGAAAATCAATTCAAATTCGATCAATGGTGCAAGTACTTACATGGGAATGTCATTTCCCGGGGCTCGACATTCAGAATTTCTCCCGAACTCATCTTTGTTACAAGATCAAAACTGTTTTCCCCCAAAAAAAATTAGATGAGAAAGAAAAAAGATAGATATATATATATATATATACACAATACCCTTATAATTCTTGTTGAGAAAGAAAAGAAATTGAAAAGCAATCCATTCTGTTATGGGAAGACGAAAATTTGGAGGTGATCCGAAGAATGCTCGATGTTATAGCAATGGAGGGAAATGGCAGATTTTGATATAAAATAGTCTTGAGTAATTTAAACAGGGGATGATATTACAAGACTGTCTTGTCCCATAATATTACTGCAAGAAATGAAGCTACAAAGAAAGAAAAAGAACTTATTTGTAAAATGTAATTTCTTCACTGAGCATAACACAGCAAGTTTGTTCATCTCTTCAGTTCCTCTATGTGCTGTGTTAGTCCTTGCAAGACCTGGAATTGGATCAAACAAATTAAACACCTCAGGGAAGAAGACAACAATGGCAGACACTACTCAATTTTCTCAATACAGCCTGGCTTTGATTACTGACCAGTTTGGTCTCTTCTAATGCAGTTTCCAAACTTGCAATTTTCTGCAGAACAATTAAATACCAATCAAAACATATTTGCTTCCACCACTCTTACTTTCCTAAACAATAAAAATGGAGAACTCACCTTTTTCGCAGCTTCGAGCACCGGCTCGAAGGCCTGGATCTTCTTTAACAAGGGCTTGTCGATATTGTCTCCGGCAGTGCCATCACTCGGCAGGCTTGTCGATGCAATCTGTTCGTCTAGCTCGCCGCATTCCTGCTCCTCTTCAGCATTAAGCATTACCTGAAGTGTTTCGATGATCTCAGGATCGTTCCAAGGCCCCTTGTCGCTGAATAGGCAGCCCCCGGATTCGGAGCACGTGCATTCGCCGCCCAAGAAAGTCGGGAGATTGCTGCAAGAAATCATTCATCAGTAGGGGAAAAAGGCATAAATTTTAGTAAAGTATTCGGTTACCTTGGATCGATAGCTTCAATTAAGAAGCTTCTGTAATCAGTTCCCAATACCTACAATGGATTCTGTGAAAGTTCATATTAACTGAGAAGTTGATAACACAATGATGAGGAAATGAAACATCGAGAAACAGGATTACTCGGATCTTCGCCAAGGTACGTTCGTCGAGAAACTTCTTGATTGCCTTCCAGAGTACCTTAAATCCAGAGCCAGCATTGATGATAAACAGCTGATGCAGTGTCTGCAAATCAAGATCAACATTATATAAAGCTTCGAGATCGGAAACAACAAAACAAGAACAGATGTTAATCGTGCCTCCGGATAGTAGCAACTGTCGATTCTTTGAATTTCCATGAAAAGATGGCGAGCCGGCTTCGAGAAATGGGATCTTCCCTGTGGAAGAACCTTCATTTAAGCCATTGCCAAAACAAGAGAACGTAAAATTCCAACCATTGTATAAGCTGCAAGAATCTCACCACATCTTTCACGTCCAATATGCTAAACGTCGATGCAATGTGCTTCTTAGCAGCAAGCGAACATGCCGGGAACCTCCAATTCATGGTCTTCTCTTGCTCGCATATGTGATGCTTCACGAATCTGTCGACTGTCGTCACTTGGAGAAACTTATTTAGATCAACCATTCCGAGCTGTTCGATGTAAACTGGCCTGCCGTATCGGTCGACTCCATGGAATCCATGGGGATAGCACTGCTTAACTTCCTGGTATTCATCAAACTTGAATTCCTGCACACATTATCAGCAGCTGCATATTACATTAAATCTTCATGATCATATATATGTATGTATATATATATATATATAAATGTGTTAAGTATTGACAGACCTTTGTGATGGTATCGACATGAAACTCCTCGCGCCATTTGATGTATTGCATGAACATATCCTTGGCTTTCACCAAATGAAAATCTCTCATTCTAAGGAATCTCAGAAGAGTGTGATAATCGAAGTGCTTTTTGGGGAGCTGACCCTCGAGATGAAGCAATTCACGAAATGAATCGACTATAATCTGATCTTTAGGATCATGGTGGCCTTCTAAAACCGTCCTCTTGCTCTGGCTTTTCTTCGTGCTCAATAACGGTTCCATGTATTTGAATGTGTTCGACAGTATTGCTATGAACCTCGGCTTGGACCTCCTCGGCTCCTTCGCCGGTGGTAATTGCCAGAATGTCTCGATAGGAGGATGGAACGACTTCGTCTTCTTTCTACTGGCGGCTGCCGACTGATTGCTCCCTCCGGCGTCGGCGGAAATCAGAATTTCTTTGCTCTGCTCTTTTGCCTTCTCCATTCATCTAAATAAAAGCTTCCGGTACCATGAGAATACAGTCACTGCACAATTGATGAGTAAATGCATCTAGAAAAGCAAACGTTTCTTCAAAAGCGAAACAACTGAGATTCGGCCTATTTGACGAAGACAACAGATAGAAAGTACAGAGGAGGAAAGGCAAAGTGTCTAAAAATTGGAGATGGCTTTCCGAGTTTTGCTTTGGCAGGGAGAAATCGAATATCGGAATGCTTGAAGGCCAAGATATTCCCCGGCCGCCGCCATAACCAGTACTGAGTACTGACAGCTCTGTAATTTAATTACGTGTAAGTTTAGAGGAGGAAGACGACATTGTTCTGCACATAAGCATAAGCACTTCCGAGAATGACCTTAATAAATAAATAAATATTTTAATTCCTGCATTTATTTGTGCTGTCTAATTTTTCTTCGATGTTTAACAAGTGGCGTCAATGCACAGCACCGTCCCTTGATCCATCCGTTATTTCTTCATTCTTCCAACTCCCCAATTGTTTCATCATAATCATACATTCTCCCCCCGCGGAATCGTGATCTCCACCACCGACTACTGCATTGAAGATTTTCTGGATCATTCCCCCGATTCCTAATCTTAGGTATGTTTTCTCGGACGTTTGCCGTTCAGGAATTTTGACATTTGTTGTTGGATTTCGTCTATATCGTCGTTGCTTTGCTGGTGGTAGATATTGTCGTGAATTGAATTTCTTATGGATCACATCCGTGATATAATTCTTACTTTCAATTTGCATGTATCTTCCGCGGATCGATAAATTTCCTGTTTCTCATTACATGAACATGGCAGAATTGGAAGCGGTTACAGAATGAAAGCGCGTGGTTGTTTTCGTTTGCTGTGGTAAAATTAGGTCAGAAACAAAGATGGCAGAGGGCGAATCGCAGGAGGCCGGTCAATCGGAGATTGATCCATCTGTCCGGCAAGTAGTTTGCAATGGCGTTACCATGAAAACAGATGAAGTAGAAGCAAAGCTAGACCAAGGAAATATCCAAGATGCTGAAGCTGCATTTCGAGATAAATTATCTCTCACCTCAGAGGTTGGATTCATTCACCTTCTCCAATTTTTCCCTTTGTCCTGCATTCAAATTATGTGTTATAGCCATTGCTGCTCCTTATCTTCGTCTCCAAATAGGTGAGCAATTCTGTGAATTTTATTGGTTACAGCTTCACCATTTATGTTCAGGAAGCAAGAGCTCTTCTCGGGAGATTAGAATACAAGCGAGGCAATACTGATAGTGCATTGCGAATATTCAACGACATCGATCTTCAAGCAGCCATACAACGGCTGCAACAATCGTTGGGTGAAAGGCAGGGTGGATCCAAAAGGGGTCGATCGCGCTCCTCTGAATCAGTATCATCTGGTTCACCATCACAGCATAGTACTAACCTTGTGCTCGATGCCGTGTTTTTGAAAGCCAAGTGTCTTCAGAAACGACGAAAATTTTCAGGTACTAATTTAATCTGTCAACGACTAATTTAACATGATCGAATTACATACCTAAGAATTTTAACTTCTTGGTGTTTTTCTAGATGCTATTGAGGAGTGCAAGAGTATGCTTGATGTAGTAGAAAAGGCAATGTCTGATGGCGCACCTCCGGATACTTTGGTAGAAACTAAGCTTCAAGAACCTGTCAGCCGAACTATGGCGCTACTCCCCGAATTATTGATGCAAATAGGATCCTTTTCGGATGGAATAGATGCATACCGTCAAGCGCTGCAAACGCAGTGGAACCTTGATGATGAATGTTTTGCAAGGATTCAAAAGGGATTCGCAGTTTTCTTGCTGTATAGTGGGGTTGAGGCTTCGCCACCGAGCGCCCCTTCGCAGGTTAATGATCCATACATACCTAAAAACAATGTGGAAGAGGCGATTTTACTTTTGATGATTCTTATGAGAAAGTTTTACCAAGGAAAGATTAAATGGGATCCATCGGTGTTGGAGCACCTTACTTTTGCTCTATCTCTATGCAGCCAAACTTTGGTTTTAGCAAAGCAGCTCGAAGAGTTTTTACCAGGAGTGATACATCGTATCGAGCGTTGGAAAACTATGGCACTGGCTTTTACCGGAGCCGGGCAGAATAAATCTGCCTTGGATCTTCTGAGAAAGACTTTGCATCCATATGAGCAGCCGAATGATATCATCTCATCTCTAATGGCTGCTAAAATATGCAGTGAGGATGCGAGTTTGGCAGCCGAGGGAGTGAAGCATGCACAAACGGTACTATCTAATGTTGAAGCGGGAAATGCAAGTGCACATTTTAAAAGTGTTGGCCTCCATATGCTTGGTATTTGCCTTGGAAAGCAGGCGAAAATCTCTTCTTCTGATTTTGAACGATCACAGCTTCAGTCGGGGGCGCTGAAGTCGTTGGAGAGTGCATTAGCTCTAGATCCGCAGAACCTAGACCTAATATTCATGCTGGGGATCCAATATGCCGAGCATAGAAATCTTGATGCAGCTTTGCGATACGCCAAGTTGTATTTAGATGCAACCGGAGGATCTATGATAAAAGGGTGGAGACTGCTGGCTTTAGTTTTATCCGGCCAGCGACGCTTTTCGGAGGCGGATGTGGTCATCGATGCAGCTTTGGATGAAACTTCGAAATGGGATCAAGGTCCCCTCCTTAGAACCAAAGCCAAGCTTAAAATTGCTCAATCTCTACACAAGGATGCAATCGAGACTTATCGTCACCTTCTTGCATTAGTACAAGCTCAGAAAAAATCTTCGGGACCTAATGGAAACGAGCCTCAGGTAGCGAACTTCGATCCTAGTTGAATTAAATATGATTCTTATGTGTTATTTATTAATCCCGTGTTCCATCGACTGTGTAGCCGGATGATGAGAGTGTAAATGAATTTGAAGTTTGGCTCGGATTAGCAACACTATACTCTAGCCTTTCTCATTGGAAGGATGCTGAGGTATGCCTCGGAAAAGCTCGAGCCCTGAAAGAGTACTCGCCAGAAACTCTCCACATCGAAGGTAAAGAATCGCAAAATTCAAAACTTGATTGCGGATTCACCTCAAAGTAGTCGTTAAAATAAAGTTCCTTGTCGTACATGTTGTTGTTACAGGTGTTATACAAGAAAAGCAAGGGAACATCAACAAAGCGTTGGCTGCTTACATCAACTCCCTCTTGATCGAACCAAAATACGTGCCATGCAAAATTCTGATCAGCACCGCATTGGCGAAGATGGGGGAGAAAATGCTACCTGCCGCAAGAACTCTACTTTCGGATGCACTAAGGATCGAACCGACAAATTATCTGGCCTGGTACAATTTAGCACTCGTCCACAAGGCCGCAGGACGGCTAGTCGATGCAATGGACTGTTTCCAGGCAGCTTCAATGCTCGAAGAATCCGAACCTGTCGAAAGCTTCGGTTCCATTCGATGAACATCGCCGCTCGTGCTGATTCGGGATCGCGTTCTTTAACTCTTTGCTAACTTGTAGGTACGCATTCATCGCTTAACATAACGTTTAGAGTCTCGAATTGTTTCTTGGAAGGTTCTATTGTATGGCAGTCGTTGCTAGAAATCTTCCTTTCCAAAATTGTTTGTTGTATTTGTTTTATTAATTAGTTTGTGATATAAGTATTTTGTAGCATTGTAACGTCGATTACTAATAAGTTAAATATTGGGCTAAATATTTTGTTTGTCTAGTTAGTACACGTGAGAATTGTTTTTATTATTACTGGAGTTTGATAGCATGCAGGTTGGTGTGGAAATCGAAGCATGACACGTGGAGGAAGGTGGTTGGTAAGGTGAGGAGGAAGCATCTGGAAGCACACGTGTGGGGGAGTTGGCAGACAGCTGGCGATGATCGGAATCCAGAAATTCGTAAGCACTCACTCACTCTTTCTCTCTCTACTGGCGGCGCCTTTTGTCCTTTTCTGCCACAATACTATAGTGGAATTTACTTGTTTTATTTTGACAAAAAAAATATAGGTATATAAATAAATAAAATGGAAATATTTTAAACTGAAATTAATAATAAAAATTTTGTAAAGATAGGTGGGTATTTACTTTCATTCTTAAATTTATTCATAGACAAGGAAGTAGTACTTATATAACAGTATTCACTCCATTTCCCAAACTTGTATTGTTGTTACACATGACTTGCTAAAAAATTTGTAGTTTGGTTACGTGAATGATAGTATTAAATAATTTATTAAGTGAGTGCATAATGGAGTAGGTGGGACGAAAAATCCTATAGGAAATATTTTGAAAAAATTCAATGTCATCAAGTCCTATGTATACAGTTGTTCAATTAATTGATCCAAGAAAACTTTTTATTAATTCCACCCTTGATGAATCGAATTGGCATTGACGTTGACATTGACCTGACCTCAATTGTTTCGTGTGATTCATGAACCCAATTCAAACCTCCTATGCATTGTCTTGCCCATTGCTCCCTTTATAATCCTTGCTGGACTATTATTTAGCTGTAATTCCCATTTTTTCATAATATATATATAAATATATTTCATTTTTAATTTGATGATATGAGAAAAAAGAGTGGGAAAACGTTTCATTTTTAAATAGTATCGTTTTTAAAGAAAAAAATAACTTGTGGTCCCTCTTTATTTCTCACCCTCTAAAATAGTCCACTTTCTTCTGTTTGTTTGATTCTCGCACTGAATAAATATATACCATGTATAATTTGCAATTTCTTGATTCATATCGCTCTCTTTTTTTTTGGGCAATTTTTGATTACTGCTTTAAAAAGTACACAAATTTACATTTTTTTTGTATTATTCCCATTTACATCCTTGGTAGCAAATCATGCAAAAAAAAAAAACGAACACTCCACAAAATTAATTAACAAAAATTAAAACCCATAACCCGAACCCGAGAGTACCCGACCCGGTTGACTCAAGTACAGAGTCAACCAGGACTCAAAGTTGACTTGGATCGTGGAAGCGCACGTTAGTGCTCAGCTCAATCTATCCCACAAAGATGCGCACTTCCTCCGGGCAAACCCGACCCGCTTCGCTTCCAGGTCGTAAACCACCTCAAATCCTTGCTGCTGGTAGTTCCCCAGCAGCCCCGCCGGACCTCCGCCGCTCTCCGCCTCATCGCCGCCGTCCATCACCACCATACACCCCACCTTAAGCTTCCGATCACTGTCCAGAAACTCGTGAAAGTAATTCCTCCGCGGCATCTCCACGCTCGCATTCCCCCCAAAATGAAACACCAATTTCGGAACTTTTGCGGCGAGTTTCTCGTTCTCCTCCTTCCCGTAGTAACACGGCCCTAGACCGGTCCGGTCCTCCACCGCCCTCGCCCGCCGGTAAACGGCGCCGACGCGGCGGTCGAATTCCCCCACCACCGCCTTATAAAACCTCCTCGGCAGCATTGTGAATGTAGTCCCCGAATCCACCACCATCCCGCCGTTCCCCCGGCGGTCGACCCTCTGCAAGCTCGCCGGCGCCGGAATCCGCCGCTTTCCGATCGAAACCCCCTCCAATCCGACGCAATAGAAGTATTTGTGCTTCGGATTGTCCAACATCGGCGTGTACGTGTAGTACACAAATTCCTGAGTCTCCGTTACGTCGTTCTTCATTTCCTTCTCGTACCGCCCAAGAATCAGCGGGCTCGGCCTCCTCGCCTGTAATTTGTCGAAGGAATGAGAAATCAAGCAGTAGGAGAAGTAATTTCCGATGTCCGGCGAGGCGGCGGCGATCTGCGCCGGCAGGGAGAGCGCTCCGCGGCCGAACCCGGCGACCCCAACCGGCTCCGCTAGCGCACTATTAGCACACCCGAAGGTGAATTTCGGGAGCTCAAGCGGCGGCGCCGCCTTGGGAATCGACAGCGTGTCCTGATAAAGCTTTCCGACGAAGCTGCCGTCGCCGTAGGCGTAGTAAAACGGCGGGCAGTGGAAGGATTTACAGTCGCTGATCTCGATGGACTCGAGAGGGCATTTGGCGATGGCGCAGAGGTCGGAGGAAGGGAGGGAGGAGTGGACGGCGGAGCAGGCGGCGGACTTGCAGTGCACCGCCGCGGCGGAGGTGAGGTTGAGCGGCGCGGAGTGAGGGACGGCGGAGGGGGAGTATTTCCCCTCGCAGAGAATGCACTCGAAGGGGCGGCAGGGCAGCCAAACGACGTCGCTTCCGGTGTCCATGTATAGAGAAACCATCTGCGAGCCGAAGGAGAAGGAGATGGTGTAATCGGCGCCGGGGGAAAGCGGCAGCGACACCTGGCGGCGGAAGCGGGCTCGCGAACGCGCCGCCGTGGATTTGAGGAGGCCGTGGGCGGTGGCGTTGTGGAAGGAGAGGGAGTGGGATAATGGGAGGAGCAGAGATGAATGAGCGAGGGAGAAGAAGAGAGACGATAGGCAAAGCAAGGAGAAGAGCGTGGAAGCCATTGGAGAGCAAAAATGAGAGCAAAGGAAGGAATAGGCAGAGGCAGAGAACCCAATATTACTGTTACAAATACTAATAAAGTGAGAGGAGTGGGGTAAGCAACTTTGAAATTACACGTCATCCTACTTGGAATTTCGAACTCGACTTAGAAAATAAATAATGTTATTATTACATGCAAATTATATTAAATTTAAATTTGAATTTAATTGAAAACAATAATTGGTGGTGAGTATAGTGTAGTCAAATTGGGAACCATTTTGCTGACCAATTGACTGACACGTGTGAAATTGAGGACAGCCTGGCAGCTTCTCCTCCACCAACATTTTTTGTCCTTTTTTTTGTTTTTTTTTTTTTTTTCATTTTTCAAAAATCTTACTCCTATTCTATTGAGTTTATTTCATGTGTACTATTATTATTACTACAAATAAAAAAATATTTTTATTTCAATCAGTTTATTATAACTTGCCGTTGTAAATTGTATTTCTTTGGCAAAAAAAAAACTTCCAATTTTTCTTATTTGAATTTTGTATTTTCTTCTCTTCTTACAGAATATTTGATTAAATATTATTTTAATATTAAATTTAAATCAAATCTTCTGAAATTTTTACCATAAAAATGGACTACTAATAATTTGGACTATTATACTTAAATAAAAATGTGTTGAATTGTTACTTTAAAAAATAAATAAAGTAATAAATTGGTATGGATGTATATACCTGTCCCATATATTGACAAATAAAGACACAGCTGGCGTGGCTTTGGACAATAGCGATAAAATTTGGAGTTAGGGACCTAATCTAGTCTACTCAGTCTAGTCATATTTATCTCGTAACCTCAAGTCCTCAACTATCATTTTTAAATTCTACATTATTATATTTTTTATAAATGATAATATATATTATATTAATGTATATATATTTGAATTTTTTTAGTACTAATATTTATAAAAAAAGTGTTTCGTTAAAAATTGCTGAATGAACATACAGATTGTTTATAATATCTTTCATTCCAAACTCTTAACTTTTCAAAAGTAAATTAATTTGGTGTAATATTTGATATATGATTTAACTATAAAAAAAAAAACTATATATTTTTTTTGCGCTAAAATGAAAATAATATATACTTTAATAATATTTAGGAAATTATTTAATCCACCGCCGAGTAAATTATAGAAAAATGAATTTTTTAAAAAAATAACACAATCTTTAAATTGTCGATTCCGATTTCCACCGGTTTCAATTTATTGAAAATGACAAAATACAAAAAATAAATAAATAAAGGTTATGGAATGCATTTCACGAAGGGTGGCGAAAGCCATACCCCATACCATCATTACCGTATTTTGGCATTATTATTTTGACCATTTTATTATTAATATCTTTTTATTTTGGCAATCATTCGAGAATATGACACTTAAAAATTGTTGAAGTTGGCTCTGGGGGGGTCACAGCCAATAAATAAAAAATATAAATAGTACTGAATTTATTTAAATTTATTAGGTAGATAAAGTTTAGTCCTCCCTCCGACCAGATATCATGTCCACGTTGCCGTTTTTATCCGTCCCACATACCATGTCACTTTCCTTTTTCGGGAAAATGATTACACACTTTAATCTCATTTTAAATTTTTTAATTTTAATTAAAGTAATTAGTTATCTTAATCTTAATTTAAAATTATTTATATTATAGGATAATTATTTTCACTAATATATTCTTAATTATCTACTAATTACACCCTTCATAAAATATCGTGTCTACAGTGTAACAGACGGAGGGAAGGGAGTAATAAATAAATAAATCCCAATCCACCCATAAACAAACAAAACATATCTAATCCATTCCATCTAATCATAATTTATTGTTAAAAGGTCATATCAAAAGGCCACCCTAATTAATTATATGTCCCTCTAAATAAAAATAAGTAACAAATAATGTCTATGAACATATGTTATATTTAAAAAATGTGTTATATTATACCAATATTTATCTTGTGATATATATATATTTATATTTGATGAGTTGTCTATCAGACTATCACTATAACATATAATAGTATGTTGTTATAAAAGTTTACTAGCTAAAATGTTAGTATAAAATAAATATTCCATATGACATAAATAAAATATTACTTTTGATATTTTAAATAAAATATATATTTTTCTGAATATATTATTTATTATAGAATTCTTCTGTGAACAACGTTAAAATAAGTTTGAAAATATTAGTAAATAGAATGCATTCCTATAGTTTTTTTTTTTTTTTTTTTCCTTCGAACTTTTTAAAAGTAGTGAAAATTTAAAATAATAATAGCAATAATGTTTTATTATATTCTTTATATTGTGAAAATATACATTATGTATGTATTGTAAAAAAAAAATGGAAAGAAGATCAATACAATTAAACATAAAAGAGTCCCTAATCACTGTACTAAATTAATTGAATTATTTAAATATGTAAGATGTAAATATATGGGCCTCAAAACACACAAATTTTGTAACATTTAAAAATAAAAACAGCTCTTGGGCCCATTAAATAAAAGCCCATTTATAGCAGAATCCGGCCCAAATTTACAGAAAAACTGGACAAAACTATTTAATTCTGTCGTCTTAATAATTAATCCCATACAAGAAAAACACTAGTATAATAAATTAATATTTCAATGCAAATATTCTTGACAAACATATATCCGAAATTATAAAAATACCCATTGACGTAACAATCAAGTGTTACACCAGGTCACGCCTGCCCTTTTATTGCCAAATCCATGCATCAGGGCTACAAATGTAAATTCACAAGGGTGAAAATTGACTTCATCCATGCATTTAACTCAATTTTCATTTTCATCATAATAATTATTTTAATCATTCTTCTTAATTTACGAAAATATATAATGAAACGCCATTCAACATTGATTAAAGTAACAAAGGTGCTCGATCCAACGACGTCGTTTTCAGCTGCCACATTAATTAAAGTTGGCCAAGTATTTTGCTCTTCCTTCAAACCCCAAACACAAACAGCCAACCATTTCTTTTCTTGTTAATTAAAATAGTAATAATATCATTAATTTTTTAACAACGCCACGCCATTACTTTAACCTGAATAATTAAATAAGAAACAATTTTATTATTATTATTATTATTATTTTTAATATATTGCCAATACCCCCAAACCAATTAGTCCCATCCCCAGTTGCGATTTAATTTCCTTCAATATCTCAATATATATATTTTATAGAGGGAGGGAATTACAAGAATGGACCAACAAATCTTGATTTAAAACAAAGGGAATATTTAGTTTCATCAATTATAAGGTATATATATATATATATATATCCTCTTTGTTATTTTCTTTAATATAGTTTTTATTTGATTAAGTTTTGTAAATATAAAGGGTTTTATTTGACTACGTTGTGTGGCCTTTTTTACATATTATTTCAAATTGAAGTCAGCTGTTTAAATTGGAATTTCTATTAATCGTTGACTGTGTTGACCAATTCAAAATTATGAATATATATTACTGCTTCCCACTTAATATTATATGCAGTAGTAGTAGTAGTAGTATTTAAGAAATTAGGAAGAAGCCTAAAAGCGCTTTTTTCTTACAAGTTGGAAAAAGTCGCTCCTTTTCCAGGTGCGGTGAATAACGCGTCTTAGTTATTGAACGCGACTTTGGATTTGGTCCATTTATTTTTATTTTTATTTTTATTTTTTAATAGCACTTAATATTAATATTTTTGAAAATGTAATTAATTTAGTTGTATCTCGGATTGTACTAAACTGGATTAATATTTTGAACGGATTACCTAATTAATTATTTAATACCGTGTTTATATTTTATATTTAAAATCATAGTATTAAATTTTACTTAATCGCATCGCAAGTAATTTAGAAGAGCAGAGAACTAATTAAAGTACGATAATTAAATGAATTAATTGTAACATTTATAATTTCCTTGTCTATTATTTAGATATTTATAAACAACGGGGGACCACGTAACTATATGCACAAAGCTCTGTTTGGAAATTGGTCAAATTTGTTGAAAAATTCACTGTTATTGGCGTATAATATCTCATCCGTCTGTATAAAATTTTCTAATTTAGAAATTATCGGAAAAGCATTTAAATGGTTACCAAACATGGCCTTACGGTCAACCTTCCGTTGGTGACTACTCTGCTTAAAGTGGATCGTACAGCTCAGTTGTACCCCAGAAAAATAATTAAAATTAAAATAAATTAAATTTTCATATATAGATACACGTTATTTATACGTATAGCTACTGTATGTCTGTATAAATATATAGTTGTGTGATGGCCTGCTCCATTGTCCAATTTTCGACTGCAGGAGACTGAGTTCACCTTTCGTCCCAACGCGCTCTAGACATACAAATACATACATAAATTGTGTGTATATAACCGCTGAATTTTGTTTCGGTTATCAGCAGAGAATCAATTGTGGAGTTTTTGAGTTTATTGGCGTGTTTTGTTGTAGGAGGGGGTTACGGGTGTGGTGTGTTGGTGTGTCTGAGGCGCTGAAATAAGGCAGGAGGGAAGAATCAGTTAATATTCAGTGAATGCGAGGATCTGGAGTTGCAATTTGTTTGTTATTTTGAGTTGGATAATCGTGAAGGAGCGGAGGGAGGCGGATTTTGTGGTGTATTTGGAGGAGTGGAGAAAAATTGGGGGAAATGGAGATGGGGAGAGGGAGAGGGGTTAGTTTGGGGTTGATTGGGGCTGTGTTGTTGTTGGCTTTGAGTGCGTGTGAGGGGAAGGAGGGATTGACGGTGAGGAGGAGAAACGCATATGCAACTATGATGTATATGGGAACTCCGAGGGACTACGAGTTCTACGTCGCCACGCGCGTCATGTTCAGATCCCTCGCGAGGCTCCGTGTCGATGCTGATCTTGTTGTCATTGCCTCCATGGATGTGCCTCTTCGTTGGATTCAAGCACTGTAAGTAGATGCATGTATGTGTGAGTTGCTTGTTTTGGTGATTATAGTTTTTGAAGGAACATTGAAATGATGTTATTGAGGTTGAGCGATGTTCAGTAAACGCCATAGATGAAATTACTTAGACACCTTAGTTACCAATAGATGTCATAATCAAGGTGTGCCTGTGTGAACGTGAATATATGCAGTATTAACTTTACCGAATAAACACTGTAACTTTAATCGCGTGAGTGGTTTAGGCATCTAGTTCAAAGTTTCTTGGTTTCATCTTAAAATCAATTTTGTTTTTCACTGTTGATATTAATGATGGGCGGAAAGGCCAAATTGCCATTTGGAATGATGATATGTTCCAAAAGGAGTGAGGTTTTGGGGTCTTTTTCATATGTGAAAAATGGTATAGAGGTGAAGATGGAAATTCGATTAATTTGGTCCACAGGTGGACTTGTGGAGAAGAATTTAGTTATAAAAACATAGCATAGTACAGAGCTCTTCCCAATTGACATAAACTATATATTCTTCAGCCGTCGCTTTCTGGTTTCCACCGGCCATTGCTGTGGGTTATTAATAATTCTCTGCCATACTAATATTTTTTTAATTGGTGCTTTGTAATATATACTCATAAATATATATATATATATATATATATAGTGATGTTTAAGTGAGGATCTGCGGAGTTGAAACACATGTACCGATGACTAGTGTATGGAAGGTTTATTATTTAAGTATTTTACTAAGTCCTGTTCATAGATTATATATTATGGAATTAGATTCATTCAAATTTCACTATGACTTTTGTTAGGATGTAAAATAGCTTAAATTATCAAATCTCCTTACCAACCTGACCTTGAGATGATAGGTGGTAAAGTAGTGGGAAGCTTTGGTTGGATCCACACTCTGTTCTCGGATTTTTTAGATATTTGGAAACTTGTAGGAAAGTCGCCAACTCTCTCCCCCAATGGCTTGCACCAGTCAAAAAAGTGTCTGGTCTTATCCTATTTTTAGTGCATTCTTGGTCATTTCACAATACTTAAGAAGTGGGGGGAATCTTCAAAATTTGATTTAATGTATTATACTACTATATATAATAGGAAATTTGAAAACAGATCTCTTCCAAGGAAAAGAAAAACCATCGGCCCCAAGAACCCATTACTTCAAATGTTACTAGGAATTGTCCTTTTGCTGCAAGGAATATTCTTATTGGCTAACAAGCATAATATATATATGTTTATGAATGAAATATCTTTTTGCAATATTCGTCAACAGTGGCCAAGAAACAAGTGGTATTTCTACGTATCATTTTCACTGCCCGCTCCCTTGGTCTCCAGTATAATTATGGGGTATTAGTCTTAAATTTTGATCAAGAACTAAGGTTTGATATATGTGTAAAAAATGGTCACTAGAAAAGGGACCTGAATTGATGACATAGTGTGCTATTTACTAATTTATGTTGAGTGGAGATGGCGGCACTCCCAGTTCACAGGTCATTATTAAAAAACTTATCCAAGATGCTCTGTTTGTCCTAATCTATAATATGGTTTGTAAGTATCTGCTTGCAGTGTGATGCTGTCACTTGCCAGCTTATGCTTATGAAATATCAGTGTTCATCTAGAATATACAAGTGCTAACTGCTTACTTAAGGAGATGTCATCACATTGTTTGTCTGTGGCTGTTCATATATTTTATGTTATCCCTTTGCTAAACTTCTACAATTACAATGTGCAGGGTCGTTATCTTATGACTTATTTAATTAAGTGACAGGAATTGATAAACTTGAAAACTGTCTTTGCATAAGAAGCTTTACTTTCTACTGGTTCTTCTTTAAGCTAGGTCATACTCAATAAAGAAATTTACACATGGCAGCTGACAGTAAAATTTTGTCAACTTAGAGTTGCATATATTGTCGTTGAAAAGTACATCTTTAATCTAATTACAGCCTTCTAAGACTAGAAAGTATTCATCTGTTGCAATTTTACATTTTCTCCAGGGAGGAAGAAGATGGGGCGAAAATCATGAGAGTCGAAAATTTGAAAAATCCATATGTGACTGACCCCAATTCTCCTTGGAGGTTTAAGCTGACACTAAACAAACTATATTCATGGAAGCTTGTGGAATACGATCGAGTGGTCATGCTTGATGCTGACAACCTATTCCTTGAGAATACGGATGAGCTCTTCCAATGCGGGCAGTTTTGTGCAGTGTTCATCAACCCCTGCATCTTTCACACTGGTCTCTTTGTATTGCAGGTACCAACTTAATCTCACCTCTACATTTTCTACGAAAAGATTCTTAAATACTTTCCCTCTTGGTTGCAGTACTAACCTTTGTTTCTTACACAATTTGCAGCCATCAATGGAAGTTTTCAATGATATGATGCACGACTTGGAGATAGGAAGAAGTAACCCTGATGGAGCAGACCAAGGATTTATTGGAAACTATTACCCAGATTTATTGGATAAGCCGATGTTTCACCCTCCTTCGAATGGTACAAAACTTGACGGACAATACAGGCTTCCTCTAGGTTATCAAATGGATGCTTCTTATTATTGTAAGCTTTCGAACACATCTTAGTCAAAGCTGCATTGTGTGATCATACACATTTCCCAGCACCTTACGGATACAAATTTCTTGATGTAGATCTCAAGCTTCGGTGGAATGTACCCTGTGGCCCCAACAGTGTCATCACTTTTCCGAGTGCCCCATGGATGAAACCATGGTACTGGTGGTCGTGGCCCGTCCTCCCTTTGGGCATCGAATGGCATAAGCATCGGCTGCAAACTCTAGGGTACGAGATGTTCTTTTGCCTTTCGAACTATTGAAGTTGGAATTCATTACTTACAGTTGTTAGCATCCTTTTGGTTAACATTTTTATAAATTGATTTCGATATCTTGCGCCAATTTCCATCAGGTATGCAGCAGAAATGCCTATTGCATGGATCCAAGCGATTTTCTACGTGGCTATCATTGCCGTCTCCCGTCTAGCACGTCCCAACCTAACCAAGCTGTGCTACCGCAGAGAAGGAAAGAGCACGTTCCTCGTACAAACTGGATTCAAATTGATCGCGATATGGTCCATCCTTGCTGCCTACATAGTCCCCTTCTTCCTCGTCCCTCGCACCATCCATCCTGTCGTGGGGTGGGGTCTATACCTGTTGGGATCGTTCTCACTCTCGAGCATTGCTATAAATGCATTCCTATTGCCGATGCTGCCGGTCCTGACCCTGTGGTTCGGAATCCTGGGGACCCTTCTGGTAATGGGCTATCCGTGGTATCACGACGGCATCATCAGGGCGTTGTCGGTGTTTGCGTACGCCTTCTGCTGCTCACCGCTGCTGTTTATATCGTTTGGCAAGATAATGTCGGCGCTGCAGGTGTCGGTGGACCGGGAAGTGTTCTTGCCGAGATTAGGGGAGAGTGCAACGCTGCCGGAATTCAATAAGCTGTATTGAGGATGATGATGGTGAAGTGTGTGTGTGTGTGTGTGTGTCCTCCAGAATTTGAATTTGAATTTGTATTTGTATTTGTATTTATGGAGGGAGGGGGCATACCATTGATTCTTGGTTTTTCTCTGTAAAAATTCTTTCCTAGTTCAACAAGGAAGCAACAAATTCATGGCTGTTGCTGTTGCTTCTATTCCCTTTTAGCATCATTTTTTTTTTTTTTTTGTCATTCAATGAGTGTACTCTGGGCAAATTTCAGCTAAATTTAATACGTGCAAAGTAAGTTCGATAAGACAAGTTATATTAGACGAATCATGTGTGACAGATGGACTTGAAGATGTCGAATTCAAACGCACGATCTCACGATGTCTCAAACGAAAATAATTAATTATACTTCATCTCTATTTCACATTTTATCCCATCATATCACTCAAATAAAAAAAAATATATATTTCTCTCTCTATCACATTAGGTATTGCATCTCATTTGGGACGGAAGAAGGACTATATATACTACAAAGTATAAGGGCAAGGGCTTGGACATAATAATAATAATAATAATAATAATAATAGATGGTGGTACGGTACATTAGGCTTTCGGCACACCCTATTGACTTGTACTTACTTCTATTCAATACATATATATATATATATATATATAATAAAAACAAATTTCCCAATAATAAAAGACCAGCAACGGATTGAATTAAATTCTGACAGATGATGGGCATGGCCATCAGACATACTCAGTCTCGTGACTTCTGAAGAGTTGCCATTTTCTGTTGTGTCTGCTTCCTCCAAGTCTCTCACATCCCCACACTTGAACGTTCAGAATATTTTTATTATTTTTTATTTTTTATTTTGTCATTAATAATAACGTGTATGTATATATGTATGTATGTTTCCCCATTGGCCATTGGCCATTGCATTTATAGTTTATACACACAGCGTGCTGGTGGCCGGTTACACATCCTGCTACAAACATAAAAAAATAAAAAAAAACCATACCTCGACCATAACCTTGAAGATATAAATTAATTAAGTAATTGTATTAATTAGGGGTAGCAATGGATGATCATATCATGTCAGGAGAATCTGAGTTATGTATGTGAGTAATACAATACTATTATTGTAATTTTGTAGAAATAAATAACAGTAGTATTATTCTCAATCTGATGAGACTGAGACTGAATATCATGAAAATGCAGACAACATTAACTATTCCGAACAGTGCGAATTGAATTTATTTTAATTTATACGTGCAATTTCATCTCATGTCATGTGACCCAACAGATCGATACCGATTGATCGAGCTATCAAAAATATGACCGTTGCAGACTCCAATTAATCACAAACAAATATATATATATATATTCTTTGTCTCTCCAATTCACTCCGTCGTCGTCGTCGTCACTTAGAAGATCCCACCAACTAATCTGCAAATTCATACAGACATACATACTTGCTTCATTTCAATTCCTCTTTCTTAATTATTATTATTATTATTATTATTATTATTGTTACGTTGTTGTTTTCGGTTATTTTATTGAGAACGTTTTTAATTAGCTAATTAATTAATTCGATGGCTGGTTTTCTCAGTTACAGTTACAGTTACAGCAATGGAAGATCATCATCATCATCATCATCATCATCATCATCAGCCATAATTAGCCTAATTGTTGTGCTGCTATTGTTGTTGTCATTTGCAGGTGGAGGTGCTGCTATTGCTGGTAATGATAATTCCAGCAACAGTAGCAAGAAGCATGAGCATCGCCGGAAATGGGTGGGGCCGTCGGGGCACCGCCTCATCAGGGTGGCTGCAAACGGCTCCGGTGACTTCGCGTCGGTTCAGGCGGCCGTGGATTCCGTGCCGGAAAATAATACCAAGAATGTTCTCATTCACATCACTGCCGGCTTTTACATGTACGTATAATTATTAATTATTAAATGGAAAATTAATTAATTAACTAATTAATTATTACTTTTGGGGGCAGAGAGAAGGTGGTGGTTCCGGCGACGAAGCCGTACGTGACATTTCAAGGGGAGGGGAGGGAGACGACGGTGATAGAGTGGCACGACAGGGCCGCCGACAAGGGAGAAGACGGCCAGCAGCTCCGGACATACCACACCGCCTCCGTCACCGTCTTCGCGCCATATTTCTCTGCCAGGAACATCTCCTTCAAGAACACAGCGCCGGCGCCGATGCCGGGGATGCAGGGCTGGCAGGCGGTGGCGTTCCGGATATCCGGTGACAAGGCCTTCTTCTCCGGCTGCGGCTTCTACGGGGCGCAGGACACCCTCTGCGACGACGCCGGCCGCCATTACTTCAAGGACTGCTACATCGAGGGCTCCATCGATTTCATTTTTGGCAATGGCAGGTCCATGTACAAAGTACGTACCCCCACTTACAATTACCATTATTATTATTATTAATTCAACTTAATCTTCTTCTTCAACCTTTTTTTTTTTTTTTTTTTTCTAGTAAAAAATAATAAATAAATAAATAATCTTATATGGTTACAAATTTCAAAATTTAAAATGAAGACAAGGAGATACATGACATGTGTAGATTGAATTTGACAGACAGACAATCCTATCGAAGCCAAGACAAAATCACATTTTTTTGGTCCCCAATTCCAATATGGTTGAATAAAAGCTGTCTCTCTCTTTTTCCTATTACCTTCTTCCCTACAAGAGTAGGTGTATAGTAAAGTCGTCAAAAAGGTTATTTATTTATGCCCTTTACAATGTACAGGATTGCGAGCTACACTCAATAGCCACGAGATTCGGGTCGATAGCGGCCCAAGATAGAAACTCGCCAGATGAAAAGACCGGCTTCGCATTTCTGGGCTGCAGAGTTACAGGAACAGGCCCACTTTATGTGGGCCGAGCTATGGGCCAGTATTCCAGGATTGTCTTCTCCTACACCTACTTCGACGACGTCGTTGCCCATGGAGGATGGGACGATTGGGACCACGTCAGCAACAAGAACAAGTCTGTTCTGTTCTGCACTCCCAGTTTATACTTTTATTATTTTAAACAACACTAACCTAAATATAAATGCATTCTTCATTGCTTCCTGCAGGACAGTATTTTTTGGAGTGTATAAATGCTATGGGCCTGGAGCAGCAAAAGTCCGTGGGGTATCATGGGCCCGGGAGCTCGACTACGATACGGCCCATCCGTTTCTCGCCAAGAGTTTTGTCAACGGAAGGCATTGGATTGCTCCTGCAGATGCTTAACCATTTTATTCTATATACTTACTACACACATACATACGTCCATTCATTTATTTATTCAATTTCAGATCATTGTATTTGTATGTAGCACTTATTTATTATTTGAATACAATCAATAATAATAAAAAGCTTTGAATCTGTTATATATCTTATTAGATGTTTCAAATGAAATCAGGCACATCCCGTCCCATCCCATCCCTCCACTCCAAATCAAACAGTATATATGTTAAGGAGACGAGTACAAAAGTAAGTTCTCTAACTCTTCTTAAGAAAGGAAAATGCATAATGCAGCAGCAGCATACCTTTATTATTTGTGCCTGTTCTTCACATGATACAGCAATTCTGTTGCGACTTCAACATCTCTGGAGACCTGAAGGAGAGCATTCGCATTCTCAATAAATATGACTTTTTTGCACATCTTAGAGGTCTCAAGAAATCTTTCTTATATGTGACAACAAGCTCCAATAGAATTAATTTACATAATGTGGTTTAAACAGGAATAAAGGAAAGGTGGAGGTAGTTTAGTAATTAATACTCACAACTGTCCAAGACTGGATAGATCGAGATCTGGAGAAAGCTCTTGCACGATATCATTAGGTGGTTGGCCACACTCTTGCATCTTCTGCATGAGCTCCACAATTTTATTGAAGTTATCTGGCTCAGTTTCGTAGAGTCGGTTTAGGTCTTGAATAAGCTCGTACTGGTGTGAATAGCGTGCATATTCTTCCTCTGTTAGCTTTGCCTTATTCTCGTTCAACCATGTTGGGTAGCGCTCACCGATCTCTTTCATAGGGTCGTGCAAGACTTCCTTGGATAGGAGATCCCGCATCATGGTTTCCACAATTGACTCCATGTCCTGTAAATCAGAGCCTGAGTCATTTCTCGTTTTAAGATATAGAAGCTCTTGGCTTCTCACTGCACCTTGCAGTGGAAAGGAAGAGCATATAATGCAATGAGCATGAACATAACCACAAGCTAGAATAAACACACAAGCAAATCAGTTGTTTAGAAAGCTAAAGGAAGCAAGAATTTGGACTATCACCTTAGACTTAACTGAACAGAATCATACTATACCTATAAGAGTTATGTTAGCCATTTCCTAGAAATCTTACTGATTACTCTTCCCAACCCAACCAGAAATTTAAAAGTGTGATTTCACATTCAAGATATTTCATTTATATTATCTACCTACTCAACAATAGTCCACTGACTTAATTGGCTCAGAAAATTCATTTGAAGTTCATGATGGAAAATATTAACCTAAGTGTTTTAAAATATGTACCCTCCTAGATACATGACTAATGGCACAACCAATATGAACAAGGAACCCAAAAGATCTTAGACGGTCAAACCACTAAATATTAATACAAAGATGTCAATCAATGACAAAATGTTCCCTTAAGCAATGAATGCCATTTTCCTTTATCACATGTGATATATTTTTCCAAAATCTTCTAGGATACATGCCTTCATTAGTTTCATCAGAACAAATAATGAGAGAGAAGTTCCTTAGGTTTTCTAGTATTTTTAATTGCTTCTTCAGATAATTGTTGAACCTCCCTCCCTTCTGCAGTATAAAGCTAAATTGCTAACTAGTAGTTATAAGGAAGGTAAATTAAAGTTGAAGATCTAACAGGCTAACAAATTACAATCCTGTAAGCCAGAGCAACGCATTTAGCAAGGGAGAAGAAAGGGTCCAAAGGGACATAACATATCCAAGCTATGTTACACAAATTACACATGAATTCACAAATTTTTGCACACATTGTCAGCTTGGAAAAATAGCATTTTCTTCACACAGTATTACCCCAAACCAAGCTAGAAGATCACCACATGACAAGAGGAATGCGTTGGGCTTAGTTCTTATTAAAATCAGGTATAAGAATTCATTAGTAAGTAATGCCTGCACACATTACGAGTTACACCCTTAAAGAGGTTTCATAATATATGTAAGAAACTTCTACAGAGAAATAATCATTCAAAACCCCTAAGAAACTGCAAAAATAGCAGAAATGATTTAAATACCAATATTATACTCAAATTTACCATTTACCTTGATATTGCAAATGGAAAAGGAAAAACTGAATAATAGTACTTAGTGCCTTCAGTCAAACACAAACCTGAGAGCCAGCAAGTTCTTCAAACTGCTTAACCCAATCCTCTATCATAGCATCTCCAGCTAAGTTCTCTCCATCCATTGACTGTCTCTGCCCTGCCACAGATTCTAAACCTTTGACAGCCTCCCTGGTTTGCTCCCTCAGCTTATCAAGCGCTTCAGATATATGCGCATCTTGCTTGGGTACCTTTTGTTTACCCTTCTTCTTGACCTTCAGATCAGGCAAGCCCATCCCCAACCCTTGAACACTTCCGCTAGTCAATCCAGAATTCTGTTCCTTGCCATTCCCATCGTTACCACGGCTGCCATTCAAACTTCAACAATTTAATACAAAACACCAAAAGAAATCCATCCTAGATAAATAAAAAAGTGAGGTAATTAAAAAAAAGGGCAAAGTTTGATCCATCATACTTTACACCTTTACTCGAATGTGAAACATACCCAATTGCAACCTCCTACACCCAAAACACACGCACGCAACTAAAATAGGATAAGAATATACACCTTTGAGCAGAAGAGGCGATATTGAGATTCTGAAAATCATCCAACGCGCCTGAAAATTTGTCTCAAAACTGTCAAATCATTCTCGCAACCTTCATATCCCTCAACACCAGTTCTCCAGATAGAATTAATAAATAAATCAACAATAATTCAATTACTGTCAAGGAGTTGGTCCAAATCATCGGAGCGGTCAGCCGCCATGGCAGTAGTTTTCCAAACCCTCGTACCCGCTTCCCGTGCTTCCCGTCCAATTGCTTCAATGGTTCAAGTATCGGCTCGTCTATGCTTCAACGCCCACACACAGGTTTATTTATATATATACACAAACGCTCACACATGACACGAAGCCCCAAGATGAAATATCTTCTGTGTTTGTAACGATATTTTTTATTTATTTGTACACTTTATTAATATATATATATATATATATAATTATAGATATTTTGCTTCGAAGAGCCCTTATTGATTTTTAAATTGATCATTTCATTTGGCTTAAGTACATTAATAATTGCAACGATCCCGATTATTTTTAATGTGTTCTTTTATTATTTTAAAATTAAATTATACTATTATTCATTTTATACAAAATAAGATATGAAATATTATTTTTTTGAAAAAAAACATTCAAATCAATATCAATTTTAAACTATAACTAAATTAAGACTTTTAATTTGAATTTTGAATTTTAATTTTTAATAATAAAATTTTAATATTTTAATAATGATTTAATTTCATATAAATAATCATTTTAATGCGAAATTGATTTTTTATTATAATATAAATAAATTAAAAAATAAACTTAAAAAAAAAATTGACATGTGGAAGAGAGTATTAGGGCGAAATATAACAATCAACATAAGTTTAGGGTCTAACAACTATAATAATATTCTAAAGTGGAAAGACGATAAATAATAAAAAAATGGGGGACGAAAATGTTATTAGCAACACTAAAATAAAAAAGGAGAACAGGAAATCAGCTAAAAGACGTAAACGGGAAGGGCAAACGAGCCCTAGATATTCGTCGGCTCTCCTCCCCCACCCTCCAGTTTGCCGTTTTCTCGTCAGGTGCAATCTAGGTTTTGTTCTTGTTATTGTTTGTAATTGCTCATTTCCTGCTTCCTTTAAACCATTTCCTGTTTGTGGTTGGTTATTCGAAGGGGTTTTGGAGTATGAAATTGTGGGGAGTTTTGCTTTCGCGTATCTTGATATTCTATTTTATGCACTACTTTTGTAATGTAATTCTATATTTGTATCATCTGAAGTAGTATTTTGCGGAGAATTGATTTTTAACCGCGTTTGCAAACAATAGCTGAGGTTTTTGCGCTTCTGGGAATCCCTTTTATGCGTTCTACTATACATGTATCCAATCTTTCTGTTCTAATACGAGTTTACGAGTTTTTACTTTTTCACTCCTTGTTTGGGTTTGAATCTGATGAAAGATGAAGTGCACACTGTGGGGACTGCATTTTATTATATGTTCATACATATGTATATAGACATCTTCACACAGATGAAGTGTATATTATAGGTTGTGTGTGCGCATTGGCGCAATATTTGATAATGCTCAGTGAACTTTCATGGTTTACAAGTCATTATGTAACTATGTTGAATGATGCTTTACCTTGTGGGGAATGAAGAGGTTTTATCAATGTGCCACCAAGATTATTTCCAGTAGTCACATTATGTTGTTTCATTTGTCCAAACCATAAGTATTATTCAGCATAAAAGTTATATTGTTACTTAGTTTCAGTAATGACAGCTCATATCACAAGGTTAATTGTATTGTAATGTCTATCAATAAAGATGGTTTGACGGGTGAACTCAATAAGAGATCTGCATGCAATAATTTGACAAAATAAATGTAGTTAAAAAATGATTACGTGTTTAGTTTGCCACTTTTGTCACACTGTCAATAGTTCTCACTGGGAAAACTGCCATATGCTGGATGATTTTCTCTCCTAAAAGTTTCTTAGTTCCACTAGTGTGTCAGAGATGCTTATATATGTATGCATATATGTACTTTTTTCCTCAAAAAGGCACCAAAACATGAACACCCAGTCTAATGAAGGCAGTTACTGGAGACATTTATTCTTCTGTTACACTGGTTTATTCTTTTGGATCCATCACTCTTTTCTCATGAGTTCCCATTGCTTTAACTCCAGACACCAGGTGATTGGTTTATTCTGCAGTTGCTGGGATGGCAAACAGAGAAGAGTTGGATGGTGATGATGACTTCAGTGAAATCTACAAGGCATATACCGGTCCCTTGGGTTCTAGTGCACCAAATGCACAGGAAAAAATAACAACGAATAAAAGATCACATGCAGGCTCAGATGGAGAAGAGGAAGCTCGTGACCCTAATGCTGTCCCAACCGATTTTACTAGCCGTGAAGCTAAGGTTTGGGAAGCTAAATCTAAAGCAACTGAGAGGAACTGGAAGAAGAGAAAAGAAGAAGAAATGATTTGTAAAATATGTGGTGAATCAGGTCATTTTACTCAGGTAAGTTTCCACTTTCCACTTGAGTTGATTACAGTGACCTTATTTTCATATCCATTTATGTATTTGTATTTGGGTTCCGGAAACTCTACACACCTAACCTGGCATAATATCTATATGTGATGTGTATTGCTATTTAAACTTCAAAATGATAATATCCCCTCTCCCTCCAGAGAAAAGATTTTTCCATATTGGCAATATTTATTCCTCATGCCTCTTCAATATACTCCGAGATTTAAAGATGTGACAACTGAGTTGTGGCTTTCTCAGTTTCTTGATAGGGGAAAAAGAGAACTTTTAAACAATGCAATGAACAATGGAGCTATTCGTGATCTTTTATTGTATGACATTGAAAATAAATAATGTTAGTTTGGTGTGAAGTTGTTTTATGGTAATACTTCCAAAGTTAATGTTCTAAATTTCTTCTTCAACCTCACTTGATTTTCTAGGTTAGGTAATGATACCATTTCTTTAATAAACCATACACAACTATCAAGTGATGGCGTTGCTGATTTCTGTTTTATGCAAAATGTAAACGTCTTATCATATCTATTTGTGTTCATCCTCACAATTTCTTATATATATATATATATATTTTAATTTCTTCTTGTAGGGATGTCCAGCTACTCTTGGTGCTAACCGCAAGTCTCAGGATTTCTTTGAAAGGGTGCCTGCTAGAGATCCTCATGTGAAAGCCTTATTCTCAGGAGATGTTGTCAACAAAATTGAGAAGGATATTGGTTGCAAAATTAAAATTGAGGAGAAATTTATCATTGTCAGTGGCAAGGACAGGCTAATTTTGAAAAAAGGTGTTGATGCTGTACATAAAGTCAAACAAGAGGGTGAAAACAAGAGTGTTCACAAGCTTCCTGAAGAAGTTGAGCATAAAGTTCCTTCTAGATCGCCAGTTTCCCGGTCCAGATCACTGGAACATAGAAGTCCTGTTACATCTCGTTTAGGACGATCTGATTCCCAAAAGTCTAGTCACAGCCCTCGCAATTCTGCACATATTCCTCGGAGGTATGGCAGACATGAGAAAGTTGAAGACCGAGTTCGCGAGGATCTACAAAGACTACCAAGTGGCTCTCCTCAAGGTAGTGGAAGAATTAGTGCAGCAAAACCCTGTTCTCTATTTGTGTTCTTGGCCTCCTGTAATCTTTTATGGGGCATCTTTCGTTTTGACTAGTCTGCCTTTTTCATTAATGTTGGTTATTTCTCATTATTTTCTTGCAGCAAAAGAGGTAAGTTCTTACGATCAAGCGTTATGTTCGATTCTGATATAAGTGCTTCTGAATTGAAATGGATGGTCCCACCAAATGATTTTTTATATTGAAAGCAGATGGCTTTGCTAAGAGGATTTAAGATTGTGTGTGTGATACAGCTGCAACCCTTTCTAGAGATCTTGAACGGAAGTACTTAACACACTCTTCCTTTGGTGAAGCTTATGGTAATGATGGAGGTAGAGGTCGATCAAGCCATTCAAAGTCTCCAGCACGGCCCTCTTACACAGGAAACTCTTATAATTCGTACAGCCATAATCAGAGTAGAGGTGGCTTCAGGACGGATGGCTGGAATGCTGATAGAGGTGGATCTAGTTTGCAGTTAGATCATAAATTTGACTATCCTTCCACTCCCCAGACATGGGAAGATATAGAGCTGCACTACAACAGGGAGGTCGCGGAAATTGTAAGAATTCGAGATAAAGAAGAAGATGAAGAAAATATCAAGCATCGTGAGGTAGGTTGTGTCTCATTAGAATGCTTGCTATTCAAGTTAAAAGTTTGGTGTGCAAAAGTATAATGTCCACCCGCTCACCCTCTTTCAAATCCTCGTGAATCTGCTTATTGTCTCGTCAGCTTGAATATATTTATTTCTGTCTTGTGTTAATGTTTGTTTATCAATTCTGTTTTGGGCTGATTCATCATTTGGTGGTATTATTTTTAATTTAGGTTGTCAAAGAAATAAGGGAGGGCTACATGAAAAAAATCAAGGCACTGAAGGGCACTCATGCAACAATGTGGGAAGAGTTTCTTCAACAGGAGCGGCAAAGGAGGCAACAAGCCATGCTTGCTCACATTTCTGCATCGGGGTTCGGTGGTTACAAACAATCAGGTTATTCGGAGTATGAGAATGACTCCCCGAATCTTCACGCCTCAGGAACAAATATGCACTCGAGGGGTGGTTATCATAGTGCGATGGACGGCTATCATTCCTCAAGGCCTCACAACAATTATGATGATTTCCAGCATCACAGGCAAGATGACTTTGGAAAATCATATAATCGATACTGAATGGTTGGTGGAAAATAGTGGCATGGTGAGTTGCCTACCCTTAACTTCAATCTATCGATGTGCACTTTTGACAGTCTTTATCCTCGTTTTTATACCTTCTGAGTGATGCACTTTCCGGTATTCTTGCTTGCGGCTGGCTACAAATACAAATCCTAGGCTTAACGATGACTTCAAAAATTTTCAGGATGCAACTGCTGGTTGGACACTACTGTTTCCTGGGGAGTTCACTTTGTGTAGGTAAGTATGGTCGGGTCCTTTGGACATGATGTCCGGTGGCTGGGCCAGTAGTCGCTTCGAAATCGAAGCTTGTTAGACCACCATTGTAATCCAAAGAACATTCTGCTCGTGCTTTGTGTAGCTAGCTAGAGAGAGTATGGATTCCTCTGTTGGCTTTTGTGAATCAGTTAGTATTGATATTGATCCTTCTGAGTTTTGCATGACAAACAAACCAATGTGTTAAGAGGTATCTATCCTCTTTTGATACTTATGCTTCTTATGGCCATGGTTTGCCTTGCCGTATTATTTCTGGCCACTAAAATCCTCCAACTTTTATTACTAAAAGTTTTCAAATTCAATTAAATATAATCCAATTTCATTTAAATTCAGGTATTTGTTATATACATAATTTCTTATATCAATTCTTGTTATATCTTAAGTAACTGATATTATTTATTATCAATAACAATTTTATATAAATATGTTTAAGTATTTTTATTATTGTTAAAAGTAACAATATTTCTATTATATCTATCTATTTTTTCATTTTTTTCTCATATATTAAGGCTAAAGATTGGACCGGACGAACCGGCCCGATAGTCTCTATAAATTTAGGGCGGCGAAGGTACTCCTAAAACCTCCGCCGCAACTCTTGTCTGCCAGACGTGCTCCGCTGCCTGCCGCCATCGTCGTCATCATGGCCGAAGAGAACCAACACTTAGAATCCGGCGGGAATGGAGCCATGGAGATGACAAAGAAGAAGCGCAAGAGAAACAGAGACAAAAAGAACGCGAAATCAATTAAGGATCGTCGCGAGGAACAGGAACAAGGCGAAGAGTCGGGGCCTGGTGAAGGCGAAGAGAAGTATGAATCTGTGGAAGGGAAGAAGAAAGAGGTGAAAAGGAAGAAGAGAACGAAGACTGCGGAAGAAAACGAGGAAAAAGAAGAGGCAGAAGAGGAGGGAGAAGAAGAGGAGGGAGATAAGGGGATTGACTTGAATAAAGATGCAAAGAAGAGTGCATCTGGCATCATGAGTGGCGAGGCATTTTCGACGCTGCCAATTTCCGAGCCTACCATGAATGCTATCAAAGATATGGGTTTCCAGTACATGACTCAGGTAGTAATTCGAGTTAATTACTTCCACTGATGGTTCGCCTCTGGAGGTCGTAGGTGTTTGTTTTTTGGTTTTAGATATGAAAGGTCAAACTAGTGCATGTTTAATGTAAAATTGATAACTTGTTAATACATTACTTTTTGTTGTGTTGTGCCGTGAAGATACAAGCCGGATCGATTCCGCCTCTATTAGAAGGCAAAGACGTTCTTGGAGCTGCAAGAACTGGTTCAGGGAAAACCCTTGCTTTTTTGATCCCCGCGGTGGAATTACTGCATCACATTCGTTTTACCCCTCGAAACGGCACTGGAGTTATTGTTATTTGTCCAACAAGGGAATTAGCCATTCAGGTATTCAATCTATGTTATTTCCATGCTTCACTCATCGGTTGTGATAGTTAATCTTTAAATATTTGTAGGAACCACCTCCTTCTTGGTTATATATAAATCATTGAGATTATTATCAGTTCTCTAACACCACGGTGAAGTTAGAAAATTATGTTGTGTTGTTATAAATCGATGCTATGAGCAGTTTTAATGAAATTGAATATGATTATAAGATACTTGAATGGTTTTTTTTGGTTGTTAAAAATTTGTTATATTAATGGCAATATATGGGTTTAGTGTATATAAAAAATATAGTACTTACAGCACAGGCCTTGTTCTGTGCCGCGCTGTGCACCATTTACAACTATGTTCTCAGTTGTTGCAACATGATTTTCTCCCCTTGCAGTGCAGTGTCCTTTGATTTGTGATGTCTTTTCTGGACTTATATTTAGCTTAATCGTACAGACACATGCTGTGGCAAAGGACCTCCTGAAGTATCATTCACAGACACTAGGACTAGTTATTGGTGGTGCAGCACGAAGAGGAGAGGCAGAGCGAATTGCTAAAGGAGTAAATTTGTTAGTAGCAACTCCTGGTCGACTCCTTGATCATCTTCAAAATACAAAGGGCTTCATATATAAAAACTTGAAGGTATGAGCCTTTTTCCTTGAATTTGAATTGGCATATTTCTGTTGGTCAGTAAGCATTTCACTGCCATGTAAAGAATGCTATGCACACAAAGTTATCTCAAATGGGACATGCTTTGGTAGCTTTCATGAAAAATTCATAGCTTTTCATATTGGTCTCAAGTAATATTGGAATTTGGCTAAGCAGAAGTCCATTTGACCACAAAGAGGAAACTTTTGCATATGTCTTCTCTTTTTGTTTGTGATATTATGTTTCTAGTACATATTTGGAAACGTGTTGCTGTGGAGTTAGGTTATTATGGAGTTACAAACTTACATCACAAACATTTTTATGTTTACATATCCATAATCTTGTCAACTAACAGGATCATGCTCTGATTTTTATGATCATTTTTGCATGTGCAGTGTCTCATGATTGATGAAGCTGATAGGATCTTGGAAGCTAATTTTGAAGAAGAAATGAAACAAATTATTAGGATTTTGCCAAAGGTACTTGCAGATTTTCCTTGATTTTCGTATGTGTAGTCTAACAATTTCATTTGTTGTTGTTATACTAGCTAATTCTTTTATTAGGGATATCATTTTGCTTGTACCGATGTCTACATTGAAAATAAGTATACTAGAAAATGATCAGGAGCTTATAGTTAGTAAATCATGATTCATTAAAGTGCAATTAACCCCATCTAGTCTACAATTTATGATTCTATTCCTTTATTAGGAATGGCTGCTGTCAAGGTTACATTTTAAAGATATTCTTGTGTAATATAAAAAATGTTGGTTCAGTGAAGAATAAGACAAACAAGGATACTCAGAAGATCTTCCTGTTTGAGCTGTAAAAGTATTTCCTTATGAACATGCCTAAATGTAAATCGGATTTTAATTTTACTATTCATGTATGCTCATTGCTGGAGCACATTGATAGATATTATTGCATCTTGGAAACATCTGATATTCTATGTATGGACAGGCAAGGCAGACAGCTCTTTTCTCTGCTACCCAAACAAAAAAGGTATGGCTACTTGTTTACTTTTCAAATACATTGAAATAGAAATATTAAAATTTGCAATAAAAAATTACCAGATCGAGCTATTAATGTTTCACAATTACTAATATTCTCTTCATGACTCATGAGAATAAGGAAAATCTATTTATCAATATCAGGTAGAGGATCTTGCACGGTTATCATTTCAGACAGCTCCTGTCTACATTGATGTGGATGATGGAAGGAAACGGGTATGCAAAGTTTCTTTTTTTATTTTCTCCATTCAAGACGATATATTACTATCCACCATATAATAAGTTACTAATATTTATTGTGGATGGTGCAGGTCACTAATGAAGGCCTGCAGCAAGGCTATTGTGTTATCCCTAGTGCCAGGAGATTTATTCTTCTTTATTCCTTCTTGAAGAGGAACTTGTCAAAAAAAGTGATGGTTTTCTTTTCATCCTGCAATTCGGTGAAATTTCATTCTGAACTTCTCAGATACATCCAAATTGATTGTTTTGATATCCATGGAAAGCAAAAGCAGCAGAAACGAACGTCAACCTTTTTCGATTTCTGCAAAGCTGAGAAGGGTATATTATTATGTACAGATGTAGCTGCACGTGGTCTCGACATTCCGTCGGTGGTATGTTATCTTACTTTTGCAACATCCTCTTTCTTATGCATGCTGCCAACATTCATAGAGATTTGCAAGAGTTGAAGGAGCACAGGAATGTAATGGATATTTTAGTACTGCTTTTTTTTTTTTTTTGCAGGATTGGATTGTGCAATATGATCCCCCAGATGAGCCTAAGGTGATTAATCACTTTCTATACGAGGTTATTTGCTCATATTCACTCTCATATCTTGTTCTGTAATTTCATTCAGGAATATATTCATAGAGTTGGTCGAACTGCACGAGGGGAAGGTGCTAAAGGAAATGCTCTCCTTTTCCTGATTCCAGAGGAGTTACAATTTCTTCGATACCTCAAGGTTTGTATGGCTTCATGAAAATAGCATTTGTAGTATTAATTGTGCAAACTAGAAGTTAACTTCCGTGCCAACAGATTCCACTATTTAATTGTTCGTTCTCACACTTGGATTATTGATATTTAGGAAAAAGACAAATTAGTGTAATTAAAACACATCCTTTACACATGTATTACACTAATCGACCTCATCCAAATGTGTCCCCAAAGTTTCCCTTAAGTGATTCTTTTTTGGTGAATCTTGGTTGTGGATGTAGACACTAAATGGGATGGGTTACCAGATGGTTTATGATGTGCTACAAGCGTTACTTTTTTAGAACATGTGTTCTATTTGGTTCTCTTTCATTTCTAACAAGTACATTATTGCATATCTCAGGCTGCTAAAGTGCCTGTCAAAGAATACGAATTTGATCAGAAGAAATTAGCAAATGTTCAATCTCACCTGGTAATATCTTGTGTCAACTAATTTCACTGCAATTGACTCTCAATGCCATCTCTTATTCTCGAGTAAAATTAACAGTTGTCAATTTGCACATAACTGCAGGAAAAGTTGGTCGCCAACAACTATTATCTCAACAAATCAGCGAAAGACGCATACAGGTCTTATATCTTGGCATACAATTCCCACTCCATGAAGGACATCTTTAATGTGCACCGGCTAGACCTACAGGTTCTTGCATTCTTATCATTGATTTATCGTAATTCTACCATTTTTATATTTCTTTGTCAAATGGGAATAGGTTGTTAATGTAGTGGTGCACAAATCCTCTCAAGCTATGCCCAAAATATGTCATCTTACACATCTAATATTTGCCAGGCTGTTGCTGCTTCCTTCTGTTTTTCGTCTCCTCCCAAGGTGAACTTGAACATAGACAGCAATGCTTCCAAGTTCAGAAAGAAGTCGCGCAAAATTGAAGGCATTCGACATGGATTTAGCGAGAGCAATCCATACGGAAAGAAAAGTGAAAACGAAACTCGGCAATTTGTTAGGTACTAGGCGTAGCTTGCCTACACAAACATGCTCCATATCTATGTGTCTGGCGATCAAAGAGTCAGCATCGCCCTTCAGTTTTGAGGTTTGTAACAAAATTATTTCCAAAATTTTCAAGAAATCCACTGCAAATTTATATTATTACTACAAGAAGATTGTTTGTTTTCCGCTAGTGTTGCACCATTAGTTTGCTTACCATTTTGATGCATTTAATTTTGTAAACAGATTATTGTGAAAGCTGTTATAATAGTTACTCTGATTCCTTTCCCTTTCCAGTTTTTCAAATTTACCTGAAACTATAGGGTCAATTATTTAAACCAGACTTAACAGGCTCTCACCACTTTATATGTATACATCACTTAAATTTCAAAAGAAGATTTTATTCTGTTCTAATAAAAATTTGTCCTGATATTTCTGTTCCTCAATAAACAATGAACTATACAATTTCCTGTATTACCTGTGTGCCTTATATATGTGTATGTATATCCATCTATCCATCCCCATGTGGTGAAATCAGTCATATCACAACACACGCTGTCTCAACTCTATACGTATTATGTATACCAAAGGCTCTCTACTAAGTAACAACTACCATATTAAAATACAACTGTAAAAATAAACCCCAAAAAATATAAAAGCAAAAAAAGAAGAAGATAGTAGGGTAGGGGGCCAACCGTGAGGAAGAAAATATAAATGGGGTTGGATAAGACATAAGGGAACAAAAATTTTCAAGATCATCTTACTCCCCTCTGGCAGATAATATGTTGGGCTGCTGCTGCTGCTTGGCCAAAATTTGCAATTTACATTACCAGAACTGTGTTAGAGTTCTACTTCATGTAGATCATCTACGACGCTGCCATCCTTGTTGGACGACGAGCAATCTGCCAAAAGCTCGCTCGATGTTTGCAGCCCCAATACCTCACCCAGAGGTTTCACTTCAGTCGTGGCCGGAATGGGATTGGGAGTGGGACTGAAAGACTGGTCGAAGGGGCTGCCGCTCCATGAAACAGTCCGGCGTCCACGCACAGGAGTGGAGCCACTATCCCCTGTCCTCTCAATGGAGTTCATGCTGGGATGTCTAGGTATGGTTGTTGGTGGAGCTACGGGTGTCATGAATGAATCACTCTGAGGAGGGGAAGAAAAGTGTTCGGGATTAGATGAGGTATTCTCCCATGTGTTGTTTGCCGGTGTCTCGCCTGAATTCTCAGCGCTATTAGATACTGGCGCTGGTGCCGGCACAAAGAATTTAGGGTTTCCTGCTGCTGTCACCGGTTTAATGGAAGGAACGACTGGTGACTGAAAAGTGGTCGTCGCATTGCCACCACCTTTGTTAAAGGTGTCGACGTACCTGCCATCATAACCAGGAATTAAATCAGATGCTGCAGAAGTTCTTCAGTTATATGATTCAGTTCTTCAGGAAACAAACAAAGTATTTGCTATAAATCTGATTGATTTCTCCAAGATGCCATTATATAAGAAAGATGTGTTTCCACTTTACCCAACACTAGAGATGGATGTATTAATTATGCACAACGAAAATGAAATGTCGAACTTTAGAATTTACCTAGATCGGACACCCATCCTTCCGCGAGCAGAATATTGATTAGTTGTTGGGGGAAGTGGCGGGATTCCTGGATTATTTTCTGGAGCTCCAGGGGGTTTAGATTCTTGATTACCCCTGCTTAGAGAGGATTCGTTTTGCAATGCACTTTTTAAGCTGTAATCCGATGCTCCATTCTGAAAAGCTGTAGCTATTGGTGGAGGTGGAGGGGCAGCTTCTTCTGCTGGAGGTTCGGCACCTTCCTCCACCCATCTTTTGAGTTTTTCATCATAATAGAACTTATTGGATTCACCCAATTTTGCCTATAATGTAGTGAGAAAACAAGCAAATAAAACATTTGATATACAAACTGCAGAGCATCTTAAGGTATATATCTGTGGTGAAACTCGGATATTATAATAATTACCTGGCGACGGTTCTTAAGTACAAAACCAAATGTTTTCTGGAATAGCTTAGTACCAAAACCCAAACCACCATAGCTAGAAGCCGGGCCTGGTGCTGATGATTTGTCGTGGCCACCAGGGGGGCTTTCTTTCTTCAAAGAATCGGACCGACCCTGCATGCATAAACGAGGGTCTTTATTTTTATGTTCTATTTTGGTAGGTCTAACACCAATAGACGAATATGAGCAGGTCCCCTTCTCATGCAATGGAGATCAGGACAAACCTTCATTGGACTTCTTCCAAAGTCTGGTTCCGAAGCACTTCTTGCATGCTTAACTGTTCGGTTGCTAGCTGCAAAATCACTTATAGGCTCCATGGATTGGGAAGGAACTAGTGAGGACATAGCCATTGTTGACTGACTAGATGATACTCTGTGCCCCGGTGCACGATGGTGATCTTTGTTACTCTGTAAAGTACCAACTGCTGATGGTCCAGTTGGTGGCAAGCCCCCAACAACACGATGTGCGGTGCTGTCGAAAACTTTGAGTAGTTTACCAATGAATTCTTTTGGAGCTAAGTTTGCATAGAATCCTCCCTGCATGATAACTTTAAGTTACAGGGATATATGAATACATAAGAGATGCAACTAATGTGAAGGCAGAAAGCTACCTGCTGATGAGCTTTGATCCTTTCCTCGAGTGATGAAACTAGATGTCTCAGAGTCTCGACCTCTGGATTTCGACCATTTTTAAGCGATTTTAATATAGATTGACAGTACCTATATCATAAAAGAGAGTGATAAGAAACAAGGACAGCCATTCATAAGAAACAATTGAGGTATAAGAGATATACTTTGCTGCTTCAGACATCTTCCCCACTTCAGCCAACATGAGCGCATACATGAACTTATACGGTTGAAAAGGGAGTAGAACAAACTGAGAGTTTCCAAGCGTTTTTGAGTACTCGTATATCTCTGTCCGCTGTCAAATATGCAAAACAGTCAAATGCTTCTTGAGCATGCAGCAAATCCATATTATAGAAATATTGAAAGCTCTATTATGCCACTGAAAAAATAGTAACATGCAAAAAGGAAACCATCAAATATAGTTCAGGCTTGGGTACAGCTGATGGTCAAAAATTAATTAAACATATACGAAATTGTCCAAAGTTCCTGAACTATGTAACGGATAAAAGTATTTCTGGGCAAATTTAAATCATATACACTCTACAAGCATAAAATCAAAGTGGGATTTACTAATGGAACATCAAATTAAAAATCAATGCATGTACAAAGTCGTGAAAGGGTCATTGTAAGTACACAATACAACTTGAAAGAGCAGTTGATTATATAGGGCAGAAGAGGCAGATGAAGCAATGATTGAAAATCATAACGCAGATGTTTGTCTATTTAAATATAACTCAGCACCTGAATTGCTTCTGGACAGGCAAAAGTTCGTGGGAATTTCCAGTGATCAGCACCAACAAGGCACAGCCTCGCACTGTCTGAATAAGGTTCAAAGTTCGCTTCCGCAACCAAATAGCATATGTGAGCAGCAATTATCTGAGCAATAATTATCACAAAAGTAAAACTGGTGGGGAAAGAATCAAGGAAACTCTAAGAACCTGAAAAGAAAAGAATCATTAAAGAAACAGAATCGATCATACATTGCTTCTATCCTTCCATAAACAATCGCCAAGATGGATAAGCACAAGTTCATCATCCTTTGTTCTGTTTGCAGTTATAACAGCCAAATTCTCTTCCCAGTCATCCAGCATGACATTGGCACCAACCTGTTATTTAGAAATATTAAGATAGCAAACTACTCAAAGATCAAGGTACGTTTCAGAAAATTCCAGCCATGCAAAATAATAGAAGAGCAAGCAAATATTAAATATGCAAATCCTCAGGTAAAGTGTTCTGTTGTTGAAATGTTGATTACTCTATATTCACAACCACCTTCAAAGTCAGATATAATAGGAATAATTGCATACTGGAAACCAGGACCCAACAAAACCAGGCACTTACAACAATAAATGTCAATTTATCACACCTGTGCTGTTTGTGGAGGCATATTTAGAGCGCCAGGCATGTTACTAGAAGCAGTGTTATCCACAGAAAATACATCAGCTGGTTGATTAGCAATTAGCAGGCATAATGTCCGTAAGGGTGATCCTGCCGACATATGTTGAAGTGCCATTTTCTTCACAGTTTCAGAATAGAACTGCACAGGTTATTTCAAGAAAAAACATTAAAAAACAGAAATCCATAAGTATAAGGGAAAAAAAAAAAAAAAAAAAAAGGTTCTTCAGAGGAATTATGAGGCACAAAAGAGCAACTAGCCTGGTTGCCAAGCTGTGCAGCAAGAACAAGGGCAAAACCCCAAAATTGACCATCTTGTGCACATTGCAAAGCGTCTTTCTTTCTTCCAGAAACAAGAAGATTTTGGACCTCAGCAGCAGTCACCTAAAATACAAGGTACCATAAATCAAAGATTACAATTAAAGAAGATGCAGTAAGTATAAACGGTGCACAATTGAATACCTGAAGTTGCTCATCAGATGGCATATACTGCAAGCATTGGGCAGCAACACCATATTGAGTTAACTTTGAACCATTTCCTTTAGCATATGAGAATAGTCTGGCAACTGCCAAGTGTGGAGCATCACTTTCCTTTTGAAACACCAAAAAATGACCGAAAAACTTTAGAACATGTTTTTTAATGAATAAAAGATGAGAGAAGCCGAACATAAATAATGTAGCAATATATGATGCATTTGGAAATAGATCTCTGAAACAGGAAAAAGGATATTTCAAGATGGAAACATATAGTAGTATTATCAATTTAAAATTTCCTAACAAGCACATTATCATTTTGCATAACAAAGGAAACAAATTATACTTCCTTCTAGATAATGATCAAATTGCAAGAAAAAAACAACGATGAATGATAACCATAAGAATATAAATTCTGCAGCAGAATTCCGTTTAAAATATGTACAAGCACATAAAAATAGGAAAAAAATATCCAAAGTAAATAAATTCTTTATTCACCTTTAACATAAATATCTACCTTCAATTCAGCATCTGTGCCATATGGAGATCGGAGTTTTCCATAATACTGACAGGCTATTTTAAGCAGCGAGAGGAGCAAACTCAAACCCTCAGCTTTTCCATGGCCCATATGGGTCAACTCCAGAGTTGCTATTCTTTCATCAATCCATTTGTTCAACTCCTTAGTTCCAACACTTCCACTAGTAAGAGGACCAGGAAGTGATTGCCTACAGAGAGCCTGGAAATAACTGCTAGGACCCATTCCTCGGTCTGAAGTATTAACATCATTCACAACTTCTCCTAAGTTGAGAATAGATATTGTACCTCCCACAGAATCCTTCAATAAAACACAGTTTTAAAATGTGATATCATCAAAATTGGAAAGAGTTTTTTAAGAAAGTAAGAGAAAAGTCTTAGCCACTAACCTGGCTTCCAAAGTTCATATTTACAGTAGAGCTGGATCTCATCACAACAAGCTTTCCACCAAAACCAAAGGCAACCAAAGCATGGGCAGGACGACCAGCTGATGACCTTCCAGATGCAGAGGCATAGGAGATCTGAGAATTTTGAACTTGTGGCGTTGCAAAGTTGACATTTCTTTGACTGCCATAGTAGTCATTGGAGAATTCTTTTTGACTATTTTGATTGATTTCTGAATCATTGAACTGTTGAATTAAATTCCCACCAGCATCAAACAAGGAGGCCCTGGAAAATTTATTCTGATCCTGACTTCGGCTGTCATGGTATAAACCTTTTACACCATAACTGCCAGAATCTTGTTGACTTCCAGGAACACTCAAAGTTATGGGACTATTCAGAGAAACGGAATTTTGTTGACTTGCAGGTGTACTCACAGCAGCATTCTGCCAATATTGAGTTGAACTCTGAGCATTTCCATTGTACAACTTTGTAACTGGACTACTACCCACTGCTTGAGCTGTTTGCATGCCTGATTTCTCTTGTTCATAATAGTTGCTCATCAATCCAGCCTGGTTTGGATCATATCCAGTGTGATTCATCTGGCCCCGAACTTGAGCTGAAGGCTGGGACGGTACACTGAAAGATTCCAAAACACCCTGATTCATGTGTCCCTGAAAGTGCGGAATAGCCTGCACAGAGGCACTGTACGATTCCAAGGTGCCCTGGTTCATTTGGCCTGGACCTTGGGCACTGGATTGAATTGATGCATAGTAAGATTCCAATGACCTCCATTCCATAGCAATAGTATCATAGTACCAGCCTGGGTACTGGGGATCAAAAACCATATGAGATAGGTAACCGTTATTATCACATGGTGCGTGATTCCAGTCTGATGGAATCCCATTGTTTTCCCTACCTTCCGGTGAAACCTGATTCCAAGAAGATGTGGTTTCTGCCGCATGACTCATCTGAGAGGCTTGGTTCCAATCAGCAGACAAATTGGAGACAACTGCAGCATTCAAACTTGTCGCTGCATCATAATCCTCGACCGGATACCACTGTCCAGTATTTGGATCATATTTCCAACCTGGGTACTGACTCTCCCATTGCTGGATCATACTCAAATCGTAAGCATTTGAATTCGGATCCTCTGCATAACCATTGCTGTATTCCCCATTACACTGCCAGTTGGCTGCAGGGTCCACATTATCAGGTTTGTATACATGTTCATGATTAGAAACGTTCTTAACTATGCTTCCAAATTCACCACCATCCTTCTCCCCTCCAAATTGATTGAAAAAATCAGAAAAAGATCCTAGGCCACTGCTATCATTGTTAGCTGAGGCAGTATCAAATGCACTCCAATCCACTTCCTTAACTTCAGAAACCATCGATCCACCACTGTTCTGGCTCAACAGTTTTGAATTTTGCAATTTTTTGTCTGTACCGAATTCATTCCCCCCTTGAACATGCTCGGCAGTCTCCATCTCGGCACCGAAATCCTCATTTGTTTTATTTTCAAGTTCGCTGATAAACTGATGCTCCCAACCCTCACCATCATCATTACGCCCTTGATCATCCACGGCACGCTGATTATCCCAATCAGCCTCCCAATTCGTCTCCTGATGCTCCCAATGAACTTCCTCTTTATGCTCATCCTCATGGATACTCAAATTAGAAATAGCCTTAGCATCATCGGATTCATTTCCGTCAGCCGGACTACGGCCTTTAGACGCCGGTGAGGTAGTGGATTTATGGTCTACATCAAATTCATCATTAACTAATTCGTCAAAAAAAGCCTCGTCTGTGTTATCCTCCACCTGGAATGGAGGAGGATGCGAAGCCATTTCACTCGGAACCTATCCTCAAATTCCACAAACCCACCCCCTGCAAAACGATTCAACAGAATCGAACCAACAACCTTGAGATCCAGAAGCCAAATCCGCCTAATCCAACGATCGAGAACCCTCGGCCAATGAAAAACGCAAAAGATCTGGGGTTTCCGATTCCACCCCAACTTGCAAACCACCAACCGCAACAACGCTGCCGACAAAATTATGCAAAATTGGGACTCAATTCAACCCCGAAAACACAATAATTCATACAGAATTGCAAAACTCAAAACTTACAGATCAAGCTGGAAATGCGGAAATCCCATGAATCGCTAAACATACATGTTTTTTGGGTATATATGAATGCGGCAAGACACAGATACAGATACAGAAACCAAAAATGCATGTGCGCCAACGAGGAGAAGAAAGAAGAAGAAGACAAGGCCTCGATTTCGCTCCCAATGGCCCCAACTACCCACGGAAAATTAAAAAAAAAAAAATTAATAAAAAATTCACCCCTACAAAATTTTCAATAATATACCCCACCAAAAATACCTAAGTGTATATAAACTTATTTTATATTCTTTTCTTTGAATTTCTATAAATTTTTGTAAGAAATTATAATTTTCAAGCATTTAAATTTTTTATTAGAATAAAAATAAAAGAGTATCGTATCTCATACTACTTTGCCCCAATAGTATAATTAGTGATAGCAGTATCATCATTATTCATTCCATTGCCATTGGAAAGCGATGGATGGATAAACATTGGATAATTTATCATAAATAAATAAATCGGTACAATTTGTATTTACGCCTTTTTATGGATAATAATATTTTTAAAAAAAAAAATTCAAGGTTAGTATTAATTTTAAAAATGTGAGGAGATATATATAATCAGATAATGTAAATTAGTAATCATACGAAATATAACAATTTTACTGTAGAAGTTCATATAATATTAATTTTAATGTATTCATACGATTAAAATATATATTTTTTTTTTCGAGATAATAGTCAAGGTCCATACAATATTTCTGCAATACACATGTACACTTTTTAATTAACGCAGCAGATGTAGCGTGGACCAGGAATTCAATTTTTTTTTTTAATATATGGAGTATTAAATAAATCGTATCCAATCATTGTTAAAGAAATGTATTTAACAGAACCTGAATTTCATAATACTATAAATTTTATTTGCTCTATAAAGTCAACAATATTATTGAATATCTTGATATATCTATGAACAAATTTGGGTGCAATAATAGGCAGACAACAATTATTTAAAAACCAAAAAGTAGAACGACGTCAGTAAGAAATGATTAGGGCGCCACCTAGAGGTTATGAGTTCAAATTCTGTCGTCACACATGCTTCGTCTAGTATTTTGTTTGTTGTGATTGTAATAACTAAGCAAGCACATTTGGGCAAAACCTCCTCAAAAGTCAAAACAAGATGTGAATTAGGGATCATCGGATCAAGCAATGCATCACCCAAATAAAAAAGATATATTGAACTTAACTCTACTCTAATCTACTACTGCATTCTGCAGTCAACCTAACTAAATCCACTACTACTACTGCTGCTACTACCAGTACAAAACAAACAAACAGACAGACAGACACAGGCCTTTCTTTAATTTCATTTCATGTCCCTACCCTTGTAGTAGTAGTAGTAGTACCATTCTATTTTAGTAGAGAATTAGTATTAGGGGTGGGTCTTGATCTTCTTGAAATGGGCATTTCTATGGCTGCCCAATCCCTGAGGCGACTTGAAACTCTTCCCACACACGTCGCATTCACACTCATGCTGGGTTTTAGGTTTGGGTTTGGAAGTGATCATGGTCATGGTCATGGAGGTAGAAGAAGAAGAAGAAGAAGAAGAAGAATAAGAAGAAGAAGAAGAAGACCCATCTCCATCTCCATCTCCATTAATACTGGCAGTAGCAGTTGTGCAGTTGCTCCGATTCCAGACATCCCTGGAAAGCATAATCAACGTCAAAGCCAAATCCACGTCCACATCCTCATTCCTCCTCCTCTTCTTCTTCTTCTTATCCATCATTAACTCATCATCCTTAATCATCATCGTCTCCTTGTTGCTCATCTGCGCCTGCTTCCTCGTCTTCGTCTTCGTCTTCGAAGGAAGAGGCAACGTCACATAATGGGACCTCATGTGACCCCCCAACGCTTTCCCGTTTGCGAACCACCGACAACACACCTTACACTCCATCACCACCACCACCACCATTCAACAACAACAAAACACACACACACACACACACACATATATATATATATATATATATGTGATATTCAGGCTTTATTCTTCTGCGTTTTCTGCTTCTTACTATAATTATTTTCTTATTAATGCCATATTATTACTGCAATTTCCTCCCTTCCTATCTATAATACCAATAATATTAATGTAAGAATTATCGTAATTAATTCCATTGATTTTCTTTCCATAATCCAGAATATTTATTGTTCCTTTGCAATCCGCACATCTAACATCACTTATTATTTCTAACAACATATTTATTTATTTATTTTAAACGGCAACAAATTAAAGAATCAACGTTGACTTGACCTGACTATCAATATAATTTGGCTTACCAACTAGACAAAATTATTAGTAAGGATGGATAGATAGACAGATAGATGGCATCACGAGGTAGAAAACACATTAATTCCCTAACTATTTCAATGGTTGAAGGAACACTATAATCAATAATATAAATTAAGGGTTGTTTTGCACGAGTGGATTTTTAATGAATGGAAATCAATAAATATATATATGTCCAACCAAACCAAACCCTAGCCATTCATTTAGGACTAATGGAGGAAATTGGCTAAAGCATTTAATTCTCTAATTTCTATAATCGTCTCCAGTTTAGGAGACTGATTGGGATTGAGATATACATACATATATGCAGTAGAAGAAAAAGAAGAAGAGGAAGATGAAGATGAAGATGATGAAATTATTATCAGCAGAAAAATGGTGCGATGGTGAGGTGGAGGAGGAGGAGAGTAATTACAAGAGGGAGGTGATTGAAGAGGTGGTGGTGATAGTGGGGCTGGTTGGGGTGCAATTCGTCTACGCAGGGAATTCCATATTGCTCAGTTATTTCATGAAATTAGGGTTCCATCCTTCTTCCCTCATCATTTTCTCCACCTTCGCTACTTCCCTCGTCCTCTCCCCTCTCTCCTTCCTCGAAAGGTAATTATATCTGTATTATACATGCATCTTCCTTTCATCCTCGGCGGTTAATTATCTATCTGCGCATTCATTCGTGCAGGAAACAATGGCCAGATAGAATTAGTTGCAGGTTCTTCATCCAGGTGCTTTTACTTTCTTTCGGTGGGTAAGCAATCATCATCAACATCGACATCAATATCTTCATCAATTTCATATCCAATACTCTACACTATTATTATCATTATTTTCCTATTCAATTGACTAATTTGCAGCGTGACGGTGTTCCAATCTCTGATGATGAAAGGAATTCATCTCACCTCCCCAACCATTGCAACCGCCATGCCCAATCTAGCCCCCGGCCTCATTTTCTTCATCGCCTGGGCCTGCAGATTAGAGACTATCCGGCTCCACTGCATCTACACCAGAGCCAAGCTCGCTGGCACCTTCCTCTGCATGTCCGGTGCCTTTCTAATGTCTCTGATGCAGAGTGCTCATGCAGCCGAGGCGGCTTCTCCAGCTGATTACCAGCTGCTCGACGCCGGCACCCTGCTTGGTTGCCTCTACCTCATCGCCGCTGTTTTTGTCCTTTCCAGCCAAGTCGTTCTCCAGGTAGTAAGTACATTGACTGGTTAACGACACTGATTTCCAAATTATTTATATATATATATATATATGCAGGCAATAACTCTAGGGGAGTTTCCGGCGCCAATCACACTCTGCGCGGTGACTGCAGTTGTGGGAATGGCAATTACAGCAGCCGTCCATATGGCAGAGGAGCAGAGATGGGAGTTGGGATGGCCAGCAATGACGATTCCAGATATGATCACCTATGCCATAGTGGTAAGGGATGCGTATAAAGACTTGCACATACGTGTGTGACTGTGATAATGTGTAGACATGGTAGAGATGGTGTTGATGGAACAGGCGGGGAGCGCAGGGGGGACAAGCGTGGTGATAAACGCATGGGCAACGAGGAAAAGAGGGCCGCTGGTGGTGTCAATATTCAACCCTCTCAGTACACTCATTTCTGCTGTGGTCTCCGGGGATTTCATTGGGGTTGGAAGGTGATTGTTCATTTCTAATTAGGCTATATTGTTCATGGGTATGAATTGTGAATTATGATGGTGATCAGCTTGACAGGGATGTGCCTGATGTTCACTGGTCTCTACTATGCGCTTTGGGCTAAAGGAAAGGAGGATTTGGCCGTCAACCATCACGACTGTGATCACATCGACACCATGCCTCTTTTAGCTTGACCACTAGGGTAGGGGAATACATAGAAGTGGTGCCATTTCACTACTTGAAGCAACAATGCTGCCTTCATCCAAATCCAAGACAGACATCAAAATCACCTCCAACGACATCATCATTGTGATCGACTGATCGCAACCAAATCAATCTCAATCTCAATCTCAACCTAAAGCTACAGCAACTGGCAAACAATTCTAAGACTTGAAATGACTAAAGGGGTGCAAGGTGAAGAACCTGAGAAGGCGTAAAAACTAAGAGATGTGAGCTTGAATGGAGGATGGCTTCAAGTGGGGATTTCTTCAACTACTGGCTATGTTCGCCCAAGAAAAAGGGATGGATTCAAGATTGAAAAACACTAAAGATTCACAAGCTTGAAATGAAATTTCCAAGTATACAATACAGGCAAGAAAATTCATACAGGGTTGTTCCGAATACTTACGGTTTCCAGATATATATATATAATACTAGTAGATCGATTAGGATACAGATTGGTGCTTTTCTTATTGCAATCGGTGGTAGCTGTTTGCATTTTTGGTATATGAAATTGCCTACTCTATTGATTGTGAACTAGATGAATGCAAATTGATCCTAGAGTTAGATGTTAACTCATGGTTGCAACACAGTTCTTACATTAGAAGCTCTAGATTGAAGATTTCGGCCTATATGCTTCCAATGGCATCCCTTCTACCATTGTGAAATAGACAAATAAAATGTTCCAACAAGGAAGGAAAAGCATTACTATTAGAAACAAAAGGGAAAGAAAAGTGAGGCTCAAATTTTATGGCTAACAATATCAAAATCAAGTAGAACTGACCTAGAATTGGACAAAGCAATGCTGCTTTCAGTAATCTCATAATCTGTAATTTGAATTTTATTTTCAGATAAAAATTCATTACAGTACATACCAATTACCAAACCAGCGAGTGTAGTGTTTGAAACTTCTGTGTGAAAGTATGCCGTCAAATGTACGGATACCCTGCCTTTGTTTTTCACCATTAGACGAACCCATCAAATCTTCTATAAAATCACCTTGGAACTGACAAACCCAGCTCTATTACAACAAACACATAAACTCGTATTAAAAGCCATCGATAGAAATTAACATTCAGGGGAAACTAAACACTGATGCAAACCCTAGCAATAATGGTAATGGAAATGGCGGGGTTCGCTGAATGAAATATCAGTACGATCCTACTTGATCAGTTGGGTATCAAGTATGCATGCTAGTTGAACATCCAATTTTACACGGACATGAATAGACTAAAATCAAAATACTGCTATAACTTGAATGATTCTCAGGACATTAAACAAAAGCATCAAGAATCTTCAGAACCAACTCTAGAGCAGATGACTAGGCCAGGCCCCTGGAAAAAATTTTCACGTTCCATCACTCTCATCTGGAGAAAAGGAGAATTATATCACCATTTTGTTAGCCCAAACAATGGATACCAAAAGCATTGACACCATATTCATGGGCTAAGAAAATTAATCCCATCGACTTTTTGTAGTTTATTTCTAATCATCCAAGCAGGTAAGAGATCAAGGGGAAGGAAGATGAGAACACTGATTTCAATTAGATCTTAAGTTACACGCTACCGATTCAGATGAGCTACAGCTGATAATAAACTATCGATTTCATTCAATAATGGGTGACACTTAACCTAACATCTACAGCAACTAAATATGGTCTCACAAACATTTCCACTCAATCATACACTGTACAGTAGGCATTTATTGGGTTCCACAACAATTCATGAAAAACCTCCAACTACATGTATTACATTAAATTTCATGGGCCCAGTTAATTAATCATTCAACAATAAATAAAAGCTTAAATCACTAGAATGGATTATTAAGCTTAGAGAACTGAACAATATTAGTTTGTTTCCACAGCAAGTGAAGGCCATAGGTACATCCACAAACATGGACTAACATTATTTTTTGTTGTGTTCATCCAATCAAACTAGTTTACTTAATACATATGCCAAATGTTTATGCATGAAGTGTATCACATTAAATCATAATGGAAGACCTCGTAATTCTGGTATTTCTTTCATGCATTTGGAAACTCATGTGCCTGCAGGAATCAAATATTCTAGTCAGATACCCACTAAGAGATGGCCCAACTCATTCTAGGGAGCTTGTTTAAGCTTTGAGGCACTAACTATGCCTGAATGGATGAAAGCATCATGCAAGTAAAAGGATATATAAAGATCATTTAACCCACTTATAAAATTTGGGTGAATCCAGATTTCAAAGATCAGCGAAGAATGTCCATAACAATTATTTTTGTCAGTCTTCGTAGTGGTAAAATTCTTTCGGGCTACAGTGGGAAGATTTTTCATGTAGGAACATGTATAAGGTGAGGTACTATTGAAACACCTCTTGAAATTGATAGGTTCTATCAGTGAGCTCCCTATTCAGTGTACACCTTACATTAATCAATAAACACGGTAAAAGTAATTTGGGATTACAATGGCACAACTGTCTTCTATGCTTCTGGGAAGATTATAATTATACACACAATACCTAAGATATTCCATACGAATTAAGTGTAAACTCAGATGTACACAACCCATGCTAGAGAAGAAAATTTTCATATGAAGCTTCCAAGTGAAAGAAAAGGGGGGGATCAAGCAATTCAACTTAATTGGCAGGTAATTTTAAAGATAGTAAAGACAGTATAGGGGCTTCATGAATCAACTGACCTCCCAAATGCATAATAACGCTAAACGCTTCTCTTAAAAAATATCAAACCAAGAAAAAAAAGGAACAGGAATAGACATGCATCCCGGCAGTCTGCCAATGTTTGCAACAAGGACGCAAAATCACAGCCCAGAACTAAAAGTCCTCACGTTACTCTCTACTACATTTGTTTTGAACACCAAAAATCAGTAGGTTGACCAAATCCACATGAATGACTATGTCCTAGGAATGAAATGCAACCCACAACTAACAAGCACAGCATATTACAGCACATTAAATTCAACACCTCTCACAGAAACTACATCAAATTTAAAGGTAGAGAAATTACACAATACAAAATTGTTGTGGAGCCTTTCTGAAAATCACATCTTTTAGGTCAGGGCATCAGGCATAAATAAATGCACCGAGAATACACACATCCAATACAGAATAACAAAATTGAAGTAACATTCCAAATATTTTTATTATATAATCTAATTTGTACGCTCTGCGAGCTAACAATAAACCACAAAACTCAAGATAATGGAAAAAAACTTAAATGGCATTAAGAACAAAATACTAAAAACATACTAGAGATCTGGAGAAGTGCAGCAGAGTGTACCCTGAGAAAGAGCCCGACAATTTCTAGAAGATAAGCTCAGGCACGATGTCATCCTCGACTGAGCCACCACGCTGTGCAGCGGCAGCAGCGATGCCACACCTCCCAACTCCACCGGTGTTCTAAATCACAATTTAAAATTACCATTTACATGTCAATCAGGTTATCTAATTATAAATAAATAAAACACAATATATACAAATGGATTAGGGTACCTAGACAGAGAGAAGCGGCGGAGGGGTGTGGATGCCGATTTTGACGTGACTGCGGGCCTTGCAAACTCCGTCGAAGATTTTCCGGCATTAAATGAAGCTGGTTTCGGCATGGCAGATCTTAGGGTAGAAATAGAAGACTTCGCGAAAATTCGGCTGCAGCGCGAAGCCATTTGCAGATGGTGTCGATTGAGGAAGAGGGAACGGCAGGAGCTAGATGATGGGATCGCAGGGTTTTGGGTTTAGCGAGAAATTATTATTTAGCCCTTGAAATGTAAATAATGCTTACAACTGCCCTCTGGTTACTACTAATTTTAAAATGCCCCCTTTAATTCACTGTCTTCTTTTTTTATATATAATTATTATTATCTTTTAAATTTAGATTATAATGTAATATGTATTTAATTAAATAAATTTAAAATATATTATAAAAAACTTAAATTGAAACTACAGTAAATATATACTTATTTTTTCTTTTTTTAAATAAATTATATATTTAATTTTTTAAATCAATAACTCTAGTGTGACATTATTATGGAGTGTGCATATATATATATATATATTCAGAAATCTAATTTTATACTCTAGTGTGACATTATTACGGAGTGTGCATATATATATATATATATATTCAGAAATCTAATTTTATCATGTCTGAATAAAGATCACCATTTTTTTTTGTGCTTAATAGCATGTAAAACTCTTAGTCGGACAAATTATATGTAAGCAAAACCTTAAGGCGTCAGACTAAACATGTCTATATGTTTATCGGCTAATACTATTATTGTTGACTTTGAATTAGTGGAGAATTGTTGGTATATTACTATATACGTACATTCTCTCACTTTGAGATATTAAGTTTTCATTTTCGTGGTTTTAGAAAAAGGAAGTGAGAAGAGAAAATGGAGAAAAGTTGATCTTTTTTTCTCCCTTCTTGAGAAAGCTCAATCTCCATAGCTTGATAGTTCAAGGGTGTGTGTCTGTGTTTTTTTTTTTTTTTTATTGAGTTTGAGAAAAAATCGATTTGAATTTGATATTAAAACAATGTTTGATGAGATATTTTGTGAGGAAAAAAAAAGTATAATTTTTTAGTAAACGTGAAGTTCAAATAGTAAAATTTGGAGAAAAAAAAACAGACCTCAAAGTTATCCCTTTTGTTTGATGGATGATTTTTTTGGTATTTTCATGTGAGATTTGGACAGAAAATCTTGTAATGATTGAAAAATTAATGAAATGATTTCTTTTCAATTTTGAAGGTTTTTATTTGAATTGAAATAGCCACAAAACTGCTGAATTTTATGTTTGTTCTAAGGTAAAAAATAAAAAATAAAATAAAATATACGATGTTCTTATTAACGGTTTAAGTTGCTTTTAGGGTTTTAATCCATAAAGTATTTGGTGCATAGAGAGAATAAATTACTGTCAATAAAAAAAGACTCAAGAACCGAGGTTGATGGTTACAAGTGTAACGGGTCGGACGGTTCCTCTTCGAACACCTTCCCGTTGGCCTAGCGATTCTTTGACTCCCTCGAGAACTCGCTAGTGCAGCCTCACACACGACTCCAATACCTGCTAAAAGTAAGAACACTATAAGATGCACCCGGCAAAGTAGAGTGTTTTATTGATTCAAAACTGGAGTGAGTTACAAGTGAGGACTCCTCCCCTTTATATAGACACTCTATCATGGATATGCTAAATCTTAGCAAGATATGGATACGCCATATCTTATCAAATCCATACTTGGATTTGCTATATCTTATCAACCTACGGATATAGATATATAAAGAGATACGGATAATGATATCTAAGAGATATAAATCTAGCGGATAAATATCGACTCGGCTTCTAAAATGTTCCAGAGTAATCCAGAAGGTTCCAGAACATCTTCAAGGATCTCTGCTAGCCTCTCCGTGTTCGTGTGCCGCAGGCCCCTCCTCGGCGCTCCTTTGCAGCTCCCTCGGCATTGCTCGGCCAAAGCTTTGGTCCGCGACACAAGGATGTAACTTGCTTTTAGTGTGGGAGCTGAAGTGGATTAAATAAATTTGATTTATTATTTCTGCACACCTTTATCAATCTTTTTATGGTCGTTCAAATAACTCACAGGAAAACTATCTCAACACTGAACAAAGTTTTGGTGTTTATTTTATACTATGCTTTTATAATAATTATATATTGTTCGGATTGAGGTTTTCATTGAATTATTTTTTCGACATACTTTCGGATTTGAGATCCAACCCAAATTAATAATCTTAGGGTTGCAGAGTCCACTCGACTTCAAACATATATATATATATATATATACTAAATTACGACACCCTTTCATTAAGAATATATATATATATATATTTATTAGAGTAATCTTCTCTTGCTCAAATACCTTTATTTTGTTTTGTGGAATATTTATTTTTATGATAACAGCGAATAGACAATTTAAGAGAAGTAGTAATAAAGCACAACAAGGGTCAAGGTGAATGAGAATATAAATGACAGACAAAAGATAGAAACAGATGTACAAGAAGAGAAGAATTACAGGAAGAAGACCACTTATTTTACTTAGAATAAATATGAAGAATAGTAAGATTTTTATTAATATTAATTGAAAATTATATTAAAATAACACACTTATTTATATTAATGTATATATATATATATTATTTGGTATGGAGAAACGTCCATCTCAAGGTGACGTGATTATAGATAGCATAGCAACCTATGATTCCATGATATTGCCACCCAAATGTATCAATTACAAGAAGTTCCAAGCAGCCATCACAAATCATAATCACATAGCTAACATAACAATTAACAATTTGACATCCTATTCCTATTCCTATTCCTACTTAAGACAATTAGCTTGTATCACGTTTTATTTATTTATTATTATTATTATTATTTATGTGGAACCTGCATCAGCTACTTGAAAATGCGCACTGGGTAAACTTCCGATCGAACTTAATACCCTACAAATTAGGCCCAACAGACAAGTCACACTAGGCGAACAAACTAGGTCTGACAGACAAATCACAATAAACGAAGCATGCATGGCAAATGACCTAAAGACGTCGGGGATTTGAACGAACTCACGGTCATAAGTCCAACCGGACATTTGTTGTGTGGATCTAATTAATTCTAAAAATTTTGTAAGCAATGGATATTTATTTAATTGTTAGCCTAAATTGTCATCTACTTCGGTTGCTTACTGTACTCACCCATAGTGGCCCATCACCACCCAAAATTATTTACTATTTTAATTTATTTTGAAAATAGTAAATAAATAAATACTACTTAAATTATAACATTTCGAATAAAAACGATTCTCTTTTTGTATGCTATAATTATATCAATTGTTTTTTATCTTATTAAATTTATATAACAAATAATATTTATATTATACAATTTTATTTACCTATAATTTATTATTATTATTTTTCTACTTATCACATTATTTTTTTATCATTTATTTAATAATTTTTTTATAATATCTTATTTTACTTTTGATTTACTTTAATTTTATATTAAATATTATTATTTTTATTTTCAAGCACAAATAAAATAACATAATTAATCCGAATTAAAGAAATATTTTTTTAATATAATATTTTTAAAAATATATATTAAATAAGAATAATTTATTATTCTATTTACATATTTTTTTAAAAATTATTTTTGTACAATTCATTTAAAAATTTTTTAAAAAAATTATATTAAATAATTAATTCTTTCGCACAAAATATTAAATTAATTTTCTTTTTATTATTTAAAAGAAAATCCTGCAAATCATATGTAAACTAGCCTATATAACTTAAGATATTTTTAAAAAGTAATACGGAATAATGTGACACGACTAACAAAAGCCCCAAGTTTTTGATTGATTAAGAAATAAGAGTGCATAATATGATTGATTGATGAACAACACAACTCTTTCTTTATTTTTTATTTTAATTTTTTTGTCACTAGGCAAAGTGCAACACTATGTATATATTTATTTTAAAAAATTGTTATTATTCATTAGCAATAACAATTTTTTAATCTTTTTTTTTTTCACAAATATGATATTAAATATTTTAATTCAAAATTTGTAAAAACTCTGCAACTTCCATTTAATCTTTTTTTTTTTTTTTTCAAATAGAACCTAAATCAAAGTGCTCATATACAAATATATATATATTTATATACCTAAATTTAAGACGATTTATCATCGTCATTATTATTATAGTAGCTTGACAAATGACAAGTAACCGCAATTAACATTATATGTATATTAAAGTAGACCTCCGTCACAAAGCAGAGATGAACTATATACATTGAATTGGCTGTCATTTGTCACAATATATAAATTATAAGTTCATTTTTTATTTTATTTTTTTTGTTAGAAATATACTTCTATAGAAATTATTAGTAAAAAAAAAACGAAGCACAAATCCCAAGAAAAAAAAAACAAACAATTCAATTACCTCTTCCATGTTTCCATTTTTCCGTTACGTTCGGCGCCCTTTGTCGCTGTTCATCTTCCTGGCCGCTCTTCCGCTCTCCCCCGCCATCGATTCGCCGCCGGATGTTCACCCTAACAACACATGGAGCCTCTTCGCGCGCTTTCTCGACGCCGAGAAAGGCAGCCGAGTGGACGGCATGGCCGAGCTCAAGCGCTACTTGAGCCGCTTCGGCTATCTCCCGGTCGCGACGAAGAAGATAGGTTTCGACGATTTTTTCGACGAGGAATTGGAGAAGGCTTTGATTTTGTACCAGGAGAATCTAGGTCTATCGGAAACGGGAAAACTCGACCACGAGACGATGAGAGCAATCGTTAAGCCGAGGTGTGGAGTGCGCGATTTCAAAGCCGGCGGGAAACGGCTGAAGGCGGCGAGGAAGTTCGCTTACTTCGTCGGCGATCCGGTGTGGATGCGTTCGCCTCCTTTTCTGCTAACCTACGCCGTCTCGCCGGCGAACACGATTGACTACGTGAGCCTGTCAGAGGTCCGGAAGGCGTTCAGAAGAGCGTTTGCGTCGTGGTCGGCTGCGATTCCGGTTAATTTCACGGAGGCGGAGGACTACGCGTACGCTGACATCAGGATCGGGTGGTTCCACGGCGACCACGGCGACGGCGAGGCCTTCGACGGCGTGTTGGGGGTGCTAGGGCACGCCTTCGCTCCAGAGAGCGGGAGGCTGCACCTTGACGCGGCGGAGCGGTGGGCGGTGAACTTCGACGCCGATTACTCCGACGTGGCGGTTGATTTGGAGTCGGTGGCGACGCACGAGATCGGCCACGTGTTAGGGTTGGCGCACTCGTCGGTGAAGGACTCCATTATGTACCCGAGCTTGAGTCCGAGGACCAAGAAATTGGGGCTCCGCAAGGATGACGTGGACGGTATTCAGTCGTTGTACGGGTCGAACCCGAATTACAGGTACAACTCTCAGTTTGAATCCGACATGTCATCGGGTCGGGCCAGCCGCTTGCAGATGATGCCGCCATTAATGGCGTTAAATGCCCTGATTAGTATAGCAATTTTTATTTATTTTTTCTGATCTTGTACCCATAATTTAGAATTTAAAAATTGTATATACAAAGGCAAGTCAATATATATATATATACACGTACATAAATATTCAAAATGTTTACTGTGTGGATCATAATTTTTCACCAATGCTCGTCGTGAAATTTCAAAGACTCTGGAAACGTCTCTACTCGAATTATTCGATTGCCGAATCACGAGCAAGTTATCTGCACAGTCGCCTCGATTCTTTCCTGTCCAGCGACGGTTTGGATTCGAGGTCGGTTGTCTCTGCCCATGGCTACATTATTGCAACTGGTAATGCACAGAATAGGTTCATAGCCTCGAAGCTGATAGCACTCTATGCATGGCTGAACCAGCCTTGTTCTTCGACGGCGGTATTTGAATCCCTCGGTGTAAAAGATCCTTTCCTTTGGAACTCCATCATCAAAGCTCATTTTGGCAACGGAAACTACGAGCGAGCTGTTGAATACTTTTTTCATATGCGGCTTTGCGGCAGCTTGCCGGACCAATTTACCACTCCGATGGTGGTGTCTGCCTGCGCGGAACTCGGATTGCTCTCCGATGGTATGATTGTTCACGGTTTGGTTTCGAAGTTGAATTTATTTAGTTTGAATTCTGCAGTCGGTGCTTCACTGATGTATATGTACGTAAAATGTGGGGATTTGGAGGATGCCTGCCATGTGTTCGACGAAATGGCTGTGAAAGATGTGGTTGCTTGGACTGTGCTTGTGGTCGGGTACGTGCAGGCTGGTAAGAGTTACAGAGCTTTGGAGTGCCTTCGTGAGATGCACAGAAGTGGCGGAGATGGTGAGAGGCCGAATTCCCGGACATTGGATGCCGGTTTCCGAGCTTGTGGGGATTCAGGTGCATTGTCGGAAGGTAGGTGTTTGCACGGATTGGCGATTAAATCTGGATTTGCATCCTCTTATCTAGTTCAGTCTGCAGTTTTGTCGATGTATTCGAAATGTCAGAGAATCGACGATGTTCAGGTTTCGTTCTGCGAGGTTGTGGACAAGGATTTGTTCTCATGGACGTCACTTGTTAAAGCTTATGCAAGGATTGGGCGTGTTCGCGAATGCTTTGAGATGTTTCAAAGGATGGTAGCTAGCGGGGTGTATCCGGATGGGATGGCGATTGGTTGTCTGTTGTCTGGTTTTGCTAACTCCATGATGGTATTCGAAGGGATGGCCTTTCATGGTTTCATCTTAAGGAGAAAGTACGAGGTTGATCGTATTGTTCGTAATTCTCTGCTGTCAATGTATTGTAAGTTTGGCCTTGTGACTCTTGCAGAGAAGATCTTCTATGGAGGTTGTGATCAGGACAAGGATGCCTGGAACTTGATGATCGTTGGCTATGAGAAATCGAGATCAGAGATGGAATGCATAAAGTTATTTCGTGCAATGCAGCACCAAGGTATTGAATCCGATTTGAACTGCTTAATATCTGTTATATCTTCCTGCTCAAGATTGGGAGTGATTAACTTTGGGAAGTCTATACATTGCCATGTTATGAAAACTTTCGCGTGTGAAAATGTTTCGGTGGCAAATTCGCTTATAAGCATGTATGGAAATTGCGGTAACCTGTCTGCAGCGCAGAGTTTATTTTGTCGAACAGCACCAGACATTGCGACGTGGAATTCTCTTATATCATCTTATGCTGTTAATGGAAGCTTCTTTGAGGCTTTAAACATATTGTTCGAAATGTTTTCGAAAGGCCTGAAGCCCAATTCTGCGACGCTGGCTATCTCGCTGTCTGCGTGCGCTCAGAGTGCGTCGTTGGAACAAGGAAGAAAAATTCACGACTACATCAGAGAAGCGGGATTTGGATACAGTGTCTCTCTTGGCACAGCATTGGTTGATATGTACGCAAAATGTGGTGAAATCAACACGGCTAAAGAAATCTTCGACGCAATGGAGGAAAAGGATGTCGTATCTTGGACTGTGATGATTTCTTGCTACGGAATGCACGGGCAGGGGAAATCTGCAGTTCGGATATTCCAGGAAATGGAAGAAAGCGGCATGAGACCACACGATCTTGCATTTCTTGCTGTCCTCTCGGCGTGCGCACATGCTGGATTGGCAGATGACGCCGAATATCTATTCGATAGAATGAAAGGGTATTCGATTGCCCCAACGCTGCAGCACTATGCTTGCATGGTGGATGTTTATGGGAAGTTAGGCCGTCTGCACGAGGCTGAGTCGCTGATTTTGAAGATGCCTTTCCCTCCCGATGGAGGCATTTGGGGCTCTCTCTTAACTGCCTGCAAAACTCATAACAATGCCGAGATGGGCGTGAAGATAGCGAAGCGCGCCATTGATGTTAATCCAGAGAATGACGGGTACTATATTTCGTTGTCGGATTTTTACAGCTCTATGGAGATGTGGGAAGGGGTAGAGCAAGTGAGACAGATGATGAAGGATAGAGGAGTTAGAAAAACTATCGGATGGAGCACCGTGTAGTAACCTATCCATCGATGTGTATACCTTAGGTTATTAATGTTGAAACTACGCAATGGCATGGTTGGATCGGCATCGAGACCCTGATCGGGTATTGATTTCTTCCTTTTACTTACATTCTATTATTCGTGGAGTATAAATTAACTTTTTTTTCTAATATTTGATTATTGTCATATGTTGTCATTTGTTCGAATTCGAAAAAAATGCTGAAGATAAGCTGAGGTTAAGACCTGGAGAGCCTCCTTGGTCATGAAGGTCTCCCACAAATGTTTGAAAATGGCTTGTGCCAATTAAGGTATGGTTATTGTTACATTAAATATTTGATATATTTTATTACTATTCGAATTTTTTACTATATTGAAAATACAATATACAACAAGACAAATTGAGTGGAAAGAATTGCTGGGTTATAATAGAGTGACAAATGGAAAATTGTAAAATATGTATGAGGTTATATTTTATTTGCTTCACATCAAATTATTGGTTCTTAGTTTTAAATTCTATTGTGATTTTGATTTATTGTCGGAATATCACATCAAAAAGTGGCCAGTGATGTCATCATTAATTACTTCTTTTAAGAAAAGAAGGGAATATCATGGTCTTAAAAAAGAGTTGATCATAGTCAAAAAGCCTAATTGCTGACATTGCCACTTTCCATTATGAAATGGGAGAGACAAATCACAAAATCAGAATTATGTTGATGGATAATCCAACTCTGCTGATGTCAAAATCAGCCTATGATTTCGATATCTGATTTTAACATAGCAGGTATGTTTTTTTAGCAATATTTTTTTAAATTTTATTATCTAAACTTTGTATTTTTTTTAAAAAAAAAAAAAAATTTCTCATAAAATATTTTATCAAATATTATTTTCATACAAAATTCAAATCAATTTTTTTTTTAAATTAATCGAAAGAAACACACTCTAATTTTTTATTTTTTATTTTTTTTGTTGGAATTAGCATTAGCAAACGCTTGTTAAAATTTTGAATTCTAATGATTTGACATTTGAAAATATCTGAACCCATAATTATGTCCTTCCTTCTGTCACATCATTACAATATGGTTACTGGTCACTAAAAATTTCTCAGTACTCTCGAATAAATGTTGCAAATCCTGGTCTTAATTTTAATTTTGAATTTCATCGTGCATTTTGTGTTACTAAGATTGTAATCTTAAATTATTTGTTAAATATACTGGGTGTGTTTGTTCAAGAATTGAATTTTAAATACACTATTCATCCCTTTTTTTTTTTCAAAAAATATCAAATCATAACATCTATTTTTTATTTTTTATATTATACTAAAAATTAATTTTACATTCAAAACATCACATCAACGCCTATCTATATTATATCATAGTTCAAATTCAACCCAAAATTTAAAACCCCAAACAAACACACCCTATAATTATTATACATTAGAAAGTACAAATTGGAGGCTGTTTTCCAATTGGCCCACTGAAACTAAAATATACCTAAAATCTATTTCTAAAGCCATAATCAATTTTCCTTCATGACAAAAAATGTATGTATAATAAAATAAATCTCTAGAAATTGGCAGATAAGACCAGTCTCCTCCTCCTTAGTTTAAGATGCCGACACCTTCCATCATTTATGAAGACATTTATTATCACTAAATTGTCTTGATTACTACACAATTATAATAAATCATCCCATAATGACATGCAACATTCTCAATTTTATTTAATTTGGGCATCGAATTATAACGGAAATTCATTAAATTTCACATCTCTGTCTATCCTTGTTCTTGATATTGAAAGAATGGAAAGGAAAAGGCCCTGCTTTGATATTTGCAAGAGGATGATTCATTACATAAATTTAAATTAAAATGTTAATAATCTATAGTTAGTTGTAAGAAACTGAAATAGAAAGAAACTATTTTGAGTGCATTAATTTTAAATTAAGAAAGATATGGATGGGAAAATGGATTTATTCTCATTTCTCAACATTAATAATAAAAACCAAAAAGAATCAAGAATGAAGGACCATAGAGAGCCGAGCCGAGATGCATATATGGAGTTACATTAATATTTTTTTTAACTAATTCCCATTTATTGTGTTGCCTCTTTCCTTTGAGTCGATTCAAAAATAGCTGAGAAAATCCCTGATTAGGGTTTTCTTCTTCGGGGGATCATCACATCACATCACATCACATCAGCTCCTGCGCCTCATTTTTTGTATTTGGGCCTCCTCCGCTTGAGTGCGGGTTTCGTGGTTTTAATCGTTCCGTTTGGGGTTCTCGTTTTCGATTGATGTGCGCAGTAATATGAAAAAGAGGGGGCGGAATGGGCGTGGCTAACAAGGCCTGGAGGTGTGGTGGGGGTGTGCTGGTAAATAATCTCGCTGCTGAGATTCTCCAGCAGCAGAAGCTAAAGCAGAAGCACCAGCTATCGCCGCGGCCACAGGAGCAGAATTGCTGGAATTGTTCGCCCTGGAGGCGGCGGACGGCGGTGCCCTGGACGGTGGTTTGTGGGCTGCTGCTCTTCACGGTCGGGCTTATATCGCTGTTCACGGGACACGTGGCGTCTGATCTCGAGTGGTCGCAGCGCCTCGTCAAGCGGACTTGGTACTACAAGAAGGTACAAGGGCTCGATTTTCAGCTGAATTTCATAGCCACGTGTGGAATCAGTTACTTATTCTTCCTTAATTTTTCAGGTCTTGTTGGTTTCGTTTTGTTTGTGTGTTAGTCTGTCTGACATTCTCTTGGATTAAGTTGGAGTGGCTTTATTTATCTTGGCTTCGATTTGTCAGAGTTTTTGGGAAAAGATTGTGCTTTTGTGATCACATTTTGTCACGAAATGCAGACCTTTTTATGTGATTGTTTGTTGTTATCCCTGAGCATTATTATATTCTGTCATATCTTGTATCTGATTTTGGGCAAGATTCCTTTTTTACCTGTGGACTTGTATATTCAGAGAAAGTTTTTGTTAGATTCTGAAAATAGTAGCTAGAAGTTTCTTGTACTGATATTGAGTTCGAAGTGGGAGTTGAAAATATATATATATTTGAAGGAAATGCTTTGGGATTAAATGTTGTGACAAGTTTTGTATGTTTTGGTTCGTTCTTCTGTGCAATTTCATTCCTAATTAAGCTCATATGTCGGATGTAGTTGTTTTTTATGATTAAAACTACAACTATGGTGAATTATGCATAATGCTAGTTTACGTCTGTGGGTATATCGGCTATATAATGTTAACTAACACTGTTGCAAACATGTTAGGTTCATTAATTGCTATATATTTTTACTCTTCTATATGTATCTATGTAGAATAATTATGATCAAACTCACACATTTCTTGATTTTTATTTATGTAGAATAGTGGATATCGGGTTCCAGTTGATATATGGAAATCACAGTATTCAAGCTTTTATTATGGCTGCAGTGAAAGACGCCGCCATTTTGCACGTAAGTTAGCCTTATCTTTCCCAAACTTCATACATTTGTGAAAGTAAATCGCTAATGTGGTTGTTCCAGGACAAACATGGAGGTGATTGAACTTGAATATGAAAACATTTTTATTAGGTGACAGGTGTAACATATAGAAGATAGAGTAGTTATTGCTCTGGGCACTCTGGTCTTACCTGATGTTCTTCCAAGTAATGTTTAATGAGATCGGGGACATATGTCCATTAACTATTACTGCTAGTACTAACAATAACCAGCAATAAGACAGCATTGAACTGGAATTGAGAAACAACCCCCACAAAGTGCCCATTGGTTATTAATTTTTTTTACTCGTTCATTGTGAATTCAATTGTGTTTGCTGTTTTATATCTCTTATTAGTGAAACAGTGGGAAGATATGATCTAACTTCAGTATATATGAATCTACAGCTGCTGTACGCGAACGTTTTTCAAATGGCTACTTACTTATTGCAACTAGTGGGGGGCTAAACCAACAAAGGACAGGGGTAAGTGTGTTCTTGCACTGTCTCGGTCTTGTTTCATAAGTATCAGATTTCTCTTCACATCTTTGAGATTGGAGTTATTTTTTTTTGGTTCTATATTGTTTCATTTCTCTGATAGTCAATCTAAAATTAGTGATCATTTGTGATTTTCAGATAACTGATGCTGTAGTTGTTGCAAGGATTCTAAATGCTACTTTGGTTGTGCCGGAGTTGGATCATCATTCTTACTGGAAGGATGACAGGTTGTTTGAGATTTCAGCAAATTAAGTGATTTTTCCTGTTTGCTTGTTTTTGTAATGTTAGTTAGCTGCTCCTGTTAGAGCCCTCTGGTTGAGAAATAATTCTTCTTATTATCATTTTAATATTGTTTCACCATTGGGTCATTCAGTGGGTTCATTTGTTAGATTGAGCTTTATTTAACTCATGTTATTTGCATTTCCTCATCCAAAAGTTCAATTGCCGTGCAGTGATTTCAACAACATCTTTGATGTTGATTGGTTCATCTCTTATCTTGCCAAGGATGTTCCAATCATAAAGAGAGTACCGGAAAAAGCAATGAGGTCCATGGACAGACCGCCTTATACGATGCGTGTACCACGAAAATCCGAACCTGACTATTATCTGGAACAAGTGCTTCCTATTCTACTGAGGAGACGGGTAAGTGACCATTGTTTAATTTTTTTGCTTCTAATTTCCTTGTCTGCAAATCTCATAGTTTGTCTAAGACAGTATTTGTGTGTATGCGTATTTTTAGGTGAATAACCTGAATATATTTGGATCTTTACTTATATTAATCACTATAACTGCCTGTCTACCGAAGAATTTTCTTGGAAATAAATACTTTACTCATTTGCTCGGTCAGTAATTCTGTCCCTTTAACCATTTAAACAAGTATTTGCTATTAGTCTTTCTTCCTTGCATGTTTTTTTCCTTTTAAGTTTTTCTCTGTACCAATTCATGATCTACAATGCAAGTTTAAACTTACCTCTAATGAAAAATTTGCTGAGCTTTTGATCTCTTATGGCTTTGAAATAGTATCTTAAAAGTAGTGTCGAAGTCATTACCAGGATTTTGTTTGTCTGTGCACAGGTTCTTCAGTTAACAAAGTTCGATTATCGGCTAGCCAATGAACTTGATGAAGACCTGCAAAAGTTGCGTTGCCGTGTCAACTATCATGCTTTAAGGTTTACCAAACCTCTAAGGAATCTAGGCCAGAAAATTGTAAATCGCATGCAGAAAATGGCAAAGCGTTTTATAGCTGTTCACTTGAGGTTTGAACTCTTTGCTCAGAAATGTTCATATATCTCAAATCTTTCTTGACTAGGAAGCATCTAAATTGAAAAAGATGAGATCTCTACCTAGCTGTTTACTGGATATTGGATTACTTTCTTTCTCTGCATAGACTTGTAATTTGTTCACTGAATAACCGACATATATTTTGTTCTTCTTAATCATCTCAATTGCGTAAGAACTTAATTTAACTTCACACAATTGCCAATGGAAAGGAAAATTCTTGGATTTTGTGTTCCAAAGAATGTACCTTTGAGAATTCATTCTCCATTGCTTGTCATGATGTAATTTCAGGTTTGAACCGGATATGCTTGCATTTTCTGGGTGTTACTATGGTGGGGGCGATAAAGAGAGGCGTGAGCTGGGGGAGATAAGAAAGCGGTGGGAGACGTTACCAGTAAGATTTCGATATATACTTGTCTTGTTGAAACACATTCATAAGAAATATCTGAAGCAAAGTTTTGAGCCTTTTTGCCAGGATTTAAGCCCGGATGAAGAGCGAAGTCGAGGGAAATGCCCCTTGACCCCTCACGAAGTAGGTTTACTGCTGCGTGCCCTCGACTTTGACAATAACACGTATATTTACGTTGCATCTGGTGAAATATATGGAGGAGATGAAACTTTGAGGCCCCTCAAAGAGCTCTTTCCAAACTTCTACACAAAAGAGATGCTGGCTGGCAACGAGCTGAAACCTCTTCTTCCCTATTCTTCTCGTTTGGCTGCCATAGACTATATTGTCTGCGATGAAAGTGATGTTTTTGTTACCAATAACAACGGAAATATGGCGAAGATTCTGGCTGGGAGAAGGTATGCATATGAAGAGAAACAGGCTATTTTAATGACTCAAGTTCGGTTAGGTTTATCACACTTTCATCCCTCCCCTTGTATACTTTCAGGAATTTTCCTCACATCATCTTTCTTGTTGTCGATTATCTTATATGAAGGAGATACATGGATCACAAGAGGACAATAAGACCCAACGCGAAAAGGCTTAGTGCTTTGTTCTCGTCACGTGATAAAATGGAGTGGAGCACGTTTTCAAGAAAGGTGAAATCAGCCCAGAGAGGATTCATGGGAGAGCCGGAAGAGATGAGGCCTGGAAGAGGGGAGTTTCATGAGTACCCGTCGGCATGCATCTGCCAGAAACCATCCAAACTTTTGGCCATAAACAGGAATAGATTTCAGAATGTTTCTCAGGAGGAGTCAACAGATGAGTATGTTGTTGGTAAAGAGCAGAGTAAAAGGAGTTTCCGGAAACCCGAAAAGAGCCAGCGTAACAGTGGAAATAACGACACTTCTGCTGGAGACGAGACTGATCATGAAGAAGATTTTTTGTCTGATTAGATGACAAGCAACTCGGAGGTTACACTGTCCTAATCCTTACTTCAATCATCCTTATATCTATCACATCATTCTCTATATTAGCCTCGTTTGTGTTAGCCCTGCTGCTTTATATTATTCCCTTGCTCTGCCCACAAAAGGGAACCAAACACAACACAGAAGTCTACACTTAAATGCCTGTATAGCTCGCCTGTGGCTTTCACCTTTTAATTGTTCATATAGATACATATATATATATATATATATAAGCTCCATAAGTGGGGTGGGTGGTTCAGTGCCTAGGCCTCTGCTGCCATGCTACTGTTATGTTTCTTGAAGTGGTATTTTGTCTACTGTTTTTGTAATGGAATTCAGTTTGTGTTACATTTAGCAATTTTATTATGCTTACCTATAACAGAATATCTATAAACCATAATGTATAATCTCAAACTCTACCCTATGGAGCCAGAAAATATGACATAATTTCCATTATAATGTTTCCAAATGGGGGCTAAAGTAAAATTCAAAAACCAGAAGTATATAGTAATGATCAAACATAAGTCAGTCCTATAATTTTAGATTCAGAGTTCCTGCTGCAATGCAAACGGTGACAAACATAGAGCCTCCTTACACAGAGCTGCTACCGGAGGGCGCGGACGGGCACAATCACGAACACGAAAGTCGGGTACAGAAAGTCTGCAACATCTAGTTCTATATGCCACAACTAAAACCAATATTAACATCTACCACCTCAATTCTTCAATTTTACAGTGAGACATGACAGTGAGTGAGCAATTGCATTCTCACTCTATATTGAGACTTTACAGATAAATCTACTTCAACAGCAGCTACATTCCATCATTTGCTCATTCGGCGGCCATTCTTCTCCACTCGCCGAATACAATCCTCATTCCCTGCCAACCCCGAAAGCAGGCAATCAATTTTATATGGTTGATTTAGCAGTGAATGAATGGAGACTATTGGTTTCCATTGTTTACCTCTGGTTTGGCCTCTTCTTGTGACTCCTGGGGCCTTTGTCATGCGAGGTCGATGGGAATTTTGGGATCACCATTGAACTTTGAAGACCTTCCAACAGCTGATAAATAAAGCAAGAATAGCAAACAAATGAAGTTAAGCTATGGCAATGCAAGTCTTGAAACAGTGCAGAAGCATTTCATTTCGTTTAATATTTAACTTCCAAGAAATCCTATTTGACAATAAATTATCTTCCACAAGACTAATAGACTAATACAGGACAAGGCACATGCAGGTAGAAGGGTTAATTGAAAGAGAAATAAGAAAACATTACCCGTGAGGTCGGCTGGATTCGGCGATTTGATCGGCGCCGTTCCGCAACATCAGAGTTCACTCCCTCATTCGCTTCATCCTTCAATGATTCTTCGCTGGTTGATGCAGGTTTTCCCTGGTTGTTGCGCTCAGTATTAGCGTTCCTTGTTACTTTCTTACGGTTGTCCGGCAGCACATCTTGAGAAGATGATGGCATAGTCTCTTCAGAAGTCGCCTCCACATTAGTGAAAGATCCAAACTCAGTAATGTTTTGTCCACCAGAGTCATTCTCTTCATGACTCGTGGATCCCACTAATGCCTGATCAGACACTGTAGCATCATGCTCATTAGCCTGTGAAGATGTTGAGCCATCTTTCTTGGGAACGTTTTTACTTGGAATGCTTGGGGGTTTGCCAGACTTGGGGGCTTTTGTTTTAGACTCTGCAACTTGCTTATCCTTTGCATCAGGTTTAGATTTATTTTTTGTTCCCCAAGTCCCTGATACTTGAGGATTCAAAATTTTGGCTAACTTTGTTGAGTCGCTAAGTACACTAGCCTTGCTGCTCCCCTCGGAGACATAATGTTTACTCACTTCCATAAATTTTCTCCTTTTCCCAGGTTTAGGGACACCAATCACTACTCTAGGTGCTTTCTCTGAAGCCGGTTTCTTTGTCTTTGTCCTGCCAGTCTTGGGCTTATTCTGCTCCTTTGTGCTACCTACATTAAACACTTTATCACTAGCAGATAAAGGCAGTCCTGGTTTTTCATTTTTCCCTGCTTCTCCAAAAGTAAGGCTTTTAGCCATTTTAGCACCCCCCTTCATCTCAAAAGCTCCACCCAGCCTCACTCTCTTCTCATCAGGTGTATCGCCCTGAACACAGGTAAGACAGCCTAGTTGGAGCTCAGGAAATACACAGTTTTCTAACTAATGGTTACATATACACAAAATGAAACCTGCAAAGTGCTGTCATGTCCAGGTCTGCACCATTCAGTCCATTGTCCGTTACTCCACACCAATGTTGGCCGTAGATGCCACAATTTGACGGATAATGTATCTCTTAAATCTACATACACCACAGAGTCATCTATGCAGCTACAACTACACAACACAAATCTCAAATAGAAAATTAGTTAATGTGTAAAGCTATACCAGGAAAATGTATATTCAATGCTGCTGCATCTTTTGGATTCTTTTCTGCAACAATCCCTTCACACCAGCTGAACAGGCATAAGAACCAAGAGTGATTATTAATGAATTCAGTCAAATATAAGAAAGATCTTTCCCATATTCGCTCAACCTCCCACACAATTCTAGATTTTCATTACAATAATAGAAATGCAAACTAACTCCTGCAACAATTCTATCAAGGATATTTAAAAACAATAAACAATAATAAAAATAAAAAATTAATCTAAATGAATAGATTATCTCTGCAAAATAATTACCAAGGCTGGGTTAACAAATCCCTCCTATGAAAATTCAGAAAACAGTGTCAAGTATAAGCATATTATCACATTTAATGTTATCTTCGACATATCATATAAAAGATGGCCATTCATTAAACTAACATGAACGTACCAATCTTGAACCCATGCGTCGACTCTGTCTCCAGTAACCCAAGTATAATCCTTGGCAGCCGCTCTGCGTCTCTTTCTTGTTCCTTCAGATTGTACAGCAGACATAGGATGGGGAATACGTATTTGGGGAGCATTGCCATCCTTAGCTTCTAATGAAACCCACTCCTTCAGCAGTTCTGACCCTATACAGAAAATATATATTATTTTTTTATAGTGTATACACAAATTAATATGTATTTTACTTTGATACATATGAATTCATTAACTTTCAAAAGAAGCTCAACAGTCTCCACCGCCAAAAACATAATTACACTATCAGGATTTTGTCAATTGAGAAATATGATAATACCAGCAGTAGTCTATGAAATTAGGTATCCCATACAATTACTGGCCAAACTGATCTATGATTTTTATTACAAAAATTCCTCTATATACTTAAAGCTTTTCAACTATTGTTCAAAAAATAATAAATAATAAAAGAACAAGGAGAGAAGCCAGTCGTTAACAAAATTCAAAAAAAAAATAAACAAAAAACCCGGAAGTCATAAAAATGAAAAGTGACTCAACCACATTAACTCTTTGAAATGTGCTGAACCAGTCAATAATTTTGTAACAGTACTTGCAAGATTACTAGCTCCCATGGAACATACTAAAATCAGCAGCTGACCTTCATCAGATTTAAGTTCTGTGTAACAAACTAGGGCATCAGCTTCCTTCACAGTCAATACAGTGGCTGTGAACCAGGCCTTTAAGTCACCACGATTTTTAAGAACCTGCAAAACATAGAAAAGGAAATCTTTCACGCATATGCCCATACATAGATGCTACAGAGTAAGCACCTCACAAACCTCAACATAGGAGCTCTCTTTTATACTCGGTACACTGTCTGTATCAGACCAAATACCAGGAAATTTAGATCCATTGGATGCCTTGTTATCCTTCTGGGGCTTAGAATTCTTCTCTCCATTCTTCATAGATGCTATGACATTACCTTCAACTGTGACATGATCAGGCCCTAAATTTCTGGACGAGTCTCTTTCAATAGGTGACACAGCATTGCTTATCACATGCATATTCAGATCAGACTTCCCATGTTGGCTCATATAAAAATTAGACACTTCACCGGCATTGCTACTGATAGATTTGTTTACAATCAAATTCCCGGGGTTTGAGCCAGGAGGGGCAACCACCTGCAAACCTTTCAAATAATTACTTGGCCCAGCCATGGCAAGATCACTTAAACTGAAATGATCATTCAAGGTGACAATTTTTCCAGCATGTGAAACTGCTTCTGCAGCCAATTCTGCAGCTTTTACAATGGCATCAAGATTTTCAGCTTGCCTTGTGGCAGTCGAAGCAGCTTCAATTCTTTTCCTAGTGGCCTCCTTGGCAGCAGATATCACTAAACTGGAAGCATTGTTCCAGTTTCCTCCCTGTAAAATGGAAAAAGGGGATACATCTGGCAATTTCATTGCATTGGAAGTTAAAACTGCACCATAATTGGTTGTGCTGGGAAGCCCAGATTTGGCAATAACCTCATCAGCCATCTGCTTAGCTTCCAACGCAGCTGTTGAAGCAATCTTGGCAGCTGCAGCAGCTGCCTTTGCAACAGCAGCAGCTGCTGCTATTTGTACAGCAGCAGATGCTACTTGGTACTCAGTTTCTGCACTCAAACCAGAGTTTTTGTGCTGGTTTAACTGGTTCCACATACCTTCACACTGGCTAATGGCTGCAGCAGCGAGGGCTGCAGCATCCTCTGCCTGTGATCTGGCCTCCTTCACTTTGCCCAGACTCTCAACATTCAGCATCATCTTGTCAATATTTGAATCACATCTATTCATGCAATCAGCTGTAATTGATGATGGTACCACAGACAAAAACTGGTTTGTGGTATTTTTAGATATCAAGCTAGAAGAGTTTGCAGCAGAAACTGATGCTGTATAATGACTCTCAATAACAGATTTAGGAATTAGGCTTGCCTGATTATGACCAGTCAAAGAGATTTGATTAAACCCCTCAACTCCAGGAGTCCTCTTTGATAATTGATTAGATACCAATGGAGCAGACTGAGTATCCACTTGAGAAGTAGGAACAGGAATCTGTAACACATCATCGCCAGAAGACTTTTTTCTCTTCCTAGTTTTTGTATCAGAAGTCTGTCCACCTGATGATTTCACCCTTTTAGAATCAAGAGAAGGAGTCCCAGTAAAAACAGTGGTTGCTGCAGTCAGCGTCACGGGAACAGGAAGTGAAGGAGTCCCAGCAAAAACACTTGTTGCTGCAGTCAGTGTAGCAGGAATGGGAGATATGTGCTTTGTGCCCGCGCCGATTGGCAAGAATGCTTCCTTGGCTGGAGTTAATTTTACTGGCTCCATGATTGTAAAATTAGGATAGCTAGTAGTGATATCAAAAGGAGAACTTAGCGACGAGGCAAGCCAGGGTACCGGAAAGGAAGCCTGCAAGGGCCCAGAGGTGTGTGCTACATAATTCCTTATAGGTGGAATTTGGCTCGGATTCAAGGGTGAAAGAGCCTGATAATCAAAACTGGAGCTTTTGGTCATGCTGCTCAATGGCAGTCCCTCACAAGATGGGGTTGCCATATTCCACAAGGGCGATGAGAGAGGCATCAAGGGATTAACAACAGGAGATGGGATGGGCTTTGTGCCTCCTCGACTAGTCGCAGAGGGAATCACTTCGCTTTCAATGGAACTCTGTCTATTAGTTTGATCTGGAGTTTTAACACCTGAAGTTTTGGAATCAATACACAATCATCAACCAACAGCCAAAGGAAAAGCAGATGTAACAGTGCTGTATAAGATACCTGGCCGTGAAGGTAGTGGAGTTTCACTATTGGTTCCCTGGGATTTCTGATTCTGAAGCCTTTCAACACAAGCACGCCAAGAAACCTCCCAAATGCTCCTGCCTCCTTCTTTTAAAAGGAATGTCAAAATTTCATGTTGTCAGCAACATATTTAGTATAATTTATTAGTTTGTCAATTCCTACAATAACATGAATGGGAAGAAAAAGAAAAGATATTAAGCGAAAGCCTAACTAACCGCTTGTGCCAAAGGCAGAAATCATACAAGCTTCGTCAGGTGCAACTCCTTGTCTGCAAATTTTTTAGAGAAGAAAGTAATCTTTAATATAAACTCAATAAATCACAAATTGAGCCACACTGCAGTCACATAAAGTTTTAGAATTCTCTTTTCAAATATATATTCATCTAAGCAAAAACACTTCATTTAAAAGAAAAAAAGTAACTGAACTCACATTAGAGATCCATAAACAAATATTTGTGCACGCAATTGCACTTGTTGTAAATCCGTAAAAGGCTGCTGAAAAAATGCAGATGATTGACCAGAAGAAGTATTCAGATCAGGCAGGCCACAGGTAGGCACAGAAACAGCACCCCTCGGCTTCAGAACACTTTCAAATGCCATGAGTTGACCAGCACCTAAAGGACTCAACAGCTGAGATGATTTACCCCCTTTATCCGTGTGCCTCAGTGGAGGGATTTCTTTATTCACCTTTTTTGCACTACCCCTTGCAGATTTACTACTGCCACGCCTTGCTTTCCGCTCAGTAGTGCCTCCAGATGGAGGGCCAGCACTGGTGGTTACAGAACTAACATGAGGACTTTCAGTAACCACCACCGCATCCATCAGACTGCCACCTGCTGATGAAGAGGATCTTTCCCCAGCCTTCATAAACAATACAAATCAAAAGAACATTAAATACAACATATGTAAAAAGAACGATGAAAAATAACTGAGAAGAAAAAAAAATGTAAACATGGACAGTTTTAAGTTATACCAATGCCATTTTGCAAGCTTGAATTCTAGGAAATGATTGCAAACCCATAGAAAAATCTCCTGTAGACTGAACCCCCTGCTTTTTCATCTCAAAAGTAAAGGGTCCCTCATCTTTGGATGAAATAATTGCTCCTGCAGTTTCGGATTTTGTCAGAATTTCACCAATGCTTTGTGCATTGATCCTTTCAAGGGATGCTTTTTTGTTCATATCATCTTGAGCGAGACCACTGAGACCGGTGCCAGGATCAGCAGCCTGGATAGATCTTTCAATTTCAACAGTACAGACAGCAGCTGCAAGCACATAAACCAAATTCAAAATCATTCATGAAATTTTCTAGAAATCCATATAACACTGCATGGAAACATTTTATGCGACCCTTTATTTTCCAGCCGTACAGTGGAAGCAAAATTGCATCACACCCACACCCTCTTCTATCAACATGCATTAAAAAGCTTAATCAAATAGGATACTTTTTAGAAATGCTAACAAGCATCAATACGCATAGAAATCTCAGCTAAAAAGATCATCATATAAAGCATATATATGGTAAAAAATTAAAATAAGATGAACTTCCTCATGTGATCTCAATGATAAGTATGAAGAAACTCATATCTTACCATAGAAAGAACTTTCATTTATTTATAATTATATAGATATATCCAATTACAAGAATTCTACACTTGAAATAATATTCTAACTGGAACATTGCATAAAAACTTGGCCGAAACAAACTTATACCAACAGTTGTAAATTTCTTTATAGAATTACCAGAAAAAGAATCAGGGGGAAGTTCTCAAAATATCTAACTTCATTAAATTTAGAAAATCACAGCAATGTATACAGACACCGTGTGTTTCAGTATGCTAAAAACAAAAAGAAACTCCATCTCCAGGCATGGAAGATAAATACAGAACCTCTTAATCAGTGGAAAGGTTTTATAGAACAAATGACAATAGTTTAGCCTGTATTTCTTATTTGGCTCTATTATGTCATGGAAACATGGCATCAATAGCACAGAGATTAATCACCTGACATACTTGAAGACTTCATCCCATGATCTTTTTCCTTCTTTGCTTCAAGTAGACCTTCAATAGGCCCACCTTCAGCACCACCATCTTGGACCATAAAGTTGTCCACGGGGTGTCCCACCGTTTTATTCAATTCCACACATGTAGCATCAGGAGCAGCCGCAGCTGAAGTCTCACCCAACAAAATAGATTGCTCATTCATCCTTGTACTTTCAGCTGCTGAATCAGGCTCCTTCTCAATGGCCACAGGGATGGCAATCTTTGTTGACATCAAAACCTCCTCTGAAACTGAAGTATTTGGTTGTTCGAGAACATCAGAATCATTTTCTTTACTCTGAATTACATGTCCCTTGTCACGTGAAGGTGTGTTGCTCTCATGAGAGTCACCCAAATTAACACCTTCAATGCAAGATAGAGTAAAGTTAGTATCATTATCTTCAGTATTCAATTTTGCATAGATCATTTAATTAATACTGGAATAGAGTATTTAGGTGGAAAGAAGGGCATGAGTAATGCACCTGGATAATCCCCAGCAGAATTGGTTGGTTGTAATCCAATTGTCGTCTTAGTGTTACCTTCACCTGAAGAAGCTTGCCACATTTTGTCATCGTGAGTGGAATTACTAGAATCAAGTGACAATATCTCGTCCTTTTTCCCCTGGACAGAACCAACTAGGTCATCCTCTTGATTGTCCACCTGCATGGAGGTAATATCTTCCTTGCATGTCTGCAAGCTCCCAGCTGTTGATGGAGAGGAAACATGATTCGCTTCCTTTACAATGTCCTTCTGAGTTGCAGATGAATCTAGGACATTTATTGCATCACCGAGCACTGATTTCTCTTTACAACATTCAACAGCACTAGACGTATCTTTCAAGTTACCCACATCATCGGCAGGATTAGTGTTTTTGTCATCATCTTGCTTAGGAGAAGTGCTTAGGACCTCATGGAACACAGAAGGCTCGACAGTTGAATCTGGACCCTCAAGAGAACTGTTGCTTCCAAGGACATCATCGTCATCACCACCACTTCTGATCCTATCTGATGACTGAATAACAGGACTATCATTTGTAATTTTGTCATTATTTGTAGGGGATGCAACATCAGAGCCATTTATTCTGTACCCCACACCACCTTCTCCTTCAATGGACACAAATGATCTTCCCGGTAATATGCCACAACTTTCATCCAGATGCTTAGCATCTGTGCCAGAAGAGAGAACCACCGTCTCATGTTGACTGCCAGCCGCAGGTTCATTAAGTGCAACCTCATTGAATCCATCTGTGCATACAGATTTACCTACACTGGGTACACAAGAAACATCCTCACCGCTTTTAACATTAACTTCTACTGCTTGTTCTTCTTTTGAGGATTCCACCTTTGACTGATTCACACTAGGTAAGTAATCCAATATGCTACCAGTTTCAACAACCCCTTTCAACCTCTCATCATTTTTTTCACACTGTTCTTCCTGTTCCTTTACTGTTGCATCAGAAATACATTCAGCTATGCAACTTGCATTTACAGTACCAGAACCACTAATCTTATCCTGATCATAGAACTCCTTAACACTAACAACATTGCTCTGAGAAGTGCTTCTTGTAAAGTTGATATCTGTGTCAAGAATAGGAAAGTTTCCTTGCACTTGATTCGGCTGAGAATCATTCACCAAGTCAGAACCGTCCACAGGTTTATCATGCACATTTTTCATATCAGAATTCAAGTTCTCTGTGGTTATCGTGATATCGTCTTTGCTATCGTCGCATACATTATATGCAGAAAAATTTGTCTCCTGCGCTGGTAAAGTATATTCAGAGAGAGCATCTTCAAGCCCTGCACTCAGATTTGACCTAGAAATATTGCCCTCAACTCCAGTAGGCGGGAATGAAGAATTCTGGTGTTCAACATCTTCAATCATATCATCCGGCCTCAAGTTCTTTTCCGTATGTCCAGTTGAACTAGCAAGCTGATTGCCTGGATCCGATTCCTCAATATTTTCACCCTGGACCATTTCTTCCTGCCCAACTGCCTTCAGTAGCATTTCAACAGATTCAGATGATGTTGCCTCTGACCAGACATTAACATGCCTAGGCAAAGCACAAGAAACTGCTGCAGCAGCACTGAACTCTATTCCGTTGCCTCCGCGAGAATAATCCTCAATCCACTGGTTGTCTTCCTGGTTTGGAATACCAAGAAAAGCTTCGTTTTCAACTAAACTATCAAATCTTAAATGTGCATGGAGGTTGTCATCAAAATCAAACTTGGGAAGTGCAAACGGTCGCAAAACAGAAGAAAACTTAGAGCTTTCTTCACTGGTTAAGGGAAGATTATGGCCTTCATAGTCATTGTCATTGTAATCCATCGGTGAATCCCTGTCCAGGTAATGAAACAATATTAGAAAGTGTAATGAAGCACTTGACAGCAAAGCCTGTCAATGACATCATGAGGCATAACATTAGAAACTAACAAGCAGCTAAACCAGAAAATATAGAGCAGATAGTTCACTATAATCATATATATATATATTAGAAGGTAAGCCATTGTAGCATACATCTACCTGAAACCCAATTCCTCCCACCAGTCTTCCTGAGCAAATAATTTTTAATAAATAAGGTAGAAATATAATAACATAACCAATATAAAATGGTCCTTTTGTGGATCCTTCACAGCAATAGTACAGATAGAGATAGTCGAAAAATATTCAATATCAGGGTGTTAGATAATTTTAGTACTTCTAGTTAAAAAGCTTTTTATATTATTTAGAAACTCCTCATTACCGTCACAGTAATTTGTCAAGATAAATAACCATGGAAAAACGGAAGGTCAAAAAGAATCACCAAATGTAGGTCAAGATGGCAGAGTTGAACTAGGTTTCCGCTATGTCAAGGAATCCTGTCTCAAATGATTATCTTCTCACTGTTACTCTCCACAAAGAGTAAAACGTCAGTGCAATTTTCCTGTTGTTTCTTTTGTATTATCCCCATTTGTTAGCCATTTCAATGACTCCCCTGATAATACTTCCATCCGTATTATAATAAAAAAAACAAAACAAAAAAAAAAGCGGAATCTGTAATACTTTGGTTCTTGTAATGCTATGGTGGAAGAAAAAGGTGTTGCTTTTGATAATAGCACTTGAGGATAGTACTGTTGGTGCAAGGAGCAAATACTAGCAATTATAGTTAACCTTGATGAACACGTTGCTTAGTAGGAAGCTCGAGCTGTCAAGGATTATGCTAGAACCAATGACGTAGTTTTCTTTTGTCTTCTTTTAATATATTGACATCCATATAGCATCGTTTGATAAGATCAATCAATATATAAAGACATTTGGGTTGAATAAAATCATGTCCATTCCATTTTTAATAAACAGTAGTTCTTTTACTTTATTTGTTAGACTAAATGGATGATGTTATTATTGGAAAGGATGCCATTTGAATTATGTCTCTAAAGTACTTCTCTATGTAAACAGTTTCGAGCATTCGTTACTGCAGGGTATAGAAGTGTTTTTAGGGAGTAGAAGTTATAAAAACAAGGGAACTTTTCTTAGCTAGAGGTTATATACTTGTTTTGAGTTGATAAAATTTTGGAAGGTAAACAATCTAGTACCCCCAATATATCCTAATTTAGAATTTACCAAGAAAGGTTAATTGTTTAATATTCATAGCATTAAATTTTTGGTTGTAAAGCTAAATGAACTTAGAGCAACACAACCGACAATGCACATCTATAGTATCACAAGCCTACACAAGGCTGCTACAACAGTAGATCTATGGGTGGCATTAGCACCCTTTCATATTTATTATTTGAAATGGGTAGTCCCGTATGGAATCTACAAGAATCATGCCAGCTTGAGCAAATTATAAGTTGGAAAGAAAATCCACCAATGAGTATTGTGTGTTGGATGTGTGTGTTTGTGGAAACCCTCATCCACTACGTTTTTATTGCACACTGTAAATCCTTAGGCCGAGTGAAATACCATGCAAACCACGCCAGCTAGGTAAGCCACATCAAGGTTCGGAGCACAGAACCACCGGACCACCATATGGTAAATTTCTAATATTTATTATATAATACAAAATTATAACCTTAAATTACCAAAGTACCAATATGTCAAGATACTAAATCATTACCATTGAAATTCCAATACTAAAACATTACCATTAAAATTCCAAAATTCAAAATTAAAAACCTTTAATTACTAAATATCACCATCAAAATACCAAAGGCGAACATGTCACAGTAAAGTTCTAATAAAATACTAATAAGATCGTTTGATAAACTACAGGTAAAGATAATGGAGCAACTCGCAAATACAGGTTCATTCGTAAAGGTTACCTACGGTCAGCGATGGCGGACGACGTCGGCGATGGCAGATGACAATAGGTCGGCGGAGCGGCAGAGAAAAGAGGAAGGTAAAAACGCAAGAGCAGACAGCGGCTAGGGTTTGATATTTATAGGTGTTAAATAGGTTAAATAATCAAATGGGCCGACCAAATATAAGTTACTCCGGGCGAGTTGGGTAAAATAACAAATGGGTTGGGTCAATAGAAATTATTCTGGGCGACTTGGGTACTATAATCAAATGGGTCGGGCCAATAGAAGTTATTCCAGTTCAAAGTCACTTTCCAATTTCCATTTGGTGTCGCCTTGGCATCCCCGCATCATTTTTTGCGCCGCATGGATGCCGCCCTAGCCAAACGTCACGGCGGCCTTTCCTGACAGTGATGGTGCACTGCCAGGACGTGAAAGGCATTGCCCTAGGCGACACTGTGATGAAACTGAGCCACCCTAAGAAATTCTTAAGAGACAAGCTCGACTAAGAAGGCTTCGGCTGTGGTTACAAGTCACCCTACCACGCCAACTGGACCACCTCTTACATAGTGTGGTGGATTTAAATTTGGTTTTACAAGACATCGGACAGGAATATTTAAGCAAAATATATATTTAATTCTTATTAGTTGAAAAAGAATTCCATTATGGAATCTTAAAAGAAGATCATGTTAGATTGAGAAAATTCAAATTTAGAAAGCAAATCCACCTCAACCTATTTTCTGTTTGAAGAATTTTGGTTATATAGAAGAGTAAACACAAGATGTGGTGCAAGCATTGAATCATATTATAAGTAGAGTTATTGCTGACTTTGCTGGTGATGTTATATGGATTATTCGACTTATACCAAAATTGGGGATTGAGGCATCAAGACTAAAGGGGTTATAGTGAAAGTCAACGACCCTACCTATTGCATCTACACTTATATCTCAGGAAAAGACTAAAAAAATTCAAATACAACTTTCACTTTGTTAATAGAACAATTCTGAACACCTATAACTGCAGTTTGAGTAGATGACATAAATTACAGTGACTAGCACCCATGCTTCATTTGGGGAGGGTATGAAGGCGCACCAGTGAGTGTATGGTTGTGTGGGTGTAAAGTGGCTTCTACTGAATGAAATAAATCATTACCCTCCATGTATATTATATTATACAAGAACATAAAACATAATGAGAAACAAACCTAGATTACCATATCATCACAAAGGAACCATGTCCTCACAAAGAGAAAAGGAATAGTATTTTGCTTAATCACAAGGGCAATAAATTTCCACTCATAATCAGTAGAACAAAAAGAAGATGAACCCTCCCCAGTAGAACTGTAGACCAGAGACCAAACATTTTGTTAGCATGTCATTACCTGTAGCTATAACATCCTTCATAATTAGATATGTATACTAAGTTTTTTATTGGCAACATGATATTAGACCTTGAAAGAACTAATGCCAGGGGTGCTTCCATTGAAAGAAGTAAATCTGAAATATTCAACCCCAAGTAGTCATATCTATTAGCTAAATACGAGATTTATTCATAAGATTTTTCTATTTGTGTGGCACAACTACCGTACTTGTCTGTTAATAAATAAGATCTGGATACTAATTTGATTTCACAAATGTTCTTGCATAAAGATTTCACTGCTCTTGCAGTTTGTAAATATATCCTCAAATAGTTAAGGGTGGATCATCTTTGATAAAACTTCTCTACTTATTTCAGGGGAAGTAGTAAAATAGATATGAAATGGTGAGCTGTTTATATCAATAATAGCTTCCAAAAATAGGTTCCTCAAGGAACTCAAGAAAAGAAGGATGAAAAATAAAATAAAATCCCTGCCACAATCCCATCGAAGCCTCATAGCGGTTTTCACTGCAAGAATGTTGCTTTACTATACTAAGTTTCTAAACCATCCTATAGCAATATGAAAACAAAATATCATTCAAAAATCAAATTACAACATCTAATAATTAAAGACCACAATAAACATAAAAATTCAGGAGAGGGTGACAAGCTGCATAGAAAGCAAATGATACTCAATGAACAAAAGTACGCAAGGAATGCTTGGCCGCCAAACTTACATGAGAAAAACATTTGCAAACATAGCAACTATTTTTATTTTATGCACATATAATGCACATTAAACTCAATTCAGCTTGGGGTAGCAATCTGTTTACACTTCGCCATACTACCTATATCCCCTAACCCATTTTAAATCAACCCAAAAAAAATTGCAGGAAAAAAAATAATAATAATAAATAACAACAAGTGTCAGCTCTGCAGAGGAAAGAAATAGCAAACAAACACACATATTAAAACCAGGCTTTCAAAGTTACAAAGTGAGGAAAACCAGAAAGCAGTGCTATAAGCCACAAAATAGATTCAAGCAGCGAAATTTCATATCCCCAATTTGAAAACTCTAATTCAACGGTTTCAGGTTTAATAGCGCCCAAGATGAAACCCTAAAACAATCCTAAACAATATTCCAAGGTCCAAAACGAAACTTAAAGTCAGTGCACCCATAAAGCACACAAACCCTAGGTCACCCACCTCAGGCCGAATCAGAAAAACCAAATTTACCGAAAAGCCCTAATTTAACATCACACGGAGCCCTCCAAACCGCTTCACCAGGAGAGCAGGAGACAAGAAGACCTAACATTTCTAATTGTATCGACAGTACGAAACTCTATACTCTCTCTTTCGTCCCTAATTTTCTAAACCAGAACGAGAAATGAACAGTCTCCAAAACACAATTCTCGCAAAAACTAACAAAAACATGAAAAAAAGAGGAACTGATGAGTACCAGAAGAATTAAGTGTAGATACGCTACCTCCCTCCATCCGGAGACTAAATCCTCAAGTGATCCCCCTCAACTTAACCCCAATTGAACGACCACGCTTTCCTTCATAACCCTAGCTCCCGAACACTCCTCCAAACTCCTCGTCAAAAAATCCACTCCCGCAAATCTCCGCCCTTCCAACACCTCGATTTTCACGCGCTAGGAAACCTAGCAACAAGTATTTAGTGAGAGAGAGAGAGAAAGCGACAGCGTCGAGAAAAAGTAGTTCAAGAGAGGTGTGCTTTCGCTGCAGATGTTAGGCGAGTAAAAACAGGCAAGTTTTGCAATTTCTCGTGTGCCGAGTGAACACAAAAAACAAAAAAAGAAGGATTAGGGGCAGTTTAGGAAATTCACATCATGAAAATGTGACGCGTCAGGGAAAGAGAACAGACCGACGTGTGATGTTTTGATTGGTTGGGAAATAAAACTCAGCCCACGGTTTCTCTCTCCATTGAAAGTTTGGAAGAGGAGCTAGGCCCATGTGGGGAAGTGTTTAGGTTACGGCGCTGTGACATAGTTTATGTAACTGCACCTTGTTTGAGGGGTAAATTTGTACTTTCGGTGCCGGGTTTCGGATAGAGATGAATGCTGATCACCGGTCAGTCACCGCATTCGGGTGGATGGGCAATTTCGTCTTTCACTATGTGGAATTTTTTATTATTATTAAACTGTTTTTTCTAAACTGTTACACATCACATGTTATTTATCTCGAAATAAATAAAAGTTTATGTATAAAAACAGATTTCGAGTTTTATATTTTCTGAGAAAAACAGGAAATTTACTTGCTTAATTAATCTTTTATTAATATGCTTTTTAATATATATTATATATATTATTATAAAAATAATCAGAAATATTACTCATTTGAACATATTATCTACGATCACAAGTTCATCTTTTATGTAATTAGATCATTTCTAATAATCCACGAAGAACATTATTTATAAAATATATAATACTAGAACTTTAATTGTAAAAAACATTACTTGTAAAAAACATCAAACATTATAATAATAATTTATGTATTTTATTACATAGTAAAAATGTATAAAAAAAAATTTAATAGTAGTTGAGTTTTAAAATTTAAAAGTTAAAATTTCGACCCAAAACAATGAAGGAAAATGATCCCATAAGGATTTATAGAATCGAATTGAGATATAACCAAACAAATGAGCCGAATGGTGGATCTAATAAATCTTTGGAATCGAACGTAGCGTGATTGAATGATTAATCAGTAGATTGTTTGAAAAAACTTATCTAACTCGGGATCGTGTGGTCGGTGGGCTGTTAAGGGAGGAACTCGAAAAAGTATTTTAATATTAATACATAATTAGTTTTAATACAAAAAAAAAAAAAAAAAAAAAAAAAAAAAAAGCATTTTTGAATGGACTATCCAAAGTAGTATAAATAATATTTTGAATTGAGACAAATATTTAATTTTGATATAAAATAATATTTTAATTTAAATAATTTATTTGATATAATATTAACCTACAAAACTAGTAAAATATATATTTTTTATTTTAATTTATTGAAAATCAAAATGAGTAAGAGTGATTTTATTTTAAAATTGCAAACAAAAACCCAAAATAGATCATATAACCAAAAATAACCCTACCAATGGCCTTTACTTTAAATTTGAAGGCAACTTAATGTGTCAATTTGAACTGAAGTCGACAATTTATAATTACTGCACTCCAAATTTGTCAACAAACAGAACAATTTCACTTTAGAAAAATTGGAAACGTCACTGTCGACAGAGATGCATATAATCAAATGAATTATTTCCCCATAAACAGACCCACTCTTCATGATCAAAATTTTCACAGCAGCAATTTACCATTCGAACTTAATCTGAATTCATAGAACACAGGACATTGGTTCAAAACTTTTGATCAAAACCAATTCTCCAGAAACATTTCATATAGTGAATGTGTCAAAAGATCATCAAAACAACATGAACTGAAAATCAGCACTTATATGAAGCTGTAGGTAACAAAAAACAGCATATAAGAAGTCAAAAACCAGGTAAACTTCGGTTATTGCTTATCGTTAGTTCTAAAACTCATTCGGTACCTCTCCAAGGGATCCAGAGAATCCGAACCAAAATTCAAAGCATCAATGCCCGCGAGTAACATAGGCGAGAGAAACTGCAGCCAAGAATGTCGTTGCCGAGGACAACATGGCCCAAAAGCCCGTCTTCTTGCGGGCATCCTCCACAGAATCCTGCAAGAACTCAACTTGCCTCTTCATGTTCTCTACTTGGCTTACTTTAGCCCTGAAAGCGTTCTTGATCGATTCCAAGTCTGTGATTAAGAGCTTCTCTTCCTCATCATCAGCATTCTTATGATCACCAGCTGAGTCGCTGCCGCCATCCCCAACATTCTCTGCTGCAGAGCAAAAGTCTACAGCGCCTTTCAACATATTCAGCAACTGTGCTGTTTTAGCATAGGCATTGTCTGCTTTGCTCTTCATCGAAACAAATTTATCTCTTGTTTCTGTTATGGCACTTTCCAGCGAAGCAACTTTTCCCTTCAGCATTTCGCGCTCGCTTTCTAGCTCGGCCTTGGCAGCAAGTACTGCTGCATTCTCAGCCTTAGAGTTTTCGAATGCACCAATGCTTTCATTTACTTCATTCTTCAACTCTATGATTTCTTTCTTCAACATTACAGAATTCTCCTTCTCTTCACCAAGGCGCTTCTCCATTTCATCCCTCTCTGATTCAATCGCCTCAAGCTTGCATCTATACTCTGAAACTTCACATTCTAAACTCCTGGTTTTCTCCCCTTCAACCAGATTGCATTGCTCCAGCTGAAAAAAAGCAGCTTTGAGCTCAACAACTTGCTCACGCAAGGCACATACTTCACCCTCCAATTGGGTCTTGATCTCTAGACCGATGAGATTTTCATTAACCAATTCTTTGATCTTGACCTTCTGCTCACCCAATTTCTCCATCACCTCACTTAACTCTTTCTCCATCACATTTTTCTCGACAAACAACAGATCAACTTTCTTGTCACTCAACTTCTTCTTTTCCATCAACTGATCAATCTCCCTACTCAAATCCCTACGCCTCTCCTCGCCTTCAGTGCACTGCTTCTCCAACTCAGCTATGTGCCATCGCAGCTTCTCCTCTTCCTTTCGCAGCGAGGCTACTGTTTCATTCAGTCCAGTGACGACAATCTCCAATCCTTCCCGTTTCGCCATCTCCGCATTCCTATCCACTTCAATCAATTCTCTCTCTCTCATAACCCTCCCGAATTCATTGTTCAATTCCTCCTTCAGCGCAATGGCCTCCTCCAAACTCCTTGCCACAGATTGTTTCTCCCTAGTTATGGACTCGGTTCTTGAATCAATAACTTCTTTCTCTGCAACAACCAGATCGTATGCACTGCGTAGCTCTTCAATCCTTTGAACCATTTCCACCTTTCCCCCCTCCAATTCATTCAAAGCGTCCTGCAACCTTTTAACTTCCCCAATTTTCGCGTCTACCTCATTCTTCAATTCATCCCTCTCAAGTGAAATCTTCCTTGAAACCTTCTTCCCATTTTCCAATAAGCTTTCAACCGCATTCAGTTTCTCACCTAACCTCCCAATCTCACCCTTCAACCCTAGATTTTCCATTTCCAAACCCTTGATTCTCTTCCCAGCGTCTTCTCCATTCAAATCCACCTGCGAAGACATAAAATCAGCCACCACAGTCCTCTCGAGTTCCATCCGCGCAACACTCTCGCCCAACCGAGTCAGCTCTAACTTCAGCGCGTCCCTCTCCGAGTTAGACCGGACCAGCTCCGTTTCCAGCGTAGACTTTGACAGAGCGAGCGACTCCAACTGCTTGCGGCGGTCGGCCGTCTCCTTAAGCAGTCTTTCGTTCAGAGATTTGAGGCTATCGTTCAGAGATTTGAGGCTATCGATCTTCTTCGAAGCCTCGGACGCCATGGATGACGGCGGCACCTGTTGATTGGGTTTCGCGGTATCGTCGACCAGCGTCTGCAGTGGCTTCTCCACTTGGGCCTTGGATGCCTTCTTCTTCGACATTAACACTTGAAAAAATCTTTGACCTGATGCAAGAATGTCGGTTTGTATTTTTCGAGGTGGGGAAATGGGATCGGGGATGAGAGGTCGAGGTTTCTGGGGCGTCTGTGAATCTTGATTAATTCTGGCTGGAGAAAATGAGAAACGCGGAACCTCAAGAATGAAGATGCAATTTGGAGATAAGGCCCGTAAGATAAGGGAGACTGACTGCGCAGGGAAAGAGAAGTTATGCACCGGAAAGGGACGTGGAATTTCTAGGGTTTCTAGAATTTGAATTTCTTGGGCGGCGGGAACAACGAGGGAATCGTGGGGCGTGTTTGGTTCGAATTTTTGAATAAGATTTTTCACTATTCAACGGTTTTTTTTTTTTTTTTTACTTTTCCTTTTCCCACAGGATAATATCTCCTTCAAGTTACTTTTGTCACAAATTTTTGAAACGAAGGGTGTGTTTGTTTGAGGGTTTGAATTTTGAGTTGGGATTTGAATAGTAAAAATTTTGAATTTGAATAGTTGTATGATGCGATATAAATAAGTGTTGATGTGATGTTTTGAATGTAAAATTGATTTTTAGTATAATATAAAAAATGAAAAATAGGTGTTTGATTTGATGTTTTTGGAGAAAAAATAGGATGAATAGTGAAAATCCAAACAAATCCCTCAAACAAACACACCCTAAAAGTATTTAATTATAGTACGATATCATAACAAAGTATTAATTTTTTTATTTTTGTCTGTCTTATAATAAAATATTCATTTTTTTTAATAAATGTACTGTCTACTTAATATTACAAATATCCTTACAATTTCTAATATATTACACAAATATCATTACTTTTATATCGTCACAATACTAATAAGATCATTTTAGTTATTTCTATTTTATTCTTACTATATCCTAATATAATACTAATATTTCTAAAACTATGTAGAAAAAACAAATAGATATATAATTATGAGACGGATGTAATATAAAAATAATTACTCCTTATTTTATAATGTAAATGTAATGATATAATGAAAAAATATAAATATTTGTAAAAAAAAAATTAGATATTTTTAAAATAGTTATTATGTTTTATAATATAATAACTAAAATAAAAATATATACTTTGTTAATAGCAAGAATGAATACAAAGTGTATAATTTACCATTTTTCTTTGTCAAAGAAGAAAACTATTTACATTCCCTCTCCGTTCATTTTAGAAAATAGAAAAATATATATATTTTTTTGTGCGAAATTTTAAAAATTATAATATTCCCTCTATTCGATAAGAAGAATACTATTTTTTTTTGTACGTAAAATTTTTAATATTAGTATTATATTAATTTATAATGAAAATAAAAATAAAAACACCTCGATTGATATTCTGTAATAAAATTAACGATATTTATATAATATATTGTAAATTATAAGAGTATATATATAATACTATTACTAAATTAACAAATAGTACTTACAGAAAAAAATAAAATAAAATAAAAAATATTCTTATAATGTAATGAAGTATGTTATTGGTAATCGGAAGTTAAAATGAGTGTAAAATAATTTTATTATGAACTTTTAAACAGTAAAAAAAAAATAAAATATGTACATTTGAATGAATAGAAAAGATTTAAAAATTCCACAAAATTTCATTTATTTTAAAAAATATTAGCATAATCCCTATAAATGGATTTTGTGTACTATTTTCAAGAATATAATGGATTTTAGCAAAAAAAGAATTTTGTGCATTATTTTTAAAATATAATGGAATTTAGTGCAATTTTTAATTTATAAAATTTATGGTGTTGACTATTTAGACCATAGAAGAATTACATACAATTTTGACTAAAAATATATTTAAACTTATATCTATTTATATAAATAGATTTACATATTGTATTAGGGTGTGTTTGTTCAGGAGTTTGGATTTTGAGTTGAGATTTGAATAGTAAAAATTTTGAATTTGAATAGTTGTATGATGTGATATAAATAGATGTTAATGTGATGTTTTGAATGTAAAATTGATTTTTAGTACAATATAAAAAATTGAATGAATAGTAGATTTAAAATCCAATTCCCAAACAAACACACCCTTGATATACTCAATACACAAACATAATTGCCTTTGAGATAGCATGTATGCCGTTTATATTATTCGAGCAATGGTGTAATAGTTTATTCGTAGAAGGCCTCGCAATGACTATGGAAGTCTTTTTCATCGTATTAGAATAAAAAAATAAAATAAAAATTATACAATGAATTATCTTTTGAGAGAAATAAAATAAATAAAATAATGAGGTACTTGGCCAAATTGTCATGCAGTCGAGGCTTTATTAAAGTCATTTTAGCAATTTTACAATATATACGTAATTTTTTTTAATATTATATTTTAATAAAATATATAATATCCATACTATTTTGTAAATTACAGAATTTATACTTCATTTGTCCCAACTTTTTGTCTACATTAACACAATAATTTATGTAAAATATAATTAGTATGCAATTAAGAACTATATTAAAAAAAATATTAAAATAACTAAATAGTTTGGTTACAATTTAAAAAATCATAAATAATAAAAATTAAAACGTGATTAGATTGAAATCATATTTTAAAAAAATGACAAATTATGTGAGACATGTCAAAATATAAAAAAAAAAAGAAGATATTTTAGATTTGACTAAGAAGATAGTATAATACAAATAAATATTTTATTTATTTATTTATGATTAATATATATTAATTTTGTAATAAAAATGAATTTGTTTTAATATAAGTAAAAATATATATGTAGATATTAAAAATTTAATTAAATTAATTTGTATTTTAAATAATAAAATTTACTAAAGATGTAAATATATAAACAGTTACATACCGATTTAAATAAAAAAATGTCCAAGATTATATAAAACCTAATATATATATATATATATATAGAGAAAAATAGTAAGAAAAAGAAAAAGCATAATGCAATCAGGTAAATAACAAAACCAAGCACATTCTTGCTTGGGTTAATTTAGGGTCCGTTTGTTTTAAGGATTCCAAAGGATTTGCATATTTATTAATTTTTTTTTTCAAAAAGATTAAATCAAAGTTTTATTTTTTTATATTATTTTTAAAAATTAATTTTATATTAGTGGAATTTGAATATTACAGAACTGCTCTTTATTTTCACATTGGGAACAGCTGAACTGCAAATTTAAATTCTCAATGTAAAAGCATCATCGTTTCAGTTATTCAGTGTATATATATATATATTTATCTTAATTATAATAAATAAATAAATACTCCTATATAAAGAAAATATTTTATGGATCCATTTCATGATGTGCCTTCTTTATATATATATAAATATTTATGTTTTAATATTAAAAAATATTTTATAAAAAATAATATAAAAAAGGCACATTATTCAATTTTTGACATTTATTTACAAATTTATTTTAAATTTATTACAAGTATATTACGTTTTAAAATAGAATAAAATTATATATATTTTTTTAATATAATGTGAGAATCCGTAGTTATTATTTTTCGAGTGCAATTTTTGATCAATAGCTTGCAAAATAAATTCGATGAACTCTACAACTATGAATCGAAACCTTGCATTGAATAATACTACTATGTTTTTTTATTTCATAGCCTTTTATCTTTATTGAAAGTGTTGAAATGGCTTTAAATTTAAATAGTGAAGTGGAGTTGTTGATGTATGATATTTATATATATATATATATATAAAAATACATATATTTTTACAATATATCAATCAAACTATTATGCAAATTTAAAAACAAATCAAATGCATTTATTTACAATGACCTATTTACTTTTTTTTTTTATTTTATTTTTATGACGATGGCCTCTTTACTTTTGAATAGCGGCGAGTAGCCATTCTCAATTTTAGCATTTGTTTACTTTTTTATATAATATTTAGGGTAAACTGTTTTTGTTAGTACGTAACTTATCCAATTATTTTAGTCCATTAAGCGGAGTTGTTGCAAATTAGTCCCACCGGAGACGCCCATGTGGCTCGCCGGAGGCCACTTATCCGTCAGGTAAATGACATCCGACGGACACGTGAATTTTATTTTTTTATTTTTTATTTTTTAAAATTTTTTTTAATTTATTTTTAATTTTATTTGTCTTTTTTAATTTTTTTATTTAGTCCAATTAAAAAAAAAAAAAAACAAAATTTTTAAAAAATAAAATCCGCGTGTCCGCCAGATATCGATGACCTAGCGGGACACCTGACGGACACGTGGATTCCGATGAGCTACGCGAACGTCTCCGACGCCAAAGAATTAAAACAACAAAACTAATTTGTGACAGATCCGATTGCAAAAAAAAAATAAAAATATTTACCCTAATATTTATTTACAAAGTAGCACTCCCGAGAGGGATTTGTTTAATTTCAAAGTGAAAATTAACAGTAAATATGCTATTCCCAAAGTCCAATGAGTTTGGACTGTAAATTAACTAAATTTGATGTGGAAACAGAAATAAAACTACAACGAATAGTTTTTTTCAAAATTTTGCTCTTACCTTTTATTTGCAATATAATTTATAAGCTCTATTAATAATGCAAACAAAAAAAAAAAAAACCGAATATAAAACAAAAAAGAACACAAATATTTCAATACATCTCAAAGTAGAATAATAGCAAACAAAATAATCGTAATTTCACCTAAATATAAATAAAATCCAAAACCTAGGAAATACAACATGCCCCAACTACTAGGGCCCGGGCAGGATAGGGAGCTGATACTTTAACAAAGCTAAGAAAGCTCTGAAGTATGAAACTCACTCACGAGTTAAATAACTAATACGAAGGTTTCGGCCAAAAATGGACATACAATTCGATGAGATCAAAACCAGATTTGAAATAAATATAGCTAGAAGACTCTAATGAAACATCTTCCCTGTTTGATCCATCTGCAGTAATAAGAACATTGTCTGGTAAGAAGGATTGGAGTAGATAAGAGATGAATACAAACCGGGCGTAACGACAACATCGTAGTCACAGACCTCAGAACACGACGGTCTTGTTCCCGCCATAAGGCAACACTCGCAATTCACAGTACGACTTTATGGCCTTAACGAGGCATTGCTTCTCCAGGTTCTCCGATTTCTGGACAAAGCTCCGTAGGTTGTCTCTGTGCGAAACTCTCTCCACCTGCAGGCATATACGAAACAAACATATATATTTTTTTTTAAATTTTATTTTTATAGCTGATGGACTGTAGAAACTTGAACATCATCTTAGCTTTAAGGTGGAGTTACCATTTGCTCAATAATAGGGCCTTCGTCGAGCTCTTCAGTGACAAAATGAGCTGTTGCGCCAATCAACTTAACACCAGCATCGAAGGCCTGTGAAAGGTGTTTGATACACATGTATCTTAATTCTGCCGGCATTATTTACAACAGAAAGTTGCAATAAGACGGACCGACCTGTTTAGATGGATTCCCACCTTTAAAAGATGGCAACAGCCCATGGTGAATATTAATGATGTCCCTCCCGTAACTCCGTAAGAAGTTGCCCGAGAGTACCTGTGGCAATTAATCAATATTCCAAGTGAAATCATTGAGAAGCACCCTTCAAAGACAAAAATTCTTCTGGTTTGAACATCGAGATTTCAAGAAAAGAACAATTTTAATTTTTTTTTAAGACCAAAAAAAAGGCCATTTGATAGCATCAAATGGTCCATTTATAGAACGCCAGTGCGCACTTCACTATATCTGTGATGAGAATAATGTAATAAATTCAAATTCTGCTAACCTGCATGTATCTAGCGAGCACTAGAAAGTCTGTATCCTTCACTAAATTCAAAATGTCTCCTTCTCCTTTGTCTTGTTTAGTCGTGTCCAAGTAATGGTAAGGAATGCCATGTCTTTCGAGAAATCGGATAACATGGGTGTTTGGATCTCTATCATGGTTACTGTTGCACATATACTTTTAGAACTGCGCAATTATTTTGCTTGATGAAGCATAGATTCAAATGGTTCCTCTGATGTTACCTTATCACGGCTGTTATGTTTAGAGGGAGTTTTCTGTCCTGCCACTCGTGCAGCAAATCAGCAAGGCAATGGTCCTAACATAAAAAAAAGGGCAAAAATACAATCATATTGTGAGCTCTTCTAATGATTTTGAAGATCAAGAAATCTGTCAAAGATTTAGTCGATAGCTACCACACCTGCTTTGAAGAAAATATTGCGATGTTATATTTAGGATCCACGCTGGGCACACGAACAACAGACCGCATTGCATTGTACATATTTGAAAGCTTTAAAAAGTCATCATCCATCTGGGTCCGCGCCCATTTGGCAGGGTTGAAGATGAACTCGCTGTAAATTATACCAAGATACTTTCAGAAATATAAGCAAATACGAATCAAATTTAAAAAAGCAACATCCAACCCCTTAGCAAAGTTAATTCCAAAATTAACTTTGTCGGCAATGAGCATCCGGTGATCGGGTACATGTGCACACAGGTCAGAAATTAGACAACCATACTCGGAATAAGATTTGAAACCAAATCAAAGACACATCTCTCCTTTTGAGTGAACGTGAAGTGCTGATGTTGTGTAAAGCAAATACAAGAAATCTAGAGCAAACTAATAGAGCAATAATAAAAACGAACTGAACTAATTGCACAAAGAACTGTAAGGGTGTGTTTGTTTGGGGGTTTGGATTTTGAGTTGGGATTTGAATAGTAAAAATTTTGAATTTGAATAGTTGTATGATGTGATATAAATAGGGTTTGATGTGATGTTTTGAATGTAAAATTGATTTTTAGTATAATATAAAAAATGAAAAATAAGTGTTTGATTTGATGTTTTTGGGGGGAAAAAATTGGATGAATAGTGGAAATCCACCAAAATCCTTCAAACAAACACACCCTAAGTAGCATATATCTACACAGATACATATAACCAAAACATGAATGACATAATACAATGATAAAGAAAATGGATCGACCTTCGGGAGTAAAAGACATTCCCTTTTTCGGGGACGAATATATCAGCACTAAGAATGTTTCCACCTCTAGAAGCTATGCATTCCGATATCTTGGCCACAATCCCCAATTCATCCTGGTTATATGTACTGTCAGAAATTCATTCAAAACTTTCATCTCCTTAATGCATCCTCAACAACACCCAATCAACTCAAAATCTTCCTAAATGCAAATATGTGCAGACGTGCATGTGAATCAATTGGTAGTTCGGACACAACCTATCTAAGCACATTTATACGATGCAGCGTACAGATAATAAAATATCTCCTGAAACCAACATCCCTCCCAAAAATCTCATCTTTAACTCGTTGTATACACTGCATATCTCCAATTCTACAATGACTGGATATGCAAACGACTAAAAAAATATGGGCGGTGGTTAGGGATTACCGGACAGTGGAAAACATGAATGCCGTGGACGAGAGCAGGCGAAGTGGCCTCGCCGGGAGCTTCTCTCAAAATCTTGACAGATTGAGAGTATTCCCTCGCTAATTGGCGAATTCGCGGCGACCAGGATCTTCGAAGGAAGCCCGTCATGTCCCGAAAGCACCATACGCGACTACCGGTGGAAAGGATATGACGTGAATGGATTTGGCTGCACACTGCAGTCGAGTTTGTTTCGATTCAACCTCTCCTTCTTCTTCTTCTTCAAGGGCCAAGTCAGATAAATGGCCCTCTTATATTAAAGCCCGATAAAATGGCGGCCCAAATTTGGACTATCCAAATCTCAATTTTCTCTGTGCCTAAAAATAAAAAAAAATAAATTATTATACTAAAAAATAAAATTCCGATCGTCGCGAGCGACCAGACTGAGAATTGGGAGTGGAGGAGGAAGTTTGACGAGCTCCCCGCAGCGGTCGTTCCCTTTGAGTTAAATCAATTCGTCGTTTCGGCGCAAGGAATCGGATAAAAATGCCTGTAAGTCTTGATCCTCCGATGCTTTCTCTGTTTCTATATTTTTTAGGGTCGAATTTTAAGCGTGGACATTTTCTTGACGGCTAGATTAACAGATCCGGGATTTAGAGCGGTTGGGGGTTGAATTTCGATATGAATTTTCTGATGTAGATTCGTTTGGGTCGATTCTGGGTTTAATTGCTGTGCTTGATTGATTGTCATTGTGTGGATGCAGTTGAAGAAAGTTATGATTATGGAGGTTGGACCTCCGAGCATGATGAGGTATTTGATTGGAGCTGCGATTATGATGCTGGGAGTGGTGTTGCCATTGGGATACATGATGTTTCGCAACAAGAGAGTACCTTCTTCTTCCTCTTACTCCAAACAGACGTAGGTGTGCTTTTCGCATAGTATTACAATTTACGAATTATGTCAAGATTGCTCATTCCGATTTTTTGTAAATTACGGTGATTTGCAGTTTTAGGATTAGGTCTGTAAGCAGACAGATCTTATGTGAATGCATAAACTGTTCTTTGGATAATACTATTTCATTGTCTTGATCTTGATTATTAATCTGTTGCATTCTCTTTGGATGCTGCTTGAGAATATTATTGAATCGCCCCATGAGTTATACAAATGAATTCCCTTATGAGCTAAGTCATTTGATGCAAAGCTGTTCTTGCTGTTTCTGATTTGCTCTTTGAAGTTGGTGTTTTTTTCTTTTCCCTCAGCCATTTTAGATTGAATGTTTCTGGTGTTTCGTTTTGTTTTTCTATGGATTTAGATCTTCAAATGGAACCTTGAGTCCTTGACTGTGTAAAGATCTGTATTAGTTATTGATCACCCTATGAGTTGTGCAAATGAATTCCTTTATGAGCTAGGTCGTTTGATGCAAAGCTGTTCTTGCTGGTGTAATCCTTTCCTCAGCCGTTGTTTCTTGCAATTGGTGTTTTCATTCTATGGAGTTAGATCTTCAAATGGAACATTGACGGCATAAAGATCTGTATTAGTTAGGATTCTATTTAATGTGTTTCATATCGATCATGTATATAGTGTATCGGTGAAATTGATGGAACTATCATTGTGCTTTCCACTTTACAGGAACAAAGTTTTGATGTAGAGTTGTTTTTGAAGCCCGGGGCAGGATATCTAACCACTCCCTAGTGACGTTGTTTGAGTGAAAAAACAAGAAAAAAAATGGTGAAAATTACTCTGCATTATACTCTAATTCCTTTATTAGTCAAGATAGCAGATGCATCACCACAAGAATTGCTAGCACGTCGTGGCTAAGAGGTAGATACAAATTGTTTTTTCTTTCACGAAGTTGCCAATTTCGGGTTTATCACAATTGTATGTTTGCTGTATGGATTTGCTTCTTTGAAGATTATATATATATTTAGTGCAGTTGTTGCAAATCATGCCCTTGCACTCTCTTTGGAGCACTCAGTGCTTTGGAAATTATGTTCTTGAGATATCGATTACTTCGACTGATTAACATAGCCACTGATTAGCCAGTTTATTTCTGATGACCCATAAACTATTACAGCATTGTGACATTGATGAATAGCTTGGTATAGAAGTCAGGCATATGTTCCTACTATGGTGGCTTGAATCTATTATATTGGGGTTATATTTTTTCTTTACATCCTGGATCAAATGTTATATCCAAAACTGGCTATCCATCAATGTATCTTGTACTTGCAAATCGAATATGCACCTAGACTTATTTATGTGCCTGATGCATTATCCTGAGACAAATAGCCCAAAAAAATTACATTAAAAAATTTACAGTATTTTTACTTGAAAAAAAAAAATTAGAAAATAAAATATTTACAATTACGGTACTTTTAAAAATTTAGATATTATTTAAAAAAAAAATTAAAAGAAGAAGAAGAAAGAAAAAGAATCTTTTTAAGGCCATCGCTCAAAAGCTGAAAAGTGTCGAAGAAAATACCTCAGACCACTGCTGCTATGGCTTGCGGATTAGTCAAATATGGAATCATCGGCGTGGGGATGATGGGCAGAGAGCATCTCATCAATCTCCACCACCTCAGGGACGAAGGCATCGCCGTCGTCGCCATTTCTGATCCCCACTTACCTTCCCGACAAGACGCCCTGAATCTCGCCCATTCATTCAACTGGCCAATTCAGGTACTAGTACTACTCCGTCTTCACTTTTCATTAGTCACTTCCATGAATTGGATCGAGTGATCTCCTTCCTATGGAATCGAAGACTTTTGCTGGCCACAAGGACCTGCTGGACAGCGAGCTGTGCGACGTGCTGGTCGTCTCCTCTCCCAACATGACTCACTGCTCCATCTTGCTCGATATCATCGCCCACCGCAAGCCTCACCACGTCCTGGTCGAGAAGCCTCTCTGCACGACGGTCGCCGACTGCAGAAAGGTCAGTCTGCAAACCATTACCTGTCTTACTCTCACCACAAACCAGTCTAATCTATGTGCAAATTTTCAGGTTGTGGCTGCCGCCAAAAGCAGGCCTGAAATTCTGCTGCAGGTAGGGTTAGAATACAGGTACATGCCGCCAGTCGCCAAGCTGATCGACGTTGTGAAAGGCGGTGATTTGGGGCGCGTCCGAATGGTCGCCATTCGGGAGCATCGTTTCCCCTTCCTAGTTAAGGTCGACAACTGGAATCGATTCAATTGCAACACTGGCGGCACTCTCGTCGAGAAATGCTGCCACTTTTTCGACCTCATGAGGCTGTTCGCCGGCGCGGATCCTGTCCGAGTCATGGCTTCAGGAGCCATGGATGTTAATCACAAAGACGAGGTCTATGATGGGAAGGTAGTTAAAAAACTTTATTGGATTGTGCATTATCTATTGTGGATGTTAAGACTTTCTTGCTTGATCAGGTGCCCGATATAATCGATAACGCATATGTGATCGTTGAGTTCGAAAATGGCGTGCGAGGCGCGCTCGATCTCTGTATGTTTGCTGAAGGGAGTAAAAACGAACAAGAGATATCGGTGGTGGGCGACATCGGAAAGGTAGCAAAGCCATAGCATCTTTGCATTTAAGGATGATGATTGGTGAGTGTTCTTTTATTTCAACAGGGCGAGGCATTCGTTCCCGAGAGCATCGTTCGTTGGGGTATACGAGCAGAAGGAAGAGACGGCGTCAAGACATTGAAAGCCGAGGATGTTCGAATAAAGTGAGCTGCTCTTAATTCTCCGCTCTTTCTTACAATGCAGGGCTCATTAAAAAGTTTCGGTTTTTCGATGGTTATTAGATATGAAGGGCTGCACCATGGATCTAGCTTTCTCGAGCATCTTCAATTCTTGTCTGCTGTAAGAGCGGAGGATGCCGCAAGAGCTCCTTCCGTCGGCCTGCAAGATGGACTGATATCTGTAGCCATGGGAGTTGCAGCTCAGCTGTCTATAGAGAAGGGTAGATTTGTTACCATTAAGGAGGTCATGGAATAGATTAGGCTGTTTTGTTCAGTTAGTTTCGGTTGAAGGCCAAACCATTTGAGTTGAACATATGAAAGATTGAAGTTTAAGTGTTGTACCACTCTCCAATTGCCAGCTGAAAATGATCTCTAACAGATTGCTTTGCAAAAATACTATTCAAAATAAAATAAAAGATTTACATTAATGTTGATATTTAATATCGAATTTAAATTCGCCATCACCACTATATAAGGTTGGCGCGCGTGGTTGAGTAGTTCATTGGCTCATCAGCGTTTATTTGGGAATTCGTAATGGAAGACGGTGCAGGAGAGAAGTCCAGCTTTGTCGTCGGCCTTATTGAGAACCGCGCCAAAGAGGTCTGAGATTCTCCCCTATCTTTCTGTACAATGCGATGGTCGCGGTGAGCAGTTTACTTCACTGGACTAGATTTAAGATCATGCTCGGAATAACAGAATGGATTTTCTATGCAGCCGAGGGACTGTGCTTGAAACTATGGATTTTTTATTTTTATTTAAAAAAAAAATTCTCGGTTAGTGTACGGACACGCTTGATGCACGGCAGTTTGCTTATGCGTCAATGCATCAAGCGGCGATTTGTGTAGCAAGGAAGCGCAAATTTATATGAATTCTTACACAGAGATAAACGCCTGATTTAGTAAGAGTTTCTGGATTGATGAAGAGTTAAAATTAACGACTGTCTCCACTCTCCAGCACCTTGTAGCTATTCTTATGTTTGAAGTCAAACAGATTCTGATTTGAGTGCTACACGTGTATGCTAGATATATTGTATCTGGTTGATAATCACCATAATTTCTGCCTTGCAGGTTGGCGTGGCTGCATTTGATTTGAGATCAGCTTCATTGCATCTTTCTCAATATATTGAAACTAGCAGTTCATACCAGAATACAAAGACACTACTGAATTTTTACGATCCTTTGGTAATTATTGTTGCACCTATGAAGCTGGCACCTGATGGTATGGTTGGAGTCTCAGAGCTAGTTGACAGATTTTTCTCCTCAATTACAAAGGTTGTATGCATATTTATAAAATTTTTGGCTCTTAGTGTGCTGTTTGATAATCTTTAGTGTACCATTTGGTAATCTTACATGCTTTCTGCAATTGCAGGTTATAATGGCTCGTGGTTGTTTTGATGACACCAGGGTATTTCTACTGCCATAACTGCATTCTCTTTTGTTGTGTTGGTGGGAGTGTGTAACTTCTGTTGTTCGGTTCTTATTGGAAGGGAGCTGTGCTAGTAAAAAACTTGGCAGCTAAAGAACCATCTGCACTTGGTTTGGATAGCTATTATAAGCAATATTACCTTTGCTTGGCTGCTGCTTCTGCAATCATCAAGTGGTAATCCTACACTCTCAAACTCTTTGATTTCTAAAGTTTTATTCACCTTCTTTTGTAAGCGAAAATATTAACAAATCATGAAAATGGTGAATGCAGCAGACACAGACACTATGAGCTGTTTACTTTGTATCATCATATTGCTTGATTCTTGATTCTGTGGTCTGCATGGATACTTGTGGTTCCTATTAACTTCTAGTTTCGTGGTCATGTATTTAAGAAATTTTCTTCTGAAGGCCGAAAGGACAAAATGGAAGAGATCATATTGTCATATTAAGTAAACTGAGTGCTTTATGAGTTATTCGTGGTGAGGTATGAGAAGTGAATCTATGTTATACCAGGAGAAATACAAGTCTGATAAGTTCATCAACGATTTATATAAATCCTACTTCACAGTTATTGAAAAGAATGATTGTTGTCAATCTAAAAAAATCTGATTTTCAACATCAAAATGGATCGAGTAATTGTCCCTTCTTTGACAGTCAAATTCAAGCACCTAGAGCTTTAGATGAAGCCCATTAAACTGTGTCAAATTCCTTTCTTTTATTACATAAATGCCTGGCAGTTTATCTCCACTACTTCTATTTCTTTTTCATTTTTGGGGCATGGGTGGTCTTTCAACTACTGATTATCTGCAGTATTCTCAGAGCTATATAGCTAGGTCCTTAAAAATATTCTACTGCATTACGCACAGGATAGAAGCAGAGAAAGGGCTGATCATCACCAACCACTCATTATCTGTAAGTTTCCTTTGGCCCATTTGGGCAAAATCGAAGTAATGATAATAATGAGAAATTGATAGAAGATTGAACTCAAATTGTACCTTGTTGTAATTCATAATTGGAACATATTCATGGTATTCCACATTTTTTATTAATTCGTAACATCTTTTGACTGCATCCCCCTCATTGGAATATTTGTTCTTTTACTTGGTTTTAATAAAGACAAGTTGTATGTTAAATCATTATGCATGTGAGTTCTGTACTTTCTGAGGTTGCAAGTATTTGACTTTAAGGTATTAGGTTGAAGTGATCATGTGCTCAATTTATTTCAAAATATGAAGAATCAGCTAAACTACTTACAAAATGTGTCGAAACATATAATAACATCCATTCAACCACTGAACGACTGAAACTTATAAAATATGCTGAAGCCTGAAACGTATAAATATATCTGTTGAACCACAATATTCAACTCTCTTGAATATTGCAGTTCAGCAGAGGATTCAAATTGCGCAGGTAGATGTGTATAGTTCAAACCAGCTAAAATTGCTACTTAAAGATCTTACAAGCTAAATAATTATGATCTTTTGATGATGATAATATTTTCATGCATGTTGTTTATTGCCTACACAAAAGTTCTTGCCCTTTTCTTCGATACCAGATAAAAGTTCTAATGTTGTTACTTCTCATAGCAACAAATTTTTGAGAGGTTTTCCTTCTAATATCGATATAGCTTACGAAACTGCTTTCTGGCTACTATAAATAATCATCTTCTCATCTTCTGATGAATTCTTACAGTATATTAATCAATATGTATAGCATAATGACAGTGTTGGTTGTACCTGGCTATCCTTTTGCAAAGTTTTTAACACTACAATTTGGCATGTACGATATATAAAGTCAAAAATGCTGTGTTTGTTCACTGAGTTACACTTTGTGGAATATAATAAAGTGAAAAATTATTTTAGAATGCGAAATATCAGTGTAGAGGGTCCAAAAGGGAAATCAAGTATTGATAGTTCACTCTTTGAGTATATATTTGTCAAAGATGATCAGTTCAATGTCCCTCCTTCAATGCCAAGTTGAGTGGTTTCTATTTTGTTTACTGTCTGCTCTCATTAAATTGCTTTTATCAGTTTTGATCAATACATATTTGCTACTCAGTCTTGTGCTGTTTGTTTACTATCAAAGATCAATATTTTTTTTTTTCTATTAATTTTTGTGTCTTTCATATATCTCAGGTTACTTTTAATGGATCATTTGACCACATGAATATAGATGCTACTAGGTATCCTTCTTGAACAAAAACCTACTGCCTTTGATTCAATGAAGAACTTTTAGTTGTTGGGTGTATTAAGTTGTACTGTTAGTTAGACTCTTGGGGCAGATATTTGCAACCTTTTAGAAGTCATGGTGCTTCATTATTGTTCTTTTCTCTTACCCTTTTAGAACCATTTTCTTGAGAAGATTGGTGTATGTGCATTATTTCTTTTTTATCATAGCACCATGTTGTAACTGGAATTGAAATGTACTCTGATGTCAGCGTCCAGAACTTAGAGATAATTGAACCAATGCACTCTAGTCTTTGGGGCACTAACAACAAGAAGAGAAGTCTGTTTCACATGCTCAAGACGACAAGGACAGTTGGAGGGTATGCATTTTGCCCATTCATATTGATATTTGTCACTTATCTTCTTGCTTCACATTATTTCTCTTGTAAAGAGACAGTTGATTCAGGATGTATAGGATTGTGGGCATTATAGTAAAGGTCAGAACTGGAAATATGAGAAAATTCTGTGAGTTGAGTTGAATTCCCAGATCCAATTACACTTATATGGTTGTGCGATCTGGGTTCTTTGTGGAGCAAACTCAGAGATGAGGATTTGTTAATGACAATCTAGGCATTAACGAGCATATGTCAACTTTTGAGACACTACTGGGAGCATAACATCATTCTTTGCAGAATATATTTGGTCCAGTAAAGAACTTCTACTTGCAATTTTGTTTCCTGCAATTGATTGGTGCATGTAAATGTATGGTATAAGAGACTCATTGGAGCTATGCTGATCTTACCATGCCTCACCTTAAAGCCTTTACTACTTCCGGAAGGAAATACTTATCCTTGCTAATATTAGAACATGATACCATGTTTCTTCAAATAATGCATCTTATAAAATAAATATCTGCAGGACTAGATTATTGCGGGCCAATCTTTTACAGCCACTTAAAGACATTGAAACCATAAATGCCAGACTTGATTGCCTGGTAAAATTTTTAGCCTTAAAAAATATATAACATGTATAGCTTTTGGTAACGAAAAACATGTAGTGCTATTAAATTTCTTCTACCTTGGAACATTGGTCTTATGAATGATTGATGTTGGGAGAAGTTATTAAGTTTCTATTGTATTGTTACAATATATTTGTAATTGTGTTATGATTTGCTGTACTTGGGGTACGCTTTAGTTTTGCTGGTCACTACCTAAATAGAGGTGAATGGGATAACATGCTCTAGCTCTAGTTCAGTTGTTCATCTTATCAGTTAATTTTAAAATTTTTGTTGATATGCAATATTGTTGACATTGACCCATGGTGGAATTTAATTGCAGGATGAGTTGATGAGCAATGAGCAACTATTTTTTGGGTTGTCTCAGGTTCTTCGGAAGTTCCCAAAAGAAACTGGTGAGTTTTGAGTGTAGATAATGGAGAAAAGACTTTCTATGTCCTCATTACTGTGACAGTGTTGTACTACAACAATAATGATCCCACGATGCATTCAGATAAGGTACTCTGTCACTTCTGCTTTAAGCAAAAGAAAGTTACTAATGGAGTCTTGGCCCTTGACAATTCCAGAAAGAGCCAAATCTTGATATCAAGTATTATTCTTCTGAAAACTGCCCTAGACGCCTTACCATTATTGTCAAAGGTACATCAATGTAATATTTTTCTGTTTATGTTGCATGTTTTCTCTTGATGAGCTTGTATTCTTCAATTTCTTATAGGTGCTTAAGGATGCCAATTGTTTCCTACTAAAAAATATTTACAAGTCCATATCTCAGAACGAAAAATTTGTTTCCATTAAGAGAAGGTAAACATGGTAGTTGCCTTCTGTGGTTAAGCAGTACATATTAATCAGATTTTCTATGCTTAATGTGAACCATACTTCTTTTTAAACTCTAATTAAACACTGTTTGTCATGTCATCTAAACAGCCTTTACTAGATTTGGTCCTTCCAAATCTAAGTTGTTATTGATCAGTACTTTTACACCTTGGTTCATTGTTAGGAATTTAACAAATGTTGATGGGATGTCTGTTTTAGGATTGGAGAGGTGATTGATGAAGATGTTCTTCATGCACGTGTGCCTTTTGTTGCCCGCACCCAGCAGTGTTTTGCTGTCAAGGCAGGGATTGATGGATTTCTAGATATTGCTCGTAGATCTTTCTGTGACACCAGCGAAGGTGGTTCTGCAAGATGAATAAATGAATTTTGCCACTAAGTATTCCATTTCCAGCATTCTAATTAGAATTTATTGCAGCAATACACAACCTGGCAAACAAGTATCGTGAGGATTATAAGTTACCAAATCTGAAAATCCCTTACAACAACAGGCAAGGATTTTACTTTAGCATACCTCAGAAAGATATACAGGGCAAACTTCCCAGCAAGTTCATCCAGGTTACCGAAGAATCTACTCATTTTGCAAAAAACAAAATATATAACATTTTGTATGAATGCTCCCATACATTCTCCCTGCTGTTTATTATCAGGTTATAAAACATGGAAACAACATACATTGTTCTTCTCTAGAACTGGCCTCAGTAAGTATATCTATTGATTTCCTTATCGTGACATTAAACCACAGTTATCACCTAATTAAAAATTGTAAACTGAAATGCATTATCTGATAACATATATTCTAGTGAAAATTGAGTATAAGAAAGTATGAGTGGTTTAGCATTATGTGGTTTCTGTATCCTTTCCTTAATTATTTTGTTTTGGTCAAGTAAATGTGGGGACTCCTATTTTTCTGTTGGTATCTGAAAGGAGCAAATGACACAGTAGGTTAGACATAGTTGTAGTTTAATCAGAGTGAATATCACTGCATCGAATTGCTTTAGTATTGGAAGAAATCATCAAATGGATTCTATATTATATGATGACCTTAATAGAACTTTTTCTATTCATTTCCCGCATTGGAGTCCGCATTGAATTGTCTTCTGCTCTTTATTTCTACTGCAGTTGAATGTAAGGAATAAATCTGCAGCGAAAGAGTGCTATCTTCGGACAGAAATATGCCTGGAAGGTTTTCTGAAACTTACCACCAGATTTAGTTCTCTTGTTATTATATTAACATTTGCATATGAAAGAATGCATTCAAATGTGACTGCCTACGTAGTGTTAAAAAGCGTGGTCTGAGAACTGTAGTTAAAAAGAATATCTTCTCTTCTTTTATCAACTGACTTCATCTATTTTATGCCTGCCAAAGTCTGAAAGCCCATGGCGTATTTTTAAAATTTTCCTTGATATACTTATTTCATTTTCCCTTCATTTATGATATCTCTCTTATCATCAACATCTATGATTGTTAAATGCAGCATTAATGGATGCCATACGAGAAGATGTCTCTATTCTCACTTTTCTTGCAGAGGTTTTATGCCTTCTGGATATGATAGTCAATTCATTTGCTCATACAATATCCACAAAGCCAGTTGACAAATATAGTAGACCTCAGTTTACTTGTAAGTGTAGCTATCACCAAGCTTGGCGCTAATTCACTACTCATAGATTATAAAAATGACAATGGGATATCAACACACTTTTTTGAAGATGACGGTCCGCTGGCAATTGACTCAGGCAGGCACCCCATCCTTGAAGGTGTACACCAAGAGTTCATTGTAAGTTTGTTCCCTAACAATACCGACCACATTTTGTCTAAAACGTATAAGTTGACATGAAGTAATGGTATAATTCATTAAAGATCAATGCCTACTCTGTTTTTCCAGGCCAACAACATTTTCCTTTCCGAAGCATCAAATATGTTAATAGTTACTGGCCCTAACATGTAAGAAAATTTAGTCCAGAAGTTCTTTCTTTTGGGTAATGTTTCGCTTGTGATATTTTGCTCTATAGAGTCCAAACTCTCATGCATGATATCTATACTTCGTGCAAGCCTTCTCCATGCAAAATTTATTGATTAGTTTCTAACTGTCACTTAATATTAACTCTATCTCTCGAGCTTAAGGTATAATCATTGCTCATGCATGCTAGATGAATGCATTGGTTATGTCATTGTTGATCCACAGATTCTGCTTTAACCATTCGCTTAGTGAAAATATTAGGTAGCTTACGTTTGAGTTGTGTAAAAGTGAAAAAGAGGGCAGTGTAATTCTTTTGATAGTTTGAAATTCAAACAGCTTGATACCTATCTGACCTAGTTAGATGTGTTTAGATTATAGAAACACTTGAGGAGAGGAGTTTGTCACTAGGACAGTTCGACATGAGGTGTATGGTGCTATGATCGAGTATCTTCTGCAAGTTTCTTGATCTGAAGATCATTTTCTCTATGAATTTCTAGTTATAATACTGCTGAGCAGCTGTGTAGTTGGGTGTTGTTTTGGATTGGATGTGGCATGTGATGACCATAAATCTTTTTCTTTCTTTGACTAAGCATAAGGTGAGTAAGTTTTACTTGTAGGAGTGGAAAGAGCACTTACCTACAGCAAGTTTGCCTGGTAGTCATCCTTGCTCAAATTGGTTGTTATGTTCCTGCACGCTTTGCAACTTTAAAAGTAATTGATCGCATATTTACTAGGATGGGAATTATGGACAGTGTTGAATCAAATTCTAGCACGGTAATTTTTTTTATTCTTGCAATTTTAATGTTCATTGATTTCTTCTGCTTGATAGGGATTCAGTAGGTTAGTTTCCTTCCCTAGTTCATCAAAACAAACCGTGCACAATACTTATTTGTTAGCATAAAAAAAGTTATAATGACACAAGGAGAAAGTGAAAGAGCGTACAGGATTAGTGAAAAGTGACTTTGTCCACTTATTAATGTGAGCTATTGTCCCAATATATTTATTCACCCAGCAGCATGTTTTGTTGTAACTCAATATGAATATGGGGAAAGTGTATACACCACAATTCTAGTATGTCTGTTAGTGAAGTGTTGTTATCATGTATAAATTAGAGGTTTGGGTATTAGAAGAGAAGGGAAGTTATATTGCTATTGTATTTAATTGTCTTGGACTCTTGGTGATGGAGCTATGGTAGAATGCAATTGAGAAAGATTTGCAGGCTCCAGACTAGCGAAATGCAAGTATCTTGATGCGTCTATTTCCTTAGTTACAACGAATGACATGTTTTCTGCATAATTTATAGAGTACTTAATTATTTCATGAGATTTTCCATATCGAAATACCACATCCTAAAAAATTGACACACCAGTAACAAATTGAAGATCATGCCCATCTTTTGTTTCTTGATACGGACATGGATGATGAATTCCCTAGTTGCCTTAGTATACATGGAACAAGAGGTACTTGGAGTCTTCCTTAACAATTTATTGGATGATTCATTCTTGGATTTTAGCTAGTTTAATCTCTGTTGGGAATAGTAAAGACACATTTAAGAATTGATAAGAAAATTATCCCTGTATTTTAAAGTATAGCAATGGGTAATAATTATATCATGTTTTTCATGCAAAACAATCTATACAAATTGGAATAGGACCACATTGGTGTCAATATCATGTAATGAGAGCAACGGTTTTTTTATGTCATTCACTGTGCAGTTTATGACTGAAATGAAGGAGACTGCTTTCATTCTACAAAATGCTTCTCATAGGTAAATTAATAAACTGTACATAATCTTCTGACTATTAAATTCATCAAGAATGTGCAACATAGCATTCTTTGCTGTATGCAGAAGTTTGATTGTTGTGGATGAATTGGGAAGAGCAACATCGTCCTCTGATGGATTTGCAATTGCATGGAGCTGCTGCGAGCATCTACTGGTTTTAAGAGCGTAAGTATTCTTGCTGCTTTATGTTCGTATAGGCTTAAATAAAGACGCAACTTGAATTAATTTACTTGCAACAAAAATGGCATCCTGCAATTTGTTAATTGTAAATTTTGATTTGAAGGTTTGACAGAACCTGACCATAATATAATATTTTTATGGTATTATTGAGCTGCAGCAAGTTTGTTAATCAGGCTCGTGCTGCCAATGGAACAGGCTGTTAAAAGGGCATTTCTAAGAACGTTAGTTCAATGTATTCTTTCCTTAGCAGTGTTTCCATTATGCTATTGTGACATATATTGCCTATATTATTTTTTAATTCTTAATTAGCTTTGCCATAACCACATGCTTCTACTACTAATGTATCAGCAAACAATATTGTGTTTAAACATTACTTATCCTTTAGTTAGAGATTTACATGATAGCTGATTGACCGGCGAAATACTCTAACCAAATATGGAGTTTGCTTTTGCAATTATAGGAACAAACACGTTGAACAGCTCTTTTCACTTCATGACTTGATTTCCTCACACATTCGTGATTCACTTGGACCTATTTTATGACAAATTCACTCTATTTTTATAATCATTCAGGTACACTATATTTGCTACTCACATGGAAAACCTCTCTGAATTGGCCACAATTTATCCAAATGTAAAAGTTGTTCACTTTGGCATTGAGATCAAGAGCAACCGAATGGAATTCAAGGTAACATGTTTTTGTTGGATGGATTAGTAGTTTCTTATAGCATTCTGCATCTTCTTACATCGACTATCTTTATCAGTTTCAACTGAGAGATGGTCCGCGGCATGTGGCACATTATGGCCTCATACTTGCAGGAGTCGCAGGATTGCCAAGTTCCGTGATAGAGTCTGCCGAAAGCATTACATCCAAGATCGCTCAAAAGGTACTTTAAAATCCATAATTGTAGGTGATCAAAATCCTTTGATTCCAAAGCCAGCAACAACTACAGTATTTTGAAAATAACCCGACTCGCCCCTGGACTGAAACAAAAAAGTGACTTCAAATGTTCTAAAATCTTCCTGGAACATCTTCAATGTTCATCCATGGGTAACTTTCTTGCACTTGTCCAATGAAAGTTTGATTTTGTTGGCATATTCTATATGTGTGTAGGAAAAGAAGAGAATAGAGACAAACATCCAAAAGAATCAGCATATTCAAATGGCATATCGTGTTGTGCAGAGACTCATATGCCTCAAATATTCCAACCAAGACGAGGATTCTATCCGTCAAGCATTGCAGGCTCTTAAAGAAAACTGCATCAATGGAGGGATTTAACCTAAAAGCTCATCTGTAGGCTAAAATGATGAACTGAATGTAAGTTCAACTTCAGCTAAAATGTAAAATAATAATATTCCTGTTTCCCATGATTAACAAAGATGCTTCATATATTTGGTGCCAAGAAACAGGTTATAAATTTTCAACATGAAACAAACGAACCACTCGCCCTTGGCAGGAAAACAATTCAGCAAGCTGATATAAGAGCACCGAGCGGGCGCTATATAAAGAGATTTGGTCTTGCAAGGAAATTGTCATTACAGAAATGTATGATAACAATACAGTCACACTCACTGAAGGAACATACAACCAGCATGTAAGTTCTTAACAAACCCTTTATTATAAATAATCAAACTTAGGAATCTAAAGATTTCTATTGTAGATGGCACCAAACAGTCGGAAACTGAATCAGGATCCCAAGCAGCATACGAAACCGAAATATGATGCCAAAGACAGCATTGCATGCAAGAAAAAATCGAGAAATATTAGCAGAGTTACACAATTAAGCCATATATCCATGCCCACAACTCATCAATACTCGTGTTTACTTGTCAGATTTTACACCTGTTTTTACTATTTAACTTTTTTTTCCTCCAAAAACATCAAATCAAACACCCAATTTTTATTTATTTTATTACACTAAAATTAAATACCACATCAATGCATATTTATATCACATTAGTAAGTTCAATACTGCAACCAGGAACAAATTCACAAACAAACACAATAGGAAAAGATTAATTCTTCTTTATCAATTTTATTATCATACACACATTTTCATACTACAAACATTAGAAAAATAGTGAAATCAGAAAACAAGATTTAACTCAATTCATTCTTCAATCTAACTTAGATCATACGGGTACGAAACCATTTTCTAAATCAATCAATCCAATAAAATAAATAAAAATAAAAATAAAAAAAGCTCTTAATCATACCAGCAAGATGTGACCAATTTCTAGGCATCCCGAGAAGGTATCATCCCAGTCTTTCTGGCATAGGCAAATATCCCACCGGCTTCAATGACGGGGCCGGCGTCTCCGATCGGCTTCAACTTATGCTCTTTTCCGGTAGTGTGATTGATCAGCTTACAGACGCTCTCACTCAGCTCAATAGTGACGACATCGCCAGTTCTACACTCCTCGCACAACCTCCCTTCCGATTCCAGCGGGTACAGTTCTCCAGTCGCGACGGAATTCCTGAAGAAAATCCTGGCGTACGACTCCGCCACCACTGCCGCCACGCCGGCAGCGCCCAAAGCTACGGGAGCGTGCTCGCGAGACGAACCGCAGCCGAAGTTGTCGCCGCCGATCACTATGGAGTACTTGGTTTTGGTGGCGCCGGTATCGACGAATCGTGTTTCGTATGTGGACGGCAAGCCGACTAGGGCGTAGGAACCGAGCTTCTCGTACTCGTCGGGTTTGGAGGGGACGAGCGTGAGATACTCGGCAGGGATGATTTGGTCGGTGTCGATGTTGTCTCCGACGACATAGCATTGACCGTGGAATGTGGTGATTGCACTGTCCGATGCGGCGGAAGCGGCGGAGGGGGTGGCGGCGCGTGGGAATTTAGGATTGCGGTTGAGTTTGAGAGATTTCGCGGATTGGATCGGGGAATTGGAAGTCGAGAAGGAGACGTTAATGGAGGAGGAAAAAGCTGGTAGAGTAGGGTTTTGGGAGGAAAGCTTGAAGGAGGCTGAAGAAGCTGAGAAGGCTGTTGCAGCGGCTGCCATTTTTGAAGAAGAAGGAGCTTTTTGGGGGTTTGGAATGAAAACTGCCAATGCTGTAGGTTTATTCGGCAAGGCTGAAGCTGCTGTGGCCTGTGTGTTGGCTAGTAAAAAATAAAAATTGATCTTCAGTCCTCCAATTTTATGAGTTTACAATATTACCCACTAACTTCATAAACCCGGCCTTGCATTATATTTTACTAATGGAAGCTTTTTTAATGATCTTCTTCCAGTAGCATAATTTATTTTTTCTAGTGTTTATTTGAGAGATTGGATTTTGAGTTGGGATTTGAATAGTAAAAATTTTGAATTTAAATAGTTGTATATGTGATATAAATAAGTGTTGATGTGATATTTTGAATGTAAAATTGATTTTTAATATAATATAAAAATAAAAAATAGGTGTTTGATTTGATATTTTTTGAAAAAAAAAATTGGATGAACAGTGTAAATCCAATCTACTAGCCAAACAAACACACTTAAATATTTTTAAAAGTATAAACATCTAATATTTAATTTCTTGCTCAGGATATTATATTAAATATCAAAATTTATTATTATAAAAATTATAAAGCTATAAACAATTTTTTAATTAAATATATATGTTTTTTCTTTATTAATATTATAAAAATATAATATATTTATATACATATATTTAAATAAGATTATAGTATAATATAATATGCATTTTGTTCAAAAGTGAAAACAAGCCCACCCAAAGTTTTGAAAGTACCATTTTTGTAAGAACAACATTTGATGTATAATTATTTTTTTTGAAAAAATATAATTATAAATAACGCTAAAAATTACGAAAGTAATCTAATTAAAATCTCAAAATTTTATCTAAAAAAGGCCATAGAAAGAAACAAGCATCAATTGCATTTAATGTTAAGATGCTTAAGAAGATAGTAACAATAACTTCTTGATGTTATTACATACCAAAAGGCTGCAAACAAAGATATGATATAAAGGGAAGATGACGATAGCAACGAACGAAAAGACATCACATGCTTTTTCCTCTTCTATTCTTCAGACTCATTCATTCATTTCTATCTATTTATCTATCGATAAAAAAGATCAAATCGATCTAGTCTATCGATGCTTGCTGTACCCTCCGCGGTCCTTGTCCCTCGACCGCCGGTGATCCTCCGCCGCCGCCGCCGCCGGAGGGGACGAGTTGTACCTCGACGGCCGCCTCTTGAAGTGCCTTTCATCATCGCTGCTGTCATCGGCCGCCACCGCAGTTTTCCTAGCCTTGTGGTGATCTTCATGGTAGCCATTGGAAACTGTCGCCGTCGACCTCTGATTTCCGGCGCCGGTGCCGGCGCCGGCGGAGGTTTCAGAAGTCTTCCTTTTTTTGCTAGACGGCTGCTCGTTCTCAGGGAAGCTGATGCGGGAGAACACACTGGCCTTCTTCTTCTCAGCGGCGGAGAGTGCCGAAGCAGGAGGCTCCGACGGAGATTCCGACCGACGCTGGTGGCTGCTGCCGCTGCTGCGGTGGCGATCGCGGTGGCGGTGGGGTTCATCCGGATAGTCACGGCGGTCGGAACGGTGCGATCGGCGGTCTTCCTCGTGAGCTTCCGGCTTCTTCTTCGACGGACGCGGAATGTCGGAGCGACGGTCCGGGGAGGAGCGCCGCTCCGCCCGGTGGCGGTTGTCAGCCGCCGGAGGCGGCGGAAGAACAGGCCTCTGCACCACCAGACACAAAACTAAGTACAACAATCCCAGACCTACAAAACTCAATTGGGCTGAAATTTGGAAATAAAAAATAATTTACACAAAAAACAATTTGGGCCGAAATTGGACGCCGGGCCCAATTCTATTCTAATAACACAGCCCATATTAACCTATTTTTTTATAATCAGTAGTTAAAAAAACCCAATCTTGTAACTTAAGTACGTTAAAAAAAAGAAAAGTGGCCTAGACATCATACACCCAAGAAAAAAACACTTGCATCCAGTGTATTTTTGGGTTGACGTCATTAATTGGGCATAACAAACACACAATTATCAAATGAAGAAAGTAAAAATTCCAAAATTAAAATTGCATAGATTCTCAAAGAAATTAAATAGTCTATAATAAGAAATCCTCGGGTGTAAAATCTACCCTTTGATTTGCCACCACCACCAATCGTGCTACTGAGCATTAGGTGAGAAAGGCAACCACCATTAGCATAACTAAATTTTATCCTAACTATTGAGATACTCTTTTTGTAGTACGCCAAGTGGTGTCTTGCAAGAATAGCATGCATTTCAGGGACCATGTATTCCACCTGCAATCGGGTAAAAATATGCACTAACACTAGTAGTTCGATGATAAAGGGACATACAGGTTTGGGCTTGGACGAGGCGTCGATAGTGCTGCTCCCTTCTCTTCCATCTCGCCCGTATTCGCGCTCTTTAGGCATTTCCCTGCGACGGAAAATATGATTGTTTTTAATAATAGATAGAAGTTGAAGGTTGGGTAGGTATTTAAATGAAACAAACGATCATTAACAGAGAAGCAGATTGATTTTGCTTACTTATTAATATCTGCCCGTCTCTCCATTTCGCGCTTCCTCTTCAGATCAGCTTTTCGAGCTTCGAATTCTTCTCGGCTCATGATAGGTGGCCCGGCGTTGAATCCCCCCATTGCTAACTCAGCAAGATCCCTACAACACAAGGAAGAATAGTGTGAGATTAATCAGACATCGAAATTTTGGCAATGATGCTCGTTCCAGATCAGTAACCATAAATACACAGATATGTTTTCTGTAATTCAATCAAGTAGGGAATTGAGGTAACATTATGCAAGAACATGAACCGAATCATACCTCTGAGGGGGGGCACCGTATGGCATCATACAACCTGGTACTCCAAATGGATCGTGTGGCATTACACCACCAAATGCCATATCCATGGGATTGAGGCCATACCCCATGTATGGCATTGGACCAGGATATGGAGGCATAAACCCATCCAACCCGGGTTGCATTCCGTTCCAGTAAGGATTAAAAGCAGCAGCGGGACCACCCATAGGCATCATATAATTCTCGGGTGCAAATTCCTGTGCAGCTCTCCACTGCATCTCAGCAGCTGGATATCATTTGACAACATTAGTTTGACCAACAAAGAGCTCAAGTAACACAAATCAACACCCAAAACAGATTCATTTAATTTCAGGCAGTATCTTAAACAGGGTAAAATTGACTTGGAACAAAATAATATACTTGTCACACACAAAAATTGAAGTTTCTAAACTTGAAAAACACATAAGACATTTTCAAAATGGAAACCAGATATCCCATTGCTTATATAGTTATATAAGGTTTATTTCAAAGATTCACAAAAAATGTCAAAACTAAAGTTTACAGACACACAACTATGATCCCCCTACATGGTATAGCAGTTCTCAAATAGCATCAATTTAAGGGAGAAATGTCTTATTCAGGCCAGTATCACAAGTCAAACAAATTTCACACAAATAGGGTGGCCGCATAACATTCTAAAAACGTAAGAATGAAACTTTGGTTATTAGATCATACCACCAGGAGGCATGCGCACTTTCTTCTTTTTCTTCTTCTTACCTGTATCACAAAAAACTCACACGTTCAGCTCCAAATGGATATATATCATTGTAGTACATATTATCTGAGAATAGTAATTTGGAAAAGTAATCTCTATGAGAACTTCACATTCAAGTAAATAATTGTTTTTATAGCACAGGCTGGTCATTCTTTTTTGGAATGAAAAACATACTACACAATTCAGTGTCTCATCAGACACTAACACCTTCATTGAAGACACGCCATAAAGAAGACAGAAACAACAATACAGAGGAATTCTCCATTGCTGTCCAGATCTAGCATCCCAAACACAAAATCTATACAGGAAGCCAGACATCCACCATTTACCTGCTTCACCAGACACTGGTTTCTGCTGGACCTCTTCGTCAACAAATTGAGCACTTCCCTGCGAAGCTGCTCCTCCTCCCTCCTTCATAGTTTTTGAGTCATGAGTAGCTTCTGCAACATCAGGTAATCTAGGAGCTTTCCCTTTATCTGGTTCTGATGGTGGCACATCTAAAGATTTGTTTTCTTCAACTGTCTCGACAGCCTTTGAAGTCTCTGCATCCTTTAAGATTTCTTCCTTTTGGGGTGGTGGTGTGGGCTCTTTCGTTCCCTTTGAGGCAGCAGACTGTGTGGGGGATGGAACCTTAGCTTGTGGATTGCGAGACTCCAAGTCTGAGCCAGAAGTAAATAACAGGATTATCAATTTATCGTTTCAATGGAAGAATCCAACTTGAGACCGAAAGAAATTAAAGCCTAGATGGTTTGCTGGAGTGAGAACACCGAGCATACCTTGGGCTTGAAATGCACTCCCACCATTTTCAGTGCTGTTATTATTGGATTCCAGAATTCGGTTAATGGTATCCCTCAGAGTCTTGTTGGGTAAAAGATCATCTGCAAGAATGCTTGTGGCCCCACAGACACACATTGACTTGGAAATGATGTAATCTCTTATACCTAAGGAGAAGTGAGAAAATCAAGTAAGGTTCAACCATCATTAGAGAAGACCAATCTCAAGAAGCAGCAAAACATTTTGGATTTCCAAACACCCAAAAGTAAAACACCACTTCACATATCCAGACTGAGGTACCCGGGAACAAAATTGTCCTACCATTGACATGGCATAAAATAAATTGTCAACTTAAGTGTAATCTTACATTTATCACAAAAGCTGGTAAAACAACACTTGCTTGTCAGGACAGCATCTTTCATTACTTCTTTGCACAGTGGGCAATGCAATTCAGGTGGGAGATCACCAACAGGCCGTGTGGATGGCATCCCCTCAATCTCTTTCTCAAAGGCAGCCCTTTAAAAAATTTAAATAGTAAAATGTTATTTACTGTTAACAAATGTATGCATCATACTAATCAAGATAGCTTACTCATTTGGCTTTAGAACAGCAACAGCTCCACTTGGCAATGCATATGAGCCATCTGGAGTAGCCACCAACATGGACTTTGGAATTCCAGTGGGAGGTTTAACCCTTTTAATATCAAAATTGGGATCACCATTTGTTGGGCAGTGCTGAATGAAATGACCTAAACAAAAGGTTCCATGATATTACTAATATATTCTGTCCAATCTTCAGTATTTGAAATAACTATATTACTGAGAATCATTATTTAGTTAATAAAAATTAAAAAGAGTGAGGAGGGGAACCATACCAGGCACCTTGCACCTGTGACATATGTAACCAGGTGGTGGTGTTTTCTTCTCAAATCCACCTCGACCTGTGAGTTCAAGTGGCATGGTTTCGGAATAGTCAGTATGCAACAAACCAACGGAGCAGAAAAAATATTGGATTCAATGAAAGCTGTGAATGACCAAATCAGGTGAAATGGATAATATTAGAGTCAACCACTATAATTTATTATTATTATTATTATTATTATTATTGGGGCGGGGAAAGAGAGGGGGGAGGGGGGTATTACCAAAACCACGTCCACCCATCATTCTTCCACCCATGCCACGTCCAAAACCACGACCAGAACCAAACCCATCGGAATGTTGACTGCAATGATAATGTAATCAACAGGTAAAAGGTCAAAGAAAAAATGATTTCAATGTTAAGTTAACAAGAGGTGCAACTGATATGGCGGTAAGCCAAGGGAAGTTCTACTAACTGTTGCCAATCTAAAGCGGGAGTGTCAATTAGTGCTTTGATCTTGCTCTCCTCATCTTCTTTGCTTACAGGGAGAGCCTCCTGAGCTGGAATGCTTGATTGCACAGATATAGTTTCAGGAATTGCGTAGAGATCTGTTCCAAACTCATCCCAATCTGTATCTTCAGCCTACAATGTTGAATACCTTGATGAAGTTAGATTACAATATAAAAGTTCAACCATATCTAAACAACTATGTAGCTAATGTAAGAGAAGTGTTGAGACTCTTTCTAAAGATTGATTAATGAATGCTTACATATTTCATGGCAGAAGGATCTGCTCCAGAAAAGCCACTCTTTGTAACTTGAACATCATCAGGATTGCTACTCGTATTTGTCCTACAATATGCATGGAAATACTCAACTAACAATTCCACATAAAGTTCGTAATTCCTACTTGTGTGCTGTACATGAAGGTGGTTGTTATTCCTATTGGGTATGGTTAACTGTTATATCCCAAACCTTTGTCCAAAGGTTGAACAAACAACCCAACCTAGCTGCTGTACATTATTTTTTTAAAGTAAATTGAAAAAAGATTTTAAGGATTAAGGCAATACTCTTGTTGCTCAGAAACAGGCGCAGTAACTATAGGCAGTCGAGGGCGTCCGGGAACTCGGCGTATTAAAACTGAAGTATTTTTGGGAATTAACATTGCTTCATCAAGGTACTCTGAAATATACAGAATAACAAAAAGATTAAAACACACAGAGAACACCAACAAATACAATGAATTAGCACAACCACAGCCATGGGCCAACACCACCTAGAATCACATCTCCTTATCTCTTCCCAATTGTCCAGCAATAAAACTTATTACAACTATGACCATCACTGTCCTGATCTCGAATGATAAACTTCTTCATAAAACAAATAAAACTTCGCAAAAAATGAACAACTGGGCCAATAACAACCAGCACATACTCAAATCCTACTCGCCTTAAAACACTTCCATCTCAACACAGAGAAAATATTTTGCTCCACCGTAGTGACTCAAGGCCACCATGTTTCCACCAAACAAGCCCTTTGACAACACCACCTACTATATGGTTGTTAACACCCGATTATAATGCCACAGGCAACATTAACAGTGGAAACTACAAATACACATATAACTAAGATAGAAACAAGCGAGTTTTCAAACGTGAACAAAACTAACCAGAGCTATGGTCAACATGCATTTCAAAGGAACAAAAGAAAAACATGCGTCTGAAACATTGTTCCACCACATAGTAGTTAACTATTGGAAAATATGTCTGTAATATTCAACTATCTGCCTGAAAACTGCTAAACACATCAAAAACATATACCAAAAACGAACAAGCACGAATCAATTGACCTCAATATTACACAAACCACCAGAAAATTGTGTTTTGAGCATATTGAAAAAGGTTAGAAAGAATCAAACACCCATTCTTGGTTTTAAAGATTTCTATTTGAATAAAATCTTACAAAGAATCAAAACCAACCTTCATTAGTCTGGGCGTTGGTGACAACGAGGTCAAAATCAGTACCCCTGCCCAAATGCTTTAGTTCAAATATTTTTTCTTTCAAGTTTCCCACTGATATGAAGTGTCCATCCAGCGGAACTGAATCGTAATCTTTTGCACTTTTAAATTTATAGTACACAGCCATATTTTTTCACCTTTCTTTGTAGATAGAGGAATAACTACAGATATAAATTGTGCCGTCAAATAATACAAAACAAAAAGCCTGGCATTCAACTCAAACAAAGATGAAGAAGAAAACAAATAACAGAAGTACAACGGAAAATCGAGTTCTTTTTTTGTTCTTTTTTTTTCCTCTTTACTTCGTTTTCTTGCACTTAATCAAGAAAAATCAAACCGACTAATGGCCTTCTAATCCTTCAGGAGACCGATAAATTCCAAACGCTGAGTCTTCCTTGCTCTTGCACAAGGGTAGAGAGAATGAGAGCGAGATAATCAGGATCGATCAAAATATTCACCAAAACACCGCAAATTACGTAGATCCAACAGATCGTAAAAGAACGCCGAAAAGCCCTCTCCTTCTGGCGCCGAACCGAATCGCCGAATCACCGCCTCGAACTGAGGAAACCTCCGACGCAAATCTCTCGATCAATAGACAAGCAAACCGCCGCTTCAGCTATCGAATCCTGCCTCAAGAACACCACGAATCGATAACCCGATTGTAGAGTAAAAGGTACGCGAGCAGGCGACTAGGGCGCACCCTCGATAATTAGCTCATCCTCCTGGTCCACAGAACCAAATCAGCACTGATCGGATAGGAATCGGTCGACCACTAACAGAATTGAAGAAATTGGATGTAAATCCCAGGATAAGAATACGGAGAGATTAGGGTTTTGATAGGTAGGGAGAGCGCGACGAGAAGAATCGCAAGTCTTCTTGGTGCGGAATGAAAATGAGGATAAAGCTGGCGCAGGGCATAATGATATATATATAGATGGGCGTTGCAAATCTACGGTCATGATTTAGTAAATCTGCGCGCCGATTAGATGCGAAACTACCCAACCCAATACCCACGTTCACACGCACACCTCTCTACCTTCTTATCTTCGGCCCACTAAAACTAGTGGACCGCTTGGGCCTATTTATATATTTTTTTTATTTATTCATACTTTTATTTTCTCCATAAAATATTTTACAAAGTGTTAATGTATTTATTCAATGTCATTTCTGTTATTTCATTTAACTTTAGATTATTACTCTTCGGTCCACATAATTTATTTTTTTAAACATAATTATATATTTTAATTTATTTTAAATTTTATAATTCATAAAATTTTTATTTTAATTTTAATTTGTAATTATTTTTATTCATATATTTATTAATTATTTACTAATATTATTTCATTGATCACATTAATACTAAAGTAAATTATTCAAAACTCTTTTAAATAATTCTTTTACAATTAATGTATTTTAATTTTGAATTTTAAATTGAAATAATAATTAGAATTGATATTTTGAATTAAAAATAAAATATTTAATTTAATATTTTAAAAATATATATACAATATATAAACAATAAAAAAACCTTAACAAAAGGCGATGCCTCTCGGTGATTGCTACTGGTCTACCTATCACAAATTATTTCTACGCGCCTAGTGTAACTTATCTTATCGAATTTAGTTTAAAACATATTATCGAATTTAGTTTAAAACATATTAGATTCAATCAGGAAAGTTTACCAATGAGCTCTTTTATGCAGCTGTACTATTAAAAAATCTTGGTTAAATATCTATGTATAAAATGAAAAACAACACCAAGACCAACGCTCATATATCATATATACTAACAACAAATGAAAGGAGTATAGAGATTTCTAATCGGTATTTATCATTCTTTCCTAAACACTCTGAAGCAAATTTGAAAGCACTAGCTAAATGCCAGACACAAATAAGCGGAAGCCCTAGAAAAAATACAAAGATAAATGTTAAATGTTACTTTACAATTTCCACCATAATACACAGCATATCCCCAGCCTCAGCCTGAGCCAACGCAAAAAAATATACTCCTTTAAAAGCTACTGCAAATATCAATTTTACATCTATTTCTTTTTTGTAGGAAGAAAGTGACAATAGCATCTAGAAACTAGGGAAAAAGGGGTGAATTGATATTGGGTAGCCAATAGGAAGATGATCGTTTGTTTCATTCAATCATATGTCTGTCAAGATTAGTGATGACACAATGACGACGTATGCTAAAAAGAAGAAGACAGCTATCTGGAAGAAGAACTTGGGGTTGTCCCGCATGTTGGGGGAGGTAACAGCCCTGAAAATATGCCGATGCGAAAATGAGTGGGGATTGAATGTAGATACAGCAAAACTATTACAATGATGCAAGGTTGGATTTGGGTAAGAGATATTATACCTTGCAATGCGCTGAGAAAGCCGGTGAAAGGGCATGCTTTGGATGAAGACAATACCAGGTCCGGTTAGAACAGCAGTGATCAGGTTGTCACCCTACGAACATAGATAAGAATGACAAAAATAAGTATTATTCAATAGTGGAGAAATCATATGCACAGAAGATTAAAAGTTGAAAAATGGACTGCCCCATATGAATTATAGCAAAGGATCAAAATGCAATTGATGAGTTCACTGAATTTATTCAATTTGGTCATTAGAAAGGGGAACTTGTTGAATCTAAACTAGTTTATGAGTCTAATATCTGTGTTGTGTTGATGGAGAAATCAACACTTTGTGGATTGCAAATGTCTTGCAGAAACAAGAACACAGCATAAGATCATTTGTTGGGAGGTTGTAAGGATAAAGATTTTCAGCTAACACCAAATATGAATCAACCAGAAAACAAAAACGAAAAAGAAAAAGAAAAAGAAAAGCAATTATTAATGAAGTTTTGAGTAGCAAACATATAGCCATAAATAAGTTCTAAGATAACCAGAATTTTGATAAATATAAAATTTCAGGTTCATTCTTAAATTAGAGAGCAATTCACACTGCATAGTCAATAGACAACCGCAAGACAAAGTGAGCAGGGTGAAAGAAATTGAGTCAGAACTGAATATATACAACACATCATGATACCCGTGTAAGCCAAAGTTGTCCTCAGTTTCAGGATCATTGAATATGAGAACAAAAGAAGAGTAGCAAAATTTGGAGACTCCATCAAATTCTCTCATGGAACTAGACCACTAAAACTTTAAGTATTATCTAGCTCGTGGTTGCAACCACACAATTATAGGACTGTGTAATGACTAATCCGCACCATTACATTATTCCCAATTCTTAGAAATAAACAGAGATTTTGCCCCTGCAATGTACCACAATTAGCCATAAATTGATGTATTCTTCAATTCATCAGGTAAGATTTTTAATAAATTGTAGAGAGCACAAACAATTCTAAAAAGCAGCCTACAATATCATAGCATCCAGAGAAATATCTATTTAAGGACCTCCTACAAAGCTACCACTGGTGAATGACCAAGACCCATAAATCTGCTTATCAACTTTAACAAAAACTATATATTAAACATTTACCATCACCACAAACCACAATAAAATATTCCTTGCAACTGGCATTTCACTATTTCTGAAGGAAAATAATGCAGGGATACTCACCCCAAAGACTACCCTTCTCATAGGGCCATTATACTTGATTTGAACATTAACTGTTGCTGAAACGGCAACAATGCTTGAGACATCAATTGTGAGTACTTCTCCCACCTCTAGGTTTTTCTGTACAACTAAGAAGCACCAAAGAGCAAGGAAAACACCATAATTAGATAGGAAACAACTACAAGTTGGATTGCAGTTTTGGCAAGACATGATTCATTCATCTCATGAGCAACATGCCACTACCAAGCATGCCTCTAAAACTATAAAGACTTGAAGGCCTTTAAGTCAAAATTTTCCATATTTAAACACTGATTATTAATTAATTATAATAATGAAGATCTTGTCCATAGATCTAGGGTAAACATTACCATGAATGATGAATTCAAACATAACTGATCATTTTGTTTGCAGCTGTATCAATAATGAGTTTTTACTACCTAAGAAAAGGAACAAGTTAGTGTTTAAGTGAGATGCTGACAAATCATGTTGAATCAAATCATTAAAAGACAAGCAGCTCAAGCTATCATGGTCCCTGATTTCTTTCAGAAATGTGCATGGTATCTACAAATGTTCATTCATCTAAGATATGGTGCTTTTGTTAGGAGTCAAGACAAAATGCAATTTTCACATTATAACAGTTTCCATATTATAATAAATCAACCATGAAAATTTTTACTTGCAAGATATCTACGAGGAAGTCTTAGCTGTCTAAAATACATGCAACAAAAAGATGGCCTAGTGAAGCTACAAAATGCTGTAAGATATCATATAACAGCACTCCAAATTTGAGAACCATACCAGAACCACCACCTACAATAAAAGCAAGCCCTTGACCAGAGAGTTTCTGCCTCAAAAATCCCTGTAAACAGTGACATTTAATTATAACTACTGACCTTAGAAGAGAGCTCAAATATAAAAAGGAAAATAATAAGAAAGACCCAACCATCAGACCTCTACATTAGTAATGGCATTGCGTGCCCTTGGATCAACTGAATTATTTACTTTGACATCATTAATAGAGCAAAGAAATGCATCTGGCTACAACATATTATAGCAAAAGTCACACCAAAGTTAGTAAACCACCATGAAGAGAAATTTCATTGCAACTTTTACATTAATTGTACATAATCAGTACCTGGCACAACATTTCACCACCAAACAAAGCCAGATCAATCTGCATGGTGTAACCACAAACAATAGAAACCCTTGACACCAGATAATGAAATATCAATGAGAATCAGTAATATGGAAGGTTACATACCGGTAGAATCTTTGCAAGTGTAGGTGCAGCTATTCCCACAAACCCATCAGTTGATCCAGTATTGTGGAGTATTATGCTAGTAACACTCTTTCCAATAAGCCATTGCCACACACCAGCTTCATTTTCTGGCACGTATACATTTTCCATTTGTATAGACCCGGACATGTAGCACATCGAACCTGCAACACATCCATGTATGGTGGTCACTTTACAAAGAAGATATATACGCAGAGATTATGTTTAAAATTTTAAGTTTGAGGTAGTAATCAAAGTGCTAGTACAGTTATGGCCAGAGTTTAGAGATGGACCATTAATTCACCTAACAAAGATTATGTGGAAGAGAGAACGAAGTTGCAACTTAGCGATCAAGAAAACAAGATAACATGAAAAAGAGAATAACAAAGAAAAAAAGATAAGCCTTTAGCTTCAAGGGCACGAGATGGAGATGGCTAACAATCTATCAGAACCAGTTCAAATTGGGTCACTATTTAGCGCGGTGTAATTTGTGCATAGTGCTGTAGTGCACTACAAACAAAGAGGACCTTTGTTGGGGTTATGGCACTTGGCAAGATTATACTCAAATATAACTAACTAAAATACAATTTTACAATAACAACCAAACATGATATTGATCAAATGCTTGCCACAGATACATTATAGAGAATCTCCATATATGGTGGCTTCAATCAAGTAAGATTCATTTGTTCCCACCATGCTATAATGTAATAGATGACGGTAAGTTAGTAAACGTGTGAAATTTTATTCATCAAATGAATTTAAGGCAAACCCGATTAAATGCATGTGTAACCTTCAGTCTGAAATTGTCTTTTACCAGCCTTTATCACATAAGTAATTTCTAAAAATGAAAATCATAAATAGTTACTACGTACAGCAAACAAACATAACCAACAGAAGAATAATACATCCAATTCAAACAGAAATATTATACAAACACGAACGGTTAACTATTTGCATACCTGGCTTAGCAATAACCTTTTCCCCTGGCTTTAGCATTACCTAGAGAGAGAAAAAAATGCCAATTTTTTTAATTAGGCTGTATAACATATGTCTATGTCACGGGATGAGAAAATCAGGCGTGCAAAAAATACCTGAACTATTTGTGCTTCCCCTCCCAGGATCTGAAAAGGTGTGACTGCATCCTGTGGGCTCTGAAACAAAATTTGAAATGACCCATGAGCACATAGGCTAAAGTAAATAAATAAATAAACCAAGCATATAGGCACTATTGAATTACAAATTGAACAAGCAAAAGCAAGCACCAGTTAAGTATCATTGCAAAATCTGATGGCTTGGTTAGAATTTCTATAATCAATTTATCTTTAAAAGCTAGCTTGTGATGCACAGCTAACATATTGTAAGCGAAAACCGAAGGCGCTTGTATGAGCATGATTCCTGTAGGCTGTAGCATTGCAATGACAATGCCCTAAAAGATTCCAAAACAAGATATCTTTTCGCCCGCATTGGCACATCACTTCTACATAGTCACGATTCCAGGAAGCCGGTCACACCGAAACGAAACTGATGAAATCCCAACTCCATTTTACAGCGATCGCAGAGGTCCTAGGCACAAAATCACACACGACCACACAAGACAACTCTAAACTCGCAGCCAAAATCTACCTCTACAGAAGGTAATTGTTAGAGTTCAATTTTATTTCAAGTTTCAGATTCACCATACTTCTCAGCAAGATAACGAAACTGTGATCGCTAACAAAAAAAATTTCCAAAATCAAAACATTAAATAATCATATAAAACCCTAACTCAATGAAAATTAATGAATTGTGATTAACCTGATAGACAAACGGTTGGAAGGGTGTCGAAAAGAAAGGGGCTGCCATTGGCGAGTGATCGGAGCTCACAATTTGCAGATCGGTGAATCAAAATTGCTGTAATTCGTCATTTTTATTCCATATTTTATGCCCCAGGGGTTTTGGTTCTAAAATTTATCGACACGCCTTGATAAAAAGTTGAATACCGGGAATGACCTTCAAATTGGGAATCTGTCAATTAGGACCACGAAGGTAGTTTTGTCCATTCACGTACAAATCGTCGTTTGCCGCATTGATGTTGGTTGAACAATTGGACTACAGTCAGCGTCATATCATTGACGTGGCATGAATCCATTCGCTGATATTCCTATATAGACGTGGTTGGGCGGGTCTATGCTGATTGAGCTCTGACGTGGACTGTTTGCAATTAAAGTTTGCGTAAACCAAGACATATTTTTATGTAAATTAAAAAATAATATAATATTTTATTAATTAATACAAATATATAACATGATATTGAATTTTTTATACTTACAAATAAAAGAATATTATTTTTATAAAAATTAAAAATATTTTAGTATATATAAAATTCATTCGGACCATTTGAAATAAATAATTTTATAGTAAATTAAAAAATAATAATATTTTATTAATTAATAGAATTATCTAAAAAATATTTTATATTTTTAAATGATAAAAATAATATTATTTATTACAAATTATTTTAAATAAAATAGACGAAAATGATTAAAAGCATATTAAATTGGACAAAATAAATATTTTTTACATAAATGAAACCCTCGCTGATTGGATCTTAAGTATTAGATATTAACGTAGTATTTTTCAAAAAAACCAATGGTATTGACATTTTTTTTTTTGTTATTTCTAAATTTCTACTTTTATGTAATTTCAAAAAATAAATAAAATTTTCAATTTAAATTAATATTCAAACTTATTTTTTTGAACATGAGTAATTGAATATAAGATTTCCTAAGTGGTATTTTAATGTTGCTAATTAAAGGTATTATATGTGATTATTTAAAACATAATATATAGTTAAAAGTCAAAAGTACTTTTATGTTTCTTTATTCAAATTTTCTAAAAAATTATTATTTGAACTCCCTTTCTCATCAAGTATTATTTTAATATTAAATTTAAATCAATTTTTTTAAAACTCAACCAAAAGAAACATTCTTAAATAACTTTTTTGGAGTGGATAGTTCTCTATAATATGATTTTTGCTGTTTAATAACCAATTGCGCATTGATATTAAAGAATGGATCCGACATTCTTGAGAAGTTTTGGATATTCGGATGACACTAAAGTTTTGAATTTCATTGCTTGGGATCGAGTATATTTTACCAATGTAAAATATCAAGTCATCTAGGCAAATATAAATGTCGGATCATTTTGAATGAAGTGTTGAGCTTAAACACTTTTTTTCAGTAATTTATTCAAAAATTGAATACTTATATATCATTGGATTCATGATAAAGTTTTTTTGTAATTTATCAAAATAATCAAAAAATAATCAAGTTTGAATTCACAATATCATGCATGACATCTGATCCGTAATTTATTGAACATTTTAGTTATAAAATAAATTAAGAATGTATTAATATTTCAAAATTTATTATTTAAATAGAATCTTAGATGCGGCTTTAAATATAAATATACAAATTTAATTAGTTTGTTATTTTGGAATTCCAAACTAAAAACATCGGTTTTCAATGTAATATTTTTTTAATAGAAAAAATTATGATATATAATTTGCATGACATATTATATATATATCTCATAAATAGAAATAAACATAAATGTTATACTTTCTCATTCCCAAAAGTATAGTATTATTGTGTTAGGCACGAGATTTCAAAAATATTGATATTATATTGGTAGTTGGTAAAAAGTAAAGATAAATGACTTTTTTGCACTTGTAAGTACATTAGTGTAAAAAGTAGTGAGAATTGTGTAATAATAATGAAAAAGTAGAGATAATTTTATGGTGATATGATTATTTATGAAAATGGGACTATTATTTTGGGACGGACAAAAATTGTAAACAAGACTTTTGTATTTGGATGGATGGAGTATTTATTTCGAGTTTTTATTATTTCCAATAGAAGGTCTTTGCTCATCATTTTAATAAGAAAATATTACAAATAAATTATTATTTAAAAATTCATAGGGTGTATTTGTTGGGGGTTTAAATTTTGGATTGAGATTTGAATAATAAAAATTTTGAATGTGAATAGTTATATGATGTGATATAAATAGATCTTGATGTGATGTTTTGAATGTAAAATTAATTTTTAATATAATATAAAAAATAAAATAATAGGAGTTTGATTTGATATTTTGTGGAGGAAAAATTGAATAAATAGTAAAATTTGAGGACAATCACCCAAACAAACACATCCATAATAGACACAACCTCAAATCAAACAAACTTAAAAAAAATCTTTTTCTAAAAAATAATTCAAATTTATAAAATTATATCTACTTTATAAAATAATACTCCATCTGATTTTTTTAACCTTGTGAGTGTATTAGTGTAAAAAAATAGAGACAATTGTGTAATTATAATGAAAAAATAAGGATAATTTTACAGTGTATAATTATTTATGTAAATGAGACTGTTATTTTGAAACGGACAAAAATAACAGTAAACACTACTTATTGGGACGGAAGGAGTACTTTATAACTTATATACAAATATTAAAAGGAGTACTTTATAACTTATATACAAATATTAAATCAAAATTATAATTTAAATTAAAATAGAAAATCAAACATCAAACATCAAATACGTCTTCAATATTCCTAACCCACTAGCATTTTCAAAATAATACTCATCCCGTAAATCAGTAATTTTTATTCGTCCAATTGACAAAAATTGGTTTATATTAATGACGTAAGCTGAAATAACAAATACCTCACCATGTGCATCGGCGGCAATTCTCCAAGCTCCCGGGAGCCAGACTCCCATTCGATCTGAACCGTTCGATAGTTCGAGCTCGATGTGGTGTTGCAATCCCGGAGCACTGAGACATGGTGGGAAAATGCATGACGGTTGAGAAAAGATCACAAGGAATTGTCAAAACGGTGGAAAAGAAGAAATTTTGTATACAAAATGAGGAAGCCACATGATCTGTCATTTCCATCGCCATTGCTCCTCCAACTGTGACCTTGCCTCTCCTTTTTCTCCTCCTTTTCCCATCTTCATCTCTCTCTTTTCCATGTCTGCACGATGCTGTCTCAACTGCTCCTGCCTTCAAGGTATATAGTTACGTGTGCTTCTTCGGAATACAATACCGATGTAATTTTCTATATTATTTCAGAATTCGATGGAATTTAATTGTTGTCTGTTTGTATATGGTTTTTGGCACATATTGTTGCTTGTTTGTGAATGTGAGGAAGGAGCCTGTTTAGTAGCTCGGATGCTCGATTTATTTATTTATTTATTTTTTTCCGATGATTAATTTGTTGTTGATTGTTATGGAGAAGGATAAGCATTGCTTGAAATCTCATCGTTTTTGTTTCTACTTTACTCTAATTTCTCTGTATGGAGAGAGATTACAACGTAACTATGGGGATCGTTACCGCTCGGGTATAAATTTCTTCTATAACTTTCTCTTTCATATGTTCACAGTTTTACGATCATCTGTGTGTGCGCCTATCCAGAAACCGGCAAAAGTTGCTGTAGATTGATCCATTGATCGCACTGCAGTATTTGATTAAGAAATTTCATACAGATTATGTGAGAACACTAGTTATAAACATCGTCGCAGAGCTTCTAGTCTGTGACTAAAATATAAACCTAGATTCACATCAACAAGCTGTTTCTGCAACAGTGTGTATGTGTTTTTCCCAATTTAATGACAAAATTCTCATTCCAGGCACAGAACACGACGCAAGTGTGAAAAGGCTTCATAGAGAAACTGTGCAAAGCTCAGAGGCTTACATGTATAACCTGTAGATTGATACAAAAACAAGCCTTCCAAGCACTGGGGCACAGAATAGGCATGGCTAAGTTATTGCGGACGGTTGTAATCTATCTTATCTTCAGAAATGGCTGGAGAAAACTGCTTGTCGTCTGTTTGATATTCACGTTTACTAGCATTTTGATACTGATTTCTTCGTTGCCTTATCCACTGACCGAATGGATTCACCTACCGCATCCTGCAACTTCATCTTCGAGTAATTCAGTACGTTTGGGTGAGAATCATTTTTCAGCATTGGGCGCTCGGCATGAAATCGTGCAAGACAACTCTGTAGTGGTTCCGCATAATTCTTCGACTGAGCCAAATAAAACTGTGCTACTTGAAAAAAAGGAGAAGGATGTACCTCAAAGAAGCAAAGGACATAGACGCGGAAGGTTAATGGACTCGATTGGTCCACCATCTCCTCATATGGTTAAACGTCTCCCGCGTCAGTTGGAGGTAATACAACTTCTATGGTATTTCTAATACTTCAGATTTTAAACAGCATTTTATTTTGCTGTTATGCAGAGGTACCTGTCATCGTTGTCGCCGGATGAGGCACTTGCATTCGTTAGAAAAGATATCGAGAATGCATCCAGAGACAGTGGTGATAATCCGGAATTATATGCTCCCTTGTTCCGGAATGTTTCCACTTTCATGAGGTGAATTTGTCTGCAATTTATCAGCACTCATTTGGCTCTACAATGTTCGTGCTTGATCAGTACGATCTCTGTTTTTCCCTTAAAAATAACTACTTAATTCCAGGAGCTATGAATGGATGGAGCAGATTCTAAAAGTATACATTTACAAAGAAGGGGAGAAGCCTATTTTCCAGGAGCCTCATCTTTCTGGAATCTACGCCTCTGAAGGATGGTTTCTGAGATTGATGCTAGCAAACAGGCACTTTGTAACAAAGGATCCTGAGAAGGCTCACTTGTTCTATCTCCCATACAGCGCCCGCCAACTACAGATGACTCTCTATGTCCCCGGTTCGCATAATTTGAATCCATTAATAGTCTTTCTACGTGACTATGTGAACATGCTTTCTTCCAAGTACCGGTACTGGAATCGCACTCGCGGATCGGATCATTTTATTGTTGCCTGCCATGATTGGGTGTGACATTCTTACAGCTTTGTCCTAAAAGTTCATGCTTAATTAGTAGAATGTCTGATAATGGGAACTTACTTGCATTTGTAACTTAGTTAGCATTAATTCATTTTTCTGTCTTACAAATGCAGGGGCCTTATACATTGAAGGGGCATAAGGAGCTATTGCAAAACACCATTAAAGCTCTGTGCAACGCCGATGCATCGGAGGGTATTTTTGATCCTCGAAAAGATGTTTCCCTCCCGGAAACTACGATAAGAAGACCTCGCAGGCCTCTTAGAAATATTGGTGGGAAGAAAGTGTCGGAACGATCAATTCTGGCCTTCTTTTCCGGGCGCCGGCATGGCAAGGTTCGCCCGGAGCTCCTAAAGCATTGGAGCGACAAGGACGATGACATGAGGATTTATGGACCACTGCCAAACCGAGTGTCGAGATTTACGTCATACCCTCAGCTTATGAAATCAAGCAAATACTGCATCTGTCCTATGGGGTTCGATGTCAACAGCCCGAGGATTGTTGAGTCTATATACTATGAATGTGTCCCGGTGATCATAGCCGATAATCTGGTCCTGCCGTTCAGCGATGTTCTTGATTGGGACGCCTTCTCTTTCCGAGTACCCGAAAAGGATATTCCCAATCTGAAGGAGATACTCCTAGCAATACCTATGGAAAGATACATTGTGATGCAGAACAATGTGAAGAAGCTGCAGAGGCACTTCCTTTGGAATTTCCGGCCAGTCCCCTTCGATCTTTTCCATATGATCCTACATTCGCTATGGTCGAGCAGGCTCAAACAGATTCAAACACTACTTCCATCATAGTACCTCATCATGGCATGATCTGATCCTATTATGGTTCAGATTTCATGATCAATCCTAGAGTTTCTTCAAAATGGCTATGGTCTGGTTAAGAATCCTGTTGAAGAGGAGATCAAGAAGTGAAGTAGAGGATCATGGATAGATCATGTTTATTACTATAATTATTATTGATTAGTTTGGTTCATCATAAGAACAGAAAGAAGGCAGCAGAAACAGCGGTCATATTACTGAGGTTATGATGGTGGTAATGAGCTAATGCTGTGTAGAACAGCTTTTAGTCATTATCATCATCATCTTCTTCATCTTCATCTTCTTCCTCAAGCTCAAGAAAGCACTTGACCCACTCCAAACCATAAGTCCCTTGTCTCGAAAAATCGAAGAGTTCTTCATTATCGGAGGAGGCTTGCAATCCCTCTCCACTCCCACTACCTTGTTCTGCTCCTCCCATCATCATCATCACCATTTCCTGCTTGTTCTGACTCACCTCCATGGCCGACGACGAGGATGCTTTCCTACCTCTATCGTCGTCATCATAATCATCTTGATCATCACCATCGTCGTCGTCCTCATCTTGATCATCATCATCATCTTCTTCTTCTTCTTCTTCTGCTTCAGTCCTCCAGTTCTTGACCAGGGAAGCTGTGTATGTAGCAGGGAGTTTCTCCATCAGCTTGGCCTTCTTCCTCAAGTGCGCATTCCAGTAGTTCTTGATCTCGTTGTCGGTCCGGCCGGGGAGGCGGCGCGCTATCAATGACCACCTGTTCCCTAGAAGCCTGTGAAGCCTGAGGATCAAGTCATCCTCAGCTTCAGAAATGTTGCCTCTCTTGATATCTGGCCTGAGGTAGTTCAGCCATCTCAGCCTGCAACTCTTCCCACACCTATTCAACCCTGCACAATAACAATAATAATAATACTTATCAATACAAACATGCATATCATCATCATCCAACTTACACTGTTTCAAAACTAAAACTTTCTAAGTGAACACCTAAGGATTAGCGACTGCGGATTATAAATATGCAAACCTGACTTAATGGCGACAGATTTCCATCTTCTAGGGCCATAGATCTCAACATATTGAGCAAGTTTGGCATCTTCTTCGGCTGTCCAAGCCCCTTTGTTAAGAGACATTGATGAAGATGATGATCTTTTCACAAGTACAGCACCATTTTCATGGTGAAGAGGAGTAGGAGTAGGAAGACTACAGTAATGTTGGCTCTTGTCAGCCATGCAATAATAATCATCCAACTCAATTTTCTGAGTCTTTTATTTTGGTCCTCTCCTCTTGATTTAATTAAAAAGCACAGGGAAAAGAATGAAATATGAAGATGGGGGTTGGAAGAAGATCAAAAACACCTGCCTGGTGGTTAGTCAGTTCACATTATATTCTCAACTACACTACACGACAAATCAGTATATCTACCATCCACTTTAGTCACTACTATCCATCCAACACCCTCTCTCTCTCTCTCTCTCTCTCTACTATTTATTTAATTTATTGGGCAAATTCAAATGATTAAGCAAACTTAGCATTATCTGCAAGAGGTAGCTTAAATTGAAGCTGGTTTGTTTTTCGTGGAGGTTACTACTTTTTACTTTTTGATAAGAAGTTTAATTTAACTATATTTATTATATGCGTACTTCCATATGCTTGTTGCTTTCGAGTACACTTATGTTGATTCTTTTATTCAATTGTATGTATTTGTTTCGGATGGATTGTTTTTGTCTTTGTATCACTCAATGTTTTACACCTATTAGATTGGCGATTTGTATTTCGTCTTTGTCATTTATATAAATTAATGCAAAATTCTATTTTCTTTTTTTAATGTGATATATATAACATCATGCGTAATTTTAGAGAAAGCCAACAAAAATTGACGTCCTTCAAGAAAAGAAATATATTTTATATACGAAATTAAAAATATTAAATATAGATTTAAAAGAATATATATTCAATAGAGATAAATTTAAAAGAAACATATCATCTGGCATTCATTGTTGTTTTTTAAAGTTGTATTTAAGTGAAGGTTTAGTTCATGTTTTAAATGAATTAATTTTTTTTATGGACGGTAAAAAAAAAAAATGTGTTAAAAATATAAATTATATTATTTTAAAAAATATTTAATTTTTTTAATTTTTTTAAAAAAGATATATGATTTTTATTTTTAATTTTATAAAACACATTTCTAATTGTTTATTATTATTTATAAAAAATAAAAAATGATGTTGAAAAAACCATTTCCTAAATTTCAAGGTAAAAAAACTAACCCTAAAACACACCCAAATTAACCCTGTAAAATCCCTCTACATATAAACGATAAATATAATACGCATAACGGCGGCCGTCAGTGTATTTGAATCTCCTTAAGCCTCACTTGGTCTCCAGCGCATATCCATACGTGTTAGGGTTTAGGATCCACCAAGGGTTTTCTCGCTTTGCTTGTATTATAGGAAGAAGCTTCATTCAACCTAACCCTAACCCTAACCCTAACCCTAGACCGACACTGACTAGAATAGAAGAAAGGAAAGACCTCACCGTCACCGTTCGACGCTGCAACCACCACCGCCGTCGGCAATGCCGGACCACGACCCGAATCTGAATCCGACCCACAGCAAAACCACCGGGCTTCCCCGGAAGCGCTTCTACCGCGCCCGCGCGCACAGCAACCCCCTCAGTGATTCCCATTTCCCCGTCCCAATCTCCCCCGCTCAATTCGATTACTCCCTCCACTTCCCAGGATTCTCCGATCGTTCCCAAAAAATCGAGTTCGCCGACGTCGGTTGCGGCTTCGGAGGGCTTCTGATCGCGCTGGCGCCGCTCTTCCCCGCCACGCTGATGGTCGGCATGGAGCTGAGGGACAAGGTCACCGAGTACGTCAAGGAACGCATCCTCGCCCTCCGCGCCTCCAATCCCGGCCACTACCACAACGCCTCCGTGGTGAGGACCAATTCCATGAAATACATCCCCAATTACTTCCACAAGGGGCAGCTGACGAAGATGTTCTTCCTCTTCCCGGATCCGCACTTCAAGGAGAAGAACCACCGCCGCCGCGTCATTAGCCCCCACCTGCTGGACGAGTACGCCTACGTGCTCACAGTAGGGGGGATTATATATACCATCACGGATGTCGAGGAGCTCGGGGTCTGGATGAAGGCGTGTTTGGAAGAGCATCCGCTGTTTGAGGCGGTGGCGGCGACGGAGCTTCAGGCGGATCCGGTGGTGGAGCTGCTGAGCACCGCGACGGAGGAGGGGCAGAAGGTTGCGAGGAATGGCGGGGAGACGTTTACTGCCGTGTACAGACGGATCCAGGCGCCACCATCTTCTTAGTTGAATTTATAATATATATATATAAATTTCTATGCATTTCTTCGCCAAGGAATCAAAACCTTTTTTCACAAAACAAGTGCAAGCTTTTACTTTTCTGTACAATCCAATATATGTATGTATCTTTTGTGATAGTTTTGCTTGCCTAAGTTGCAAGAGCTCTTTTGATAATACTGAATGCAGCAAAAGTGAGAATCATTACCACAAACTTCTTGGAAGCCAGCAGCCTGAGATTAACCCGCAAACCATGTGTTCTCATGAACTCAGCTATGCTCCGGCGCATCCACGTCAGCCAACAAACAACACACCACAGCACCACTTTCACGGTCTCAATAGGTCCATGCACGCTTCCGTCGGGGACACCCAATTCAACATATGACGAGCCACTGCTTCTTCCTTGGTTCTCGTTCAGCCCGAGCTTCTCATTAACCAGACCTGATATATGCACTAGTAGTGACGCTAGCCATGCAACCTCGTCGTTGGAGGCAGGCCGCTTCATCCAGTCACCCTTGTATTTTATCTTGGCTCCATTGTGGTGGCCGAAGCTTCTAGGCTTGAATATTTCATCGCGGGATTGCTGGTGGTGGTGTCCTGACTCAGCTGCTGATCCGCCGGGCATGGGTGGTGATTGCCGAGTAAATGGACTTCCGAACAGCTGGCTCAATTGGGCTTTCAGTGAATCCAGATACTGGAGGTTTTGGGAGAGTGTGTTGACGGAGATTGCTTGTAGTTCAGACTCTGCTCTCAACAGAAACAGCTGCAAAGAGTCCAAGAAATGCAATGAAATGTCAGCTGAATAATGCTTAGATACAAGAGCGCTACGAGCATTGCATAATAAATAATTCATATACCTGAAGCAAATGCTGACCGCCATCTTCTCCATTAGCAAAGAGCCGCAAGTCTTTGTTCCAGTTCTCATGCAAAAAGGATCCATCTGCTTCATTCTCGCACAGGCCATCCTCCCAGTCCTGGAATAGTTGGAAACTAACTCAGTTAGGCAGATGAAAGAATGCATTGATATCCCCAAGACATCAGATAGTGCTCTGTGTAGTCTACACAATAACCTATCCTCACCTCTAAAGAATTGAGGAGAAGTTGAAATTTGTTAAATAGATGTAAATATCTTATCACAAGTAAGAACAGAAAAATTGGTTGGATGTTATTTTGAAATTTGACACTGAACCTCAGGAGTAACATCTTACATGGACATATTGAGTACTAGATAGTGCATGGGGCATAAATTCTAGGACATACCCAACCATGATCACACTGAACCTCAACAGTGTATTATTAACACAGCAATGGTAATGTGGTTCAGCATCTCATAAATAACTGAAAAGAGGATTCCAGAAAGGCATGTTGGAATGATAAGTAGGATGATATTCCAAGTATATTTTCAGGAGTAAAACATTTTGCGAAGCAACCAAATGAGCAAGTATACTAACAAAATTTGCAGAGAATTACAATCACCAGCAAAGGTAGATACCTGTAATTGTTGGCAAATTATTGGAATGGATCTGTTCACTGGAGAGAGCACTGATTTTTTCGAATCAACAGCTTTTGAATGGAAGACAGTGTCAACATTCTTTATGAGATCCATGAGCTCAACAGATGAAGTTAATATGCTTATTACCTGCATAGATTTTGAAAATATGAATATCTATGCATGTATGACTCTGCAGGCATGTGCTTATTGACAGCATTTTCCATTTCTTTAAGTTCTTCGTGCATAATAGTTTAACAAGATTCAGTAATTAAAATTTCTTCTGTGGTTGAAGTGTGTCTTTCTCTGTTCTCTCTAGGGTGGATCTCGAAAGATACGAAAGATCTCCCTGTTAGCAGCCTTAAGAAACATACAAGGACAAAACGACTCAAGGAACAAAATAATACTCCCTCCGACCTACATACCGTGTCTATTATACTATAGATACGGGATTTTAGAAGGAGTGTAATTAGTACATAATTAAGAATATATTAGTAAAAATAATTATCCTATAATATAAATAATTATAAATTAAGATTAAGATAACGAATTAGTTTAATTAAAATTTTTAAAAAAATAAAATTAAAAAGTTTAAAATGAGATTAAAGTGTATAATCATTTTCCAAAAAAAGAAAGTGACATTGTATGTGGGACGGACAGAAACAACAACGTGGACATAGTATGTGGGACGGAGGGAGTAACATTCAAAGAAATGGAAAAAAGAAAACAAAAAAGGTGTAGCTTTCTACAGCAAAATGATAGCCATAAAAAAAAAAACAAAGACACTCTGGATAAAATGATTAATCTTCGTAAGGATTTTACAATTATAATCTGAGCGAAATATGTTTTGCATGGATGCACAATGTTAAGGCTTAATTGTCCCCATCCATCCATTTGTTGAAATGGTATTGTCCAGTCTGATAGTTCATGCAAGAAACCATCAGATTAAAGCCATCGACTCTGGCGACAATTTACTTGAACCTATTAGTTTGAGAGGCAGTAAACATTACACAGCAACACAAAACCAACATAGATGAAAATTGCTTCAAGAAGACCTGTTTAGTCAGGATCCCTCAACCATCACTTGGAAAGATGATTCCAAAAAAAAAAAGAAATGGTTTTGCTTATACAATTAAAGATAAAACTTAAGCAAAAATGGTTCATAAAATCTTTATGCAAACAGCAACATTTTTTTTTAACACCACGAGCTTGGGCAAATATTTATTCAAGGACATGAAAGGAAATTCATATAAACAAATACAGGTAGAACTAAATTTACAAAGAATTTATTGTCCTCTATCCACTGCAAATTCAGCTTTGTTACTTCACATGCCAAATACCAACTACCTAGTTGAGCAATGCAAGTTTTTTACAGTTCTAAAGCATTAGAAAAAAGCATTAACTCCAAACATATAAGTCTTTCACATACAATACCTCTAGCCTAATACTTAATTAATGTGCAACATATAAATCATAATCTTTACTTCCTCGAATCAACAAATACAGTAGGATAACAAACAAGAATAAATGAAAAATTAGTGAACCCGAAAGTTAACAGGCAAGATCAGAATGTTGCGTACCTTAGCAACCATCTGAACAATTGCTTCTGTATCTGTATGAAGGAACTTGTGCGCAAATCCAATAAAATGCATAACCAAGGAGCTATAATATAGATAATTGGCCAACACAAATCCCTGACAAGAGGAGGAATATCCAGAAGACGATCTAGGGACAGAGTCTGCAGAATCCTTAGGTGCCAGCCCCAAACTCTCATTAAGATCAGCAAATTCTTCATGATTAGTTGACCATGGCTCCAGATAATTGATCCATGCAGAAAATGCTTGTGATGCATTCTTTATGGAAGTCTCCACTGGATAAAATAGAAAGGTTCTCAAAATAAATCTGTATAGAGGCCTCTGGATCAACGTGTTCCATGATATAACAGAATGTATGCTGATAGCAGCATCTCTTGACTTAACATCAAATAAACCTGAAAGTTTCCAGCCAGCACTACCAACATATTCTATCAGATTCATCCCATCCATAGCAGTTTGTATATTCAGATTCAAATACTTTACAAAAACATTTATCACATCACCCAGTCCAGGTGTAGGTGGAGTCTCTCCCAGAACAGATCTAAAAGGAAAAGATATACCGAATGCTTTGCACAAGCTTACAGGCAAGGGTGAAAAATCATTATCAACCAGCCAAAAATGGATCAATGTATTTATCACAAATTCTGCCCGGTCTTTAGCACAACTATCATAACCTGGAGAATAATGAAGAAGTGAACTTCGGTATGGCTGATACACATTTACATCTTGGACAGATACAAAAGAGTGGAGGTATGCATACAGCAATCGTGCATACAAGTTACTCTCAGGCTTCTTTTCTGTTTCACGCTTACTACTCGAAAGACCAGGGATCGAATAAGACCAGTTTTCCAATCTAGATTTCTTAGCCTGAGGAGCTTTTGCTGCCTCTGATTCCTCGCTGGTACCTCTACAAATCGGGTAAAAAGCAAACCAAAAGAAGTAGTATTCAAAAACATTTAACTGAACCTGATATGAAGAACCCTGATTTGGATCTCCCTTAACCCTGCCCTTGAACAAAGGACACATGTTGCCTAAAACCTCACAATCTTGTTTTTGAAGCATGTAACGAACCCACTCAGGCAATCGTTCATTCGGAAAAATGTATTTGATAAGGGAAATCTGGTCAGCTGCTGATATTGAAGATAATAACACTCCGTTTGGTGACAGTAGGCTGAAAATTCTTCCTGTTTACAAACACAGTACAGAGAGAACATAGTTATGAGGTTTTCAATTAAAACTTAAATTCAGGTTGCAACAGTCATATGAGTAGCAAATCCTTTGGGTGATAGGAAGACTACAAGCGAAGTCAGCTGATGAAAAAATCAAATAAGTGAATAAAAAGAGATCCGAAAAAAATGACAGATTGGTCGTACAACGTTACCAGACTATGAACTTCAAAACAAGTCCTTGAATTGCAAAGATAAAACACCTCAAGCAACATCAAGCAGGTATTATAAACATTAATAATAAATCAAGTCATAGGTTTGAAAAATTCAATCGACAAAGAAGCATTACTAAACACTGAATTAGCGCGTATAAAGCCTCACTGGCAGGCTTCATATCATCTTCGGAAACAAAAATGTCTTACTGAGGTGTATAACCACAGAATAAAATACAAACATCAGTAAATGAAAATAAAAACAGATCGAAGAATTTTCCTCGACCTTAGCCATTTTCCATAACATTTCAGAATAAATTATAAACAGAAGCTCACGAGAAGTGGCCGCACCACAGAAGCCATACCTGCAAGCTCCAAATCTTTTTCCGAAGTAGCAACATCGATCCATCCGTTGCAAGGGCGGGGCTTTGGAGGCGTAGAGTCATCGAAGCCAAATAGCCTGCAAATTAGAGCGGGAAAAGTGATGGAGAAGAACCATCGCTGTTGATCGGGAGTGTGCTTCCGGAGGAAGGATTCCAAAGCGGAGCAGGCGGAAGCAATCTGCGGCGGAGAAAGCGCGGCGGCGACGGAGGACGCCAACTCATTCGCCTTCGTGAACGTATCGGCAGCGTATGAGTGCGAAATCATGGCGTAGGCGAGATGAAAGAAAAAAAAACGGGTAGGGTTTGGAAAGGTTTAGGGGAGATTTTGAATGGAGCGAGTGGTAAATGGCGCCTTTTAAGTAGAATAAAGTCTGCAGAATATGGGGGAGGGGCCTGGAAGCCGGAAAGCGATGACGTGCCAGCTTGGGGCCCCTGTGTCGCCCATCGTACATATCCCTCTCCAAGGGTAAAATCGTAAGTTCGTAACACGATGATAATCAACGTAAAAAACACCTAACGCAAAAATTAATTAATAAATACACCGTTGAACATTGATCTATCGTCAATAGATAAAACAAAGGCACGTATCCCGAGGGTGGATCAGACCTCGACACGTATCTTCAGACAAACTAAGAATCCACGGTTTTCAATCAGAGTCGGGTCCGGGTCCGGGTCCGGGTCGGCCGTGACCCTGACCCGACAAGTTCATATCCAGGCGTTCCCTATTTATTGTACAGTACCCTTCAGCTTACCATTATTCATTCCTCAGTAATACACTAATAAATAGTCGCAGGGCTCCTGTCTTGTCCCAGCATTATCTTTTATTAATTTCTTCCAAATGTAACGGATCCTCTTCAACTACAATCTTGCAGTATGGAGCTGTTGCTTGAGCACAGGGCGTACATATTCATGGTAGCCGTCGGGCACCACAGTTTCATTCAGAGGGTCCTCCCACGCAGCGTCGTACAGTTTGGGGTAAACATTGCCGTCGTAGCGGCCGAGAATGGAGCCGAGGAAGTGGTCCGTGTAGTTGAAAGCGTCGACGAGGGCAATGGCATTGGGGCGAAGCTGGAACAAACAGCATGCAATCGTTCATTAGTAAATTCGATCTCAGAGAGTACGACAATTGTAAGAGTCGACAGACACACCTTGGCCAACAGTGCTCGGAGCTGGTTGTTAGCGAGCGAGGCCTGTTTCGGGGTGAGATAGCTGGTGGCGAGGAAATCGCCTTGATGCTTGTGTACAAGGGAGAGACTATATATGCTGCAAAGTGTCTCTAGTTGCTGCTTCACGCCTTTCCCGGGAATGTCTTCTTGGAGTTTCTCGAGAAACCTGAGAAAAGAACAAAAGTGTTCTCCTCTGTTAGAAAGCTCACAGTTGCTTCATGATCACAATTCAGTTTGTAAGAGAAGTATTACTTACTTGGAGACAATAATCAGTTGGCAGTGAGCAACTGCAGCGTCGACTAAATCGGCCGATAGCTCTGCAAAGCCTGCAGGAAAATGGGATTGTATTCCTTCATCCAGCGTATATTTTGTATTTAAAATATCACATTAAATAGGTATTACACAAGCCAGAGTATACCTTCTTCGGGGCTAGCAAACTTGGTAAGATTTTTAGCACAGGCAACAGACATTCTAGCAGCTCTTGCCTCAAATGCTTCTATTACTTGACTAGGCTTTAACCAGTCCTCAGCTGCAGATGTACAAACAGGAGTCACCAAACAAATCGACCCATGTAAACAATGTGTTCATTAAAGAAAGGATATGGCTCATGTACTATAACCAGGAAGGTATTATTACTGCTATTATTGATTTAATAAAAGTTCAACTTTGGGTTGAAGCAGTTTGCAGTTCACAATGTACTTCGAAAACAGGTAATACTTTCCAGAGAGGAACAATAGCTCACCTTTTTGGACATTACATCGACATTGCATTAACTGTTCCATTTTTCCCATATAAGCAACTGTGCCAACTAGCTGTTTTTTCATTCCAAGCTGGGAGACCGTCTTCACGAGAAACCTAGCTACCTATAGAATAAATTTCATATGGTGAGTAAATTGCTCTTATAATTGATAATATGTCATGGATATGAAGTAATTATTCAAAATATATTGGAGACATGCATGAACAGTATATTCCAACAACATTTTCTAACTAAAAGCTTTCGGGCATACTATGTAGTAGTTAATAACATGTCCTGGTGCTTGGAACTAAAACATGTCTATAGAATGGTACCTGAAGAAGTAGGACAACATTGTCTCCTTCATACGTACAAGCTGGAACAAAAGCAGCAAACAATTCAGGAAGCCCGCTGCTGCAGAGATAACCATGGCCGCCACATAGTTTTCGGCATTCTTCAATTCCATCCTAGGAAACAATTAAAAAGCAGATAAAGTTTCTAAAACCAGGAATTCACTAATACATTTTTGCTAAAAGCAAATGCCGCATAATTGTGAATTGTTCCCAGATATTTAAACCTTGCTATAGTTTATATAGTGAACATTATAGACATTGCCCGTACCAGTAAAGGATGGGGGCCAAATGAAGAAAACAGAGTAATAATGTAAGTATGAGCACGCAGAATGCACGTAAAACATATATCATGAGTGTATTTCAACTGATAACATACAGCAGTAACAGAAGTAGTCAGAGACTTCAATCCAGCAGTGCACGCATGAGCTTCGGGTAATGTTGAAAAGTCATTAACTTTGGATCGTTCTGTCACATCTGTGTAAAGCCAACTCAGCCATTGACTAACAAATCTGAAGGCATACGCAGAAGCCAGCAAAGGAAAGAGTCTGCTTTGTTGTGTTCTGTAGTCAAGGACCTATAATTTAAAATACAGAAAAACACATAAGATGTTAATCAGTAACTGTTGTATGGTAATGGTGAGGAAGATAATTGGAAGTATTAGCTGCTTCATTTACACATTATGTGATTTCATGAACAAGCATTTCAAACACACAGGAACAAAACTATTGCTTAAAATGATCATTACAGCATCTGACCAATTAAGCTCTCAAGGGTATATTTTCATAATAGAGTACATGGAAATTTGAACAACACCAGTTGATTCACTTTGCACTCACTAGCAGAGTTAAAGACGCTTAGATTAATATGATAAGAATATCTAATAGAGAAAACAGGAAAGTGGCAAGCATGCATTGCTGTGAATCGAATAGCCAAGTACCTGAGTTTCAGGTCCACCATTCTGTGATCCAAATTGCCTACGTACAGCACTATACCTGGTAGCAATACAAACAGCCCTTGATAAAGCTTGGGAAGCATCTCTAACAATTGTTTGCCGCACAAATACCATAGTCCCATAAAGCAACTGCCGTGGCACATCTGATTGCTTATATTTACCTTCCCTTGTCACTTGTGAAACCCTGAGATATTCCAGAGAAATTTTATCAATATAATAGATATCTACACATCGGACAAACTGTGACAATAAAAGTCATGAAAAAGAATAGATTAACATGTGACAAATGTATCATATTCTAAGTCCTAGATATTAAATAAATGACTGTCTGGAATGTTAACATTTGATATTATTTCTACAAAGAAGAACATTTCCCGATTCATTCACTCAGCAACATTACCACTCCATAGGTAATGCGGATACAACTAATATTTTAATAGAAAGTGCAAAAAATGCTTCTGGATTAGTTTGGAAAAATTAAATTGTAGATGCATATATGGATAAGAACATACCTCATCAGCATCTGATCTCTTGGAATACGAACATTATTAAACCTCAACACTCCATTGTCCATAGTGTTGTATCCACCATTTCCAAATTTCGTTCCAATATCACCAATGGTTAATCCAGGAAGTGGTTTATGGTCCTCCAAACTTCGTAATTGGACAATAAATCCTGAAAGGCAAACACTTTTACTCATCATCATCTAAAGTACTACTCCCTCCATCCAGGGAATTTAGTCTCATTTCTTTGTAAATATACAAAGGAATGGGCACAAATTCTCCGGATGGAGGGAGTATTATTCTTTGTCAATTATGTCAACCACAAGAAATCTAACTAGTACATACCATGAACACCATGGTCTTCACCATCTGTAATGAGACGAGCATACACAACAGCATGTGTAGACACTTTACCCAGACCACCAGGCCACCACTATACAGACAAAATACACAGAACACAAAAGGGTAAACTGTAAATTAGAAAATGTAACACAAGATGCAATCATAAGTATCCGGACAAAAAGTAATAATGTCTACTATTTTGCCCCTGCAGAAACTAGGGAGACAGATCCTTATGACTTACTTTGCTTGAAGTCAGAGTAGGACTATGAAGAATGAATTCATCTGTTTTAGGATCAAACGTCGCGGTAGTTTCAAGACCTTGCACATTAGAGCCATGACCAAGCTCAGTTTGTGCATAACAGCCAATTATCTTCATCTTATAGGCCAATGGCAGCCACTTTTCCTGCTGTTCATCAGTACCCTGCCCTTTTATGGCTGGCACAAACATTCCCTAAATAGAAAGATAAGACTAATCAATCTCATTTTCCAAGAGATTTAAAAGAGAAGCATAACTTTTTGAATAAATCAGCTCATTAGAACAACTTGAACCAACTAAATTAATATATATATACATATATATATATATATAAAGGTGAAAAGCTACCCAATGTAGGTCAGTATAAGCAGGTTCATCCACAAAAAACCTAAATTTCAGTGCCTCTTCTTCTGCAGCCATGAGAATCAAACTGATTGAATGAGAAACAGTTCCACAAAATCAGCTAAAATAACTAATGCATTTGACGAAAAAACTCACGGGAGAGCTGCAGCTCATTAATCCTTTTCCATGCGTGTGCTGCCTTCCTAAGAGTGTTCTTGAACAACTCCTTTCTTGGAAGCATAGCCCTGTTGTCCTTCCTGAATACCTACAATAGACAAGTACAAAATAATAGCTCACCCCTTATCTATACAGGATAAATCTGTTTTATCATTGCAAAGCTACTGCAAAACTTTAACTTCTGCAAATTTGAGTTAATATTCAATTTTCAATGGCTCATCCGTAGCAAGATTGATCCTAACTTTTAAATGATTAATTGTTTTAAAACTGAACGCCCATAAAGTATCATAAAAGATTCAAATTCAACCACGATATCTACTTAATATTTCCTTTTCATATACAATTAAGATCCTGACTTAAGAGTTCCTCAATATTCTGGTGAAATTCAGTATTTGCGATATCTGGTCTCATCCTCACTACTCATAGATTTAGCATCTGATTCACCGCAGCATATACGAAACCCTCAGGATTATACGAAAGATCATTTTTTTCACAAAAATAAAAAGGGAGAAAATCGAACTGCTCCATTCGGATTTAAACAGATCCAACATTCAATAAATTAATAATCGAAGGAAAATTACAGGATCGCTGGCAACGAGCTTCGATATACGATCAGACACTTCGAAGATGTGCCGCGAACCGTCCCAGACAACTTTCATGGCCTCCACATCGAACTCCGCCGTCTTCCGCTCATCAGCAAGGTAGTCGACTCCCGCCATTTCACTTAACCGGATTAAACCGAAAACAACGAAGCTACGAATAACCCACCGCTCACACCGAAATTCACGTCGAATTGTTCCCGATTGTCCGCTATCGCATACGCCTATATATATTTATATAGGTAGAGAGAGACGAATGCCGCGAGCGCGAGGAAATGTCGAATCCCCCCCTGGATTAAGGGTTGGGAGCAGAGTCGCGTCTGTTTTTGAGCTTATCGAGATCGTAGTGTGAGTGTCGGATAGGCCATAGATGTATGTGTGTTATTTTTATGCCATCTACTAAGGGTAGGTCGGTACCCGTAGTCCCAATTACTTTGTTAGGGTGTGTTTTTTTTATAAAGTTGGAAAAAAAAAAAATAGTTTAAATTTAATATAAAAATAACATTTGATATAATATTTTTTAATATAAAAAAGAGATATTTTTTTGAAAAGTACATCATTTAAATAGTAAAAATATGATAAAATTTAGTTTGGATTTAGTACAGCGTGTTTGATCGTGTGTTTTTCCTATTTCAATTGCTCCGTTTAAAGGTATTTAGCGAAAACAAATATTTATAATTTGTATAAAAAATTAAAATATTTTAATATTACTATACAAACATTTTTGTAAAAGTAATAAAATTTATTTTAAAATTAAAAAAATATATAGTCAATGAATAGATTTTTTATTTAATTTTTGCAGGCACACCGATTAGGTAAATTAGTATTTATTTTTTATCATAAAAAAATATTTTTTTTTTCACCTAATTTTTTAAAAATTTGGGTATATTTGAATATGCATAATTTTACATAAGAAAGTATTTTATAGAAATATAATATAATATAATAATATATAATATTTATATAACTACTATTTCTTCCATTCAATTTAATTTGTTTTATATTTTTATTTCTGTCCAATATAATTTATTTTTTTTTAAAAATATAATTATACACTTTAATCGTATTTTAAAATTTATAATTATTTTAAAAAAAAATATTTTAATAAAATTATTTAGTCATTTTAATTTTAAATTATAATTATTTTTATTAACTATAAAATTTTAGCTGCAAATAAAATATTGTAGTATTAAAATATATATATATATATATATTAAAGAAATTTTGACCAATTAAAATGATAGCGTAGTACAATTATCGTGAGCACTGACCATAGTCAGTCACGTGAACAATGATTTATTGGGTGTGTTTGTTGGGGTTTTGAATTTTAAGTTGGGATTTGAATAGTAAAAATTTTGAATTTGAATAGTTGTATGATGTGATATAAATAAGTATTGATGTGATGTTTTGAATGTAAAATTAATTTTTAATATAATATAAAAAAAATAAAAAATAGGTGTTTGATTTGATATTTTTAAGAAAAAAAATTAAATAAACAGTATAAATCCAATCCAATCCCCAAACAAAAACACTCTAAAGTAATTTATCTTCAGACGAGAAGTACAAATTAAATGCGAGGTAGTTGCAACCAACTTTTCGTTTCCTATAGAAACTTTTGGTCATAATATGTGATCTACAGTACATTATTATTATATTATTATTTTTTTTTTTATTTTTTTTTAAGTAATTGCACTATCTATTTAATATTATAAATATCTTTACCATTTAGAACAATACTAATATTTCTAAAATTCAGTGCAAAAACAATCGAATACATAGGTATGGGACAAAAATATATCATATCAAATAATTATTTAATAAAACAAAATTTATTGTATATTCGGTGTTCAATTTTATCAAGTGTCACTGTGTCCTAGTCAACCATCATGACTGTGAGTGAGACCAAAATTTCAAAAACAAATTTCAATTGACCAAAACAAAATTGATAATTATGATAATTTTTGCTCTATTTAATATTTCAAATATTATTTAAATAATAATTAATTAATTTTTTATACAATATATCAAATTCAATATTTGTTTCCATCATATTAAATAAATATATATATATTAATTTCAAAATAAAGACTCACATTTGAACACATCTTCAACGTGCAAAATGTTTGCCGTAGAGAATAAACAGCTGGATTGACTCTGGAAATTCACGTGTAATTCTGAAACAAATATTTCAATATCAAATTCTCTTCTTGCAATTACCATAACACAGAACTGACCTGGAATTGGAATTAGATTTCGCACTCAAACCTCTCTATCAAGTTTTGAAGGAAAGATAGACCTTATCAGCACCATATATCTGCTCTTGATTCTGTGTTCTGGTCGGATACACACAGCCAGAAAACCTCGAACTCGAAAGTTCGTTTCCACCAGCCATCGTAACCATGGTTTGAGTGACGATTCTGCTGTAGTATCTCCATCTCCAGCTAATCGTGACAGAAAATTTGGTTTTTCTTCGTCACGAACATACACCGTGTGTCCTCATCAATTCGACGGTTACAGCAATGGTCGATCCTGTTGTGCCGACAAAACCCAGAGGAGCGCAGCTGCATATAGTTTCTTCGATGTAGAGGAGCATTTCGGGAAATGATAGTGCACTGCAATGCTGATCTGTTCTGTCAAAGTAGCTTGGATCAGATTGAAGCTTCATACCATAGCCCGCATTTAAAACTTTCTTGGCAGTTTCAGAAACCAGCTCATCTTCTTCTCCCAGAACGAAAAGCTTGAAGACATTCGAATCTTTTTGCAGATTCCCCAAAAAGGTTCCGGTCCAGTTATGCCGAGGAAGATCAGTCATCACAAACACATGAATCGGGAGAGAGCCCTTTTGTTTCAACGAATCCAGATTTTGCTGTAAGGCATGGAAAGTTCCTTTCCAATGGTTCTTGAATTGGCCATCGAGTAACCTCAGTTGTGCGCAAAGAAAGGGAGCCTTAATCGTGTTGAGAGCAAATTTCCTACCAGCATTTAAAATTTCCGGCACAAAATGAAGAAACTCCATTTTTTGAATCAGGGATTGGATCCTTCGATCTCTTGGAGCTGCTTGAATATCGATGTGAGATTGAGATCCCTTGTACGGTGCAGTAAAGAGGCTACCAAATGCCAAAACTGTGGCCGGTTCAGCTGCTGAGCCGGGACCAAGAGCCTTGTAGACATCGTACCTTTTCCTCAAGAATGAAACTTTCCGTTTCTTCTTCAGTTCTTCGTCAGCTTGAAATGAATCAAGAATTCCATCATCATCTGCTTGGAATGTCCATATTGTGGTTCGGCAATCTTCTTGCGAAGCATACAAGCAATTGTCCATGTTGCCGTCATAGCCAGATAGGAATAATCCGCATTTGTTCATCTTCTCGAGAAAAGAGGAATACATATCTGATTTTGCACTGCAAACCAAGTTGAGATTCACCCCACACCACATTGATACGAAAGCCCTGAAATCTATGAATCTGACGGTTGATCCAGACACTAGAGATGAGAGATCAATTACATCAGCCATCGAAATATATCTGTAACCATTCAAAAATTGAAACGTCTCAATTATGTGAACATGATGCTCTGTTGTATTTTAGCAGAAACTGAAGTGAAAGAAAATGTTATTTCCCATGATTCAATCCATTTCTCTTCGGCGACCATTGAGGATTATATTCTAAATGCATCTTATTAAAGCTCTTTCAGCAGAAAATGTACATACGAACAATTCAGATAAAGAGATCATATGTTCTTAGGTGTTTGTATTTAATATCTAATCAAACCTGAAGTGGAAGTAGATATGACTCCATAAATGGGAAGAAGATGCATATTTCGAGCAAAAACACAGACATAATACCAACATATAACATTGTTTTACAAGGATGAATACATTTGTGCTTATGTTCTTAATTTGTGGTTTGCAAGAGAACTGATGTTTAAAACCTAAGTTAATATACATGATCACAGCTTGCATGTATAAATAAGCAAAAAGTACTACAATTAAGGGTTCCTGCGTTCAAGAAGCTCAATCAAGTAATGGATATGAAGATTTAGACATGATCACACCACCTTGCAGTATTGTAAAGTAAAATGATTTTGCGTATGTAGTTGTAAACCAATCATGAACTATTTGGGGGAAAATAAAATTATCTATAAAAAATGAAACCTGCCTGCGATCACGAATGAGCTCGACACTGTGATTCCAGACTTTGAATCTCAATTCATTCGGATCCAAAACCCTAAATTTGGGGCAGCTGCCCAAGGCGACGGCGTGGTGATCCAGAATAGGAGGAACAATCAACGTCCGCTTCAAAATCGCCGCCATCAGAATGGCGTTCTTGAACTCGGACAGCTGGTTGCTAAACCCGCTGTGCGGCGCGTACCAGAGGAACCTTTCTCCCGAAGCTCCGACGCTGCCACCGCATCCCGCCTTGATGAAGAATCGGGAATTGCGAAGAGCTGGGGAAATCAAGGTTTTGGAGGAAACAAAGAGAGCAATAATGACGAAGACAGAGAGGAGAATCGGCGCCTTGTGACTACGCTGAAATGTAGGCCTCTTCTTCCACTTTACGGTGGAATCCATTACCGGATTACCTTCACACACCAGAATTCGAAAATCTACCAGTTTTATTCGCAGGAGGCCTCGGCTTGAATACCCGGCCCGACCCGAGTCCGGTCTAAAACCCAAACTCGAACCCGATACAGTTCATTTCTACTCACCAGTGATTATTTACGTATGTAAGATTTCTAAAAATGCAACAAATCTTAAAAATAGGAAAACTTTAATCTTCAAATTGTTAAGGTGCTAATTAAGACCATTGTCATAATGTATTTGTATTATATTGTATGTATCTGTTTGTGTTATCATATTTGTTGCAAGTCCTATAATCAACTTTTTTTTAAAAAAAAATTATAATATGAAATCCGTAATCACTACTAGCCGTGGATCCAAAGATGGGATTTGAACCATAATTTCATAGTCACGACGACACCTGAACATCTTCTACTAGAATTAACTTCATCTTCTTCTTCATTATTTAAAGGTATCATTTATTTTGGAATACTATTTAATACTTATATTGTTAAAATGGAGGTGAAGGAACATACTTGATTGACAAAATGGGGGCACAATACAAGCACCCAATAAGCTAAGCAAGTACTCCTAAATGAGAGTGTTCCAAAGGTTTTGGAGAAGAGTAAGAGCTTCAGAAAAGGGCACAGCCTGCACCACAATGTGTCCGCCAACGGCCACCTTGTCCACAGCAAGCCCCAGCCTCTTCAGTGTCTTCATTGCCTTCTCTATCGGCATCTCCATCTGCGCCATTGCACAATTAGTACCATACTTACAAATTACAATAATCAAATGAATTAGCAGCAAATGGCAGTTGTTGTTAACTGTGGCGCCACCTTTTCTTGGAAGACATTGTCGAGAAACTGCTCGCACTTCTCTCCAACACTTCTTGCGCATGTCCCCTCCTGCCGATGTATGAAATGAATTCTTGATCGGTGTAAGAAGAAAATAGTCATCTAGTGGTGGGAAGGACTAATACTTTTGAGAAGCTACCGAGCAATTCTTGGTTTTTTACAAGTCACAGTTGATTCTATCCATTTCTACTGGAGCTTCAATTCGATCAATTAATGGCAAAATCGAATATATGGATTCGATCATTTACATTTCAGATCAAATAGGCCACATAACAAATTACCAGAAATGTAGAGCACAATGAGCTGAAAGCTAACCTGGCTATTCTCAGCTTTAAGTAGCATTGCATATGCCAAAATAGCTTCTTTGTACTGCGCAAAGCAATGATCGATGGTCAAGAATCACTTACTGCACCACATCTTGAATTGGGGAGCAATTGATATCGAAATACAGAGATTTAATAGAAGGTCCAGTCATTTCGCACCAGCTGCTGTTCAGAAGCATCGAGGAGAAAATGAATGGAACCAAACCCACTTGCTACTGTTTTCTCATATAGTGTCCTGTTCACCAGAAGCTGACATGTTTGTAGACAGGTGAGTTTGTTTAGAGAAAATGTATTCATCTGCTAAAACAAAGGATATTTTAGGAATGTAGATCGGTCACCTGGTATCTATCCCTTGTTAGTTTGTAGCCCAAAACTACTCGAAACACATAAATCACAAGGGCAGTAGCGGCAATAAAATCTAAGATTATTGCAGACCTGCACAAAGAATACAAGCCAGAAGAAATTCAGATCTCTTAATTTGTTGCAACTAGTTTAGTTTATTCTCAATAATTTTATGCAAGTGCATAAAGTTACTAATGGAGCAGCAGTTATGACTTAAGCCTCTACATATGTCACGAAGCAGAGCTTATGAATCAAGCGGATATTAACATAGCAGCACATACGGGGATGATAAAATATCTTCAAATTTATAACTGAAGAAATAAGCCAAGAGTCCCAATATTGATGCAGCATCCAGGCGTACCTAAAGATAACATACTGTCAGTAAGAGTGCACCATAATACGAAATGACCACAGATAGGAATGATCGGTGTAATTGCTTGTGCATCATGAATGATAACTAATAAATAAGTGGAAAGCACGAAATGGACATTATCATCTCTTGGACCTGTAAGAAGTGCTAGAATTAGAATCCATGGACTTGCAGAACCCTCAGTTGATCTGACGAATATACCCATGCCCATTACAGTTTTTTCGTACATAGAGTTTCCATTCTCAGAAGGCAGGCAATATAAAATGTGTTCAGTTCTTTCAAATAGTTTCAAACTTCCTCCAAATGCTTCTTGACAATCAATACACATTCAGAAGAAAACAAGAAAAGAAAAAAATAGCAGGCATATCCAATATCAACTCCAGGTTCTAATTAGAAATTTACTTTTTGACTCAACCCATGTGGAAGTATAGACAACTACTAGCTCTTCCTCTCACAGACAACTCTAACGTGGGAGGTGCTTTCAAGGTTAAAACCTCATATATTCTTTATGATTCTTGTGTAGCATTTTTACCTTCCAAATTTATAAAATCAAGCACTGGTCCACTGATAGACGTGTTTCAAAGAAATTTGTAAAACATGATTGAGTAGAGCATGCATCATCAAACTTCTCATCCAATCCAAACATATCTTCTTCAGGGACAATTTAAAGGGGAAAATGAAGTTAACATGCAGTTACAGTTAGAAAGATCCTCGTGATGATGCTAAAATTGATTGAAATGTAATTCTTCCGCCATGAGTTTATATTTGCATGCAGAACACTGTTAGCATACCGTGTCAAGTATGCGGAAAGACAGCTTCTTGTGAGGAAAGACAACCTACAAAAAACAAAGAAAACATCATTCACTCGCACATGATTTGCAGAGCAGAAGACTTTCGCTGATGAAACCTACCGGCAAATCAGGAATAGGAATTTTCTCATAAATTTTCATTTGCAATGAAGGCACCTCAGTTTGATTTGTAGTCTCCCTTTCTCCATTTTCTTCAGTGTATAACAAGATTAACTCTTGGAATGCGGGTTCCTGCATCAATAACATCATTATTTCAACTCAATTGATAATTTAATTTCCATATCTTTTAAATTCATAGTGAGAATAAAAATTGATTAACTGAAACTATTGAACTCATCATTCTCATGTTCCATTCCACCTAAAGCTTTCCCCTTTTAAAGTAGGTTTCAACATAACAAAAAATTCTTGTATGCTGTCATTTCCACCCAAGTGTTTAAAGCCATAAGAAGTACCAGTGCTCCATCATTGCAATTAATCTCAATTGCTACTAAGGTGATGTTTGGAAGATTCACCAAGGTGATGTCACTTCTATCTTTTCAACAAGATCCACTAACTTCAGCAGTTCTCTAATGTCAAGTTGCTACTGAGGAAGCTCTTTCACATCTTAGAAGCCCATGAAATGTGTTTGTCAAAATCAAATAGAAAACCTTATAAGCTTCCAAAAACAAAAAGTAGATTCCTCTCAACTTATTAAACAAAAACTTATGTAAGAGAGCGCTCACTGTAGTAGAACATTTATTTTAATATTTATTAATTCCAAGTTACCCGTAATATAGCTATATTATATGAATTTCATGTTTTCTCAAGCTCAACATATATACTTGATTAAAAATATTTAAATCCATATTTACACAAATTAGTCATTACAATTAGTTTATTCGAAAATATCATTAGTATGTTGATGTACCATTTGAACTGAAGTAGATGAGTAAAAACAAAATTGATGAAGGTTTATTGTTAGTAAAAAAAGGTAAGTAAAGAAGGATCAAACCACCCAAACATTAGGAAGATGTTTATAACCCTAATATCACCGGTTATAAATTTTTAAAAAGCATACAGGACGTTCAAATATAAACTCTTTCAAATGGACTTAAATACATCAAGCTTAATTCAATCATGCCTTATAGAAATGTCTAGATTGTTGTTTGTAAAACTAGACTCTGTGAAAATGTACCACATAAAAGCATGAAAAACATAAACTAAAATAAAATAAAAATGATCAAAAAACATACCTGAAGAATGGATTGTGAGAAGAGAATAGAAATGGCAGTTCTTAACATCTTCCTAACGTCATTTCCACAATATTTAGGAGATGCAGGCTTCCATATATCACTAAGTGATATCCTTGATAAGAAACTTGAGCTGTATAAATAAATTTAAAAAAATTACTTTCACTTATTTTTGTTGGAAGATCATATAATACTGTCCCTACAAGCTTAAGTTTTTAGGTGAAATGGTCATTTAACAATTTTAAACAGAATTCTACAAACCTTTACTTTTTAATGAATCAAAGGGAAGATCAGGACATTTTCCTGAGCCAGTAGATGACAAGGAACAGGATTATAATCCATTCCAGGAAAGAACACTTGCATAGTGGACAAAAAATTGATAAATCAACTATTCAATGTTTGTTTATCATAAGATATCAAATGGCACTGACAGTAACTTCTTCAGAGAATTGCTCTTTGATGAGGTGACTCAACATCAATACTGCAAGAGTCTTAAACATGTAATAAAGGGAAACCAACCTCTATACCTAGTTTAATAAACACCTCAATTCCAATATGAAATGCATAAGAATTCATATGCCAGAAGTTTAATAGGATTATAGTCAATTAGTGTCAAACCTTAATTTGGCTTCAGACTCATAATTATCCATATCCAAGTCAATTGATTGCTTAGGAGTTGAGGGCACTAGGCCAATCCATGCAAGAAACTTCCTGAATAGCTTCTCACGAGGCCCAACTACTTTTAAAATTCCTTCATAACGAGTTACTGCTTTCTGTGCTGCAACCCAAATTGGAAAGTCACTTGACAGCGTGTCCAATCCTTTAAGGTTGCCTGCTATTTGTTCATCATAGGTTTGAGGTTTAAGATAAAGGGACAACTCCTTAAGCCAAATCATAAATTTATTTTCCATAAGTTCAGGGTCCTGTTTCTGAACAATGCTATTGAAAACCTGTTTTAAAAAAGGGGGAAAAAACATAGATCACGTTGCCATTGTAATTATGTTTGAAAAATAAATTAAGAGTATAAAGCATTTCTTGCTTTTCAGACAGAAAAAGAAGACAACAAAGAACTTTAAACCATAGCATGGTGAGACATTGTGGTCGTGAAAACCTGTTATAATACAAAGCATGTGGAGTACATAGTCATGTTTTTTGTGCAAAGTATAAATGTTATTACGGTTGGCATGTACATTCGATAAATGTTAGTCTAATGTATGTAATTAGCCGTCCTGTATTTTTAATAACTCCATAGATCTATACTAGCACTCTTCCCTGGGAAAAGTGAAGTACTCAGATATGTTTCTTTTATGTAATTTGACATATTGGACTGGTATGACAAAAGAAAAGCCCAAACACAACTTTTTCTAATTACCTCATTCAACCAGACACAAATTTTTCCCAAAGGTTTACCAATAAGCGGGAAAAAAACACTCTGCAGCAACTTTGATTGTAAGTAATCCAGTTTCTCACCAATTAACAAACCCTCTTGTCTCTCCATGGCATATCCCCTCCTGTATATAAGAGAATAATCATATGGGAAGAATGACTGACCTGACAAGATTCAATAACCAAGGTCCATAAAAAATGAGTATGGTGAGAAAAGAAAATAAACAAAAAAAAATAAATCTACAAGAGCTTCTTGCTAGGAGAACTAAAAGAAACCATGGTAAATGAAGTAAAAACCAACATCATTGTATTTGTGGATAAATTAAGTCCAGTCTCAATATTGCTGCACAAAAGCGATGGCGTATGCAGTATACGAATCAAAGTAGGATTGGAAACTATCAGTACATAAATAGAGATTAAAAACTTGTCTTTTCTAAACATATACAAGTAGATAATATTCTTTAGATACCACTTCTTATTTCTCCAGTCCTATTACACACACACACACAATTGAAAACAATCAAGGTACCTCTAAATGGTTTGGTAAGAAATTTTCAAAGTTGGCCTAACCTAACAAATCATGTCCAAAAGACATGATTTAGGCAATGACTTCAGATTGGTACAACAAAACAATTTCATACATCACAGAGCCCCAAATATCATACTCGCTAAGGACTACAGATACTATCAACAACTTGGAAACATAATTGAGTCATCATAGTGTTATTTCTCACCTACGGAATTGATCAAATCCTAAAGTGAATAAAGATGTTGAGAACAAAGTCTAAGAAACTTCAATAAGTCACTTGAGATGTAATCGAGACACATGCAACATGAAGAGATCATGCTCTTCAGTTAGAATTCACCACTTGGAAATTGTAGTGCTCACTCGCAGTTCATATTCGTTTACCTGAATATAATAGTACTGGACTCAGATGCTTTTTTCCAGTCAACATAAATAGGCACTGTAAGGAGATAGTCTGTATTCAGTGCAGAGGCCAATATCAAATCTCTAGTAGACAACTCTTCAAACTCAGCATTAGAAAGCAGCTTCATGAAAGTGCGTTGAAAACGGCTTGGGATGGGGACTCTACATAAAGATTAAATGCAAAGTCAGATTTCAAGAAGCATAAAAATGATACGGGAGCAGAAAATACACACTTCTGTCCAGAAAAGGGTGGTGACTCTTGCAATTGAGCCATCTCAGAGTTATATGAAAGGGAAAATATTGCCAGCAGAAAGTACCAAAATCCACAGGGAAAAAAAATAAATCGAGTCAACCTCACAATATGCAAAAAGAGTTGTGCACTTATCATATACCATATTTGATCATGGTTACAGTTTGCACATTAAAAGATGAAGCACATATACCTAGAACTCTTGATAAGATTTTTCTTGGCAACGTCGAAAGAGAAGTCCAGAAATTGAACAAAATCAAGAGTAAAATCAGACGATGTCGATGCCTCAGACTTATATTCTTGTTCCTTTTCATTGCTATTATTCTTGCAAGAACCAGAATCCTGATTGACCACAATTTTTCTTCTAATGGATTGGAAATCATCAAGGCTGAAGGTGCTACTCCTTCCAGAAAGAGCAACATCAAAGTCCGCTCGCATTTCCTCCAGAATGGTTTTGTGTTCAGCGTGAAGAATCAAATCCAAGCATCTGCAACAGCACAAGAATATGAAAAAAGCTTAACCTCCGAAGATATAACTCTTAACAGAGTACACGGTGAATCCGATGCATCTTGAGCTAGGTAAACATATCTATTTCGTTAACTAAGATTAATTCCAGAACAACGACGGAACCAGAAAGAAGACTGATGCATTTTACAAAGAAAAAGCACAATTACTGGGATAGAGAGAGAAATTGTCGAGCCTCCTCTTGCGAGGGGAACAAGCCGGAGACAATGGCATCCAATAGCTCGGACTTAGAAACCGATATGTGTCTTTGCCTCGGTACCTTTATACCAGAACGACTACCAAAACCTTCTGCCGTCGCACCATCACGCCCATCCTCATCAGGTCCAGCTGCAGGCGGCACATTCGGAGGCGGCGACGGCGACGGCGACTTAGTTTGAGACGGAAGAGCTTCCTGCACCACGACCGACCGCGAGCAGCAATTGACTCGCAAAGGAGAAGCTCGACATTGATAACTGGAAGAATAAGAACATGAGGGCGATGAAGGAGACCACACGGGGGGAATCTGAATCTGCAGAGCCACCGACATCTGAAACTGAGCTCCTGTCTGTCAGACTCCGACTCGGATATTTTGAACCGAACGAATAACCGCCGCTTATCCCTTACCCATTTATATACATAAACATATATTTACACGTAATCCGCCTCCTTTATTGAGTTTAATATTTTGATATTTAATCATTATTAACATTAATAGGTTAAATTATGTGAAGATAAATAAATAAATAAAAAACCGATTGGATTCTATGACGAACACAACATCGTGACTGAATTAACTTAGGACAATGGCTGAATTAATTTAATAAATCAGCATGTAATTCAAAACCAATAAAAGACTACTCCCAAAATTACAATTTTATTTGAGTTTGACACTAGTAGAAAGTGTATTAGTATAAAAAAATAACGCATTTGTGTAATAATAATAAAAAAAATAATTTTACGGTGATACGAGTATTTATGAAATGAGACTATTATTTTAGAACGAACAAAAATAATAAACACTGGAGTATTACTTTTCATTATACTTTTTTATACTTTTTTTGCCATTGCGAGTATATTAACGTAAAAAATAGCAATAATGAAAAAATAGGATAGAATAATTTTAAGGTGATATGATTATTTATGAAAATGAGACTTATTGTTTTGAAAAGAAAAAAATGATAAACAAGAGGACAGAAGGAGTATATTTTTATTATAAATGTAAATTCAAATTCAAATTCAAATTCACGTCATACAAATATTGAAATTTAAATTTTTTACTATTCAAATCTCAATCCAAAATCCAAACCCCATACAAACACACCCTAAGAATATTATTTGGAAAAAATAATACATATATAACAACCAATCAAAATAAAATAAAATGAGTATCAAATTCTAAAGAAATTTACTTGTCCCAAATATGTTATAATCAAACAATATTGCAAATTACATAATGAAGAATAATCATAGAAGAATCTTTCAAATTCATACATCAAACAGGGGTTGAGTACGAAGATTATATGATCCACCAACCAAGGAAGACAATGGGAGCTATTCCAAATATACCCAAACAAAGACCTTCTTACATTTACCTAAAAATAAGGTCAAAATGGCTACAAAAGCAACAGACATATTTTAACTATGTGAAAGTAAAAATAGCATTAAGTTATGGTCAAGGAAGGGAATGGGCCAAGCCATTTTCCTCCCATTGCATTTGTGCACCTTTAAACAGCAAATTTCCCAAGATTGGCTCATGTACTCTCCGAGGATCCGATTTTGGAGGTGTACTTTGGTTATTGTCGTCACCTTTTTCTTGCAGGTTTCCGGACTTCAGTTGCTGCTGGAGAATATCGGGCAATAAATCCACACTACGACCCTGTAATGGAGATAGAGACCAAAGCATTGAGAATCTACACAAAATGATAGACTCCAAAAGTTGAACTGACTAATAATCCCCCATGAAACCATCCGCCCCAATAAATCACAACAGAACAATATGAAGAATAACTAAAACAATGCAACAACATAGAAGTCGGTTAAATAAATCTTTTGCTGCACTGACAAAAAAATAGTAGCAAAGTTTAGAAAAAACAAACAAAGCATCCAACACGACATTGCATTAATGAAAAACTGTTGAAGCATTTCCTTCAGGGATGCAACATCTATAGATATATATAGATAGATAGATATATATGTGTGTGTATATTCAGCTGTCTTTTATTGTGCTGACAACTAATAATAAGAATATTGAGTTATTCACATTTCAAAACATATTCAGAGGGCAGTATGAGCAAGATATTTTGTTACTATTCATTTTCTGTATCATACATGTATTGCAACTACTTAAGAAATCATGAATCGAACACATTTCTCTTAAACACAATATAACAATTCTGCATAGAGATGTCAATTTTCCCCAGTTCCAAATAGACAGGATCAATTTTGGTATCTTCAAGAAACAGTGGCAAATACTGTTAAAAATTAGCCATGGTGTAAACTGCAGTATACAGAATCCCAACATTCTAAATAGCAAACAAATTCAAATAAAAATTCAGTTATAAGCACAAGCAGTATTGGGAGCCGTATACAATAACTCAGTTTCTCAAGATATAGTCGGCATCTCTGATCTCCATATTCCAAAATTTATTGACAAATACGTATATCATATTATATTAAAATAAGGGAACTTGAAAGTTTAACTTACAACTAATTTTTTCCTCCAATGGCTCATTGATCTAATTTTATGGGAGATTTCATCACTCTGGCCGTTTGCAATGTAGTCTTCCTCCACAGACTGGAGCTGGCAATCAACTTGATATGCTTCAACATACCTGTAACGCTGCAATAATAAAGAATTGGCAGTACAAGTTTCAGCAGAACAGTTATTCATTGAGTTCAGATATAACTGTCAATCCGTACAAGTTATATAAATGAATACTGAAGATGCAACACTACTTTTTTATTGTGATATTTTTTCATCCCATCACTGGCATAATATTATATTCAACACCAACGTACCTGAAGGTAGTAAACCGCCAGAAGACTTCCAACTGTTGATAAAGGTTCATCCATTGAAAAATCAAATAAACATTTATGAATATGCTTCTCCTCATCAGAATTCCAGGGTAATTCAATCATTCGATCTGTCAAGTTCCTTCGAATACAAAGTAGGCATATTTCAGTTACCAAAACCTCCAGCCAGACTTGCCAATTGCATTGTTCCGTCAATTCAGCAGAAGCATTCGTTTGTTTATTCTCCTTCACTCTTGCGCAAATCATTCTCTGATAAATAAATGCTTCAGTAAGAAGTCCACACTCCAGCCGCACCCTAACAGCGGTGACAGCTTCCCTAATTGATACTAATGTTGTTCCCCCATCTCGTCCAGACCACCTCAAAGCCATAAGAGCTGAATCAGGATTCTCTCTCTCTAATAGTGCCTGAGCAACCTTAGGATGAAGATTGGGACCAGATATTTCAGGAAGAAGATGAATTGCTTCCTAGGAAAGCAGGTTATGAAAAACAATCAGCACAATCAATAATAGATGCAGAGTATTGAGAACTACATAGGCGAAGACACAAAATTAAATAAATTTGCAGTGTGTCATTCTTTAACACTATTATTAGAACCCTCAAACTGCTCATCAGGAAAAGAATGATGGCTAACTTCGCATCCAGATTACTGTTACAGTCCTTCAAAACCTTACAAAAGTCCTTTTGCCTTTTGTTGGGTTAAATTGAAAACAAAGTTCAAAAAGCATTACAGGAGCATTGTGCTATGTCACTCTAGCTCGGCGCTATGAAACCTGTTATTTTAACATCTCAAGTAATTCAAGGCAAACAAAGACATAATTGCCCGTACTTTGATGCCAGCATCATGCACAAAATGGTAAATTAGTGTCATAGCAACCCTGCCATATTTGAATGGTTAAAATTATTGTACTATAACTTAGCTTAACAAATCATGGAAATAATATACTACCTTCAATGCTTCATCAGTGTGGTCATCTAAAAGATAAAATACTAAAGATTCCAGTAAAGAGTGCCGAGTTATACTGAAAGTAACCGCAAAGTCATCAACAATGCGCCTCCAGTCCTCAGTAGGCAATGTCCAGTGCCGATCATAAAGGAAATACAAGAACTGTGAAGGTTAAGAAATTGTAACAATAACAAAACATCAATAATTTGAGAACCAGAAAATACTATATCAAGCCAAAATTTAAACCCATTGCATCCAGATTATCAGATAGGATACAATAGCTTGCTTGGCAACCACCATATCCGGATTTCCTTGTAGAAAGAGCAAGTCAGCAGCAACACGGAGATTTTCAAAGGGGTAACACCCTGCCATTCCATGCAACTTAGAGCGAGAAATTGACTGATCACCAGCTGCCTGTAATGATGCAATTACTAATTCCCCTGCGTCATGATCACTATAACCTTGCTCTGAATCAAGATTAGATAGTGCATCTTCAATAAACAGGCTACTCATGTTCTGTTCACTGGAGTCCAGTTTACGATTCACTGGATCAGGCCATGCTCGCTTAATTGCTGCCTTTTTTCTCTCACGAACAGATGAATTCCATGAGGAATGATCAGAATACCTAGAAATCACATTCTCCAAAAATTGATGTCTGATGCACCAACTCATAATCTCCAAGTGCTGTAAAATACAGACCTTGAGTCAAGAACCCATTCAGGTGGGACTATTTGGTTCAATGATCAAACAAACACACACAAAGTTAAGAATTAATGCCCTATCAGATACTCTTCAAAATTATTTATAGCATTTAATCAGATGGGAATTAAATTGCAGTACAGAACATAGTCAAACAAAGGTTTCTTCAAACCTCATTGCATCAATGTTGTGTGTCTCCTCAAACAACCATACCACTAAAGGAGCATGCTGGAGAAGCGTAAAAGGGTAAAGAGTTTCAAAGGTTATGACCTGTTTTGTTCTCAATGTACTCTCTTGAAGATGGCTCAGATCATGAAGCATAGGTGATGTAGTGCCTCTGAAAGAAGACTCCAACACTTCAAGGACATTGGAAATGCCTGCTAACTTTGAAGAGATTTTCAGAAGCAAACTTAACTTTTCTTTCATCTCTTGTACAGAAAGATTATCTAATAAGCATGTCAAGGTGCATAGAATCACTGATGCAATGTCCAATACAATACTAACAAAATTTGCCTGTACAAAACTTCAGGATACATATTGATTTAAGCTCTGTCAAAATACTTCTGAATGTCCTCCAGCACCACTCTTGCACAACCTTCTCATCGAGCAAGAAAGCAATAACTGGGTCACTTGAAGCCGCACTTTCATCCATGCATACATCAGTAACATCTGCAAGCTGCTGTTAAAGAAATCTTGGGCAATGCAATTCATTTGTTCAATAAAAAATGAATACAATAATGCAAGGATAGGATACAATGACAGATCAAAGAAACTAGGTTATGCTCCAGGGCAGCATCAAATAGAAAATACAGCCTTCGCACATCAGCCACTAGATGATTATCACCATCTTCCGTTTGTTGCAATCTATCATCACACTTCCTAGAGAGAAGACCTGCCTCAATACAGTCGTAGTAAAGTCTGAGAGGGAAGTGATCGCCTCCTCCCTTCGGAAAGGCAACTCTACATATGGGGCAAGCATCACATCTCTGACTACATTCCTCACATAAAGCAGCATGGCCACAGGAAACAATGACTCTCTCCACACGGCGCCCACAGCTTCTCAAATCCCTAGTAGCCCTACATAGCTCCACTTTAGCCTCATTGCATAGCTCGATTGGATCAATTGACGCCAAGCGCATCAACGCCTTCTAAAATCATTCCATGAGCTCTATTATCAGACAACTTAAAACAGTATATTCCAACAACAGTAAACCAACTGAAAACCCCGAACCTCGACCAGAAAATGAAAAGTCAAAACAATTTACTTCATAAACGAAAAGCAAACAAGACAATACCTGACTCCGCGATGCCGCGACTTCCCCAAACATACCTCCACACACACAGCAACCCAACAACACGAAAATTGGTAACAATTAGCAACTGCAAACAGCAAAACCTCCTCCAACACGCCGCTACTGAAGCAACAGTTGCTTGGAGCTGGACTAGATCACGTATGGCGGGCAATTCCAAGGGTTTTTTGAATCGGAGGCCATTTTCGTTCCTCAGTCACAGCTCCAAACCGATTCTGGACTCGGCCTTAATTCAAATGTAAATAGAAATATACGAACAGCTCAAAATGGACCATTAATTTGGGCTTCAATCCCACTTTAGGCCCAATGAAGTCCCAGGCCACGAATCCTCTCTTCCAATAATAATAAACGTAATCATGTAGAGATTTGGGCTGATTAAAGTAATAATTTCAACCCATAATTATATTTATTTAAAAAGATACAAAAAGAAATGTTTCATGTCAATAGAGAATAAAGGTGAGGAAAATTATTGGGGCTTAGGAGGTTTGACTGGATCGAAATGGAGGTTTTGACCGAGGCGCACGTGCGCCACGCTGGAATTATAATCATGCTGCAACTTGCTGGATTGCGTGCACATGACTAGAAATATTAGGGATTAATTAATTAATTAAGAAAAATCACTTCTTACAGATCCCTAATCTCTCTCTCTCTCTGTCTCAATATTTTTTTATTCCCAAGTGTAGTGGATTCGGGAAGCCTTGCCTAGGTAGTTAGTTCATCTAATCATGACCTGTAATAATTAAATACATTAGCAATAATCACTGGGCAAATTTTTATTGATTCGTTACTTCTATAAATAGTGGGCATATCCCATTAAATCTTTTATAGTGCTTTTATCAAAAAAAAATATTTATTACTCCTCCGTCCCACGTACTATATCCATATTTTTGTTTCTATTCGTCTCTTATATCATGTCATTTTTTTTTAGAAAATAATTACAGACTTTAATTTTATTTTAAATTTTTTTAATTTATTTTTGTTTAATTTTAATTAAATTAATTAGTTATTTTAATCTTAATTTATAATTATTTATATTATAAGATAATTATTTTCACTAATACATTTTAAATTATCTATTAATTAAACCTCTTATAAAATACTGTGTATCAGACAAGGTACATGAGACACAGAGGTATGACTTATTTAATAGTGGGTATTGATAGCAAAATAATTGATTGATTAAATATGTTGGAAAGGAGACAAGGGGTTGGGCAGAAGGGCACGTGGAATTGTACGGTAGTTAAGAAGGGGAAAATGGACGAGAAATCAAATCGAAGAAATATTATTTTTTTATTTTATTACACACGAAGGAACGAACAGGGTGGAATGAAACAAGGGTGCGTTGTGGGACCCTGGATCACGTGCGCGTCACGTGGAGGGGAGGCGAGGGATAACAGCCTCGTACAGCGTTAGTTGTCGGATTCGGAAATTGGAACCATGATTGGAGGGAACACGTGGGACAGCTAGCACGCGGCCACACTCAATCATCACCCGACATCTTGTCGGGACCCATTATTTTATTTTATTTTTAAAATTTTATTTTGTTTAGTTATATTATTGCCCATTCATTTATTAATTAACTTTTATTATTACCAGTAAGTGCATTAATTATTAGTAGATGTCGCAATAATAGTATGTATTTATTCAGACACACCACAATCATTCCAATCATCATCCTATTTATTACCACTGATAAAATTATTCGATTGTTTATTTCTCGCAGATGGACCAATTATTTCATACCAAACATTAATAAAAATAATAATAATTGGTGCGTTTGATCGTGGCTTGAGTTGCTTTTTAATTATTATGACAATAACTTAAATAAAAATAAGTTATCTATAATAATATATGTTTTATTCAGATTTCAGATATTTTACTATATAATTATAACTTTTTTGTAAAAATATTACAAAAAAAAAAAACACTATTTAAACAAAAATAATACTCTCTCCGTTCCAAACACCGTGCAATATTTGTATTTGGCACGAGAATTTAGGTGGGGAGTATTAAGTATGGTAATTTGAGATAATTTGAATATTAAGTGATGTGATTAGATAGATAAATGATTATTTGTTTTTTTATTTGAGTGATGTGACGAGATAAACTGAAATGTATATAAATATTATTAATTATTTCTAAATTTGAAAATATTATACTGAGTTTGGAACAAACAAAAAAGAAAATATTGCAGTGCGTTTGGGACGGAGAGAGTAATAAATAACAAACTTAAAAAACACACTCATATTATGAAAACATGTAAATAACCTAACTCATAAGCTATTACTATTCAAGTATTCTTTCTATATTTTTAATTCTCTCACGTTATTTGTTAGAATGTATATTATTTATTTAAAATTTCATTGGAAATTAAAATATTTTTTTATTTAAAATACGTTAGCTATCTATCTATTTATTTGTTTTGTGTACATAAACTTTAAAATATTACTAATATTTAATAGGTAAGTAGTTTAATAGGAAAAAAAATATAAAAAAACTTGTGTTTATTTATAGTATTTTTATAATGTTATGTAAAGTGTATATTTTTATTTAATTAAGTGAAAAGTATAACTACTTGAAAAAAAAATAAAATAAAATAAAATAAATTGATTGTGAACTGGAAAAGGAAAAAGGGAACCAAACAAACAAATAACAACAGGATGAACATAAAAAAAATTAGATTTCATTTCAAAATAGTATTGTTTGCAAGCCTTAAAATAGTATTTATCTATTTATTTTTGTCACGAAGTTTTAAAAATATTAGTATTATATTGAGATATATTAGAATTAAAGGTAAAATGACTAAACTAACTTTATTAGTATTGTATGATACAAATGTAATGACATTTGTGTAATATATTGTAAATTAAAGAGGTATTTATAATGTTAGGTAGATAATATGGGAGGGACCAAAATGAAAAAAAAAATTTGATAAATTATTAAGAGATGGAGGGGAGTATATTTATTTCTTAATTTAACAGTAGTTTCTACACAAATGATAAAATTATCAATATATTACTATCTTATTTTATAAATTGTATTATAAATTATTTTTAATTAATAATTCTTACATATTATTTGTCCCGTATAAAATATTAGTAGAATATGTACAATATATTAATTTTTTAAAAAAAACATATTGATTTATTTTGATAAAAAAGAAGACACCCTAATTTTCATTGCTAACTTTTATATGCTTGGGTGACATCTCCTTTTTAAACTTTTGAAGTCGCATCCCATATTTCATATATTTATATATATATATATATTTTATTATTATTATTATTATTATTATTATTATTATTATTATTATTATAAGTTTGTCCATGTACACACATGTGCGTGATTTCTTCTTTTGAGAAAAATTAAAGGCATAAATATACAGTCATGGGGTGCGTTCCTTTTCGTTGTAAATCATAAAGCCTGAATTTATGTACAAAGTAAGCACGTGTATATCTAAAGTAAAAATTAATTTAATTTATAATAATTTATTATTATTTTTTTTTATGTAAAATATGCGAGTATCTTATAAGGGTGAATTAGTAATTATCCAGGAATTTCTTCTGAAAATTTAATTTATTATAGTCCCGTTTGGTCGGGTGATTTTAACTAAAGTAATTTAAAATTACTGCATCTCACTTGCTTCATTTAACAACTAATGTTTTTCTGTTTGGAGATTTTTTTTTTATTTATTTATTTTAATCTTCCCAAATAATTATTGAATGTAAAATCAATAAGAAATAAAAATAAAAGTAAGCAAAAACACAAGTAAGCAAACACTAATTTATTCATTTCTATTAGTATTATATTAATCCAACCTTTTATAATCACTTTAAAAATTAAATTACTTATCATATTTATTTTAAATATCACATACAGTAAATATTTATAATTTTTTTTAAAAAATAACACAAATGAACAATTTCATTATAATTAGTGCACACAAAAGTAAGAATAATAATTAAGGGAAATGGTAGAAACACACATGTTCAAATGATTGTATTGCGTGTGGATGTCACCCCAACCAACAGACACCCCCCCCCCCCCCCCCCCCCCCTCCCACAACCCCACCCCACCCACTTTGGATTCCCTCATCTAATTGTATCTACGATTTTATTTCTATTATTATTATTAATGTATTAAAATGGTATAAGTATGGATGTGTACTAACATTAGCGTATCTGTAAGAAATCAGCGTGTGATGGTCATGTTGCTTCATAATACAGTACCTGCATATGCATAGGAGACACCCACATTTACGCCTCACGTGCGTTGGGGTGCGACCAAGTGCCTGCTCCACGTGACCCAACCCCTCTTCCTCATTTGGGAAAAGTCTCTAATACAGTGGATCCCCCCCCACCGTACACGTGTACGCAGATGCGAGCGCCTGTTGTTCTATAGCCTGGTTTTTCTACTCTTCCAAAACATACATGCATATCTTCTTGGTGATTACCGATTAGGGAGGCATTGGAATAGCTTTAACCTTTATATAACTATATTTTTTTTAAAAAATAAAAAATAAATTCAATAATATATACAAATTTAGAACACTTAAATATATATATGTATATACATATTAATATTGCATTACTAGTGTATAGTCGTTAATAGAAATATACAAAATATAGACAACATTAGCATTTAAGATATTAAAATTAACTAAATTAACCTTATAAAATTGATTTATTATTTACATTATATATAATGGATCTATACGATTATTTCTTACAATTTTATTAAGCCATGCTACTTTTGGAGTGTTAGTCAAATTATATTTATATAATATTTTTTTGAACATTTTCAAATGCAAAAGTTATATATATATTTTTTTAGATATAACATAATGAAATTATCAATACCATATTTATATACTTATTTTATGAATATTTAATTTCTCTTTTAGAGATGCATCAATTTTTATTTTTATATTTGTTTATATTTTCTTTTGTGGGAGGAGGTTGGCTTAATGGTTTAACTTTGCTTAATATAGTTAATATGTGATGATTCTTTTATTTATATAAATTTGAACTAAATGAGTATTATTATTATTTTTTTAAAATTATTATTTTTAATATTCTGATTATTGATTTTTATATTAACGTCATTCATTATTAGCAATATTTACTAATTTTGCGGATGTAATAATGTAATCATTAGGAATACCGTAATCAGAAAAAAAGCTACATAAATAATTAAATATATAGAAAAAAAAAAAAAAAAAGGTGGAGAAAGTGACGAGTTTGTCCAAGAATCTGCATCAAGATTTTTCTAGACAGGTCACGTGGGGCCCTTTTAAGGATTGCGGACGATCTGAGCCGTTGGATTCCATGTTCCAGATACATCATTATCATCATATTGGTCAAGTGGTCAATCATCCATATATTTTTGTTTGAGTTATTTGAATTTTGATTTAGTGATAAAATTTTAATTTAAATAATTATTTGATATAACGTAAATTTATTTTTTATAAATATAATACTCCGTATTAATCTAAAGAAATATTTAGTGTGTGTTTATTTTTATTTTTTTTATTTTAAATATAAATGTTATTAACTACTAATTTATATAATTTTTAATATAAATATATTTTTTCTCCGTCCGACTCTAAATATTTCATTTAACTTACTTAATATTAAAAATATTTTTATGTTTATATAATCTTTTACAAAATATAATAATAATAATATAAAAAACCATTAAAAGTATTTTTATATTCTTTAAAATTTATATTATATTTTTATATAAATAATTAATAGTATTAAAGATTAATCCATAAAAAATAAATAAAACTCTTAATAAATGAGATTGAGCTGGGACGGATGTACTACTCCTTCAGTTCCACATACTAGGTTCACAGCTGTTATTTCTGTCACTTTTATTTTTTAGAAAATAATTATACACTTTAATCTATTTTAAATTTTTTTAATATTTTTTTAAAAATTTTAATTAAACTAATTAGTTATCTTAATCTCAATTTATAATTATTTATATTATAGAATAATTATTTTCAGTAATATATTATTAATTATCTACTAATTACATCCCTCGTAAAATATAGTGTACAGTGTAGCAGAGACACAGTAGATAGAACGGATGTAGTATTATTTATTATTATAAAATATAAAATATAAAATTATTTTTAAATAGATGAACACCCCTATATAGTCTATTTCTTTTACCAAATTGAGCAATAATTTATATTTTCAAAATTTCAATAATTTTGGGTAGAAAAGCAAAGTGTGGGGAATTAATAATTGAGGAGGTGTATGATTAGAGATAGGCAAAGGCCATGATTGATTGATGGACATGATGTGTCATTCATGCCCATCCCATCCCCATCATCATCATTATCACCATCATCATCTCCATAAAGAATACCCGAAATCCCTCTGCCTTTAATTTTTATTTTTTAATTAATTAATTTTAAATTTTATCTTTTTGCCTATATATATGGTTGTCCACTTTCTGGTGGTGCTGCACCATTCCACATTTTTGTAAAGGAGGAGAAATTGAAGGAGTCTCCTCAGCCTTTTGCTTTGTTCACTCCACATTCAAATCCAACTTTGCTTTCTGGTTCACGAGCAGGATCAGTATCAGGAAACCTTCAGGGAAAGGCGAAGACAGGTGGTTATTGTGGAGATTGTTGTTGAAAATGATGGTGCAGAAAGATGATTTGGGGTTGAGTTTGAGCTTGAGTTTTCCGGATCACAAGGCTGCTGCTGCAATTCCTACTTTTCCTGTTCTTCACAGATCGGCTAATTGGACGGCGCATGCCTTTCCTTCCTCAGGTTTTTTTTCAGTCTCTTTCTGGATCTCGGATGCATTAGTTTCGATTCGAGAGAGGAAACGTTTCTGTGCAGTGTTTTGAAAGTTAGAGCCCTAACTTTCTTTTCTCGATCGAATTTGGCTTGATGTGGTTCCATTTTATTTGTATCTGTGTAGATCGGAGCTCTGAGGAATGTAGAGTGGAGACTAGGTCCTTTTTTAAGGGAATCGACGTCAATTGTCCAGCGTTGGCGGTTGATGCGGAGGAGGAAGGCGGTGTATCCTCTCCAAACAGCACGATCTCCAGCATCAGTGGAAAACGCAGTGAGAGAGAAGCCGCAGACGAGCTAGACGCCGAGCGAGCTTGCTCTCGAGGCAGCAGTGACGAAGAAGACGCCGAGAATGCGAGGAAGAAGCTCAGGCTCTCAAAGGACCAGTCCGCCATACTCGAAGAAAGCTTCAAAGAGCACAACACTCTCAATCCAGTAAGTATACACCAATCAGTTGTGAAAATTTCTCTAACCAGACAATTTTCGCCGAAATCGGAGGCTAAACTCTTTCAATTTCCCTGCAGAAGCAAAAAATGGCTCTGTCAAAGCGATTGGGGCTGAGGCCACGGCAGGTCGAAGTCTGGTTCCAAAACCGAAGAGCCAGGTGATTTGAACGACCTCTCTCTTCCATCTCAAAAACTGATTGCTCTTAATCTCGTCGCTAAATTGTCGCAAAAACACAAAATAAACCGCAAATAGTTTGACGCCAATCGATGATTGCAGGACGAAATTGAAGCAAACAGAGGTTGATTGCGAGTACCTCAAGAGGTGCTGCGAGAACCTTACGGAGGAGAACCGGAGGCTGCAGAAGGAGGTTCAGGAGCTGCGTGCGCTGAAGCTCTCCCCGCAACTGTATATGCAAATGACCCCTCCGACCACCCTCACCATGTGCCCTTCCTGCGAGCGGATATCCACCGCCCATCCGGCGGCGCAGGCTCCGCCTCCGCCGCGGCCGGTCGCATTCAATCCCTGGGCTACAGTCGCGCCGATCGCACACCGGCCGTTGGATGTTCTGCGCTCTGAATCGTGATCGTTTGGCTGTGATCTTCCTATTTTCTTTTTGGTGCATCATTTTATTTAATTGATTGATGTTTTATTAGAATTTTGTTGTTTTTTTTTTTTGGAAATTTGCCTTTGCCACTGTGTTTATATTTTATGGGAAAGAAAAGAATTAGCGCTTTGTAAGCTGTAAGCGTTGAAACTAACATCAAGAACCATCTTAGTTGAAGGGCCTTTCTCTTTTTTTTGTGTCTTTTTTGTTTTAAATGGAAGTAATTACACAACTGGGCTTTTATATATAAGCCCATATTGATCTTTATAACATCAAATAAAATGAAGTCCAATTTAAATTAGAAATATAAAGTCCATAATAAGAGGACCGACAACATCATCATCTTCTATAACTTCCTTAATCTATAACTGTAACTGTAAACTACATCTCTTCCCACCCATAGTTTGGGAGCTTAAAAAACACTTAAATTTGTGCATAACTGCCTAGAGAAGGCTAAAAAATGAGCTCTGCAATATATTGCATCTTCTTCCTTCATCTGAAGGTTCTTCCGGCGCGCTGCGCCGTCGACCGTCGGATGGACTCGATCCTCTGCAGCCGTATCTGCTCACGGAACTTGGCTATAAATTCGTCCGCCTTCTTGTCAACATCTCGTCCTAATTCATTCACACAATCTTCATTCTCATCGCCGATTGCAGCTCCACCGCCATTGCTTATCCTTCCGCCTCCTTCCTCCGCCACCACCACCGGCGGCGGCTCCTCTTCTTCTTCGTCGTCGTCGCTGCTGCTCTCTAGTATAACCTTCTCGGCCAATTCTTGCTGGATCTTCGCCTTGTTGGAGTACGCCGGCTTCTTAACCGCCTTCTCCGGCGAGGTCTCCATCGCCGTCTCATGACCTCTGAAAGTCCTAACCGATCTCCCCGACGACGGCGATATTCCGTCGGCAATTTCAGCCTCCTCTGTTGGTACGCTCCTAACGCTTCGCCTCAACGCCTTCTTAGGCGCTGCTGCGACGGCAACAGCGGCGGCGGCGGCGCTTGAGTTTGATTTCAACAGCACCGGTTTTCTCGGTGCAGGCGGCGGAGGAGGAGGCGGTGGCGGCGGCGAGAGAAACGCCTTCTTCCTTGCCACATCTTCGCCGCTTGGTTCGGATGAAAATGGCGACGATGTTGAAGGTTTGTTAGGTTTAGTGCTTTTGAAAGACCTCGATTCAATCCTGCTCGCTTCCTGCTCCTCCATTAATGGCGGAACGAGATAGCCGCCTCCATCTCCATCCTCCTCGTCGTTCTGCTTCACCTCCATCCTTCCCGACCTGGATCGCCATGGAATCGGCGATCGGAGGACGACGTTGTCCTCCGCCGAGACATCTTCCATCTTCTCGACCGTACTAACCGCTCCGCCGTCCTCCGCCGTCTTCAACCTCCTCGAACTCCTAACAAATCTTCTAGAAGCCGAATTCGAACCGAAACCAGTTCTAATCCTCGAATCGGATTTAGCTCCTTCTTCATTCGCCTGTTGTTTCAAACTCCTGACGGGGAGAAGCAGAGGCTTGTTGTGGCCGAGTTCCGAAACGGCGTCGTTTTCCTTTGCCGCCGCCGCCGCCGCCACCACGAGCACCGGCGGTTCTCCCCGGAAATACTGCGAGCTCCACGTCTGAACCTTACTGTCATCTCCGGCGGCGACGTTGTGATCGGAATCATCGTCGAAAACAGATGAAACGTGGAGCAATTTAGAGACGTAGGATTGGGCATTATCAAGCTTAGAAGCGTAATAATGATCCTTATGGAGATCATCGTTTTTCTTGCTGAATAGGCCATAGGAGACGGCTATGCCGACGAATATGAGATGGAGAAGCTCCCAGCTCCTGGCATGGAGAGTCTGGTTAAGGAATTCAGGAGCGATTGAAGGGAAGATTGGGAGCAAAACTAGGAAGAGTGTGATGATGGCGGCTTTGTAGAGGAAGTGGCGCAAGAACTTACTGCTACTCTGATTTGCATTGTCGTCGCCGGACTTTGATTTGAACACTGCGTCCGCCATGGCTGTTTGTTCTTGCAGGTTGGGGAAGAGGAAGAAGAAGTTGAAATCTAAGGATTGAATTGAATTGAAGAAGGGAGAGAAGCCTTAGGGATTAAGGAAAAGTGAGTAAAGGTGAAATGAGGAAAAGTTTTTTGGGGAGATGTGATCCATATTTGAAGGTATTCTTCTTCTCCTTCAGTATTCTCTGTGTATGTCTCTCACTTTAGATTTGAGGTATGATTTGACATTTTTGTCTTAAATTAGAGATGTTTGTTTGGTAGCGAAGAGAAGGGTAATTTGGGGAAAGTAGGAGGGGACAATTAGGTTGCGTGGGGTGTGGTCAGGATTCTGCTTTTGGACTGCGTACGCTAGCTTTTACTATGTGTATGTATATATATCTCTTTGTATGTATTCTTTCCTTTTGCTACTTTTGAGTGGGAAGGTATTCTTTTCTTCTTCCTTGTGTCTAGTTTGATAGATATGTAAATTTGCGTAATAAGCTTATAGTAGTTATTATTATTATTATTTTTATCGAAGTTGACATTCAAAATCTGCTCAAGGTAGCTTTTCTGACTGTCTGACCGACTTAAATTGCAAATTATTATGCTCGTTATGAAAGTCATCTAGTATGCACTGAAAGAATCCATACACAAACGAAAATAAAAGGCACTAAAATTGTCCTCTTTTGACGTAGAGGTTTTTCTTTTTTAATTATTTACTTCAAACTATTCCTATTCCTATGGCTATGTGTGAGTGTGTGTAAAAGGAGATTAGAGAATCATCACCCAACTTTTTTAATTGCAAAAGACATGTGCTTTCTTTCATCTGTAAATGTACAACTCATCTTCCCCGCATACCTGGCAATGAATCATCTTCTTCCCTTTCGCAAATTTAGTTGAACACACACACGAGTATGGAATTTACATACACAATGGGCATGCATAAGCTTCACCTGCTTGAATTGGGAACTCACAACAGATCAAACTAAGCGTACCTAACGCTGAGCAGGTCCAAGAATCGGTTTGCCAGAGTCGATGATCTGCCAAATGTTGCCTTTGGCAATTCATGTTTTTGCACAGTTGCAGAAGAATCAACGGTGCCTTCATTCGATGTAGCATCTTTTAGATATGGAACAATATATTTCTTCATATCGTCTCGGGCAATTCCAAGATGGTTTCCAGGCACCTCGACGTATTTTACCCTTCCCGAACTGTCTAATGTTTTCAACCCAATCCAATCGTCAAGATAGAGCTTAGTCTAGAGACAGAAAAAGATGGTATCAGTCAAGGATTTTCGTGCAAATATTTCAATCCAAATTTCCAAAATGAGGCCTAGTAAGACTCCAAATATAACTCTAGAAATTTGTCTTATCTAAATGTCAATGGTTTCAGCATTCGACATATTTGGGCAGTTTTTTTTAATTGTAATTAACACATTCTTTTGGGACATCAAAAGGCCTATATCTAGGTTCTAAGATAAGGTAATAATTTCGGAAAAAACAAGATTTATCGAGGGAGATGAATGTACTGAATGACACAATTTCTTAACAAACGAAAGGCTACCTGTTGTGGCGGCAGAACCGGGGTGAAAGCCCCATCGGGATAGTATCCAAACCATGCTGTTTCCTTTGGTATCAAGACGGTGTCATGTTCAAACTGTTCAAATGAGAGGGAGAGAGAGTATTGAAGTTTCTACAAATGCAATTACCAGCACTATCAAAGGATATCAGATCAGAACTGAAGTCCGGAAGGGAGCGGATAGGTTCACGTACCATGATAAGAACAAGATTTTCTAAGCTACTGAACCGTTCTTTGTAAGTAGCATTTCTCTCGTCAGGGAGTTCATTGTTAAGCTTTGGGAGAAACCTACATTTGCTCAAGTAGTCGGGAATGTTCTGAAAAACAAATTGAAAAATTAATCCAGAATTTTCTCCAAAGAAAATGATAATGGAAGGAATATGTGAAATGGGGAGAGAGGGTGAGGGGGCAGGGAAACGTTCAGGATTTATATATGTGTTCTGTACAGAGGCACTCACATTTGGAAGTTTAAGATAGCCGCTAGGAGCTAAGTGAGCCTGCAGTTCACAATATACAGTGTCCTCAAGAAAAGAACTGCGAATTATGCTTTTAACCAAGAACAAATCAAAGTAGGAAGCGTACTTGGACGTAGTCGGTGTAGACCTCTTTCTTGATTAGATTGTCTGCAATAATGCAAAATATCCCAGTCTGAAGAATCGGACAATGTTTGAGCTTCAGTGAACCAGGAGGCCTAATGAATTGATATATTTTCTAAGAATCGTGTAAAAGGTGAGACTTACACCACATAGTGGAACTGAAGCTGTCCCGGCATGAGGTCCTCCAAGAGACACAAAATTCTTGACCTGTCGGAGAAACTCATTTCAGAACTATGCAACAAACATGCTGAATTGCTATTTCGTACTGTGCAAATTAGTAGAAACATGGAAGAATAATACTGAATTAACTATTATAAAACATTTTGTTGGCAAAACATTATCTAATAAGATATAGAAACATCGACTTCCTTGTGCAAAATATGATAATTAGTTACACTATCATATCTAATAAGATATAAAATATGGCTTGCAATCAATTTTTCATATAGTCCTTACTGGTGGTCCGCCATCGCAGAACTCCACAACACCTCGCCCGATTAAGTTGCCCTGTAAGAACAACCACAATTTATCACAACACCCAGACATGTAAAATTATGAACAAACAGAAATAGATAAACAATAAGTCGGATTCAATTACAAGTATACAAAATCAAAGATTATCACCTGGGAGAGACCGACTATGTTGTAACCATCCTGGAGTTCTTTCATTTGTTTCACCTGAAGTTTAGTTTGATAACTCACGATAAACACTTCTTGTGAATCAATCATCAACAAATCCATTACTTAATCACCCACCTTATCGCATACAATTTCCGCCTGCACCAAAAATGAAGAAAACACCAAATCGAAATCAGCTTATGGATGAACGAATCAATAGTGACAATATAGAAATTATTCTCTGGCCTCTTCTTTACCTGCTCTTGTAGGGGCTTAAACCAAGAATCCCATGCTCCATCTCCAATTTCTCTGGAAATTTATAGTATAGACAATCATGAATTTGAAGTTATGGACCAATTTTTCGACAGGGATGAAAAGAAAATTAGTGAGAGAATCGGCATCAGTTCAATGGCTTTGCAACACAGTACAACTATGGAGTTTCTGATACAAATGGAAACACAATGAGTTCAAATCTTATGCTAAGAACTTCTATCCAAAATTGCAGTGTTGAGAAAATAGTTACACTTCTATCGGAAGAAAAGCCCTAGATCATGCGACACATAATATTGCAGAAAAAAGCAGTTATATACTCCGATTGAAGTCAAGAAAAAAGAAGTTAAAATCCATGGAAGTGAAATCTCGATTCGATTTGTTCGTGTCATCAGTAATCAAGAAACGAAAGATTGAAAAACCGACAAGTGGCGTTTTCTAGAACCAAAAGCTAATGGTCAGTAACAAACATTAGCTTCAGATTGGGACCAAAATAGCAAGAAAACTAAAAGGAAGCAAGTAATCAATACCAAAAACAATCTCACATGCAATATCCTTCAGATTTGGACCATTCGCTGAGCTCCTGCGTGAATTGCGTCATTCCTCTGTTCGAACACTGATCCCCAATTCCTATAGCAACAACCAAGATCCTTCACAAACACAGCAAATCGACAAAACCTCAACTATAACAACAACAATCGGAGGCGCTGGGGGAACATTACCATGGAGAACGATGAACGGAATCGAAACAGACACCGGAACGAAACATAACGCGATGGCACTGCAGATCGAGAAATACACAACGGCAGAAGACGCAAACCGAGAAACTACTCCAGCTGCAGCAGACCTCATTTCTCCGCGATTCCAATTCTCCAGCAACTTTCGCCGACGACCGGAGTTCTAGTCTCCACCGCAGCACGATCGGAAGCACGATGTCCACGCGGCGGATTACCCCTGAGAAAAAATCAATGTCGCCACCAATCACAGTATCACACACACCCGCAATAATTTACTTATTTAATTTTAACAATACTTTATCCACATGTTTTATATCAACAAATTGTTGCGTAATTCGAACCACTTTGACGAGTGCTTATTATATAATTAAACTACCTCAATAATTTCACCAAAATTATTCCGAAAGAGACAAATATCAGTGAATAATATATTACTGTACAAAATTATTTTAAATATACAGATCTGCCCTGTGCAGATAACACTATTACACACATAAAATTCATCGTAATAAATTAACAATATTACAAAAAGTTTTTCTATCTTCGATCATTCTTCAAGCAAATTTCCAGCATCAAAATTCTTCACATGTTGTCTTCTAGTTTTCTTGTAAAAAATTTCATAAATTCCGACATAGAACATCAAGATCAAGATCAAGATCAAGGCTGCAGCTGCACAAACTGTCAAATCAATACAAAAATGTATTCAATTCATTGAAACAAGAAAACATTTGTAATTGATCAAAACCTCAAATCAAGACATACTACCTTCAGCCTCTCCGACAATCCACCACCGTGGCGGCCGCCGCCACGTCAGGCGGAGGCCGAAGCTGCCGTGGGACGACAAATAAGGGCTGTAAGGAAACGGTATAGCGACGGATCTTACGACGCTGCAAGAAGCCGGCAAGTTGTGGGGCGAGGATTCGAGAATATAGACATGATGTTCGAACCGGCTCATGCATGGAACTTCGAGAAGAGGAGGGTCGAGAATGACCGAGCATTTAACGTAGACGTGGTCTTTTAGTATGTAATAATATCGGAAAGGCGTGGCGGACAAGTCGAGGTTTAAGAAGACTTCGTGGACGCAGCCGCGCGGGTCGATGAGGTCGAGCGTTGCGGCTGCGTAGTCGATGGATTTGACGGCCAAGTGTCCGTAGCCGGGGAAGTGGATCATCGTAACGTTGTCTTTACAGAGGATGTCATAATTTCCGGCGCCGGCGCCGGGGAGTCGGAGAGCGGGGCAAAGAGTGGAGGCGTGGGAGGTGTGTGTGAGGAGAAGAATGGTTATAGAAAGAGTGGAGAGGAAGATAGCCATAGCCATAGCCATATTGTGTTTTATGGAAGAGAGGAATGGAAGAATGGTTTGGGTTTTGCTTAAGATCCATTTTGGGGATCTGTTGAAAATATTTTCAGTTCAACTATGCTGTCGTAATCGGTTCGGTTTTTTTTTAGAAAAAAATGTTTGGGGATTTATGGCGGTCTGGTCCTAAACACACTACTTATTAATATATTAAATATAATTATATAAAGTATATTTTATTTTAAATCAATACATTAGTGATGTGTTAGGTTTTGTTTAGATAAAGGGTTTGAAAAATTTTAAAAGATTTATAAATAATAAAAAAGTTAATATGTAAAGTTATAATTTTAAAAAATTACTGTAAATAGATACTTAGTGTTAAAATTTTGTACAACTATTTGTATACATAGAGCCTTAATATTTTATTTGTTTTATAAAATAATATAATTATATTTTATAAAAATACTATACGTAAATATTATAAATTTATTTATATGAAATATATTAAATTAATTTTCACAATAACATTTTCAAAATGTCAAATCACGCATACACAAGGGCTTATTTTTTTAGATTTGAGTTGAAAACATTTTGATTTAAAATTTATATTTAAATAATATTTAACGTAATATTAAAAATAAAAATAAAAATTAAAGACAGAATCAAGAGGGTTGTTTTGACTGGTTTCAATTGTACCAAAGGTGGGTGAACCGTCCATGACTAGATAAATTGAAGTATATATACATCTATGCATATTTTTCCATTGATTTCTTTTTTATTAAACTGTAATTGTTATGATTATTATAAAATAGAAAAGAGCCCTCAAACCTAGAGAAAAAATATATAAATAAAATAAAAAGTAGAATTACTCCAAACAAAGCATGTGTAAGAACTAAGAAAGTGAATATGAAGACAAACAGACAAAACTCTGTTAGATCGATATTTCTGGATAACAACGTATCATTTAGGAGCATAAAACAAGGCAGATGCCGCCATCCGTACAAAACTGGAGATGATGATAATAATAATAATAATAATAATAATAATAGCCAGTCACACAATTGGGAGTCAATCAAAACAATAGGCCAGTTTCTAGACAAAAAGAATTTAACTAAAAGTATACACCATTGATGATTACTGCATGCTTGCTTTGATCTTCATCAAACCTGCCTTACTTCCTGTTTGATCAAACCATCTTCTCCGGGACATTTTACTCCGATCAAACACAAATAATGGATTGTTTGCAACTCAAAGAGGTTCCCTGGCTAGCTTGACCGGTTTCTCGTTCAGATATGAAACGTCGCTGTTTCGAGTAAGAAGTAGATGGTGATCGGGATCCTCCACCTCGCCATCTCCCGACGCTGATGACTCACCGGAATGGCTTCCATCTTAACAACAAGAACAGCAGAAGTTACATGCAATGATATAAGACCAAATGCAAGGAAATAAAAAGGTAAAAAGTTTTAATACTTTGATTCGATGAAACTATAGGAAGTTAGTTGTAGAGGGGTCTGTTAAGCGCTTATCGACTGATTGGATAATCTCTGGAAATAATATAAAATGCTTTATAAACTAGTGGTATTGTTGGTGCAGAATGAAATTGTTAAGTAAATTGGACAGGATGACCTTAGTCGGGGGATAATTATGGTCAGACATTTTCTCCACTAAGGATGTGTTACAACCCTTGTTGCTTGACTCATTCGACCTACGTATTGATATTACAAAATATGGTTTTAGTGTAAAATAAATATCCTTGAGATGTGATATGATATGATAATGTAAATAGTGGGGGAATAGTTTTTCAAATAATTTTGATTATGTTTAGTTCTTAGCAGCACAGAAATTCAATACACATCAAGAAGTTACTCTACGAGACAAATAATATAAAGCAAAATGATATCAATTTTCACATATTCATTCTTTTGGGGTGCATAGCATTGAAAATCATGATAGATGCTGGATCGATCTAGTATTAAAAGCACACAAATGATATGATATGATGGAAAAAAGGTTAATGGAAAAATGAAAAATGACTTGCCTGAATACATATGATTTTCTGCTGGAAGATGTCGGACTGATGTAGATTGCAGACTTTCAGGCAGCAAACAGCCACAGAAAGAACCTGGATTACATGTAAAGTAGGAAAAAATAAAACAAAGATTCTAAGAAATTCTACTGGCATTGAAGCAAAAGAGCTGCTTTTTGTCTAATTTACCCAAAAATATGGTGTGGGAGTACGAAAAAATACTCATTAATCCGAAATTACATGTTAATTGTGTAGGCCATATATTGAATAATTTTATATTCCAAAAACTTATTTCGGAAATTACTCCCTCACCTATTTTAGCCAATCGATTCACCCACCCAGGAATGGACTTTCCAGTTAAACGGCGACAAACATCATCTGTGAAATGATTGCAATTCCTAGATATCAAATGGTATGTGTCTCCATGATATTCATTGGATAGACGTTCCATGAATGACCGAAATTCTGAAGGAGACATGTCAATGGTGCCCAAAATAATTGAGCGCCTGAAGATAAAACCCGGGCAACTTCTTGGTTCAACCTCAAATACACCACTGCTTGGGTAGTCATGAGCTCCAAACCCATACTCCTCGCCATGCGCTGTTGTGAATAAGTTAGATTAGAGCTCTATAATAAATAATGCAGATCCATGAAGTATCGCAAATCAATATGTTCGTGATTTATATGAGTAACATCAGCAATAGGAATGACAAATAGAAACCTTTCCAGTGCAAATGATGACTACTTTATGACATAAACAGCATAGATTCAGTGCTCTTTGCCAATTAAAGGAGATGTGGAAAAACATATCCGTAGATAAAAAGATGGACGGCTCACTGAACCAGAGGCACTATCTTAGGTCAGTGTCAATGGCAGGGAAGATCATTATGTGTAGAGAAATCAAACCACTTCGAGATTCACACCAAAGAAATCATATGTAAACAATTGAAAGATCTTCGAAGAATTCCAATTGCATGGGAAGATGCTCATTAACAGATGTCTACCATTCAGGGAAGAGAAAGAAAAAAAAATTTACTTACAGGAGAAGCCTAAGGTCCTAGAATTTTTCAGTACACCTCAAGAACAACTAAAGAATCATGAGCCTAATAAACACCAGTGGTCAAGAGCATTACGAGCAGAGTATCTACCATTCAATTAAATCACATTTTCATGTTGGGGAATATTTGAAAATGGAGTTAGTTTTTGGAAGAATACCGAGCTTTAAATGATAATAACCATTTGTGAGTAAATTAGGGGAGTTCCTTAATTACTAGAAGAAATAGATATTTTGTTTAATGGAGTCGACACAGCCATGTTATTTATAATAATTCTAGGGATGTATTTGCATGCTTTAATTATCTCACATCAACATAGTATTTCACAGTTGAGGAGAAGTAGGAGGATCAAAATGCCATGTACTATTTATGAAGTCTCAGCATCAATTCAGAATTACAGAGCAGTAGTAAAGATTGTAAACCATTACTTACTGTTTTAAAAGTTACAACAAGAATAACAAGAGGTTCCTGAAATCTGTACCAACTATAAGACTTTTGTTCACAGATCACTGAGGAAATAAAGACTAAGGTTCCAAAGAGTAATCAGTACCTAATTTGCACCACATGCATAGCTAGGGTCTTTTATACAATCTTTCTACTTACAAGAAGAGAGATTTTTCTATCAAGTAGAAGTATAAAGAAATGTAATGAATTGGCTAGAGGAATATCACAATTCCACCAAATCAAATAAATGCAAACAACTCAAGAATCAATATCAAACAACCAAGCTATAGATAAAACAAGATTGAAAATGTATATCATCATACAAATATAAAGGAGAAATAGGTAGATTAACACGTCACAATCAAAGATTTACAAAGGAGCATTTGATTATACCTTCAATACCCGAATGGAAGATTCCCACGCCAAACCAGTAAAGATAGTTGTTTATGGAAGTGAGGTCATATATATTTAGGTATAGCAGAGCAGTACTTTTTTCAGGGTTGCTGTCCTCTGTAGGTGTACTATCTGTGCTCGATGAAATAGGAAACAATTGCATGTTATCTAGCACCCCTGCTCTTACCATCAACCAGTGCCCCCAGCCTAAATCAATATATCTGTATGTTCCTGTTGTGTCTCCAGCTCAACAGTCAACACAGAATAATTTGAGATGCCCTAAAAATAAATAAATAAATAAGAAAACATGAGAGATGCGCTATTCTGGTATTAACCAAAACACCTGAATAATGGTAAACTAATACATAGGAATTGCTTGAAAAATAACATGAGAATTGAAAGGTTTTGAACAATGCCGATTTTGTTGTAGTGAAAAGAAACTAAAGAAGAAATGAAATTGCAAAAGGATATTCTAACGTTGCTATTCTTGAGACATGTATGCATTAAGCACCCCACCATAAATATCTAACCAGGTCATCCTTAGCAGAAAGCAATTGTTTTTTAAGGCAACAAATTCACTAAGAATAAATGGATTTCATGATTGCATAGTCCTCTGAATGTACAATGCATAGTCCTCTGAATGAACAATCCATAAACTTGAACATTGTATCCAATTGCAAAACTAAATTGCACCAACATGAAACATTTCAATCACAGATAACACATAGGCCATAGCCAATCTACCTTCTCTCACAGGACAACATTTAACAATAATTAAAATTACCAAAGCAGTAGATCGAACAGATTTCAATATGGCCAGGTACAAATCTCCCAAATCACACACTCAATCGAGGCAGAAAATAACATCTCCTAAATTATCCTGAAATCACTTCAAAATGACTTGTCACAAAATGACGCAATCAAGGATTTAAAACTAAATCAACAATACAATGAACGATCGGACAAAAGTGACACTAATAGCACACAATATGAACAAGTACAGGCGAAGGATAATGCAGCTCACCGTCGGTGAAACCGGCTCTCCGACAAGCGGCGGCGGATGGATGCGAATCTGACGCCTCCGATGAGCTGCGGGGAGGGAGATGAGACAAACCGCAGTCCTCGTGGATCTCGTGAGTTAGCACAGAAAAGCAGCGACAGAGTCGTCGTGCCAGATGGCGGCAGAAGCCTTCAAATTAGGCGGCGGCGGGGGCAGGATGAGCGGTGTGGAAGCATAAGAGTGGAGCAGACAGATGGCGTGGGTATATGCGAAGTATCGATCGATCTCTGCTTTTGCTGAACCCACACGAGGAACGTCAGCTGTTGGATCTCACAAATGCCCGTTGAGTTTTTGACACCGTCATGGAGCGGGGGCCCAACCCAACCCGACCCGACCAAATCAGACCCTAAAATGCCGCTTTCCTTGCCGGGTTCAAACATTTTACCAGCGTACAAATAACTATAGTAACGGAAATGGGACATCTTCGAGGAAAATAAGGCTGGCAATGGAAGTGTGTGTTTAAAAGTTTAGAAGGACTTAACTAAAACTGTTCGGCATTCCAAATTCCGTTAAATTAATAATTTTAAAAATTAATATTATATATTGTTATAACTATACATATTGATTGAATTAATAGTTTTGTAATTTCTTTTTATGTTTATTATCTTTTGAATTTGTTTGTGTATTGTTTTTGTTTGAATTTTATTTTTTTTATTAAGTATGAGAATAGTTTGTAAGAAAAATAATATAAATATTATATATAATGAAAATAGAATAAAAAAAAATTAATTAATAAACAAACTTACTTTGTCACAATTTTTGTGTTTATCTTACAATTTACTCCTATTCTTTTCCTTTTTAATCATGACATGACTAATGTCGTGATATATTATCGGTACCATTTCAAATATTTTTTTTTTATTTAAACAAAAATAATACACTACTATCAAAACATTTTAATTTTTATTTAAATTATAAATAAATTTTTATTTAAATTACAAATATACCCCTTATTGTGTATACCAGGTACAACTTGTTAATTAAGCACAACGTCTATATACATTATACAATATACAATATACACTCATATTTATACCAACACTTAAAAATATTACAGTCAAATGATATTTATATGTATGAATCTGACGATTAGCAAGCAGTAAGAGCAGCAAGTAGTGTGTCTGATCAACTGGCCTGGCAATTGGAGGCAGGATCATCTTCAACTAAGTTGAAGTACAGGGACGACATCTTTCCGTCGAATCTCGAAAACACTCGATACTCCGACAATCCACAGTAGCGCTGTCCGAGCCGGGCCATGCATATTTCCACGATTTTCTTGAACATGGCGTCTCCTCGGATCAAGGGTTGTTTTATGAACTCCTCCAGAGGCATCCACTGCTCGTAGAAAAACAAAAGAAATCGAATGCATTTAACATCCAGTATCATCACTAATCAATTTTTCATTCAACTCATCGGTAAAAAAACCATCTCAATTCAATTTTTTACTACTTTTTGCGAGTGTATATATATACCTTGGCAGCTTGAATTTCAAGATCATCGATCAAGATTTCAGTCGACAGAGGGCGCAACATACAGATGAAGAACAGATCAGCCTTGTCAAAAGAGACGTTGCAGGCGTGCCTAAATGATCAGAAATGTTAAAAATCGATCTCATTCATCATTTTTCGGGTATCGAAAAGGATAAGCAGTTTTCTATACCTAAAAGCGACAACCTCGACGAATTCAGAGTCAATCTGCAGATGAAAATGTGAAGTATAAGAATTTGCCGTAAAGAAGATGCAACAACCATAACAATGTAGTGTACATACTCCTGTTTCTTCTTTCACTTCTCGCACAGCTCCCGTGCAGATTTCTTCGGTCTAATCAACAAAACAAAATGCTGTAAGAAACTGATATTCGGATACATGAACAAATCGTATCCTCGGGCTGCAGAGCTCTGATAGTGTACCTCATTAATGAATCCGGTAGGAATTTTCCAGAGACCTAAGAGAGGCGGGACACATTGCTTTTCTTGTACAACAAGAACCTGTATCGTGTAAATATCACAGAAGTATCTTCTAAAATTTTGACAAAAGTTTACACCAGACAATGACGTGTAATATACCTCGTCTTTATCATTGATCACGAAAGAACCAACACCAACATGGTGAGAAGCATTCGGAGGAAGAAGGCAAGGTCCATCCGGGATCCAATATGTCATCATGACATACAATCTCTCGGCGTGATGGTACTGAAATCCTTCCTGCAAGAAGCTACTACATTCACAAATGGAAGTCTCGAGGAGGAAATGATTGTGAATTTAATGTTTTGTTGTCCTACTTGAGTTGCTCGGATGGAGCAAATTGAATACCTGTACAGCTATGGGGACGAGATCAGATCTTTCCAGCGGCAGCTTCAGCCAGACTCCCTTCTTCCCCTGAAAAACTAACCAATTAGGATTACTAGTTAAGTATGGAGATTGTGGTGACAGGTGATTCGAAGACAGATACCTTAATTTTCCACTGGAATATAGATGATCGAAGAACAGAGGCAAAAATGCTCGGATTGGATGGTAGCGACGCAGTATTTATGACTACACCTTCATACTCATCTTCAAGTGCATCAAGGACTTTGGCTGTTTTGAAGAACAGACCTGAACTCGAACCGTTAGTTCTGTTGAGCTGATAGGAAATGGAGTCTAGAAGATCTTGTTGGCTGACTGAACTTGTGCCGCCCCCGGACTCACTTGAATATGAAGCTCTTGGGAAGTTACTGCCTGCAGAAGATCCTGAACACAGCAGCATTGTGCAAATCAATGGAGACTCATAATTTTCGAAAGCAATATATCAATTAGTTAATTCCTGACAAGATTGCAGAAACAGCAATGGATGAAACAACTAGTCTTTTCGGATTCAAAACAAACGTGTTTCTTAAAAAGCCACAGATATCGAGATGAATGCAGGGAATCACGAATTGAAGTTTACCTCTGCAGGAACGAAACTGCTGCCGGACTTTCACTCTGTAATTTGAGTTAACAAAAGGATTTGACAGCGTCGTGTCTGCGCCAGCAGGCGATGACTTTGGGATAAGGAACTTCAGCTCCATTAATAACTAACTACTCAAATCTAACTTCAAAATATCTATATATACATAACATATACAGGAACACACGCAAGTTATCACGGATTCGTTCACAGGATGCGAGGATCAAACTATGCTTGCTGGAAAACAAGAGGAATTTTTAGCAATCTTCACGCTCGATAATCACAAAGAAAATCAGATAAAGCTGTTGAACAGGTAGAGACAGAAAGAGCAGCAAGATCTGTTGTTTTTGCTATGGCGCTAACGAATACGACGAGGAATGCAAACAAAGTAATAAACACGAAGGATTAAAAGCAATTAAAATGTTAGGAATTGCGGATTTGTGGCAGAGATTTCAGCTCCACTCACAAGGCTACAAAGCAAGTATAAAATCTCGAAAAAAATCTCAAGGCGCCAGCCAGTTGAGCTGATGAGGTAAATCGAGCAATTTTCACGTGATCGATCGCTTTCAACAGGAGGAACGTAACCGCAGCTAGATTGACACATGCCATCGATTAATTGAACCCATGGATACCTGAAAAAACAATTGGAGATGACGAGACAAGCTCTGGAAGAAATGTGCGCGAATTGCCGCTGTAGTGTAGGGTAGCAGTACCGAAGGAGAGGTCAGTGTGGGGGGGAGCGTGATCTCCACCGCACGAGGATAAGCGCGTCGAGGTTTAGTGGCGCCCTTTGCTAAGTGAATACTGCGTGGATGGCATTATTTATTTTGGGATGATGTGGCAATAATTAATTTACTTTAAGTTGGAATCGTTTGTGACATTATTGAGCCTTATCCATAATCCATATTCAAGAAAGAATTAAATAATAATACGACACAATGTGCCAGAAAACTTTTTATTTTATTGTACTATTAAATCTAATCAAAGTTAAATAAATATTCAAGAATGTGTAGAACAGAAAGCACCCCTAATACATAACACTGAAACAAACACGAATCATGAGTTTGTTTTGTTTTTTTTAATAAGATGAGAACTCCTTTACTTTTTTTCTTAATAACGTCGGAATTTCCGCCATCGAATCAGTGCCCTCTAGGTAAATCTTTGTCCGAATCTAATATTCTACAAATTAAATTCGACAAGATAAGTTATGCTAAATATATCATGTGTGACAAATAGATTTGAGAACATCAAAATTTAAACCAATGACTTCGAAGTCACGAGTTCACTCCACCCACTGGCCATCCTTAGGTACTGAGTTTTATTTGCTAAAGGAAATAAGCAACAATGTATCCTCCGGTAGCAACCAAAAGCTACACATTATATAGCTTATTAGCTTGTGCCGTTCACCCCTAACATCATAAAAATGGAGCAACAACTATCCTACTACTGCAAAGAAACAATATATGAGTATATGTATATATATATATATAGAGTGAGAGAGAGAGAGATGATGATGCTGTTTATTGGCTCTCTTGTGCAGATATCCTCAGCATGGATGATGAAGAGCTACGGATAATTATCCGGCAAGATGGCCGAGGATGATACGAGCGAAGAAACACGAGTAGGAGGTGTGTCGAATGTTGGCGATTGATCGATCAGATCAGACGGTGTAATGTGAGTTCACCTCGAGGTCAAGCCCCTTGAGCCTAGCGAAAGATTCGACCTTTCCTTTCAATGTGTGGAGCTCCCGCAACCTACAAGCACCGGCAAAGAAATCAGTGCATTTGTAGCCACAGTCTCAGGGCAAAACCGTGCAGTTAAGATCGATGATCGTATTAATAAAAAAGAAATGCATACGAATGAATGGACACACCTTGCGACTTCGGCGCGCCTTCTTGCATCCTCAGCCATGATATTCATGTCCCTAAATGTGTGCTTGTTTTCGACAAATGATTTGGCTTCTACTGACTGAAGGCCGTGGCGAGTGCGTTGTTCGGTTGCCCATGCAGCTTCCCGGGCTTCCTTACCGAAGTCATTCTGGGAGGTGAAGGCAGTCTGGCAATACAAAATAGCCATGAAACAGAATTTCGAAACGATAATGATGATGTTATGTAGTGTTTTTGTTTCACCGACCTTCTGGTTTAGCAACAATCCCCAAGCTTTCCCGCTCAAAGAATATCGAACAGCAAATTTGATGGGATCGAGGAATATGTAGGTTACAATGTTGAACAGCCAAATCACGCCAGTCCATCCCCATCCGATGCTCCTGATTCCGAGCGTATCAGATGTCACCAGGGCTGATAGTAGAGTTGCCACCTGCAGTTGCAATGCGGATGCATCAGAAAACATTTTGGACTATCCGGAGTCAATTCAACAAAACCGATATAGTCTCACCAATTGTGCTATGATAAAGGCGCAAACTAGAAGAAGACCGGGTCTTTCCATGAAAGACCATCCTTGGGAGCGAGTGACGAATATCAACGCCTGGCTGATGGTGCTAACTTGGAGATAAATTGCGGATGATAGCTTGTCTTTCAATACCTTTGAGCCTTTGTCTAGTAGACTACCGTTGTGCTTGCTAAAATCTTCTACATTAAAATGGTCCTGATAGATAAAAGATCGAATAATGGATTCAAAAGAAAATTGCCATTAGTCTAAGGAAATGCTTGTGAAAGAATATTAGTCGAAGAAAGATGACTGAAAGAGGAGTACTTACTGCAAAAAAGCTCGTATCAAAGGCGATGTAGAAAAAAAGAACAGTCATCAGAGCAAGATAACTTCCCAGAATAATCCCAGTTGCAAAAATTTCGCTCAGTTTCCAGCTGTCGGGCATCGGAGATGGCTTCACTCTGTCTTTTGATATAGTCATAATGGTGCCTAGAGATAACTTTAGCAAATTAGAAAAACTTAAAAATAAAAGAGTGCTTTGGAATATTGTGACAAAAGGCTTCATGTCAGCATAACTTTAATCGATATTCAAGCATGGGTACCAAGTCAGAAGAATGTGAAAACTTACCATCATTAAGAATGGCAATGACAAGAACCATGAATGGTGGAAAGTCGAATTTCCAAAATGAAGTCAATAACAAGAACCCCAGCTGTTAAAGAAGATATAACCAAATCAACACGAGCCGTTTCAGCATTTAAGTTTTGGTATAATAGATTAGGTCTGGAATGATAACTACAAGCAGCAGCTTACCACGATACGTATTGTGATGGAGACGGCGTATATCTGTAGAGAATAGAGAAATAGTTCACAATAGTTCAGATACAAACTGTTTTCGTCTAGGCGGAATAAGTTTTTTCATCTTACAGTGTAATTTTTCATTCTCTGGAAAATGGCACGGCTTGTCAATACAGCACTGATAATGACACTCAGCCCTGGTTCAGTCAGAACGATATCAGAGGCACTCCGGGCGGCATCTGTTGCATCTGCAACAGCAATTCCTATATCAGCAATCTTTAATGCAGGAGCATCATTGACCCCATCACCAGTCATCCCACAAATGTGTTTTCGGGTCTGTAAAATCTTGACAATCTCATACTTATGCTCTGCAATGAATAAAGGAGATTCCATCATTATACAGCACTGAAGAAGGGTTGAAGGTCCATGCCACAATTGAGATCATCACCTGGAAAAACTCCAGCAAAGCCATCTGCTTTCTCAATGAGTTCTTCAACTGGTAGAGCTGCAACTGATGAATCTTTATTATCCCCGAGCAGCGATGAAGAAGGGTACATGTTTGTTCCCATTCCAAGACGCCTCCCAGTTTCCTTTGCAATAGATAATTGGTCACCTGAAAAAAATATACCAGCAAATATTTGTTTATAGAGGAACAGAAATACAAGATAAATGAAATATATTTTAACCGCAAATCACACCTGTAATCATCTTCACACTAACTCCGAGATTTAGAGCTCTTCTGATAGTCTCTGCACTGTCATGACGAGGTGGATCAAAGAGAGGGAGAAGACCAACAAATTCCCAAGGTCCACCTGGACTTTCTTTTGTTCCCTCGGGCACTTCCTGTGGGAAATTTACACTTGCTTCAAAACATGATGACCAAGAAGCATAGTTAAGTAGAATAATATAAATAAGAAACCTGGCGAGCAACTGCAAGTGACCGGAGACCTCTTTCAGCAAATTTATCAATGATCGAATGCACTTTACTAGCAATACCTTCTTTGTTCCAAGACAGGTTTAGAATCTGCATTAATAGAAAGAATTAGAACTCATTTGTAAAATTTCAGGGTTGCATTATTTGATGCTTAAATCACTTGTTAGATTAGTGTGATCTCTTGTGGCATGATAATGGTGCAAGAGCAGAGAGGTCCACTCCAGAAACACAATACTAGTATAATGGATCATGTCCGAAACGTGCGCCAATAAGTGATGTTTTATTCTGTTATTAATATTAATAATGCTCATATATTTCACATTTTCATTGGTTTACTTCATCTGCATACCTGCTCTGGGGCACCTTTGCTCACTCTATGCATTTTACCATTGCTGTCTAGGTAGGTAAGTGCAGTCCTCTTATCAGTTGGGTTGAACGGAAGGAAGTGAACTTCTGTAATTCCAGCTCGCGCCTTTCATCGATTCAAAAATGTTTAGATGAGACAGTAAGAAACTCAGAAAACCAAGGAAATATAACATCAACATATCAAAAGGAACATGTAAAAGAACTATCATTTAAATCAGAGTTTAGGATTATTTAGATATAAGTACCTCTTTAGGATCATCTAACATAGAAACTATTGCACAATCAATCGCATCTTGATTTTCCAACCTAGAGGCTCTTGCTGCCATCAAGACAACCATGTCTCTGTCGACATCTTTTGTGAAAACCTGAATGAACACAAGAAAAGTTCTTAAATCTCATGGAAGATATCGTAAGAAAAGTTTGAGGAAGATTCTGAATGTACTGCTGATACTACCTCAATTATATTTTTATCCACAGTCAGTTTGTTGAGAGTTAGAGTTCCGGTTTTATCACTGCACAAAACGTCCATCCCAGCCATTTCCTCGATTGCTGTCATTCTTTTGGTTATGGCACCCTGAAAACATGGGAAAGTCCATAAGTTGTCTTTACAGTCCTCCATTTAACATGATTTTTTCCTCAAATTTTGCATCAGAAGCTATTTTAATTACCTGCTGGGAGAGGCGGTGAGAGCCAATAGCCATGGTGACAGAAAGAACTGTAGGCATCGCAATGGGGATGCCACCAATTAATAGAACAAGAAGGTTATCTACGGCTTCACGAGAAGTTCTCTTTTGGTGCGCAAATAACACAATGATTTCAATAATCATTCCAGTGGCAATTGAGCAGATACAGAAGTTACCAATGGAAGTCAATACCTGAATTATCAATAAAAAGGAGTATGGTCAATGTCACATCACCTGTTAATGTGTCCTTTAAAGCATGAGTAAAGAATAATCCACGATAAAATGAAGTAAGAGCTTCTGAAAATCAACCTTCTGAAAATGCCCAACATGTGTTGTGTTTTCCACAAGATGAGCTGCCTTTCCAAAGAAAGTATGCACTCCAGTAGCAATAACAACAGCTTCAATTTCACCTTGTTTACAAGTGGACCCTGAATAAACTCCATCACCAGGATTCTTTGTTACTGGGAGTGACTCCCCTGTTAAAGCAGACTGAGAACAGAAGAAAAAATCAGAGACCAATGGCTTTCCTATAAACTCGTATCTATGTGAATAGCCTTGACTCAATGCTGAGATGGTTACTTATACTAGATAAATTCTATCGGCTCCTTTAGTTAAGAATATGAATTCTCTTCAAATATCTTGACAAAAATATGTTCTTCCTTGATTTGAATATTTTTTTGGGTTGTGAACATCAATACATCTCAATGAGTCATACCTGTCATGCCACAATTCGAATTTGAATATGCATGTAGAAAACAGCGGTATATATATGATTCAAGGTTTTCTATTAAGCAATGTGCTTAATGCATTAACCTATGAACCATGGCATAATATTGTTCTGTGTCCTGTTAAAACTTTCCAGGCAGCTTTGGCAATTAGATGTTTCAAACCAAAGTAAACGAGGTAGCCAGTGAAATAATTGAAATATACCTGGTCAATTTTCAATGGATCTCCTTGGAGTAGCCTTGCATCAGCAGGAATTATATCTCCTAGTTTAATGCTAACAATATCTCCAGGAACCAAGACTGATGCATCTTCTTCGTTCCATTTTCCATCACGCAGAACCTGAACATACAAACTCATACAATTACAAATTGGCTTCATAAAGGAGTATGATATTAGAAACTTGATATACTTTCAAGCTTTCTGGAAACCTAACCTTAGCCTTGGGAGCCAGGCGAGCCATGAGAGCTGCAGCAGCATTTCCAGCATTGTTTTCCTCTATAAAACTAATAGTTGAATTGACGAGTAGAAGACCCACAATACCAATAAAATCACTGTAATCAACTCTATTTTTCTGCACAATTTTTTTTTTTCATATCAGCATGAGTAAATGCATAGAACACCAATTGTTATTAGAGTGTACCTTCTGATGGGGAATGGCGATAGCCATGATGGCTGCTGCTTCCATAACCCATGATAGCGGATTCCACATAAATCCAAGAAACTTGAGGATTTTGCTCTCCTGAGAAACAGTAATAGAATCTTAATAATTATTCAGCCACAGATCAAATTAAAATGATATGATTTCTTGTAGACGATAGGATAAGAATTGATGAAGCAAAGAAGAACAAGCCATTAGGTACCTTTTTCTCCTCTAGTTTATTATACCCAAACAGTTCCAATCGTCTCTGAACCTCCACAGAGCTCAACCCCTCCTCTGTACATTTCAAGTTCTCAAAAACTTCTTCTATGGGGATATTCTCCTGCCAAGAAACATTCTACAATTTTACATGGGATTCGCGTGACAGTAATAACCTTCCATTCTATCCAGATAAACCAATTACCCATGATACTATACTTTGGCCCCTATATTATATATAATCACCTTTGCCAGCATTCTCTTCCAACAAATTCAAATCCATCTTTAGCTTGGTAACTTATATGCAATGCGGAGTTGAGTAAGACATCAGTGTCCATATCGTATATCAATTCAAGGGAGTTATCTATCAGGTTTTAATTTGTTCTTATATATCAACCTAATGCATACAGATCAACTGGCATTGAATCTCAGGATGAGCAGTTAAAAAACAACTATAACCCAAACTTCTCAGTAAAATCAGCCAAGGAAAACTTTTACCATTCCCAAACAACCAAAGAAATAAGGAATTACCAAATCAACCGTTTCATTAACAATGCCTTCCAAGTTTACATTAGTTCTATCCGAGTCCATTTCACCTGGATGGATTGTGCTTCCAAGTGAAGACGACTCTGCAATAATCACAAATCAAGCATCTAAGAAAGTACAGAGACTACAACAAGCAATTGTTTCTCTGTTCCCAAAATTAGAGCCCTAAGTATGACGCATAAATTTACCCGACTAGCACTTCAATCTACGGATTGAAATGAACGAATCCACTTCGCTTGAGCTGCTGAAATGATTCCAGCGAACAAACGAACAGGGGATGCAGCAGCATCTGTTGAATACTACATATATACAATTCCGCGCATTGTTTGTATCTTCTTCCATGGCACTTACAAACACAAACAATTGAAATTGCCAGCACTGAGCCTTCGTGGAAGACGAAGATTTGCCCTCTGAAACTCCGCAAAACAAAGCATCACATTGGATATGAGAATTAAGAAAGCACCAAAACGAAGCCGATGACAAACTCAACTGATATCCCTTTTGTTTTCTCCCTAGCTCCCGGGACCACACACTCCAGATCAATCCCCACGGGCCCCACCTTCCACAACGATAATCATAGGCGTGGCCGCGTGGGATTCTTTCAAACTGTCAACTGCAATTCGGAGGGTATAATTGTATTTTCACAAAACTGAATATCGAAAGTGGACAAAACTGTGGATATCCATACAGTACAATGTACTATGCCGTACTGTACCTTATCCATTTCACACTCATATTTCTTTATTTTTTTTTTATTATTATTTATTTCAATTAGGAGTAGAATGTTTGTTCATTTTTTTAATTTTTTTTCAATATATTTTTATTTTATTTTAGTATTTATTTCAATTAGGAGTAGATGATTATTTGTGTTTTTTTTTAACCTATTAATCTTTCTAAAGAAAGATATTATATTTAAAATAAGTAAATATAGCACAGGAATACACGATATATTTTGTTTATATTATTTAACAATACAATTTTAAAATAAATATGATAGTTGTAAGTGTGCTTACATATATATATATATGTTTGAAAAATAAAATATCTATTAGTATTATTTAAAATATTATAAAAAATATCTAATATTATATTCATCAGATGTCTAGGATGTACTTTTTTTTTTTTTAGTTTGATTTTTTTTAGTAGTTGTTTATATGAGATGTTTTATTTTGAAAAACATATGTATTATATAATAAATCATAATTAAATATTTTTATACCTATAACTAAATAAACCCAAACATTTACTTTTGGACAAAAGATCCAATGGGATTTTTAGAATAGGTTATAGACGTCTTAAAATGAAAAGTATTTAGGCATGCAACATTAACAAGTGTTTATTTGGCATTATATAAAAAGTGTATACAATATTTTGAATATAAAATAAAATTTTACTCCCTCCGTTTCATATACCGTGTCTGCTACACTGTAGATACTGTATTTTAGGAGGGATGTAATTAGTAGATAATTAAAAATTTATTAGTAAAATAATTATCCTACAATATAAATAATTATAAATTAAGATTAAGATAACTAATTAGTTTAATTAAAATTAAAAAAAATAAAATTTAAAATTTTAAAATGAGATTAAAGTGTGTAATCATTTTCCAAAGAAGAAAGTGACGTGGTATGTGGGACGGACAGAAACGGCAACGTGGACATGGTATGTGGGACGGAACGAGTAATATAATAAAAAATAAAAATAAATATATAATTTAATATTTTTTAAAGTTATAATACTATTTTCCTCCAATAAATTTAGTCCAATTTTTTTTATATTTTTATAAAAAATTGAGATTAGATTTTTCAAAGTAAGCACTTCTCCGTTCCACATAATTTGTCTATATTTCTTATTTTAGTTCGTTTTACAAATATGATTATACACTTTAATCACATTTTAAATTTTAAATTTTTTAATCTTAATTAAAATATTTAGTTATCTTAATTTTAATCTATAATTATTTTTACTATACAATAACTATTTTTACTAATATATTTTGTAATTATTTACTAATTATATTTTATCTAAATTTATGTATCTACATTAATATGTTCATATTAATGTGATGTAGAGAGTAATAAATAGTAAAATATTACAAAAAATTACATTTAGTTATCTTAATCATAATTTATAATTATTTTTACTATACAATAACTATTTTTACTAATATATTTTTTAATTACTTACTAATTATATTTTACCTAACTGCTTATCTACATTAATATGTTCGTATTAATGTGAGAGGGGGATTAATAAATAGTAAAATATTACAAAAAATCACGACAATAACACAGCCTGTCTGTAAGGGATTCTTTACATAACTCTGATATCATCGAGCAACAATAATAAGGATAATATGCACTTTGCCTCTTCCATATAAAATTTTAAGACCAAAGTAACAAACACATCCTTGTCGGATCACGCATTTTGTCATTTTGTGTCTTCTTTAAGTTTGTTTTCTTTTATGGTTTTGGAGGTTTGTTTCTCGTACCATCATAGTTCTTGTTCGAATACTGCCAACTCTACGGATTCCTGCCGCGACGGTCGTGGGAATATTGTCAAGTTGTGTTTCCACGTTGTTTTGATTCTATATAATATTTCATTTATCTCGATTTAAACTATCATTTTTATTACAAAAATATTATATTACATGTACAATTAATTTATATTTAAATTTAAAAATAAAAATATCAAAATTATTTTATATACTCCCACTAATCAATAATAATTTATGATTATCATCAAATTTATAATTATTTGCATCAATATTATTGATATATGAACATTACATAGAGTTTTGGAGCCTACCGAAAAAAGTATTATAAGCCTTTTCGTCTCATTAGTTATTTTGTCTGTTTTAATGTGGTATTTTTTCCTTAAAAAAAAAATGTGTATAAATTACCGACTATATATTTAGGTGTGTTTTTGTTTTGTGTTTTGTGTTTTGAATTAAAATTTTATTAAAATATTAAATATAATATTATGATTAAAAATATATAGTGTAATACATAAAATTTAGTATTTTTAATAAACATATGTTTGTAAATTATATATTTCAAAAATACAGAAATGCAAAAACAAACAAAAACACCCTCTCAAAACATTCATGTTGGGTTTCACCATTCGTATCTTTAAAAAATAATAGGAAAAAAAAATCAAAGAGAAATTATTAATTATTTTTTTCATTCAAATTATTATTACATATTTTTGTATTTGTTATATCATATACATCATGTTTTTCATAATCCTTTTAGAACATATTCTTTTTTGTCCATCAAAATTATACCATTTTTTTTAATTTTTTGATTGTTTATTAAACTTATGTATAGTACGGGTGCGTTTGTTTGGGGGATTGAATTTTAAATACACTGTTTATCCCATTTTTTTCTCCCTAAAAATATCAAATCAAACATCTATTTTTCATTTTTTATATTATACTAAAAATCAATTTTATATTCAAAACATGACATCAACACCTATTTATATCACATCGTACAACTATTCAAATTCAAAAATTTTAATATTCAAATCCCAACTCAAAATCAAAATTCCCAAACAAACACACCCAACTATTTCAACAAATAATAAATATTTTACATTTTTTAAAAGAATTTCCTCAATAATATCTTTATCCACTCTTTTTGTAAATTTTTTTTTGTATTTGTTTGTTTGGAATGATGAGCATTTAATATTTGAGACCAAAAAAAAAAAATTAAATTAAATAAAAGAAAATTAAAAACAATGAAGTATGTGTTCCTTTATAACCTTTTTTGTTCCAATTTACTTATTAATAAATTTGTACGCTATTCTTTTACGTTAGTGTATATATATATTATGGGTTTGTGTATTTTTTGATAGATATATATATATATATTTTTTTATGTTAAATAAAAAACATAATACTTTTATAAAATTAAAGATTTTTTGTGAATGAGTAGGTTAATTTGTATATACTGTAATTTTTAATTAATATTAATGAAAAAACGTTCTACCTAAAAAAATATTGAGGGAACATATCATATTTTTTTCTCTTACATTTACAATAATTTTATGAACTGTATAGAAGAATACAATAAAAAAATGAATGTATAAGATGACGAACATATAAATAATAAAAAAGAAAAATGAACTCGTAACGTAATATTCAGTATCTATCTAATGTATTTATTTATTTTTTTACTTCAAAATAATAACAAAAACATGACTAAACATATCCTAAAATTTCAATTTCAAATTAAATTCAGAGGAGTAATTAACGGTAAGTGCACACAGGAGGACGACGTCCATTCCGCCTCCGTCAGCCGCCGGTTTTCCACGCCCTCCTCCTCTCTCCGCCGCTTGCCTCCGCCGCCGGCAGCCCTCTCCGCCTCCATCTGAATCTCCAGCGGGAAATTCAAAATCGCCTTGCTCCCCCGCATATTAAAGGCCGCTCTATCATACGCCTTCGCCGCCCCCACCGCCGTGTCAAACGTCCCCAACCACAATCGCGACCCGCGGCGCGTGGGGTCACGAATCTCCGCCGCGTACTTCCCCCACGGCCGCCTCCTCACCCCCCTGTAGCGCCGCCCCTCGCCGCCGAACTCAATCCACTCACACTTCTCCGCCGTGGCCGGAGCTCCGACTGGCAGCGACCCCGACGCCGGCAGACTTCTCCCGTCACCGGAAAACACCGAATCGCACGTCGAAAGTCGCGAATTCGCCGAATCGGAATCGGAATCGGAGATCGAAGCCGACGAATTCACGCTGCTGCAGGTGACTCCGCAATTGCACGTGACTCCGCCATTGGTGAGCACAGAAGGGGGAAAATCGCCCAACAGATGAACCCTAATTCGTTCAATAGCCGACATTTCATCTGCCGTCGCCATTTTTACAACAATTTCGGATTGAATCGAAGAACTTTTCTCGTTTTTTGGTTTTTCGAATGTCGAAGTGGAAAACGTCGAGTATTTATACGGACAGCAAATGACTGGAGACGCTTCCCAGGTTCTTTCCACACTTGGTCAAAGTCAAACCGCTGACTAAAACGCCGAGCCGGTCTTTGAATCGATCTCGACCGTCGGATGGGACGACTTACTCCTCCCAACGCCGCATCGACGGTTGAAACGTTAATCACGTGGATAAGAAAAGTTTTATGGATTATGAGTTGAAAATTAAAAATGGGAGATTCTTGATCAACAATAATTGAGTTCGTGTCGCTATCGAATAGGAAATTGAATGAGAATTTTAGTGTGTTTGGATGTAGAATTGGAAGGTCAACTCCACTGTTTATATATATATTTATTTAATAAAAACATTAAATTAAATATATATTTTTATATTAAATTACATTTCAAGTTTTAATTTCATGTGTAATGAATGAGTATGTTTAGTTTGAAGCTCCTTTTTCACTGTGTAAGAAATGGTAAGGGGTTTTGTGTATGGACATGGTCGAGGATTTCAATGAAGTTTGTCTAATAAAACGCTTGAAATCAAATTTTAAAATGGGATTAGTTTAATGAAATATATATGTATATTAAATTATAATTTATTTTTTATTTTATTTGGTGTCGATTTGACTTGCTCCTAAATTTCTACTAGGGCCTGTAATTGCAACTACCGTATTAAATGCCTTACTACATTAAGCCATACGTATATATGCATGACTTAGTCCCTTAAAATAATTTAGGATCTGTTTGGATATGTTTTGCACATTCGAAAATGTTTGACCACAATATGTAATTATATAAAGTAGGACGTTTGATATGATTTATTTAAATAAATTAAATACGAAAGGAAATGATGATATGGTTGTAATGAATTGAAAATTTGTATTGCTTAAATTAAAGTAAATTAAATACGAAAAAAAAATAATACACAATATATTATCAATGTGAGAACAAACTCGAGAAATCTTTCAACACACCCTTGTATTTTAAAATATTATCAATTTCACCCCAATATAATACAGAGAGGCGTGCCTTGATTTCTGGTGTGCAAATTTTTACTTAACTTGTAATTTAATTTACAATTATTAAGTTATATTTCACAGTAATATAATTATCCTAAATGCAGATATGAAATATTGCTTTGAATGTGGAGACGAGAAGGACAATTAATGTGGGCATAAAATCCATACCCTCAAGAATTAATAAGGAAAATAAAATTAACTCTCATTTCCCCAAAATACAATGCAAACAAGAGAAATTAAAAAGAAAAAAAAACTATATATATATATATATACACAAATGTAATAGAATTAATTACATTAATATACATAGTCTATGGCTGCTCATTTTGTTACAATTAGTTTTATTGCAATTTGTAGTTTTGTAATATTAGTACAAAGTGCAAATGATAATCGTTTTCAAACATACTACACTCCTCTATGGGGATTTGATCATCTCACGGTCAATCCCCAAGGAACTGAAGTGGAACTTAAGTTCGATCAATCCTCAGGTCGATCATTATTTTATTTAGAAAACATCAAAATATACAAAGCTCTATATATTTAATTAATTATTACATATGTATGTATATGTATAAAGGCTGTGGATTTAGGTCAAAATTGGATTACAGTTCGGGCAAGTTTCATATACAGATGAAGGTTCCAGAGAAGAAATCAGGCGGCATTGTTCCGAACTTCTATGTAAAATTTTGTAATAATAATGTCGTGTATTATTATTTCATATGACTATGATTATAGCTATAGCGTTGTTTGATCTTTATATATGTGGATCAATCAGCTGTATTCAGTGCCAGGGTATGGGCAAAACCCCGGAAGTCATTTTGAGATCGACTTTGAGTTCCTCGGATCCAACGGCACTCTACAAACCAATGTTTACAATGATGACATGGGCCATCGGGAACAAAGATTTCGCCTATGGTTTGATCCATCCCAAGATTTTCATAGTTACGATTTTCTCTGGAATTCTCACCAGATAGTGTAAGGATATTTCATTACTTCCTCCGTCCCAAAATAGTTGTCTTTGTTTTTTCATTTTTGTCCGTCCCAAAACAATTGTTCTGTTTCCTTATTTAGTAACCGTGATTTCCACTTTATAACAAAATTATTCATACTTTTATCCCTAATTATTACTCTAACCTACTTTTTAAAATCCTTCAAAATAAGGGCATTCTAGTCTTTTACATTCTAATTTATACCCACGTCTCTTTTGGGACAGAGGGAATATTATTTTTTCTACTAAAATTTATATTTACTTTACTTTTTGAATTTGTCATAAAAAATATTATTAAGATCTTTTTAGTTTCAAATTACACTTCTTTCATCCTATCTTGGATAATATCAATTTTTTTTAGAAGATATATGTTAAATTTATACATAGTCTATTTATAATAAAAAGAATTTATCTACTCACATTTTTTGTATTCATATTTTAACAAATAAATAATTAATTTGTCGTTATTTATCTGTTTACTTCACTATTTTTTATAAAAAATATAATAAATATTCACAATACTTCATTTTAATTTTTTATCTATTCAACTTATATATTAAAATACTATTATTAAATAATTTTTCTGTTCAATAAATGTTGTGTAAATATTTCAAACAAGAGAGTGTATTATTTTACTTTTTAATTATATAAAGATAAAATAATAATAATTATTATTCACTCTCGTTAAAATACAGGTCCAAATATTTGAACATAAATTTTGACTGACAAAAAAAGTAATTAAATCATATTTTTTAAATTCTAATAGTAAATTTATATTTAATTTAAATCTTTAATTCAATAAAAATAAATATGCAATCCTAAGATGTAATAACTACACACATATATATATATATATATATGTATTCAGATTCTACGTGGACAATATTCCGATACGAGTATTCAAGAACATGATGGATAAAGGGATACCGTATCCGGACAAGCCGTTACACGTAGAGGCCACCATATGGAATGCAAATTGGGCAGGGGAGGTGGACTGGGGCAAGGCCCCTTATGTGACCCGATATCGAGATTTCGGGTTCGACGCCTGCCCGGTGACCGGCGACTGCGGTTCGAAGGAGTACTTTTGGAACCAGGAGAAGTATTGGGACCTCAGCCCTGCCGAGAAACGCCTAATGAAGGAGTATCGATCTAAGTACATGGTCTATGACTATTGCACTAAAACGCAGGGGAATAAGGAATGCTCCCTGTAATCTTGACCGTACACGTGTCGTGACTTGATTGGATTTGCGATACTCGGCTGAATAATAATAATGATTTGCCTGTCGAAATAATATGTGACCGTTGTGGGATGTTGAAGAAGTATGTATTTTTCTAGGTTTATGGTCCATAAGTAGATAATGTGTGTGGAAAAATTATATATACTCTTTTGTTATTTAAATTTATTATTATTATTGTTATGTTGTATAGTTATCTAAATTTATTTTTATTTTTCTTAATAAAAAAATATTCTTTCTGTCCGATCAAAAAATATACAGATTTTTATTTTGAGTTGTTGTAACCATTTTATTAAATTTTCAATTTTTTTTATAAATAATTATATTTTATATCACATTATTACTTTAAAAAAAAATAAATGACAAAAATATCATTATACTAGTACTATAATCCACTACAATTAAGATACTGTTATCTATTAAATTCCGTACAAAAATATTTGTTTACTTTGTAGCCGAACGAAGATATTACAATTTTTTTTTTCTTTTTTTTTTTGCCCTAAAAAGTAAAAAAAATAAATTTACTTTTTCTTTTAATTTAATATCCGTGTCCGATCAAATAAACACACAATTTAATAATAGAGTGAGTATATAATATATTTTATCATGAAAGATGCACAACATTTGGTAATTGAACCATCGCAATAGCATCATCAATTAAGAGTGCATTCTTTCTTCTTGGTCGAGTCTTGAGCGCAATAATCGTAAGTCATATACTTAGATCTGTACTGGTTCATGTTTTGTTTTTGGGCGGGATTTAGTTCTAAGTAGTTTGGTTTGTTCCAAAAGTATTTGCTGTTGTTGCAGTTGGAAAGATCGGAGCATGCGCCTAAACCAAAGTTAGTGTAATAGGCAAAATAAGGGACTTTGCTCCAATCAATTTGGCCCGCCCAATCGGCATTCCACACGCTTGCTTCGATGTGCATCGGCCTGTCTGGATATGCGACTGATAATTCTTCAACTCTCTTATCGGAATATTATCCACCAAGAACCTATGATAATTCGAAATAAATAACTAAATTAATACGTCATATACATACACTTTCTTTACATATATATGCTTTCAATTTTGTATTTACAATATCCATCAATGTAACAATTTTCTTTGTAAATGAATATAATACTCATTTTCTCCATCAAATATATATATATATTTGATATAAAGTAAATATATCTTGAAAAGTATATGAATAAGCTAATGAAATAAAATAAACTTTTTAATAAATTAAGTGATTAAATAATTTGTAGTATATTTGTATTACCAAAGTATAAATTAAGAGCGTGTAAGATTTTTTAGAATAAAACAAAATTATATCTTTATAGACAAATAATATATATGTAAATAAATTTGATGAATAAATAGAATATAAAATAAATATTTTTTTTAAAAAAAAATTATATTAAGAATCCATTTTATATTAAAAATACATCAAATTAAATTTATATTTTTATAGAATTAAATACTAATTTTTTCATTTATGATGATCACAGGAACCCAAAATAAAAAAAAAAAACTTACAAAACATATTTAAACTGCAACTAATATATATATATGATGGTTTGCTGATTTAACTCTGATCAACATATATTTATACATATTTGATCATATATTGTGTCATAAGATATTATATGTTGAATTATAATATAAAATATTATTATTATAAATATGCTGAGATATAAATATACATTAATCCAGTCAAATCATCACCATACTGATTTGTTTGTATTAAGAGTTGATCCATGCCCTAAAATATATGATATGATGAAGTAATGAGTTGAGTGGGTAAATGAATTCTTACACAATGTGTCGATAATTCCAGAGGATTTCGTAGGTGTGAAAATCCTGGGAGGGGTCGAACCAAAAGCTTGAAGGTGTGTTATCTGCCACCGTTGTCGTTGTTGTAGATGTTGGTTTGGATAGACCCGTTTGTGCCCAGAAACTCGAAATCAACCTCGAAGTGATGCTGCGCATCGCCATACCCCGACGTTGAGGTCAACTGCAATATAATATATATATATACACATATACATATCCATGCAACTTCAATTACAAAAATTAAAGTCAACGTTAACATCGGACGTACAAACTCACTCACTCTCTACATATAATTAACAATAATTATAATTATATATTTATATATATTACAAAGAAATTGGTGTTGAGTCCTCCCGTTTTCTTCTCCGATATCTTCAGCAGTACGTGGAACAGTCCGGATCCATAATCCGAGTTTGACCTAAATCCAGCACCTGAAAATAAAATAAAAAATAAAAGTAAAAATATTTAATAATAATATAAGTAATTTAATTTAAGGATTAATATAATAGGCTTTGTTTTTTCAATAATTTTATCTTATACGTTTTTTAAAAATATTAATATTCTATACAAATTCAATATTTTTATATTTCATATACAATTATGATAAAAAAAAGTTAATTTTCAATAATCTCATAAAACAAAGTACCCAAAATCTGGTTTTAGCTCTAACTTAAGAAAAAAAATTGAATTTGAAATTTTGATTTTGAAATTAATTTAAATAGAATTTTGATTTAATATTTTATAAAATAAATAAATTATTTTAATTTTAAAAAAAATTTGTATAGAGTAAACAGAAGAGATTTGGGTTTAAATTAAAAAAATAAATAAAACAAAAATATTCGGATATTTCAAAACTCAAAAAAACATCTGGCTATTAAAAAGGGAACGGATAAATAAATATAAATACCTGAGGTGTTGTCGAACTTGAGTTCCCTGGGGATTAAGAGAGAGGTGGTCCCCACCCAATTGAGGGACGTAGTATTTCTGAAAACGGTTGTTTACTGTTGTTCCTGCGCTCCTCGCCCTTGTTATTACCACCGTATAAATTAGTAGAATAATAAAAGCTGTAATAATAAAATCATTGGAAGCCATGGATATATATATATATATATACACGACCATATAATAATAATAATAATAATAATAATAATAATATTAGTATAAAGCCGATGGAGAGACACTGAAGAGTTGACTGTATATATATTATGTGTTGACTATTTGGGCAATCTTGTTATTATGCCAGACTCTAATATTTGACTCTGTATTTTTTTAAAAAAAGATATTTTATTATACATTATTTTTAATATTAAATTTATTTATTTTTTCAAATCTATGAAAAGAAAGATACCGTAAATGTAATGTATCTGCCTGCTGGTTGGTATAGATTTATTACATGATATAGTGGATAATTACTCTGATTGTAGTTACGTCCTAAATCTGGCGTAATTGATGTTGTTATTTTGTGGTTATAATTAAGAAGCATTAAATCTAAATGCATTTCATTTGTTCAAAGTTATCCAAAAGTGGACGAAAAAAAAGAAAAGATATAGAAGGAAAATTCATGTTTCCATATATTTCCATCTAGAATTGTACACAATTTCTTTTAATAATAATAATTAGTTAATTCATTCTTTCAACTAAATTTAGTGATTTTCTAATTTTGTTGTCTAAGTAGATCAATTGGGCCTAACAAACCTTTTTATTTATGGCATTACCCACAAATAAATAATTTAGGGCTTATTACATCTATGGGCTTAATAATCAATTGGCCCAATTAACATATTTATGTTATGACCTGTGTTGGCCCATGGGCTTAAATGTCGATGATATTATATTACACGCGCATTATAATAAACAGTACAAAAAGAAAAAGAGAGTCATTTTATTACAGTCATATGTTATCGTAGTGTGAACTTGACTCTAAACTCCGTATGCGTATTTGTATGTGTGTGTATAAATAATATATGTAAATAAATATTTGGCAGTCAAGAATTTGTGGCAGTGGCACCAATTTGCATATATATATATATTATATTTTACTGTATATAATTTTAATTGTTTTACTTTTACAGTTTTATATGTTTAATTTAAAGACATATGCATGTATTTTGGTTGTATTCATGGAAATTACCGTGCACCTGCTTCTGATTTTTATTAAATATGAAAGTATCACTTTTTAAATAAAAAATATCATTCAAATAAATTCTCATATGAAAATTTTGATCCAACTTTTACTTATTTATCATTTCAGAATATTTGCAGGTTTATTTTAAACGTAATATCCAATATATAATTTATATTTAAATTATTTACTTCATAAGTTATTTATTGAAATGATAGCTTGCACGACAAAGTCAACAGGTCAAACAGATTGACCAATCCTGGCTCAGTTTACTCTTCAAACATATTCTTTGAGTTGTCCTGTCCTATAATATCTTATCTTGTAAGAATATTTTGATTTTATCCCTTGTGAACTTGCCCGTATCTTTTTCATAGTTTTTCTTTTTGCATGTATTTTTGTTAAATACGGATACAATTGTGGATTGTTCTACTTTATGGGGTAAAGAGTCACTCCACCTAATATTAATTGATTTTAGATTAAAATTTTGAATTTTTTTTTTAACATAATATATACAGCTATAGTGTCCGTATTGGATATTGATTTTGTATTAATTTTTGAAAGTAATCTTATAGATAAAGATAATTAATGCGTTTGTTTAGTTATAAAAAGCGATGGACACCAATAATATTTAGAGAAAACTTATAAATTAACAGTTCTTTTTATTTCATTTGATTTTCTTTTTTAATATACAATTCTCATCATGTTTAATAAAAATATATATTATTTCCTATAAAGTATAACATAAAAATATTATTTAAATTATCAAAATTCAAATAAATAAAAAAACTAAAATTCAAACCAAATATGATTGTCACAATACTAGGAATATATATTAAATATGGTTGCCAAAACACTGAATATGATTAAACAAGTTGTTATATAACAAATAAATAGACAATATATAGTCCCGTAAGAGATGGTCTGATGGTCTAGGGGTTGTATTTGTGACAGTAAGAAATGGTCTGTCACATATGGTTCGCCTAGTGTGTCTTTCCCGTCGGGCCTGGTTTGCAGTGTATATAATTCTATTAATTAATCATACAACTCTTCAATTTTGAAAAATATAATAAGGTTGATATAAGTTCTAAAGTAAAATCTTCAAAAAAAAAAAAAATTGTTTTATTTTCATAATATCATTTAATATTAATAAATATTTGATTATTTTTATACATAAACGTGCATGGGTGTTGATAAACGTAATATGCATATAATCACTTTGAATATCAATATGGCATTTAAGACAATATAATTTAATCATTATTAACCAACTATGCATTATAATAAATAAAATATGCACGTTCAAACTGTCTCTCTTCATTGAACGAATGACAATTTGACAAGCAGGCTTTTTATTATTATTATTATTATTATTATTATTATTATTATTATTATTATTAATATATTATTTGGTATACAGTTTTGGGGCGCATATGGACAAATAATTGATGGCTTTCTATATGCTACATCATTTTCAGAAAACATTCAATTATATAAGCATCATTTCCGAACGTACCCAATTGAGTTACTGCATTATAAAATTAGTCTTAATCAAAAATAGATATATATATATATATATCGTGTTTAAGATTACCTTGTATGGACGAATTATAAGAAAAATAGTTATATGGCTATTTATGTCAATCAGATCAGGGCCGTTTCGAACTTTTTTAGGACCTGAGCAAAAATAAATTATAAGTCCTAAACATATGATTAAAATATATTTTTAAAATAATATCACTAATTGTCATCTATTGGACAATAAATTTTAGGGTGACAGTATGTGCGTTGGTAGATTTGAAAAAAAAAATGAAAGATAATTGTTCGAAAAGTGAAAAGGACTGAGTGAGGGGAAAGAGATAGAAGAGAGAAGGTGAGCGAGTTTGGTCTGGTTGGTAGAGGCGGTGAGACCGGTTAGAAAGAAGAGAGAAAATATATATATAATTAGAATTTTTAAATTTATTTTTATAATTACAAAGAAAAAAAATATAAACTGTTAGTTAAAATTTAATAATAATAATAATAATAGATAATATTTTAAAATTTGGCCCTCTATATAATTAGATAACATTACTTCTGCTAAGAGCAGCCCGGATCAAATTATTTTTTCTCTTAAAATTAAGTTAATTCCCAAAAACTTAGTTTTGTTTATTTTTTTTATTTAAGTTTATTTTTTAAAAAGAAATTGAGCTAAATAATATTTTGATATAATATTTTATAATAAAAAAAATTAAATAGTATCATTTTTGGAAGAATGAATAGGTAATGTTTTAATAAGAACGGAAGTACTACTCTGGACAAGGTTTAAATTAGGATAAGTGAATAGAGTGTGAGTGTTTTCATCACGTGCTTAATTAATAGTAAGAAATTGAATATTATAATTTATTATTTATTGTTTATTTCTTTTTTACTTTTACGAAGGTGTATGGAAACTCCCCATGCAACCAATTTGTTCCCATCAATTTTGAATTTCCGATTGCCCATCGCCATGCTTTTGCCAAATCCAATGAATCTTCTTACTTATCTTCTTAATTCAACTATGTATATAAATTATCTGTGTGTTTGTGTAAAATTAAGGATCAATTCGATCTGAACACCTGCACGCTTACTAGCTTGTTCTGATCAATTTGATTAATTTTACCTCTGATCAATTAATTCAGATTGACGAACCCTAGTTTCGATTTGGGAATTAATATTAAGAATGATGATGTACGAGAACGATGATTACAACTGTGATTTGGAACTTCTCGAAACCATCAGAAGGCATTTATTGCACGACGAAATGCAGACCCATTTGATTTTCTCCAACGATGACGCCGCCGCCGGAATTTCGTCGATTTTTCAGGAATTTCCCGGCGGGGATCTACCAGCGCCGGTGAACGACGGCGGCCTGGGAGACATGTTCCTCTACGGCGTCTTCGGCGGCGCCGCCAATGCGGGGATGCTGCCGCCGGTGGCGGCGGTGGTCAAGCCGGAGCCGGCGGAAGTGGTCTCATTTGGAGCGCCGAGGATTCTGAACTTCGAAGCGGCGGCGATGGTGCAGGAGAGGGTGGCGCCGCCGCCGCAGGCGAGCAGGGGAAGGCATTTTAGAGGGGTGAGGCAGCGGCCGTGGGGGAAGTTCGCGGCCGAGATCCGGGACCCCGCGAAAAATGGGGCCCGCGTGTGGCTGGGAACGTACGAAACGGCGGAGGACGCGGCGCTGGCGTACGACAGGGCGGCGTTCAGGATGCGCGGGTCCCGGGCGTTGCTGAATTTCCCGCTGAGGATAAACTCCGGTGAGCCGGCGCCGGTGAGGATTACCTCGAAGAGGTCCGGCGCGGCGGGGCTTGATCGGTCGGTGGTTCTGAGGCGGCGGAAGACGGCGGCGCAGAGTGGGGCCCAATTTCAAAATATTGGATTTGATCAGAGTGTACTTTGATTAATTAAATAAATCGTGCTGCTTGATTTTTTTTCTTTTTTCTTCTTTGAAAGCGCCATCGGAATTGTAATTGTCAATTGATTGTTTCCGTTTATTGAATAAAATTTGATTAATTGACTCAGATTTGGCCAAGGTTATAATAAGTTTAATTCTGATGCATTATTCATTAACATTATATTAAATTTTATTATTTAAAATTTTCAATTTTTAGGTTAACATTTGGGACATATATATATATACATACATATTGAGTGTAGACTATAGTAGTGATAAATTTTATATCAACATAGGGGTGGTAGTTTGCATAAACTAAAGAATCAAAGGTGGATGGTTGGGGTGCAAACCCAAGTTCTACGAAATTGTGAAGAAAATTATACACTTTATAAGTACCTTATAAGTTCCAAATAGTACGAAAACTTTTGGAGAATATCCAAAAATAAATTCGTTAGGGCTCAGCTCAAAATGGAGTGCCAACATGGGTTATATATTTTCAATGATTAAATCAAAATGAGATTTGTCTAGTTACATAAAATCAAATGTAATTTTAAATATTATTTTAAATAGAATATATTTTTCCCCATTCAAAATATTTAGGTTATATAACATGGACAAAGTAATGTCCCGTTTGGATATATTGACATTCAATGAATTAAAATATTACATTCCAAAAAAAAAAAACGGTTTTATTCTTTTACAAGTTTTCTAATTATATATTTTTTTATTTTCTAATAAAAATATATTATTTACTTTATAAAATCAAAATATTTTTATAGTATTATTTAGATATAAAATCATAAAAAATACGAATATATATTCAATATTTTTATAAGATATGAATAGAATAAATAGTAAATAAAAATAAAAAAAATTATATTTTCAATTCAAAAGAATGGAGTATTAAAATATACTTTTGCATCTCGGAAGAAATTTCAAAACCAAAAATTAATTCTCAAATTTGCATATATATTCAAAAAATACTAATGAGCACTTGAGGAGCAAGCAAAAGCAGCAAAATATTACCACACCCGTTCAAAAATCGCTGTTGATGTAGGACGGAGAGATCTGACCGTTGATGCAACATAAGGGAGATCAGATCATCAATGGACCGTCGGATTACAATCTGACGGTGGAGAACGCTGCAGAGCTCTCGAGGGACACGTGTCTCGGCGGAAGACTTCCGTGTCATTTAGAACCTGAACTCGCATAGAAAATCCAACACGTGACACGCCCATCACGTGACACGGCCTCCGCCATGCACACTACTCTCCCGCTATAAACACAGTATATTCTTCCCAACAACATTACCGCAACACCAATTAACAAATCGCCGATCGCCGATTAAATAACCGCTCTCAAATCAAATCAATGGCTCACATTCAATCGCGGTACGAGCAGCAACAGATGCAGCAGCACAAGCCGCAGCTATCGCACCAGGTCGCCAAGACCACCACCGCCGTAACCCTAGGCGGATCTCTCATGGTCCTCTCCGGCCTGACGCTCGCCGCTACCGTAATCGGCCTGGTGCTGGTGACTCCGCTGCTGGTGATATTCAGCCCCGTTCTGGTCCCCGCCGCCATCACGTTGTTCCTGATTCTGGCCGGATTCGTGACTTCCGGCGGATTCGGGGCGACGGCAAGCTTCGTGTTCTACTGGATGTACAGGTACGCGACGGGGAAGCACCCGATCGGTGCGGACCAGCTGGACCGGGCGCGGGAGAAGATTGCGCACGCAGCGCACGATGTGAAGGAGAAGGCGGAGCAATTCGGGCAGCAGCATACCAAGGGAAATCAAGGAACTTAAGAGAGGAAAATCAATAAAAAAAAAATTCAATTTCAACTTTTGAATGAAATAAATTGATCGTTCGTTCGATCGATTTGTATGTGGCTTTGTGATTTGTGTGAAGTATTGTTCCTTTTTCTGTAGTCTGTCTATTTGTTGTATGTCAGTCCTGGTTGGATCATATCATATCCATGTCTAAGTTGTATCATCGTCGCCTATGATTTTCTCTCGGAGATCTTTCTCATTTCATTCACTCTACCTTTGCTACGTTCTTACTAACGAGTTGCACAACAAGTCTTTTTTTTGGTTAATGCTCACAGTCTATTCACTGGCAAAATGACTTTAAATTGGATTAGTGTTGAAATGAGCCAGCAGCAGTTTATGTAATGTGGGGGCCTAAACCCATTGGTATAAATTTATTTATTAATTTTTATTTGGCCTCTATTGAGTTGTTTTTCATCGCTTGATTAGAGTGACACTAATTCTGAAAGTGCAAATAGAAAGGCTGCCTGATCAAGAAACATGACAGAAGGTATGAAAGCAGTAGCTCAGCTCCTAGTAACACTACAAACATAGCCGGTGTTTATGTATCTCAAGTGAAAGGAAAAAGGAGCTCCAGTGCACACATGGGCCGGGCCTATGGGCTCAGCTCAAGCTTTCTTGGATATGGCGATCACGTTGAAGTTGATTGAATCAGGGTTTTTCTCGATCATCTTCTTTATCACTTTAGCAGCGTCCTGAGAGAGAGACAATAAATAATTAATTAAATAAATGAAATATTATTTAGGACACATTGTTACCCTTAACGGATGCAAGCAAGGAAGGAGAAACAGAATGTGTTAAAAGACAATTTAAAACCGATGGAGCCCTTCACCCTTATATAATCAGGGAAATTTCAACATTACATGGGACATTAACACTCTTCCTTGATTATTTCGAAAATTCATACAAAATCTAAATTCATGCTCTGATACTATGTTAAGACGGAATTCAGGTTCTAACATAAAACAGCTCTAATACTATGTTAAAGACGGAATTCAGGTTCTAACATAAAGAACCTAAAACCAATTAATTATAAGTGGCGTAGCCCTTCTTCACTCCTTATAAGTCAGGGAAATCCCAACATTACATGATGAGACGCAAGCGGAACTGTGAATGAATTAAGCAGGCAAGAAAGGAGAAACCAAATGGTGAAGCAAGCTCATAGTAAGTGTTGCGAGAGGCTTCGCAATGATGAGGTAAGCAATACCTAAGATTCGATGCCGATGGCCGCTACAAACCATCCACCAACATTATTCAATTTCCAACTACATACATGCATAACCCCACACCGTTTCCTCTCTCTCTCTCCCTCTCTCTCTTTACACCCACCACCACATTTAATCAATATATCAAAATAACATATATATATATATATATATACACGTTTCTTTATTGTGAGTTTCTTATGTATATTTCTAGAAACTTAATTTCACATAGATCTCCAAGTCATAGAGGATGTCATGTAGATAGAATGTTAAGAAGCATTCATTACCTTCAATATAGTGCTTGAAGAAGAAGGACCGTGCGAAACCGGTCCCCCCTTCCTTCCATCAAGTTCGTACAGTTGTCCTGCAAACGCCATGTCGGGGGCATACATACATTTACACTTTATACGCCAAAAACAGGGAAATTTATTGTTTTATTTTAAGTGGGCCACATGTTAAGAAGCAAGACTTCTTAGGGGTTCGTTGGTAAAGAGGGGGGGTGAAAGAGACTCACCATTCACACTTGCAAAACAAATGAAGTGGGTATTCACATCTTCTGATGCCTGAAAAACATTGATAAGGATCCAAAACGATGAGTTTTGTCAAGGGAAACATATACTACCACACTTAATATATGTAGACTGCTCAGATTAGGACAAGTTCTATTTAGTATAGTGGAGCATAATGCAATCGTCTCCTACAGTTACATTTAACTAGAAACTCTACCAGCAATTGATAAACTACGAGAGAAAGGCAAGCATCTCAAAAACGATGACTTTAAAGTGATTAAACCATATAGAGATCCAAAAAATGTGAAAATTATATAAGTTCCATATCTCAGAGGTGAGTAAATCCTTTAGTGAGTAATGAAAATCATAGTTCCCTAACAAACATCAACCAATCATGTGAGATACAAAAATACTGTACTAAATTCAGCTATCCGAGGAAAATAAGAAAACCTGGAAGCTCCATATCGATAAGAGTATGAAACTAAAAGCCTTTTAAGCCTCATGAAAACAGAATATATCATTTTGACCAGTTTATTCTCTAAGACTCTTGCTGGTAACATTTCTTTGATGTATTACAAGCATGGGAGTATGATTCAAGAAAACTAAAGATCTATACTTTGGACCACCAGGGGAGTATATATGAGCAAATTATAGAGAAAAATCAGGTGTTTGTATGAAGAAGAAAGTAACCTAATATGTGAATGCCAGCTGATCACAAATTTCCTCTTTAAAAATTGCTCATCTAATTGCCACCAATAACAAAAAACCACCATCTATTCACCACCCTCATTTCTACCCAACTTTCTTATTATGAAAGTGTATGAACACCTAAATTCATAATATAATCAACCAAACATAGCATGACCTGTAATACCAACCTGAACTTCAGTGATTTCAGTGTGAAAATACGAATGTCATATGCATCTAAACTTCTTTTTTGTTTTTTTAGGAATCGATTTTACCAATCAAGTATTGCACATCAAATGAATCAAAGAAGAAAGAAATCGAAAAATAAATGCATAATATAATATGAAACTGCTCCTAAATTTAACTTGTATGGAAGCAAACTGACCTGAGTATCCCCAGCTGTTGCAGCTACAGAATGAGCAACTTCCATCTCCCTATCATTTTCAAGAAATTTAGCCCGCTGCAGAATAATTTCAAAACAATCAGGCAATAAAATTCATATTAACCAATATTCATTATAATTTTAAAAACCAAGAAAACAAAAAGCAACACCATACCTCTAATGGATTCATGTTTGCAGTGGATTTGAAGAAATTGTTGAGATAAGACCCCTCCTCTAGAGAATAATACAGTTCAAAGATTTGTTAATGACATACTCAGAATTATACATTTCATGCAAACACAAGCATGAAAGATAAAACAACCACGGTTTTTCTAGAGTGATTGAGCAATGAGCATGTAGATATATTGCATCTCAAGAGGCATAAAAAATTACTCGTATTTCTATCATTTGTTGTTCAAGTGTCAAGCAATCATCACCAATGCTCAAACAACTAAAGAGACTTAAGAAAACAACAGCCCATTGGAGACCATCAGCATAGGATCCTTGGCTGAATTAATCACCAGGATTAGCCAAAACTATAAGATGTGTTGATAGATAGCAACTTCCTAAAGCATTCAAAATGCAAATAGGGCCTTCATTATAACGATGCCCTCAAATGCAGGGTCGGATCTGTTGGCGTGTCTAAAATCTATCACCACCAACAGCCAAATAAAGGCTCATAGTAGTCTATTATGACCAGATTTGAATTCTAGGCTGAACTAGAACTAAGAAGTCAGGAGGAGCTCACCGAGTTTTATCTCAGAAGTGATATTTCCTACAGCATGAAGGAGCCCAATGGTTCCACAGGCATTTCCAACTGTTTGCTTCATAAAATAAACTCCATTGCTAGGATCCTCCTGTAGGCACAGACATAAGTTAGAGCAAGCTCAACAAGATTCATTGTATGGTGTAAATACACAAGAAAATGGAGCCACAGTAACAACTAATATGATCCAATTCACAACACACATCGTCTTACTTTATGACAAACTATCTGGAACACCAAAAGCAAAATTTCCCACAACCACCAAACCCTAAATTATTCAGTAAATAGGGTGTGAATACACACTTAACATAAACATCACTTGAATGAACAAAGTTATATCACATCGAATGCACTACCACAAATAACGTGCAGTTTTGAATCTATAACAGCATCAACAAAACATGCATAGATTCACCAGTGGCTATATGCTGAACTTCTGCATCACTAGAAAAATAGAAGCAACTAACAGGCACACTAGCACGACAACATGACAGAGCACCTTTTTACGCATTAGAAGTGTGCAGTGCATTTAATCAATCTGATGAAGTTACCCAACAATGATACAGTTTGTGCTATATCGTGTTTATGACTCAAAACATTAATTGAAATGGAAAATGAGGATTAAAGATTTACAATTCCAATGAAGAAGCAAATTGAACTCCTAAGCACACAATGGAAAACCACAACAGAACTCTGAATCCTGATAGCATTTTAAAATAAAAATAACTGTCAACAAATTATGGATAGAATGATATCATAGTACTGACCTTTATTGCACTATCCTGTTGAATCCTCTCTTGTTCGCTCTGTAAAGGCAAAGATTATCATATAAATTAACACATAAGGAACTTCAAAACACCATACAAGCTGCAAATTACTGTGAACAGTGATAATCAGAAGCATATGCAGAAACCAAAATAACTAGGCAAAACTTCCGCATACACCTCACCTTTTCCGTCAGTGGATAGAGAAACAGCACCGCCAATACAGGCTTGGGAACCATCTCCAGAAGCTCCTCATCAAGTCCATAAACATCAAAGCACTCTGCCTCTCCAGGCGTAACACCAAGTCCCCAAAGAAACTGCCCGTCACAAGTTAACACTATAAGTTCATAAACAAACTACTCACAGTCCAACGCCATGCTTGCTATAAGTTTCTGTTTTACAGTTCTTTATCTGTTAACTGTCTTCTCTCTTCTCTTATGGAAATCGAAGTGCGATTGTACAAATAGAAACGCAGTTCTCATTTATTTTACAGCAAAAACATATCGAATTGAAATCGAAACTTCCAGACTATGATCTCAAACAATAAGAGCATAACGACGAAGAATTCGGTCCCAAAATGTGAATCTATTCCCCAAAATGAATATCGGAAATGAATGTAAACGGAAGCGCAAATAAAGAAACCTGATTCATGACATCGGGGTTAGCTTCAAGTGGAAGCCATCGCTTGCTGGAAGAACCGTCCGCCATTTCTTCTCTGCTACATTTTTTTGGTAGGTTTCGGCCTATTTATAGAATGTTTTTTAATTTTGTAAAAATATATTTTGTCTATGGAGATTGAGATAAACTCCCTCCGTTCCCAAACGCAACATTGTTTTCGGCATCTCAAAAGATTACGCAATATTTTTAAAATAAAAAATAATTAATTATATTTCACTTTTATTTTACATTTTATTCAATAGCAGCGTTTAAATAAAATTATGTTTTTTTTTTATTCTATTATCGAATTTTTAAATTATTTCATATAATATATTATTCATTTAAAATTTTATGTTTAAAATCAAATATTGCACTATGGAGTTTTTTTTTTTTTTTTTTTTTTTTTTTTTTTTTTTTTTATGGCAGGTGACCTAACGCATTGGCTGTGTGAATCCCTACCCGTCATCCCTTATGGGACAAGAAATGAAGTATATTTTATGGGATTGGATTATGCTGATTTGTGTAAAAAATAATTATGTTACTTATTTTATTTATAATATAATTAATCTAATTATATATATAAATATTAGCCCTAATTAACATGGGTGTTGATTTAAAAGAAAATATAAATTTGCCCCTAATCCCCTTTTATACTCCCTAAGATCTACATAATTTTCTTATGTAAAAAATAAAATAAAAATAAATAAAGTGTAAGAACGATAGATTGGTGGTGTAAAGATAGAGGACCTTGAGATGATGGGTTTAAATCTCGACCCTAATATTATATTGAAGATAGTATAAAGTAGATAGTAAAATGACCAAATGTCTTTTTAGACAAGTATCAATAATTTTAAAGTGATATATTTATTTTTTAAAATACAATTATTATTTTGAGAACGATGAAAATGAAAAAATAAAATTATTATTATAAGCTAAGAGAGTATATTACTTTTTAAGTGTAAACTATCACACAATTAAACATAAACCAAAATACCAAATATAATATTGTATTTTTTGTCTTTATGTATAATTTAAGGTAAATATTTTTATATAGGACGGCAGTTAAAGTATTTGCTAACACTGCGCATACTGTTTATTTTAGCCTATTATGATATACTCCAATACAATATAGTTTCTAAGGTTTACTTTAGCCTATTATAATATATTCCTATACAATATAGGGTGTGTTTGTTTGGAGGATTGGATTAATTTATACTATTCATTCAATTTTTTTTCCCAAAAAATATCAAATTAAACACCTATTTTTCATTTTTTATATTATACTAAAAATCAATTTTACATTCAAAATATCACGTCAACACCTATTTATATCATATCATACAACTATTCAAATTCAAAATTTTTACTATTCAAAACTCAAAATCCAAATCCCCAAACAAACACACCCATAGTTTACAAGTATAAACAAATGCTATATGTTTTTATAAACAGTGAAATAGAAATATGTGCAATGTTTATATTATTAAATTTAAATCCCGATACAATCTTTCAATGTTTTTACAGAATCCACATGAACTTAAAAATTGTTCATCATATTCGAATTCAATATTCTTACATAAACTAGGTCTAGATTTAAATTCAAACCAATGTATATAACTAGTGGGTGTGCTTACTTGTAGAATTTGATTTTTCAATTTTTTTTTCTTCAAAACATCAAATCATACATCTAATTTTTATTTATTATATTACACTAAAATTAATTTTTTCATTCAAAATATAACATCAATATATATTTATATCACATCAAACAACTATTTTAATTACTATTCAAAATCAAATTCTTATGAGTAAATACACCCACTGCTATTTGTACAAATCCAATAATTAAATCTATTCAATAAATAATTTTAATTTACATAAAAAATGGTCCTATTAACAACAAATTTATGTAAATACACATGAGAAAATTGTAAAAAATATCCCACCTCATGTATACATCATTATAACTTTTGTCACGAATTTATCTCACTCGCAAAATATATCTTACAAGTTTGCAAAAGTCGCTATTTATGTCATTTAGCCGGTGGTGACGTTTACACCACGCGCAATCACGCACAACCAAAGAATATAAATAGCAACTTTTGCAAATATGTAGGACATATTTTGTCAGTGAGATAAATACGGGACAAAAGTAATAATAATGTATACATGTGAGATACTTTTTACAATTTTTCCTAATACACATATGAAACGGATATGATGGAACACAATAGGAAGGAAGACATATATAAGAGGAACATGGTGGACACGATAGGGAGGAGAAAACAGATCCCATGCATATATACCCACATTCATGTATACATACAATCTGTTCAAAAGAGATCCAAACTTCATTCTTATAAGCCAAGATAGTTCTCACATATTTTCAATATGTGACATATTCAACCATCTCCCTCGAGATGATAATCTCGAAAATCCATATAGGATCAATGTCCAAATATGGACGTCATGGCTATTAAGAAGGGATCCGAACTTTCAACCTAAAATCAATTGATATTAGATAGAATAGTCCTTCAACCTTATAAACGAAAAGAGTTCCCACATATTTTTCAATGTGGGACATATTCAACACAATCAACAGAAGAATAAGAAAGAAAGCTGCTAAGTTGGTGTTAGGAATTACAAACATAGTAGCATACAAACAAACAAACAAACAAGTTAACATCCGAAAAAACTCCTGCAGTTATCAATTTTTAGGAAATGATAGCGGTAATGCTTACTGTGATGGCATAATAGGTTTGTGCAGCCTCACAGAATCATGGAACATCACTGTACTGTGCGCCCTGATTTGATCCTCAATCACATTCGTCATGTCTGTCCTCGCCCTCGTCCTCATCTTCGCCTTGTCTGAATACAAAAACCCATGTCCTGATATCCAGTTCTTACTCTTCTCAGGCACTGATGGGATCACCAGATTCTTCACCCTCATGTCGCACAGCCCCTACCAATACCCATCTCAATTCAATTTCAATACAAATACATACATTATACTTACAAACATTTGTGTGTGTATATTAAAAAGTATATGTATTGCTCACCGATTGAATCGCAGCCATTAGCTTTGCACACATTCCTCTGCATCTGTAATCCTCATGTGTTGCTATGAAAGGCATCTCTGCAAGGCTCCTTCCATGAACCCTGCAAATTATTACACAAAACACACGTTGAGACATTCGTTTTCATTCCCATCATCAAAATGTGTGTAGTGTGTTGTACCTCAAGGATGCCACACAAATTATCTCATCATCCTTCTCTAGAACAGCACTGTAAAAGCCTCCATAGCTAACCCGTCGAAAATTCGATCTGTGCACCAAATTAAGTTATACATTTATATATATATATATACATATATACATATGCAAAGCATACTTAAATGATATGTGTTAAGTAATTAGGATGTGGTCTCAAAGACAAAGTGTCATCTCACCTGCAATTGTAGACAACACTTGGAATGATTTTTACCCTTGTGTGCCGATCTTTAATGGGCTCAAAACACGCTTCCATGAGCCGTCGTGCAACCACAAGCTTGGAGTTGCACATTGTCCTCCAGTAGTTATAGTCTTCATTTTCACCAATGTAGATGTTGAACTCCTCATCATCATCTATTCGGTGAAGAAGAGTCCATGAATAGCCTTCTCCCAAATCCATTTGTTTCCCAAGCATGGATTTTGTTAGCTTATCAAACACCTTTAAGACCATGAATTTCATTTATTTAACACCAATACCAAATTTGATAATCAAAAGGGTATGTAAATAGACATATATATATATATATATCCAACCTACTAAGAAGGGATCCGGGCTTCCAACCTAAAACTAATTGATGCAAGGTGGAGTGCCCTTCACCCTTATAAACCAAGAAAGATCCCATTTTTTTCCAATGTGGGATATATTGAACACTCCCCTTCGAGATGATAATCTCGAAAATCCATACCAGATCAAATACCCAATACAGACACCATGATTCTGATACCATGTTAAGAAGGGATCCGAACTTCCAACCTAAATCTAATTGGTGATAGGTGGAGTGATCCTTCGCCCCTATAAGCTAAGGGAATTCCCACATCATATCAACACAACCAATACCAAATTTGATGATCAAAAGTGTCTATACATAGACATATATATATATCCATCCATACCTCTTTGCAGCTTTGGTCACAAAATGGAGGAACAGGGATGCTATTGAGATCCATCCTTTGTTCTATCATTCTATGGCATTCCCAATGATCTAAAGAGGAAAGAAATTCGAACCCGGTTTAAAAAAGGAAAAACTTCAATGGAAAATATAAATGAAAGCATGTAAGAAGATGAAGAGCAGAGCATACATCTTTTATCACACTGAGGGCAAATGATCAAGAAATCATTTTCATGGGATGGTTTTAAGCAAAACTTGCACACACAATATGGGCAGTACCAAGAATCTTCCGGGACATTCTGAACAAAGAAAAAGATCAGGTATTGTCGAGCAATCTCTCCTTAATTTTCACAAAAGAAAGGACAACACTTGTCATATAATAAAGCTATGTTCTTACCTCCATCCCCAAGCACACCTGATGATAAGTTGAACTGCATTTTTCACAGCACATTAAGTTTCCTCCGTCGGCACAAACCATACAAGCATCATCATAAATGTCTCCTCTTGCCTCGACTGCATTAAACCTATGGCTCTCAGATTCTCCTGGCTCATTCCACGCTTCAGCCATGTAAGACAGCAAAGGGACATTAGTGTCTGAAATGAAGATGTTCTTGTATGGTTTCTTGCAGCTCCTCCCACCGTGAAGATGAAAGTTTGGAACACTGAAAATTTTATTGCAGCAGAAGCATAAAATGCCGTCTATCTTTAGGATCCCTCTGTTCTTCATCTGCCCAGTTGTCTCATCCATTGAATACACCTCTGCATTTTCTTGAACTGTGCCGGTGTCCACAAGCCACGCGAGAATGGTCGCCCTCACAGCCATTTTCTCAAAATCTTTGCTCTTTCGACTTCGCTGCCTCGTGACAGAAAACTTAAACTTCTGATCACAATCTCCATGCCCTAACAAGGAAGTGCGGCTGCTTCTGCACGCAGAAGAGTGTTTCTGCTGGGAGCGGTGGCCACTGACATCCGGCATCTTCGATTTTTTCTTCGCGGCGGATCCATCTCTTGCGGAAGCGCTATCCTCGACAGAAGGTCTCGATGTGCTGGATTTCACCGATCTCTCAGTTTGCGAACCTTCCCTGTTCTTCGACGCACAAATTCGTCGCCCTTCCGTCGTACAAACCATTTGGCGATATCTGATGAAATCCTCAGGCTAGATCTGAATGTTCCCTCTTGTCTGAACCATACACACCAGGTCTGATTCTTAGAGAGTAAAGAGTTGGAACTTGCCCTAAGCGCCAGAGCAGAGGAGGAGTAATGCTGCCTGATTTCTTTCTGTTCTGCCCTTGATTCTCCTCATAACTCTTATTTATTCTCCTGTGTTAATTTAGAATGGCAATTAAATTGGGCAAAAACTTGGATGGGATTACCAACCACTTGCCATAAAGATTTTGACTAATTATTACAGCTGTTGTTGCCAAATATTTGTGTTTGCTTATATATTCCAGGTGAAAATGAAACAGTATTTACAATCCAAATTTTAAATCAAGATGCACTGCAAAATTATTACAAGAAATCACACAAGGCAAATGGACCCAAGTCATCCTATTTTGAAGTCAATCCAATCTTCTTTGAAAAGTGAGCAATGTGTGTGTATATTCAACAAAAACTTGAATCTCAAGAACTTCATTCCATTGCAGTATTGCATCCCATGGATCAGCATATGTACAAATTCAGATATAAAACGTATACATTCCACTCTCAAAGAATTACGAGAAAATGAGCAACATCGACCGATACTTCTCATTCATGTCTAAGCCAAAACTGTTCGGGAAACATAAACATTCTTCTACTGAGGCGCAGAGTTAGTTACAGAAATTGGTAACAAAGTAATGTATCAGAAAAGAAAACACAGGGAATATTATACACTAGAGCTTCTCAATATACGACCATCTTCATCAAAAGAGACAAGAAGCAAAGACAAGGCTTACTCATCTCCCATGGCCAATTCCAATGCATAGTCGTCTCTTTCCTGCAACATCAATTAGAGAAGCATCACTCAATGGTTTTGATCCTGGTCAATTGAACCTTAACCTGATCCTCCTTTAGTTTCTTTTTTGTGTACTATGTTTTCAATTTTGAATGCGAGTAGAATGTAAGAGACATGACTTACAACAGGTCCTCGAGCAAAATATCTTCCAAACTGCAGCCAGTACACCTGTATATGTTTAAACAGATGATATTTATCAATATTAATAGCGCAAGGGATTAATTCCAGCCTATCCAAGTCCCACACAAAAAGTAAAATAAAATATTTGTATAGACATAATTACATAGTTAGATGTTACAGGGAGCAAAATGATTAATTTCTCCTGATACTCATGTGTTTGAACCTTCAATTTAGTTTAGTAAAATGGAGATTTGTTAAAAGCGTGTCATGGTAACAAAACTAATAGAATTCAGATGGAAGGTGCAGCCAAATTCTAATACCTCATCCTCATCTTGTGTCTCAACCTCCAAGTCGGATGATGGGAAGCCCACACAAAGAAGTGCATACCCCTACATTTCAGGAGTGAATGTGTGTTACATTTTACAAAATTTCAGAATTATATATTATTAATAATGAAACCACCGGCCATTTTATAGGCGCAATACAAACCAATAGACTCAAAAAATATCTAAAATAATAGAAACTTAATCGAAATTATAAACCAGATATCTAAAATATTTTACATTACCCCTCAAACTCAAGTATTGCATAAATGACTTGAGCTTGCCAAGAAAGATCGAACAGAATGTAGTCAAGATTGTCCATTGAGTCATAGTTAGAAGCAAGGCTCTCAAGCAATGGAATTATAGTTGAAAACATGGCTCTCGATGACATTAAAACCAAAGAGAAGCTTCTCAACTCAATTAGAATCAGATGGGATCTCAACACTCAAAAGCGGAGCTCTCGACAGAGTTAGAAATCAAGCTCTTAACGTGATTAAAGTAAAAAATTGGGCTCTCAAAACGCATTTAAAGTTAGAAGCAAAATTCTCAACGCCGTTAGAATCGAAAACAGGACTCTCAACATAGTTAGGACAGATGATTGAAAGCCAATCATAAACTTCATTAACAACGAAAAACAAACTTAACAGACAATAGAATCTCAAAATAGGGAAAAGTCCGGGTAACATAGCTTTGATACCATGTTATATTTTGCGGGATCTCAGAATTATATGTGTTAAGAAGAGATCCGGGCTTCCAATCTAAAACCAAGGGATCCGGGCTTCCAATTTAAAACCAATTGGTTTTAGGTTGGAAGCCCGGATCCCTTCTTAACATGGTATCAGAGCCATAGTGCCCGTATTGGGTTTGGATCCTATATGAATTTTCGAAATTATCATCTCAAGGGGGGAGAGTTGAATATTGTCTCACATTGCTAAATGTGTGGAAACTCCCCTAATATATAAGGGTGAAAGGCCACTCCACCTATCACCAATTGGTTTTAGGTTGGATGCCCGGATCCCTTCTTAACAATATGTTATTAATAATAAAATCACTAGCCTATTTATAGGTGTGATACAAACCGGATGGACTAAAATAATAACAAACTAATCTAAAATATTTAAGCCAAGATAGTAAAGCACCGCCAACTCATGTCAGCATCCCGTGCTCATGCTCTTGCAACTTTAAGAAAGAAAAAAAAGGGTGTAATCACTTTGTATTTTTTGGTGTAATTATTTTTTAGGTTAGGTATATGGATGCATATCGATAATATAAAAAAATTATATTTTGTGTTGAATTATTGATTTTTGTGAGTGAATATAGTACATATCATATAAATTATGCGTATTTATAATGTTTTTTTTTAATTTAATCGGAAAACATATCAAATATTTTTGTTGGGTGAACACACACGACTGTGTTCTTTTGTTTAACCAAAAAATATTACACCTGAGGATGGATAAATTTACCGAAAAATTTGGTATACCGACTTAACATACCGAAAAATACCAAATTTATCGAAATTTTTGGCATACCGAATTTTTTGGTACGGTATTAATTTCAGAAAGTTTCGGTATTTCAATATTTATACCTTACCGAAGTTTTTTAATTAAATAATTTTAAAATATATGTAATGGTTTAAAATTTTAACTATTGTATTTTATCTTATCAACAAAATCTAAGTATCTAATGCAGCCTAACCCCAATATCCCAATTCCCAATTCCCAATTCCAAATTCAATCCCGCCATTACTAGACCCACTCCTTTTGCATCATTTCCTTTGCACCCATTCTCATCCCGATTTCTCGCCGTCATCTATCCAACTGCAATCTTACTCTCGCCTTCCCCCGCCATCGAATTCTCGCAAGCGACAACAATCTTGCTCTCCCAACGCTCCAATCATTTCTCGGAGGTTGTAGGCTTCTCCTACATTCTCGTTGTCTCTCTTGCAAGCACGTTTTCTCCTTCCTCCGATGTCCACCACCGTTGACGGCAAGAATGCTACAAGTTGAAATAATCCCTCCCACGACCAAGGTTTGAGCGTAATTTTTTTTTCAATCACTCTTTTTGATGATTTGTGTTTCTTATTATTTTGTTTCTTGTATTGTATTTTTGTCATTTCTATTTCTATTTCTATTTCTTTGTATTATATTCTAGACCTGTGAGCTATTCCTTTCATTTCTTTGTAATAGTGAATTTTTCAAATTGATATATTTATTGAGGATGAGGATGCCAAAGACAAAAATATGAACACAATAAAATTGCTAAACGCAACTTTCAAGTAAATATGCACCAGTGCAACAACTCGGTGGCCTCTGTCATCTATTATAGCCATAACTAGATTGTACAAAACCAAGAACATATGCTTCCTGGTATGCTTTGGTGCCTTTCAAGTCCTTATTTGCACTAGCATATGTGGCTTGTTCGCTTTCAGATAACTGCGACTCTGTAATGTATTTCTAGGCTATCAAATTTTAGATTTTTAACATGGATGAAAAATTGTAATTCCAATTCCAGTATGTTGTGGTGCTCTTGGATTACAATATATATATATAAATATATATATATATATATAAATTAGATGCAGTAATTTAGCTTAATGTATTTCTAGGCTGTCAAAATTCAGATTTTTAACATGAATGAAAAACTGTAATTGCAGTATGTTATGCTTATGAGTATTTTGCTAGTTTTAGTTTTAATTAGTTGCAATACTAGTTACTTTTATTGCTCTTTTAGAATGGAGATTGAAAATCTTCAAGTTCATTGCCAATTCCAACTAGTGAGACACTGGATGAGTATTCCATTCATAAGCAAGGAAGAAAAGATAAAGTCTCATGTAGCTCCTAAACAAAGAAGTCAATATTAGTTGCATTGTGAAAGAGTTCAAACATCAAGTAATAGCAGCAAGCAATCAATCGAGCCGTGCAATTATTGTAAAGCTGAGATTCCTATTACTTGTGGAAATACAAGTGGACTCAAAAATCATTCGGTGAAAATGTGTAAATTAAATCAGCTATATGGAAGAGCTGTAAAAGAAGAAAGAGTCTATGGTAATAGGGCAAGGAAGTTTATTAATTTCAAACTCTTTGATACATATAAGGGTGTGTATTAAACCTTTTTCTTTTTCTTATTGCAAATAATATCATTTTTTTAATATTGAGAGTTTTTACTGTAAATAGTAACCTATTTTTTATTGTTGCAAAAAAAGTGTGTTTTGAAAGGGTTTATGAATTTTGTGCATGAATTACTCAGACTCCTTAGTTGACGAAAGGTTGCAGGTATGGTTTATTAATATATTCTTAAAGGAGAAAGCTGGAATGAAACTTTCAATCAATGATTAAAGAATGAGCATCACAATTATACTTGGACATCCATTCATAATATAAATTATATTGTGATCACAGCTCACTTTATAGATAGAGAATGGAAATTGCATAAGAGACTAATTAGTTTCACAAAATTACTTGTCATTATGGGGAAGAAATTGGTAGAATAGTTGAAGTTTGCTTGAAAGAGTGGGGGATAGAAAAAGTTTTTTCAGTAGTAGTTGACAATGCATCTTCTAATGACAGATTATGTTGATGTTTGAACGAAAATATTGCATTTGAGGTGTTCTTGTCATATTCTTAACTGATGGTTTGAAAGAACTTAAATGCATCGATATTAAGTCCATCAGGAGTGTAGTTAATTTTATTCATTCATCGCCTTCAAGATTGAATAAATTTAGAGAATTTAAAGTTCTAGCTAAGTTTGCTAGTACATCAACACATTAAAGTATCGGAGGGTGTTTGAGAGGATGGTTAAAGAATAGGTGCCTTTCATTTTTCTAAAAATAGTGAAAAATGTAAAGAAATGGCAGGGCCACCGAATGGGGAGGATTATGAGAATGCGAAGGCCTTTATACACTTTTAGAAGAAGTTCTAAAATGCTACTTTAGAACTAAGTGCATCAAAAACTCTCATTTGTCAATTCTATCAATCATTGATTGCACTCCAGATTGAAATTGAAAAAATGTGCAATGATCTTTCTGATCCAACCCTTAGAAAGGTTGCAAGTGCAATGAAACTAAAATTTGATACGTATTGGGGGAGTTGGGTTACATGAATCATTTGACTTTCATTGCCAATGTTTTGGACCCATAAACAACCTTTAAATAATCAAAGCGAGCATCAAAATATTGAGAGGGTCTTTTGAAAAGATCCCAGAAGTGGTTGATAAAAAAACATTTTGGTGATTTTGTCGACACAGTACAAGGGAATGAATGAAACCTTAAGTGTGGGAAGACATAATACGGGATAGAGTTTAGTGGAGATAGCTTTAGCGGCGGTGGTGGTGGTCTTTGTGATGAATTATTTGAATGTGTGAATGCACAAAATAAAAAAGATCATCTTGAAGAGATCTCGAATGAAGTGGATAAAAGCAGATGATATTGAGAAACGTCTAATCCATCTTTCAATCTTTTAGAGTGATGGAAGGGAAATGAAACTAAGATCTTATTCTTTCTATGGTTGAAAAAGATATTTTTTCAATTCCAAGTTCAACGGTGGCTAGCGAGTCCGCTTTTAGTTTGGAAAACAAGTTGTGGATCCTTTTAGAAGTAATTTAATTTCTAAAATGGTATAAGCATTGGTATGCACTAGTGATTCATTGAAGGCTACTGAGATGAACTTCTATAAGGATATCTAAAATTTTACAAAGAAATTGAAGAAATCGAAATGTGTAAGAGATTTAATTACTATTATTACTATTATTATTATTTTTAAGTAGTTTTAATTTTATATTATTTATATTTCTAAAATGTATTAATAAATTTTTATATCTTTTCATAGATGCAAAAGATATTAAGATTATTCTCTACTCAGATCCCAACTACAGAAAAATTATCTCTAATAAACTGATAAGTCTTGTAAGTTTATGTATTAAGCTTATTAAAATGTTTTAATATGAGGTGGTGAAAAACTTTAGCATTGTTGATAGATGTGATCGTGTGGACGGCGACCATGATAGAAAAAAAGTAGCAAGGTTTTGGATCAATTGCGACAACCAGAACCGGAATGGTATATGGAATGGAGTGGGTGCTAATTCTGTTTTAAGACAAAATGTGTAGTTGGTGAATGTTTTTGTGTGGCTTAAACTAATTCTGACTTTAATGATTATCTTTGTATGCTTGTTAATTGTGTTTTACGATACAGTGTTGTGTGCTGCCGTTTTAGAGAATGTGTGTTGTTGTCTGCTGTAAATTAATTTTTCTTTTAGAGAATGTGTGTTGCTGATGCTGAATTGTGTGTATGCTATGCTATTTTGATAATTATCCTTGTATGATATTTATATCATTGTATGTCATCTAACAATTCTTATATATCGTTACCATATCGAAATTCTGATTTCAGTACGGTACCAATATGTTTTTTAACATACCGATCGATTCAGTACAGTATACGACATAATTGAATATATTCGATACAGTATACCATCCCTAATTACACCAATGATTCTTTTGTTGTATGGCTTACTTGTGTTATTTCTATTGTTGGTTGTTCATATGGTATGATCTTTTCTAGTGAATGTTTAACCAAAGAATATTACACCAATGATTCAAAATGTCTATTTGTTTTCACTTTTCATAAAGAAAGATATTACAATAAGATAGTAGAAACATAATCTAAATTATAAACCAAAGATCAAAAATATCTTAAAAGTGTGCAATGTGTTCTCTGTCAACAGTACAAAACCCAAGAAGAATTGTGTGGTAACTTACAAGCCCTGTAATAACTTACATTTAGAAAAGAGACATACTGAAATCAACCTTTGTTGCACAAGAGGTTTAGGTTATTACCCATGTATATGTATTTCGTTCTCTTGTCTGAGGTTTTGAATTTATTGATAGAAATGATCTAGCATTCACTTGGATCGCATATAAAATCAAGGTCATCTGGATTCTAGGAGCCAGATAACAGCATAATAGATGATTAAAAATTAAACAAAATACAAAAGGTTGATTGGAGAGCCTATCTTAGAAACTAAAACATATATGAAACACACTAAAATCAGTCGTAAAAACAGATACACTGACAAGTGATGTGCATTAAACAAAGGACTGAACTGAGTGTTAGGAGATATGACCATGATCAATTCAATCATTGTGTTTACCATCCACAGAAAAGAGGAAAAATTTCTTTATGCCTGATGACCTGACCAACATTACTAAACCAGTAATCACTCAAGCTATCGGCCTCAGGTAGTTCTTTTTAGATAATGGAATATACATGTCAAGAAACAAGTTTAGGCATGAATTTGAAGCAAAGTTTTCACACAAACACAGACATGGGCATTGCCAAAAAGTTCACAGTTGTTCAAGGAATTAGTATATAACATGCAAATAATCATGTCTATAGCTCAATAATCAATCTAACAGGACTGCTAAGGAATGGACTACCAAACAGATAAGCATTAAAACTCTAGCAAGAAGAGAGAAGAATGGGGAGCATAAGCTATGAAAATACCTTATCTTTCAGTTCAGCAGATATCCCTAATGCTTCAGGCTGCCTCAATTGCCCAGACTTGACACGGACAGCGCAACTGGTGCAACAACCTACATTATAGAGAGTTACCAGACCCCTCACATCATCCACACACTATCATCAACGCATTTTGCTAAAAGTAGGAAAGAATAGAATAATACCATGCCTACAAGCAAAGGGTAGCCTTATATCCTGATCTTCTGCAGTGTGCAATATATATTGGTCCTACATGTGTTATAATTTTATCAGCCATAAATCCACAACTAAGAAATAAAGTAATGTATAAAATGTCTAATTGAAGCTGATATATTACCTCAGGGACGAAAAATTCATGCACAACGCCACGCTGTCGGTCGTGCACTGTGACTTTGTGGGTGGGAACTGACGGAGACTGGCTATCTCTGTTGGCTGCAACAGAGGTCTGGAGCTCTGACTTCAATTTCTGGCGTTTCAATGGAATGCATGTTTTGCTTTTGGTAAATAACTGCTTTGACGGTGCAGGTCTGTGGCTAACCGTAATGCAGACATTACATGGAGCTCGAAGGTCCATGACTTGTTTCTGATTCTCTGTTCTTCACAATGTAGACAGGACAGAATAGATTATATTTTTTTTTATAGGGAGTAAAAATCGTTAAATTCTAAAGATACGCATGATCCAGAGGGAAAAACTTATCATCGCTGAGAACTAATTATTCTGTGATATTAGTATTTTGCAATTCACAAATTTTGATTACGACCAGGATATCAACGGAGCCTTAGGAAAAATTAATAAATCCGTCATACAGAAACACCACAGCAGTATTCAAAAGTATTACCATTGAATCAGCTAGAGAAGAAAGAAAATGCAGCTATCACCTCGAGATAACGACGGTTTCCCAGCGTATGACAGCGAAGGCTATGTCGGAAGTGGTAGGACTTCTCAACCGCTCTAAAGAAAGTGCATAAGTGCTAGATGTACCCGAGCGTCCGTATTGCGGCAGACCGGAGAGCACGGCGCGACGGCGACGGTGGCTGAATTTCAGCGCTGGAGATAAATGGATATGGAGCAGGGAGAGTGGTGGGGGTTAGTTACAATTGCCTCTAAACTCTAGCCGTGAGATCTACTCAGATCCGACGGCCCTGGGAGCATCACGACGCCACTTGATAGCCCGCGAAATACTAAATGGGCCGAATCCAAGCCTAATAAACACATTCCGTTAGTTTTCATTAAATTGGGCCGTTCAAAAGTAGATAACCGTCCAAATTAATAAATAATACTCCAAATCTATTTTTATTTTCTTCTTTATGTTTTGTTGCTATCTAAATTTATTGTCATTTTTTTTATAAAAATTACCATTTTTTAAACTTTTTTTATCAAAAGAGTAAATTTTTTTTTTTTTATTTATTTTTTAAAAAAATTATGTCCGATCAAAATGAGCATACAATCGAACGATCAAGAGAATAAATATTTTTTAAATATCAATCATTATAATAATAATAAAATAATAACAAATCCAGCTGTTTTTGTTAGAAATTAAGGTGGGAAGTATAGGACATGACAATTGAAACATAAAAATCATTGAATTTCCAGGAAACTACGAATAAGACAAACATATCCACAGACGTAGCCAAGTTGGAATAAGTGAAGAAGAATAATATCTGAATTCAACAATGCCGACGTGTCTTATCACAGGGGCATTCGGTGTGTATGTCGCGTTTTATGTAATATCCACGTCACTCAACCAACGTATTGTTTTTTAGCCTCAGGTTAGTTAGATACGAGTTATACAAATTTTATTTTTAAAAAATGATTAAAGATTATATTATTTTTATTCCACTCCTTTCTATTTTACTTGTTCGAGTTTTTATAAATACAAAAATTTAGAAATATTATAATTAATAAATAATTAAGGGTTTGTTTTGTTTTATGTTTTTGGTTTAAAGACAAATTTTTTTTTCTATGTAAAATATAAAAAATTATGTTGGTAATATAAAAATAATAATTGTAATACAGTATATTATTAATGATACGGTCATATATAATTGTTGACGCTTTATTCCAATTTTTTTTATGGTGCGTGTATTTTTTTAAAAAAATAAATAAATTTAATATTACCTTCGTCCACGTCAATCTATCTATTTGTATTTGGCGTTGTTGTTTTTATCATTAAAAATATCCTTATATTTGTATAATTTTTTGTACACATATCATTACAGTAGTATTATAAGACACCAATAGAAGTATTTTTGTCGTTTTTCCTTGATTTGTACTATGTTTTGATATAATAATTAATATTAAAAGATTAACATACAAAAAATAAATTGATAGATTGGCGATTGACGAAGGTAATACTATATTTTACAAGCGAAAAAAAAAAATATATTCTTATTGATAATATAAAATTAATCAGCCAAAGAAATATATATTCAAGGGATCACACGATGAAACAGCTCAGCTAAAAAATTGTGTTGAAAATTGGAAGCACAGCACACTCCTAGAATTTATTATAATAGGACATTTACTTATGCTTTCGTCCTCGTACGTACAACGACTTTGGAGGATTTGACTTTCTCAGTTGGTTCCCATTATAACAACCTTTGAACAAAAAACTGTTAACAAAAGGGGCATCACATTGTCCACCGACATTAATAGTGTGTTTAGTTGTGTGTTAAGGTTAAGTTTGGCTGCACATTTAAAGAATAATGGTATAATGTTGCTTTTTTATAAAAATATATTAAGATTTTCATACAAAATATTAGATTCAATAATCATTTTATCAAAAATAAAAATTAAAATCGCAATTAAAAATATTATATATATATATATTTAGTATGCTTTGAAATTTATTTAAAATTGAATATTGAGTTAAAAAAAAATTATTTGAATAGAATTTTGATATAATACTTTATTAAAAAAATAATATATTTTTATTGATAACGATGCATAATAAATATTTATAATTTAGATTTCAAAAGCACAACCAAACACAATGGTTATGTATAGACTATTTTGCTTAAATTAATGTACTGTCATTAGTGTAAACAATTGTAAACTCAAGGTAATGTGAAATTAGTTCATACTTTTTTTTTATTTAAAAAAAAAAAAAAAAAAAAAAAAAAAAAAAAAACTAAACTGAACATGATAAAATTGATAATTTTAATGCAAATAGAAGGAGCAGAAAATAAACAAACATGTTAACTTTTTTTGTTTTTTGTTTGTTTTTTTGCAATTATTGTATTTAAAAAATTGAAATCGAAAAACACATGTATTTACTTGTGAGATTTGATTTTCGGTTTTACTATTTCAATTTTTTTTTCAATAAATATAAATCAAACACTTATTTTTTTATTTATTATACTAAACTAAAATTAACTTTTACACTCAAAACAGCACATCAATACATATTTACATCACATCAAATAACTATTTAAAAAGTAATATTAATATTATATATAAACAATTGTGTCAATAATAAAAAAATAATAATAATATTTTGTATTAAATTATTTATTTTTATAAAATAATAAAATATATACTATATATTTTAATAAAATTTATTTAAAATCGTATCGTCCAAAAATAAATAATATGAACAAACGTCAGTAGTGTCCATACACTATAGAGACGAAATTTAATTGGTTTAATTGATTTTATCCGTATTTCCAAATTGGAAGTTCCAATTAAGTACTCCCTCCGTCCCAAATATCGTGTTTGCTACACTGTAGACAGTGTATTTTAGAAGGCATGTAATTAGTAGATAATTAAGAATGTATTAGTAAAAATAATTATCCTATAATATAAATAATTATAAATTAAGATTAAGATAACTAATTAGTTTAATTAAAATTAAAAAAATTAAATTAAAAAATTTTAAAATAAGATTAAAGTGTGTCATCATTTTCCAAAAAAAGGAAAATGACATAGTATATGGAACAGATAGAAACGGCAACGTGGACATAGTATCTGAGACGGAGGGAATAATTTACTCCGTCATGTGCATCATATTTATCTTCTTTTTTCATTATCTTTCAATAAATAAATAAAGCAAAATTGAAAGAGACATATATTTGCTAATACATATTATAATTTTACAATAATGTAACCTATGTGGTGATCCTTATTTGTTTATTAATATCAAATTTGTATTCTACAAATATTTACACTAAGACATATTCAATAATTATTGTATATTACATTTTTTGTAGGTAATTTTTATTATTCATAATTTTGTTTGGATTAAAAAAATCAAATTAAATATTTTTTTTATATTATATTAAAAATCAATATTACATTCAAGATATTAATTAAATTAATATTTATATCAAATTGAATAATTATTTAAAATTAGTAATATATTTTTATTAAAAATTATATAAATTAGATGATGAATTTTTTAAAATCGAAACTAAACAAATCCTAGTTCATGATTACAAAGAGAAATTAAATAAAATCAAAGCTACACTTTAATATTCAAAAACACATCCAAACTTCGGATGGTTTTGTTTGAGCGTTTGAATTTTAAATTTCAAATATTTGTATAATATAATATAAATAGAATTTTAATAGTTAATTGATACTATTTTTAATAAGAATATATATATTACGAAAAATAGTCATATCAATTATATATATACTAAAATACAATATTATTTGAAAATCTTATATTTTAAAAATATATATTTATCAAAAAGTAAATTAAATATTATTTAAATAAAAACTCCAACTTCCAATTTAAATTGAAAAGAAATACATTCGTGCTCTAGAATATATCAGCAAGGAACAATTATCAATTAATTGAATGTGGTGGAACCAAAACCATGAGTGGTAATGCTTAGTGGAGGATGCAATTTAACCCTATTAGTGCTGAATGTTATATAAAGTTGGGCTATGTTTTTTAAAATAATAATAATAATAATTTACGTTTATATAATATTATATTCTTTTACAAAAACATATAATATTTCCAAGAATAAAAAAAAAAAAAAAAAAAAAAAAAAAAAAACTGCCCCAAATAGTTTAAAATGATTATAAAAAACTTAAGCGAAAAAATGCATAATGTGTTTGGATTGAGTTGGACAATTGTACTTATTTATATTTGTTTTTATTTTTAGTTTTTTTTAAAGTTTGTATCACATATAATATTTTTAGGGTGTGTTTGTTTGGGGGTTTGGATTTTGAATTGGGATTTGAATAGTAAAAATTTTGAATTTGAATAGTTGTATGATGTTATATAAATAGGTGTTAATGTGATGTTTTGAATGTAAAATTGATTTTTACTATAATATAAAAAATAAAAAATAGGTGTTTGATTTGATATTTTTTGGGGGAAAAAATTAAATGAATAGTAAGAATTTTGCAAAGTCTTGCAAACGAACACACCCTTAGTTTTTTTTTAAAGTTTGTATCAAATCAAAACGCTATTCCAAAAAGCTAATTTACCAAACACCTAAATTAGCTTTTTGACTGATCAAACAACTAAAAGTTGTTCAATAAACTAAAAGCTCTTAAAAAAAAAACTATTTGTCAAACACCCCTAAATCACTTACTCAATTGAAAATAAATGCCCTCTGATAATTCCTTAAAGCAAAATTTATGACCTACTGTCGTCTTTGCCTGCCATTAAATATAAATAAATAATGTTTGTTATTTTTAAACAGGACTAATTTGATAAAAAAATCATAACAATAACATACATGTGCAAATTTTGCTAAGTAGGCTTATTATTAATATATATACTACTACACATTATGGGTGCATTTGGTTTTCAACTTTTGGTGTAAATAGTAATTAAATGTGAGCTTATAAAAAAATAATTTACTGTAATAAGTAATCATGAAATTGATTTTATATATATATATATATATATATTTATTATTTTTTAAAAGGAAGACAGCCTCGAACACAAGGAGGAAATGAAAGTGTGCAAAGCATATCATCACTTTTTGTGTTGCATACTATTTTTGTTGACAAATTTTAATTGGTTGGAAGAAAAATGGCAATTAACACAACTTTATTATAATTATAATAATAATTATTATTATTATTTGGTAATGCACCATCTTGGTGCTCCAATATCAT